CAGCACTATTAGACTAAACCTTAGCAACCATAGAGGAAGAAGCCTCTATAACTAGCTCACTAGCTTCTTCCTCCTCTATAGCTAAACAACCCCATTTAAACACACTCCTTTTTATCTTTCAGATATAATCCAATTTTATAAGAGATTCATCTATCTCAGCCTAAGCCCTCCTAAGAGCCTCAGACTTTCAATATAATACCTCTACTTTCTTATATAAAACCTCCTCTACTACTTCCTCCTCATTATTAAGATAGCTCGCCTCCTCTAATAAATAATCAACTAGAAAAGGGACAGCCACAATCCTAAGGAAAACTCCACTAAGAAGTAACCTACGCTCATAAACGGCGTTCTATATTACGTCATAAGGCTTTCCCGCCTTTATATAGGCACTATAGACGTTAAGGCTATATAATATTTTATAGTATAAACCCCAGGAACAACAATAAGTATAAGGTATAACTTTAATTCTAAACTTAGCAATATATAAGGCATAAGCGTAGCAATATAAAGTAGATATAATAGAAGAATCTATTATAATATAAGTATTATAAAGGAAATATAAACTTAACCTCCCCAACCTAGGAGAAGATACCTACTTATATTAGTCTTAGGGACAAGACTATCTAAGGGGAGACCTAATATTATAACCTATTAAGCATAATAGGACCAGGGTAATGCCCTATAGCACACCTAGTAGCTATAGGATATTTATATATAGGAAGATATAGGAACGGAAGACTCTCCTTAGAATAGAAGAACTATAGGTAAGTTATATAATAATAAGATAAGGTAATTATTCTATATATATAAGAGTAATTAGTAATTAATTACCAATAGGATAGTAATTAGTAATTACTACACTAGAACTCAGTAATCACCTTAAGGTAGAAGAACTATTTAGGACTTATATATAGGATAGACTTAAGCCTACCTTAAGGACAAACTTCTATAGCTCTTTAGCAATTAACTTATAATTCTCACTTAAGACTCTTAGCTATACCTAAGTAATAATTACTCTATAACTCTTATTAAGGACTTAACTAATTACTAAGCCCTTTAAAGACCTATAATTACTTAATTAGACCTATAGAATAATAAATAACTATTACTATTATTATTACCTAACTTACTATTAATATAAACCCCACTATCAGTTAGCTGGCCGTAACACGTCATAGGATTTCCTATACCTGGATAAGAGTTATGCCTAGGTATTAAAACGTTATGCCCGTCTATTAATTGTTTATTATAAACTTAATCTTATTAAAGTTATAGATATTTAAGTCTATAATATTATATTTTATAATTATATTTACTATAAGTTAAAACTATATATTTATTATATTTAGATCTTTATATTAAGCCCTCTTATAGTTATACTTATAAAAAAAGTATATTTAGAGCTATAGTTATTACTTAATAAAGTTTAAAGCTTAGTGCTTTCTAACTAGGGGTATATTATAGTTAATAAGTAGTTAATTTATTATATCTTTTATACTATTAATATAGAGAGGAAATAATTATATAAATAGATATATAAGTAGCTAGAGGGGCTTAGAAAGCGCTTATATAATATAATATAATAGGCTTATATATATTATAATAGAATTTAATAAATTTAAGTATAAATAAGTATTACTTTTAATAGAATAATATATAGAGAGTAATATAGTAGAATATTAAACTATTATTATATTTAGTAAGTTTTAAATCTAGCCTAAAGAAGTAAGGGGAAGAAGAAGTATTCTAAAACGTATAATTATATATATAATATTATAAAGCTTAGGCTACTAAGTAGTCTATACTTTATAATTCTTAGTTTATAGAGCTTCTTTTATAGAATATTTTTATATAAGGATTATATATTTATCTCTATTATTAAATTTTATAAAGAAAAAAATAGAGATTATTTTTATTATTATTTCTTCTTCTTATTCTTATAATAGTTAGAAATCTAGGTTGAGAATATACTTAACTAGCTTCTCTTCTTTAAGTATAGTTAAATTTTATAACTTAGGTATAGTGCTACATTATAATCTCTTTCCCTCTAAATAATAGTATAAGGTTAAAAAGAGCACTAAGTAGATATAGGATATAGCTTAAATACTAAGAGTTAGTGTTTTCTTAATAGCTTAGATTACTAAGTTTATCTAACCTTTATTACTCTATAATAATATATTTAGTTTTAGTATAATATAATATAGAAGTTAGAAGACAGTTTTATATAGTTAGCTAATCTACTTGCTTATTAACTACGTTAAGTATATTTACTATACTTTAAATACTTTTTTATTATCTTATAAATATAGCTATTTACTTAATAATAAAAATATAGTATAACTTTAAAACTATTCTAAAAGATCTTTTAAGACTAAAGTTAGTATTAAATAGTAAAAAAAGCCTTTACTATTTAATTAGACTTTTACTTTTAAATATAACCTAATATATAATTAATATAGAAAAAGTTAAGAAGTATAATTAATACCTCTCTAACCTAAAAGATATTACCTATTTATATAGGTCTAAAGCACTAAATCTTTAGAGAGGAGACTTAATATTATAACCTATTAAATATAACTAATAGGATTAAGGTTTATAGAGAGCTAAATAGTTATAATAATACTTTTATAATAAATAAGTTATATAACTAAAGGAAATATAAGTATTAATAAAATAAAATATAAACTATTTATAATATAGACTATAAGTACTTACTTTATATAACTATTAAGTAATTACTTAATAAGTAATTAAAGTAAAGAGACTATTAAAAATAAAACTTATATATAAAATAGACCTAAGTCTACTTAAGTTTATACTTTTATAGCTCTTTAGTAATTAACTTATAATTATTACTTATAATACTTTTAGCTATACCTTAGTAATAATTATATCGCTATTACCTACTTATCTGCACGTTAAACGCACGCCTCCCGGGCTTATGGGCGCGTAAAGTGGGTAGCGGAGGCGGCCCCTGTCGCCGAACCGCACCCCCGACGTGGGACCACGCCTCCATTTGGCATGATTAGTCATTATTGCGCTCTCCAACTACTAAGCCTGCCCTTATTGGCTTATCTATGGGAGAGCGGACGGGATCCCGAGTTTTCCAATGGGTATGGTCGTATGTGATAGAAACGGAAGCACAAGGGACTTATATCGTCATCCTGGCAGCGTGCAAGACTTGTGCAGCACTTGGCCCTCAATGAGCGGATGTCTCTTCTGCCTTGCCATGGCCATAATATCCTATATTAACTCTGTATTAATCTGAGATGTTTGATACGATCGTGTCGTCATACTAGTTTCTCATAACAACTTCATGTGCAGTCGTCCATTAGTGAAACCCGTCTGACTCCAACCTGGATATCCACACACTGACTTCGTGAAGCCATCTGCCCATCTAGATCATGCTTATTGAATAACATATTTCTATTAAAACGAAATCTTCCCATGAATAAAATCTTTCTATGAAGAATATTTTCCCATTCCTGCCGGTTTTAGTATTCGCGTTGAACAACGACACATAACCCTTTCGAAGCATAACTTGGGATTTCCGCAGCTATAACATGGTAGCCAGAAAGTCCTGCTGAATTTCAGCTTATGAACGAATTTTCGATACTGCAAGTCAAAATGTTGCAGATCGTTGTAAACGACAATCGTTCGTGCATCCGCCTGGGCGAAGCCAAACGATTCCCGACTGAGTTCGGAAAACGTGAATCACTGAGTTTCAATTCCGGCAAGGTCCATCGGTCTTGCCTGATATAGCATCTGCTATAAGCCTATTTTTTATGGTTCCTTGCTTTGTTTTCCGTTATGACAGTTTCTTGGCCGACACATGGCGCTGGACGACAAGTCTTCAAAGCGGCCAGGCCGGCGCCGAACCCCGAACGACCCCATAATTAATTCGGCACGGCTCCAGTTCCTCGGACGAAGTGGGACGGGGACCGGCAATTGTTGCGCGGGGCAAGTTATGCAGCCGCTGTTTCCCAATCTGGGGATAAACGTCATATGGCTATTGACTATTGACATATTGGAAGTACCTACCTTAAATCCCATGGATCGGAAAAGTGAACTACTACCTGATGGTTTCCAGGTCTGAACCTCACGTGGAGATGCCTTGCCTTCGTCTGCGGTCTCTTATACTTAGAGAGCAGGGGTCTTATCGCACACAAGTTGAAAAACACAAGTCAGCAAAAGTTTAGAACACACTCTGGAGATACCAGGGAAGAAGGCCGCGAACAACGCCGCCTCGACTTCTCCTCAATCATCCTAACACTCAACCCATATGAACTGTCTCTAAACTGTGCATCTAGCCAACGGGCTGTTCCCTTAGCCTAAACACATAGCCATCATCGCATGTAATCAACACTCCTGATAACGAAATGCAAGCCTCATTGGGACCGTTGCCGCTGTAGGCGCTTGCAGTTTCACCACCTACTCAAATTTAGTCCATGGGCGACTTGTCTTGCGCTTCCAAGTTGCGCGTGGCCTCAAGAAAGGTACCTATGCAATCCTATTATGATCCGCATTTGATGTTCTGCGGGGTTCTGTGAAAATGACAGAATTCCTGCACTGCCCGCAGCCTGCTTCAACCACACCTCCGATCCGTGACTAGGCCACGAGAACCGCCAATTGAAGGCTTCTAGGTGGATGCATTATTCTTGGTTCTGCAGAAGAACTGCGCAGTTGGGCATGGACGCATGATAGGCCAAGCCCCCCAAAGTGCAACCTTGGCCTCAGCCAATCTACCCGTCGTTGACATGCACCTCCTACGCCACCTGGGCTTATTCGGCTGACCGCGTCGTACAATACTGCTTCCTAACGGACCCTCCGCGTTGTGCGCGGTACTCAAGGAAAAGTCTCCATCCTTCTTCCCAAACCCACCTTCTCATCTTGCTACCACCCTCAAGCTTCAGGGTCGTCATCCACACAGCATCGTGCTGGGAATCATCTCGTTTGCAGTTGTTAGTGGTAGCAGCGAGCTTAATGCCATTTCAGTACCCATGGAATCCATCGCAGCGTTGGGCCTGGCCTGCAACATTTTTCAAGTCATCAGCGTTGGCCACGAGACGATCCGCCTGGTCAAGGATATCTACAATAAAGGCTCCATCGAATCGCCACTAGCCGAGTATTCAGTCTCTCTCAGGGATATCTCTTCCCACATCAGCACATTTGAGCTACCTCAAAAAGCACCGCAGTATCAAAAACAGCTCAAGGAGAATGCAGCAAAATGTTACGCAGTTGCTCGGGACCTCGCTGAAGAGATCAGCTTCCTTCTTGCCGAGAAGGCAAAAGGTGATTTACTCAAGACTTTGAAGACGGTGGCAAAAACGACCTGGAGAAAGAGGCGCCTAGAGAGATTCGAACGACAGTTGAAAGATCTCGAAAAGCAGATGCAGAGTGGTCTGCTTACCCGCCTGGTGTGAGTGCTTGCCAGATTTCTTAATCTCTGTCCAAAGTTCGAGCGGTACCTAACATCATACCTATACAGAGACAATTCAAACGCGATCCAACTCAGACAGGAGGCCCTGGATGGACGCATTCGCCATCTACTGCAACAATACCAAGACGGCAAGACGCAGGCATCTGAACTTATCCTCAAAGATGGAGCCACCACGAGAGCGCACGTCTTGCGAGAGAGCTCAAAGCTGCAACGTCAGGTTGACAGTGCGACTCAGGCGTCAGCCGCACAAGTCATGTCCCTGATGTCGAACTTGGACCTCAAACGGGTGGATTCTGCGCGATTAGACCAGTTTGTTGAGAGCCTCGCCTTTCACGGCATGAACGAACGCCGAAACCAAGCTACCGATTCCCACGAGGGCACCTCCAAATGGATTTTCTTTCAATGCGGCGAAACATTCTCGGAAGAGGACGACTCAGACATCAACGTTGATGACGAGGATCTGTCCCATGACTCACAACGCTGGGATAATTTTGGTGACTGGCTCCGTTCCGGCGAGCAGGTATACTGGATCTGCGGCAAACCTGGCTCCGGGAAAACAACTTTAGCTAAATACATCCTGAATCATCCAAACACCAAGGACCTTTTAGGCATCTGGAGACCTAATCCTATTTTGGTTTCACACTTTTTCTGGCGACCTGGCACCCATATGCAGCACAACATTAAAGGGATGCTCTGTTCTATACTTCATCAACTATTACAGAACAGCCACTCCTCTGCGGAGCTAGCGATATCTCAAACCAACACAACCAAAAGACCAGATGGTGTTTGCGGAGATTGGTCGTTAAGGGAACTCCAAAACATTCTATCCTCAGTCTTGCAACAGTACAAAAGACCGGTATTTTTGTTAGTTGATGGTCTTGACGAGGTTGACCCATCCGACGGCATAAGCCAGTTGCTTTCCTTGTTGGAAGAGTTACGACAGCGCACCAACGTCAAAATGTGTCTCTCCAGTCGACCCGAGCCGTTGCTCAGACGATTAAGCAAACACCCGCATTTGCGACTTCAGGACTTCACTTTACACGACCTGCGTCGGTACACAAGAGACAGGCTTCGTCCTTTCCATGAGTACATCACCAAGGCTAGTGATCTTGACCCCCAACATGAATACATCAATCGCACACCACAACAGTCGTTCGTTGAGCTCCTCGTTGAGAAATCTGAAGGAGTATTCCTCTGGCTCCATCTTGCTCTCAACGGCACCAGACGGGGGATTGAACAGGGCGACTCTATGGAGGATGTGCACGCCAGGATCAACAGCTTACCCCGGACACTTGCCGATTTATACAAAGACATGTGGCAACGACTCAACGAAGATACCTTGATTTACAAACGCAAAGCAGCTGGTTACTTCAGACTGTTGATTCTGTCTGTGAAATACCCATACACTCTGGATTTCGTTCTTGCCTACACTCCGTTCCGAATTGCACTGGCGACAAGCTCTCTTGGACAACGAATTCTCGATGATGGGCCTACTGCTGTCACAGCACTCGAACTTCAGAAGGAATGCGAGGAAACAGAGCGCGATATCCATCTCAGGTGTGCAGGGCTCATTGAATTGGTCTCCAATGAGTCTCCTCTGCATGACCCCCTTGAGCTTGGGCGTCAAGACTGGCTAATCGCCAAGTCCGTAAAGAAACAGCCCACGGCGTATTGGAATAACAAGCAACTCATGAACTATATTCGAGGTGAAACCAAATTGAATTTTATTCACCGGAGCGCCTACGACTTTCTCACAGATACTTCTGATGGCCAAGAGCTTCTTTCCTATGAGAAAGCATCTGACGATGACCCCGCGAACCGGCTTATTTCAGCTTCGCTGGCTGCCTGCAGGATTTGTAATTATATCGAGCTTCGACAGCGTTTTCGTCCTGGACGAGTTACGGCCGTCATAATCGATCGGAGTGAGGTCTTTCTGCAACTGTTCACCAGCATAGCATGTATTGATGCTTCTGCGTTATGGCGAGATCAAAAGCTCTCTGCAAGTACCAGAACAATTCTCAGACTTTGCGGACAAATGGTAGCATCCGGCGATTTAAGAAGCGAGTACTCAACAAATGCATCTGGAACACTCAGCAGGCCAGAGTTTCTCCAGCAAACTGTTCTCTTTTTGGGATTCAATGCTACGTGGCTCATCTACGGCCAGGAAACCCGTCCGGAGGAACTGTCTAGAATGTTTCTTGCTGCATGTCACACGTACATGTACCAGGATGGTGCAACTGAAGAGCTAGTCTCGCTCACTAGAATTATGAGAGAGAACAGGGGTCTCGACGTGAACTGGAAGGGTCGACGTTTGAGCCCTGACAATGGAGAGACAACGTGCTCGCATTGGCATGTTCCCACGACGCCTCTCAGCGTTGTGTTAACCTCCATTCTATGTAAAATGCCCCACAAAGAAGCGTTCTCTTGTCGATTTTGGAAACAAGTTTTAGAGATCTTGGTCGAATTCGTCGTAAAAGGCGCCAATTTGGCAGAAGAGATCTTTCTCATGATGGTGCACAAGCCTTCTCCGCATTCAGACAGCTCAACTTTCGGTGACCACTGGTATTGGGAACCAGTCGAATCCATGTCATGGCGTGGCTCCTGGTCGAGCTGCCATAGGGTGAATGGGTTGACCTTCTCCTTTCGAAGTGGAAGGCTCATCCAAGGGATCTTGAATGCGATCCAACTCACCGAACCACAATTAGCGTCTACCGTCAGCATGAAGAGTCTTCTAGACGTGTTGCACACTTCCAATCCAGCCTCAAGTCAATACTATGATACCCGTGTAATTGCTATACATGGTAAGACCGGGCTTCAGGAGCGATGGGATATTTTTCGGGCCGTCTCGCGCGAGGAATCTCATACTTTGATACAATCCTTAGGTCAGTTACCTTTTATGGTTCACAGGGCAGGGGATCAATGCGAGCAACTGAGTTCTGTGTTTGAAGTTGAGCCATGGAGTTGTATACTGGAAGCACAATCTCTACCCAGTGGCGAATATTGGAGGGCGACTGAAAGCCTAGGCTATCAGGATCTTTGCTTTGAGTGGAAGAAATTCCTTGCTAATATTGGGGTTATGAAGATGACTGTGTTCACAGATGACGACGGAAACGAGTATCCCTTTGATCAGGTTTTCACGACAGAGTCAGAGAGAAGGGCAGCGTTGATCGGATCTTGAGTAAAATCGATTCACAGTTGTTTAGTATTATAAGCGTAATAAAAGTATCCTTCAGCACCTCTATAAGTGTAATTCAATTACTTTGAACCCCTACAACTACTATTAATAAGATTTCCTAAGTAACTTTAATTAGTAGGTTCTATTCAAGCGTGCCATCTTTAGCCAACTTGTCTACTTCGAGAGTACGCCTCATTGTTCAATATATCTCCCCTCAAATGCCACAAGAGGGGCTATTCGCGTCTTCATTCACGAAGCCTGAAGTGCAAGTGCCCCCAGTGTTGGCTTCCCACAGCCAACACCTGTCACGAATACCAACACCCCGGAGGCACCGCGGGTGGTACACGCAATTGGTAGGTACTTCATATCAAGGCGAGAAATCCGGGACGCCCAGGTACGTAATTGAAGCAGATTCTGAATCAGAAGCGTCAGAAGCACCGCACATGTTCCTCACGCCTCGGATGTCTTCTACGATGTTTCCAAATTTCGGCCTACTGAGACTTATTCTTTACTGTGGAAACACGGGAGCTGAATGATAGCCAGATGGACCCCGCGTTTGTCCCTTCTATTGTCCTCGTATACGGACATGAAACCTCGGAGACCTTCCTATTCAAATGCCTCCGCGGTTCTTCGACGACGCCGAGTCCAGTTGTTCCTCAGATGCGGTCATAGCCGAGTTGCTTTCCCAGGCTGTCCTGGTTTCCAGCCCATCTTAGCCCTTGCTCCATTGAGATAGCCACCCAGAAAGTCGAAAAGATATCTCCTGGACGATATAGATTCATCCAAAGCACCACCCAACCCACCCTAAAACCCCCCTCCAAACACCCTCCCACCACCTCTCAATTTCCCTCCTCAACCCCAGCCCTCTCTCGCCAAACAACCACATCCTAAGCCTCCAAACATCCCACCAGTCCCTCTCCGCCTCAACAACCCTCTCCAGCGCCCCATCATCAAACGCAATCCCCCTCCAAAGCAACACCCCCAAGACCTGCGCCCACTTCGCCCTCCTAACAACCTCCTCATCGTCAACAGCCTTACCGACCTCCTCCCAGAACGCGGCCCTGAGCTCCCCGGCCTCGGGGTAATACTCAAACCTCCCCGTCCCGTCGACGTCTTCCCCGAGAACCTCTTCGAGACCGTACATGCCGACTCCGAAGGGTAACCACTCCGCCTCGGCCCAGTCGATAAGCCCAACCAGCTCGCCGCCAGCCGTGCCGTCATCTGTCGGTGGTCGGACCATGATGTTATCAGGCACGAGGTCCCCGTGAGTAATGACCCAAGGCAGCCCTTCAATATCCCTCATCTCTCTCATAACCCTCCTCGCCACGCCCCGGAACTCCCTCTGGAGTCCTTTACACATGATCCCCAGCCTCCAACTCAGACTCCCACCGACCTTTCCCCGGACGACGTCCTCGACATCCCGCCTCCCCCTCCACGAATCCGCAAACATTCGCGCGAGATCCCTCACAACCCTCCTCCTCGCCTCCCCAGAACCCCTCCCGAAAGAACTCAACGACACACCACCAACCCTCTCCACCAAATACCCAACCAGCACCCCCTCCGCCCCGCCACCAACCGTCTCCAGCCCCTCGAGCACCCCCAGTTCCCGAATCCCAGGAACGACGCCCTCCCCGAGTATCCCTCTCGCCTCCTCACACACCCTGACATCGATCCCGTGCCGTCTCGGCCGGAACTGGACCAACCCGCCACCACCCCCGTCACCTCCACAGACCTCGCACCCGGAATCCCGCCGGTCCAAAGGCCCGAGGAGCAGAGTATACGAACAGAACCCCTGGAACGGCGCCGCGACGACGTCCCGCCCCGGCACCCTCTCCCTCGCGAACTCATGCATGCGCGGGACGACGGAGGGGCGCAGGCCGCATCGCGAGAGGAACGCGGATATCTTCTCCGACTCCCCGGGCTTCAGACCCGTCGTGGCGCTGCCGTCGTTGTCGGCGGCGCCGTGGTGGTCGCAGGAAGCAGCCATGATGCTCGTCGCTTCCAACGGGATATCGTCAGTCAGCGGAGCGTTCTCGTTCAACGGTAAGACTTCATCGCGTGGGTATTTGTCCGTCATGCGCAGCCGGCGATGAGGTGAGGTATTTAAGGTTTCTAGATCTTTCAGCCGCAGCCGCGGCCGCACCCGCGTGAGATGGCTGATGGGTGGTGGTTTGATTGAGTTCACATGACACCATCAGCGGTGGTCAGCTCTGCAGCGCCGTTTCTGCAGCCGCAGCTTCTTTCGGGGGGAAGGAGAGGGGAAACACTGAAGGAGAGGAGGGGGGGAACCGGACCGGCGCGGGCGTCTTCACCCGACCACACCACTTCGTCAACACCACCGCGCGGGATCACCCACGTGGGTTGATGACATGTCACTCGCCGACGTCCTAGTCGGGCAATCTCTCATGTTGTGCTGCCTGTAGCATCGGAACAACACAGATCACACCTAAAGTTAGGCCCGCCCAATCGATTTGATTTGAAATGGTAAGTTTGTATTATTACCGTTGTCTGCATTTAGAATTGGGGTGTTTTGTTTAGAAAAATGCTCTAGAAGACAAAAAGAAGCTTTGAATAGAACCCCCAACCGTTGACGGAAGAAAAAAAGGGAAGAAGAGAAAAAAAACAATCCCGTGTTTATGCCCGTTTCCTTTACTCCATGCGAAGGGTATATAAGTGATGCGCAACCCCTTTTTGGATGCGCATGCATGCTGGTTTGCGAAGGAAATCTGAAATTTTCCCCATCGTACACTTGCGGCGGCGTCTGGAAGGTGGGCGGCTGTGGCTGCGGGAACAGGTTCCAACTCGGCTTGCGCCGGCGTCACCATATCCTGTCTTCTTGCCGAACTGGCTGTTGATCAGTCCTGAAGAGCATCGAGATTTCCGATCGCGGAATCGGTGTCGATAATTTTACCCAAACGCCTCCCCATGCCAACGTCCTCGCCGACTGGACCCGGCTCTGCCTGGCACCCGACTCTATGGTTCTTTTCGGCCGTTATTGATATTCGTTACACGCGCATGGTAGCGCAGCTCCTGCTCGTCCAGACGACCGGCTTATTTGCGGGCCTTGCGGTCGAGCTCGACCTTGCTGTACCAGGCGGCGCCGAGCATCGTCATGAGCATACCCGTGCCGTTAAACAGGTGGATCTCGACGTTGTCGAAGGCGACGATACCGAGGAGGACAGTGAGGCACTGCTTGAGGTTACCACAGACGCTGATGGTCAGGGCACCGGCGACCTTGTTCGTCTGGAAGGAGGCGACGTTGAGGGCGAAGGCAAGGGCACCGTTGCCGGCGATGGCGATGATGGTGGGGAGAGCGAGCTCGCCTGCGGAGAACATCTCCTGCAGCTTGCTGAGCTCGCCGGCAGCCATGGCACAGGCCAGCGACTGCATTGCGGCGAAGGGCGACATGCGCAGCAGGACCTCCATGGCAGGCAGGGCCAGGGGGCCGGTCATAATGCGGTTGGTCGCAACGGTCTGGAATTGCGTTCGTCAGCGCCTCACTTCATGCATTCAGGGTAGAGTGTAAATGGGACGAAAGTTTGGCGAGTTTCAGAGAGGGCGGAGACGACGGGCCCAATTGGGGCAACCGCAATCTGCGCGGGACTCTTGACCAACTCAAAAAGCTCGGATGACGGGCGGGTGATTGGCGAACGAAAATAACATACCTTGACCGCAGCCAGCAGGACACCGGCGAAGGTGAGAAGGAAGCCCAGGTCGGTGAATGTGTACTCGCCGACGGTCGTCAGAGCGGCACCCATCATGACGGGAACGAGAGTGAGGTAGGTCATGTTCTCATAGGTACGGCTGAAGACGACGCGGTAGATACCAACGGTGAAGACCGGGACGGTAGTTCTGAGGACCTGGTAGAAAGCTACCGAGACCATGGCACTGTCAAAGCGAATTAGCATGATGCTTGTTTAACTTCTTGGCCCCGCCTCTTCCGGAGGCGGAAGCGGCGGGATCCCGCAAGACGCCGCGCGGCGTGCATGCAAAGGAAATTGGCTGCTTACAGTGAGAGGTTTGAGACGGCGATGTTGGTGGTGAACAGGAGACTGAAAGCCAGGAGGATGAGGTTCTCGCGGCGTCCCAGGTGGGACATGGTGAAGTAGCCTCCTTGGAGCAGACCATAGCAACCCAAGCTCGCGCACGTGGCGTGAATACAGGTGAGAAGCCAAGGAAAGGGGAACTGAGGGAAAAGTCAGTAAATGCCTTTCTGGAAGCAGTTGAACGAGCCATCTCATGCTGTACGGCGGCAGGTCGTTGAAGCTTTGCCAAGATTCAGGATGAGTTGGGGTAGGACGCCACGTACAAATCCGAGGACCAGCTTGTTGTAAAGGGTCAAGATCAAGCTGAAGAAGAAGTAGGCGCTCAACCAGGCGAATTTCACGTTTGGTGAGATGGTGTACTCGACGGGGTTGCTGTTGTTGTTCTTGTCGGCCTCGGACTGCTGTTCTGTGGCAGGGCCAGCGGCGGCCTCGAGATCGTAGCTTTCCTCGACGCGCTTCTCATCGCCGTTGAGGAGGCCGTGGCCTTCCTCGCTTCGTCTAACTTCCTGCTTGAAATCGGCCATTTCTTCGGTGGTTCTCTTCTCTCTTTTTTTTCTTTCTGCTACTCGCAAAAGGTCGGAAAAAGCTGGTCGTTTATCGTTCGTCGGAAGGTCGAAATGCTATTTTGTTTATAGGCCGTGTGTCGCCTGAAGAGGTACCCTGGTGAGAAGGGGGTGGGAAATGGCTGACGAGTGTCCAAGTTTCACGACGCAGATCGGTCCCGAGCGTGGGGGAGTTTGGGGTGAGGTTTGACGTGCAAACGGGCGTGCGTAAGTTGTCGAGCTTAAAAAATCGGACTAACAAGCGACCAATGTAGAAATGACTGTGTGTTGTTTTTCGAGAGGAGATGCGTGGAAGGAAAAACAGGAGAGGAAAAAAGAGGTCCAAACGAGAGGCAGAGCGTCGAAGATCAAAAAGGGTGAGCTCGAGGGGGTGTAGGAGAGAAAAAGAGCCGATCGGATGCCGCAAGCTGCAGCGAACAGAGAGCAGGTGCTACTACTGATAGGGGCGGAGGCGAGGACGGAAAGGGCGTTTGTTCAGTGGAACAGGCACAAATGAACCCAAGACTTCGGATCGCGGCGTTGCAAGGCCAGTATCTAAATCCGATGCACCAATGTTAATGTCGAAACCTGGGAGCAGGAGAAGGGCCTGGGAACTGGGAACAGGGGGGGAATGTCAAAAATAAGGACTGGAAGGGAACGACAGGAGCAGTGAGAAGGCTGGAGAATCAAGAAAAAACGTGTGGAGAGAGAAGGATTGGAGTGGCAGAGCAAAATAGAGGAGTGCTCTTTGCGAGAGTGGGAACAAATGGGAAAAAGAGAGGAGACACTGACGAGGGTCGAGGGTGTAAGGTACTGTGACTCTGTACTCTGGTAATTGTACGGATACCGGTCACGGTTTGCTCGGTGGTGGAGATGGGGGGGAAGGACAAGAAGAGGAACGAGAGGAAGCCGAGATACTCAAACGGGCATCTTTCTCGCTTCCGCTCTTGGCATCAATGACGTTTCGGCTGGCGGCATTTGGCATTTGGCACTCTGGCTCCTTGCTGCTCTTTTCAGTCCTCCTGACTGCTGTGTGTTCACTCGCCCAGCTTAATTCCGATTCTACACTGCTCATCTTCCGTCCTCTTAGACAGTGATTGCCAGAGCAAATTACACGTATGCCCCGACCCGGCCGGTCAATGATAAGCCAGCTAAGGTAGGGGTACGATGGTGAATCAAACCTCAGAAACTTCACATCAAGTGCCTTACTTCCGTGACTTACGTGGAGAGGGAGAATGAGCACACGTAGACTACGTACGCAGCAATAGCCCAGCCACAGACTCAGACCAGACTCAGACTCAGGTCGAGGCCAGAGATGCCCCGAAAGCTCCAGGGGACAGCGTTTGGGGATGATTACGCCGCCAAACTCTAGCCGTTGGCTCCATTCTCGATGCCTCTACATGATCCGGATAGCCGTAGTAGTCGTGAGCTACTCGAGATACTATGTATGTGGGAAAGGCAGAAAGATGCCGATGGCGCGCAGGTGTGTGTGATGTACATTGAGCTACCCGCCCGCTCAGCGCAAGCTACCGGCCGCCGTCTGGGCTCTTGCGGCCTGTTGTATATATCAGTCAGGCCGCCCACCGGTACTGTGTTTACATCAGAAAAGGGCCGTCTGGTGTCCGTGAACGCTTTAATAACTCTGCGTCGCGCTGCTTGTCTGGCGGTCGAGGACCCCGCGCGCAGGCGTTTCTCCTCCGATAAATAAGGGCTGGCGACGGGCGGCGGGCCTCTCTGCCACTGGCTTCATCTATCCTCATCTCTGGTCTGGCAATGACGGACCACTGTCAGCCCCTCTCGCAGCGTCTGGGACAGAGTGCGGCAGTGTGCGGTAAGTAGCGAGCGAGCGGGTGGATTCGTGGAAAAGTGCGGTGGGAGCACTGGACTCTGGAGCAGCGTTGCCGTCGTCGTAGCGGTGGCGGACTGGATGGAGTCTGTCGGTTCCCCTGCTCAGATGACAGAGCTTGTCTTGACTCTTGGGAAGCCCCCTTGGCAGCCGCGTAAGCCTGGGCCCTGATTCATCCTGGTGCGACCGGATGGCAGGGGCACAATTGGTAGCGAAACGGGGCGGGCTAATAAGGGGGGCCAGGGTCAGATTGAGTGCTCTTGGGTGGTATCGCGGGATGGGAAAGTGGGAGGAGGCCGGGGTTTGGTGCACACAATCACCGCTTCAGGCCGGGGTTGATTGATGATGATGAAGAAAAGGAAACGAAGATGCCGGCTGGACTCGAACCATTGGGGATCAATTGTGAGATTGGGCTTTAGATAGGGAGGTACGTATATTTGCAGATTTATTATATAATCAGGAGTACGTACCGACGGTTAGTGTTGGTCTGGAACACGTTTATTCAATTCCGTGGGGCTATCGCCAGATGTCGTCCACGCGCGTTTCCAGAAACCCCAATCTTCATTCCACCGGCTCTGAATCGAATGGCTGGGGCCAGCAATTAATTCTGCCGAAGGTGCTGCTTACATGATGCCAACTTTAACTCACCGAGGGCCGTCGAGGACGTCAACGGTCAAATCATCAAGGCAGAGGCGCGCGGGACGGTGGGGGCAGAGCGAACCACGGCCAAGGAAGGCGTGGGTAAAAGAGTCATTATCACTGGCTGATCTCATTTAAATGCGGCTCTGGGCATGGACCGGCATCTGAGGAATAATACAGCCAGGACGGCCGATTGATGACGGGATCCAGATCCAATGCGTGCAAGGTGGGAAGTCCGACGGGAATGCCTTGCCTCTTGCCTTTGATACTCGTGGGATCTGGTTGCTTACAGCGACTGAAGGTTTGACACTTGGTTCAGTGCGGTAGCTCAGCTAAAGTAGGGCGGTTATGGGGGATCAAAAACAATGCACACCACCACTGCTGGTATGTAGTATGTACCCACGGGCAGCCGACAAAGCCGAAATGTCGCGATGCCCAGACCTTTTCTGCCGTGGTCACTGGCCACGATATTTTGGGTTTGGCTCCCTCCCTTGGCTTTGGGTCGGGTCGGGTCTTGGGAGGAGCGGAACTCTGGTGGAAGCAGGCAAGCAGGTGCTGAGATGTTGTCAGAAAATAGGGGAAGCCAAGGCCAGGCAAGCGGAAAGACTTGGATGCGACAGGTCACTGGCCCGGAGATGCAGGGCGGAAATGACGACAGGCGATGGGGCTGCAGAATGTCACTGGTCCGACTGCCAGCTGCTGCCTCCACTGGACGGGACACTGGACGTCGCCGGTGGAGGCACCGCCGGCGGAATCTCGTCAGGTATCCGTACGAATACTTCTACCGCTTTATCTGGAGGAGCTCTTCCTCCAAGTAGATTCGCACAACGAACCGCTGTGGAGATACTTGTGCCGCTCACAATTACAGACCTTCTTACGGATAAGGTACACATGCATGGCACCTTCAGATTCAGAAACATGATACGAAATCTCGGCAGTGACCGAGGATTCACCAGGGAGCCCGAGACGAGACGTCGAGGCAATAACTTTTGGATCTCCATGTATCACCGCGTCGGTCTCAGACAGACAAGAAAGACATCAGCCACCAAAGCGTCCCTTGGGTTACCTTAATCCAACGGCTGAACCAGGCGTCGGCCCACGTCCACGAACGCCAACAAAGGTTGCTGGGTCTGCCATGGCTGATGGCTGACGGGCTCCAGCAGTCACACACACAGCCAACAACAGACTGGAAGGCTGCTGCACATCGCGATACCAAGCTTCCAAGCCGGCACAGAACGGCAACTCTGATATCTTGGGCTCACCACTTTATTTGTCCACAGCCCACCGTCCACACCTGAGCGGCACCGAACCGGCCAGAATCCAATCAATCGCGTAGGAGGATCGCCAGCCCGTGTCCGCCAATGTTGCCTGTCAGCGGAACTCCCTTGAAGCGCGATGATAATGATCATTTCTCCTTGTCCCCCAATCCCAATCCCAATCCACGATCCCGAGCTGGACCCAGTAGGCTATTTTTCGAACGCGGCATGTTGCTGAGACGCTTGTTTGCGTGTCGTCGTGTCAATCTCAGGGTCTCGTCAGGGTCTCACTCGCAACGTTGTGCTACATTGGTATTGATTGTCGTGCATACGTCAGCAGTCCGCTCATCGTGCCCTCCTGCGATTCTAGCAGTACGAAGCACGCTATCAAGCCGTGGAGTTGAAGCCAAAGCGAAGGTCTGTCTGTCTGTCTGTCCGCCAGTCCCGACGTCCCGCAACGCCACGCTCCATCGCCGCTGCCCCTAATTGCTCGCGGCGTTCCTGCACCTGGCTGCACCTGGCTGCACCTTACCTGCAAGCTTGCGCCTGCTTCCCGCATCCTCCGGCCCCCTTAGTGCTGTCTTCCCTTCCCTTAACGCGGGCAGTAGCAACCTCCATCCATGCTCGCCCTTCCTTCCTGCACCTGACAGACCACAAGTCACCTCCAAGACATTACTGAGAGGGTGTGTCTGTCCTGGAAATATCGCCGGTGCTCCCTTTTTCCCGGTGTACCGTCCATACCTATTATCACCTATTCTTTTTTTCAATTTTCCCAATCCCGCTCCGCTCTATCCAATCTTCGGGGTGATTGACCTGGTGCGTCTGGCCCACACCGAGTCGAGTCTAGCTCCAATTTCCGCCCATCCTTCTCGCGCCCTTCTTCCCCAGACTTTGCAGCAATATCGACTCTCGTTGAATCATCGTGTGCGGCTCAATTACAGGCCCGCCAGTCAGCTGTGTCTCTCCACAGCACACCTGACCGCCTGCCTGTACCTATCCTTCCCCTTGCCTGAGATTGAGAGACCTTCGGGAGGTACCTCACAACGGAAGCAGCCCAAGACAGGCTAGACGACATCGAGACACGGCAAGACAAGACCACGACGAGTCTCGAGACCCAGACCTGACTGCGTGCGAGCCCAAGAAGAAGAGGAGCATTTTCAGCCATCTCAGGGTCTTCCTCTCACAGACAAGCTATTGGGAATATACCGTCTCCACGGTATCTGGCGTCTGACATTTGGCATTGGTATTTTGGACAAGTCACCCAGCAGGAGGAGTGGCATCCGCACCGTCAACTTCCCCGTCGGCTCAATTCTTTGCCACAGCTATTTCTTCCTCTCTTTTTTATCCTCGCCATTCCCTTCCGCCCCCTGACCGACGGATTCTCGTCAGCGTGCATCCACTTCCTTTCCTGCTCTTTCACCGTCCGCTCTTTTGGTTCGCTACGATTTTTATAATACCCGACCGCACTTTCGTCATCGTCGCCCACCTCACCTTCTCGTCGCCGTCGTCGCAGCTGTCCTAGCTTCGACCCTCAACACGACCTCGCGCCAACGCCTCGCGACCACCCCGAAAAACCGCCCAACCTGGATCTCAAGCCGATCCGGCAGCTAAATGAAACCCGCTTCGGCCCTATGTTGATGCAACTGAAAGGCCGCAGACTCGTTCTGCTGGCAGCCTTCATCGTCGTCCTCTGCCTCCTCATCTTTTCGCAATCAACCGTCCCGGAGAGCTTGAACTGGGTAAGTTTCATTGTCGTTACTTCAAAGTTCTTAGCCTTCTTTGATCGACGTCGCAAGTCATGATCTGCCGGGGCCGCATTCTTTCAAGAGAGGAATGCGCCCACGTGCCGACTTGGGCTGAAACGTCGACCGAACTCCTTCCTACAGATCTCTGAGACACCCGTCATGACTTGACACTGACGTTTGCTTCTGTAGCCCGACCTTTCGGCTTCCCTTCCCAGTGTAACCGGCAGCAAGTCATCCGCTCCGTCCAGCAAGAAGGGCAAGGACGGCTCGCCGGGCGTCGGTCGCTTCCACTTCCTCATCGCTGCCAGCGCCCCGAACCTCCAGTTTTGCCGCGCCCTCGTCTCCTCCACCGTCAACCGGTTCGGTGCTCCGACCATCGCAGGATGGAACGCTACCGGCGAGAACGACGCGGCCCAGTCGCACTTGGCCAAGATTCGCGTCGTCACCAAGTACCTCGAAGATCTGCCGCAATCCGCCAATGATGACCTCTTCATGATGATTGACGGTTACGATGTTCTCCTTCAGTTTGGGCCCGACGTCATGATTGAGCGCTACTTCAAGGCGGCCGAGAAGGAGGACGAGCGCATCATCCAGCAACTAGGACCTCAGAAGGCCGCGAGCCTGGCCGGACCCCTTGGACGACACATCTTCTTCGGCGCCGACAAGGTCTGCTGGCCCGTGGACTGGCGCAGGCCGGCATGCTGGGCGGTCCCGCCCGTTCCCAAGATGGATGGCCGCGAGTTTGGCCCCTTGACGAACTCCGGCGACATGGTTTACAACCACCCGAGGTGGCTGAACAGCGGTACCATCATGGGCCCGATTAAGGAGGTTCGCGAGATGTTCCGCGCTACGCTCGACCTCATCAACGAGGTGTACGACCCGGAATACGAGTTTAGGGAAAGCGACCAGTTCTACATGAGCGACGTGTGGGGACTGCAGGAGCTTGAGCGCATCGAGATGCAAAAGGAGGAGAACCCGGAAGCCGTCGTCATGCGGCCCCCAGAAGACGGCTTCGTGCCCCAGTTGGAGCCTCAGTACAGCTACAACTTCCACATTGCCATGGACTACTGGAGTCTGATGTTCCAGACGTGGGCGGGCTACACCGAGTGGGTGGATTGGCGCAAGTTTACCGGACCCCTCTACTCGGTCGAGATCAACCAGAACACGCGCAACAACTCCAACTTCGTGCCGTGGCATCTCCACATGCAGGCGGACGGCATGAAGTCGCTCAAGCGTATCTTCAACACGACCTCGGACGAGACCATGGGCGCCACCGTCAACGAGCTCATCCGCAAGTCCGAGTTCGGAGCGAACATTGTCACGAAGCAGACTTTCCCTCTGCTCCACGTCACAGGTGAGAAGGGAGCCCTCGATGCCTTCTGGCCTCGCCTGTGGTTCTTCCCTTACTCGCGATCGCTGATTCGCTCCGCCATCAACTGGTTCCACGCTGGCGAGGCATACACGCCCGAACCCATCAACAACCGGCTCTGGTACCCCGCACACCCGTACCCCAAGGAGATCAGGGAGACGGATGGCGGCGCGTACTCGGACGCCAGCAACGACAACAACACTGTCTACTGGCTGGGCTTCGAGACGCTTTGCGCGGAGCACACTCCCATCTTGTTTGGGGAGGAGTAGGTCTCTGGAACGGGGCTTACTACTTTTTTCCTTGATTTAAGCATATTTTGAGCACCTTGGGTTAAAAAGGTCTGGAAAAATTCACAGCGGATTAAACACGAATCGGGAGCATTCGACTAGCAGCAAAAGGGATTGCTGTATGGGGACGTCAGAAGTCCATAGAAAATGTCACGGCCGGCATTGCATGTTTGTCACAACATGTAGAAGATGTAATACCCACACCATGTGTTTGTACGCCTTTTTCTTCTCTCTGTATAGCGTAGCGTTGCCTGTGGTTAGCAGCAGCATGGCGACCGGGACGCAATAGACATGCCGCCAAAGAGCGGCGATTAGACAACGGTTCTGATGTTGCTTTTGTGACTGCGAGGGGCACAACTCATCGAATGCAGGGAGCTAGCTGTGATGCTGTCTTAGTGCGTGCAGAGTAGCGGTGGGGGCGGGAGTCGTGCTGTTGACTCTGAATTATCTCGATGCTCCGGAGTGTCGACCATGCAGATTCGTAAGGCTGAAGAGAATGTCATTGGAAAGTGGACGAGACATGTGGACTGTTTCTAATTCCCTGCGGTATCTTGATATTGAGCTGAGTGAAGGTAAGCAAGCCATTGCGCTGTTGAGCGTTTTGCTCAGGTAAACCTTTTTTTCCTAATCTGGTTGCCTTTGGGTGGTGAGTCTTGGCGTGATTGGTTGGGCTCTCAAGCCACCACCTCTGCGACAGTCGACAGGCTTCTGGCTTGAATTCATGCAGCAGCCTGTTGTTGTTATTATTGACATTGTTATTTCATAAGCATCGAAAGGGCATTCTGTACTTGTAGGTAGCAAGGGATTCGATGCCAAGAGTCCCAGAGCGAGAAGATGCCGAGGAGAGCCTGGCGATGATGGAGGTTTTCTTTTTCCAGGGTTCGATAAGTTTAGAAGGGAGGATCTTCCCCTACACACCATCAACTTAACCACCACCACCCACCACCCCGAGTCGGGGCAGTGTTTCTGGATGGATGAGACGAGACTTGGATGCCCAAGTGGCTTGTTGGTTGGTTTCCATCGGTGTCTTGGGAGGGAGGGAGGGTGATGGAGAGATTCAGAGTGGGTCGGCAATCGCGCAGAGTCAGACGGGAAGTCAGCTCTTCCGTCATCGAGGAGGTGGTGGTCTGCAGATGCAGATGGGCGTACTAATTGGTGAGTGAGTGTGCTGGTGGTGAGTGTTTGGCACAGTCAGACGGGATACGGGTGTGGCGGAGGCTTAGGCGGGGGAGTTGGGTTCATGTGCGATTTCTGAGCTGCGGTGGAAACGCCGTGCCGTGCATGGTGTTCTTTTTTAGGAGTTGGTTTTGAGATGTGGAATGTGTTTGCCTGATATCGGTCTCGTGTCGTCTGATGAGGACAACGTTCGGTGAGGTTCGGGTGATGTTGAGCAGAGTTTCGGCCGTTCGTCCTGTGTTGGGATGAACGGGACTTGACTGTTTGACGGGAGGTCAATGCTATCCTCGTGTTGCAATTGAGGCTCTTTCCCAGCATATTCGATGACATGTCCACCAGACTGATGTCGACGACGATTTAGTCAGATCGTAGGGCTGTCATCGGAAGCGCCGTCGAATATGACATCGCACCGTCAAGGTCGCACCTGCGCGAATGAGAGGTGATGGACCCACATTCACCCGCCTCCAGGTAAACCTCCGTCCATTCCAGTTGCTGCCTCTCCAATTTCTTCAATTCACCAAAGCTAAATGAGTGACACGGCAAACCACACCGGACCTAGGAGTCATAAGCCGACCCAATGAATCGGCCTCAAATACACCTCGACGTCAATCAATACTAAAACGGGTGACTGGTGGTATTTCGTCTTACACAGAAGTAACACCGACGCCGTACAGAGCCTGAGCCTCCCTCTACCTCCACCGCCATCATCACCTCGCCTTGCAATGCGATCCTCAGAACGACCCCCAATGTCGCCAATTAACCCTTTTCAGGGGACGGACCGTCACCTGCCTCAAGTATCAAAGGCCCTCATTCGCTCCTCGATTCTCTCCGACGGCTCAGCGAATATGCAGGCACGAGGCGCGCTCTAGGTTTCTCGGCCACTGAGAGGTCTGCAATCTCCCCGTTGCTGACTGCCTCCGAAATGATGTTGGGGTGGAGAGAGCTGCGAATGCAACCTCTCGATGGCTCTCCTCTCGGCTCTCAGCCATCGACGGTATCCTGCGGAAGAAGGGGCTGAGCACGACCGGTCAACCTTCAGTTGTTCGATTATCTGTCTCTTTGAATCGCTTTCTTGAATCATCATTGGTGAATCGGTCCCTCGGTACAGCCCCTGCCCGCACGTTGTGCGACGGGACCCCACAACCTCGACGCCATCTCACCGGAATCACTGACGATGCTCGCAAGGCAGCCAATAGACACGGCAGAGTCGCACTCATCTGCTGTGATTGCTTGTCCGGCTTACTTGCCCAGAGCAAGGGTTTCACATCGCTAGCAGCAAACATTCCCTATTTTTTCCTCCTCGGCGCCAGCTTCTCAGCCTCGTTCTTGGCTTGGCTGACCACCACGAATACCACCACGCGCCCCCACACCCAACGCGCTCTTGCTCGCTGCCTCCCTCAGTAGAACATTGCCATTCTCCAATGACACTGGCGAAGCGTCTGCCTTCCCATAGGGCAGCCTCGCGAACCATGATGCTTTCCGCGAAGGTGACTCTATGCCGCCCCCATGCTTGCCTATCTGGGTACCTGGCAGGGCCGCCTCATTGAACACCCCTGCATTATAAAGAAGGGACCAGCCGCAGGCCAGGGGAAAGTGAAGATCGTCAACATCCATAAACAAGCAGGCCCATTCCTAACTCCATTGGTCTTCTCCAAACCTTGAATCAACATCTTCGACTTGACATCTCGTCTTCGCACCGCCGTCGAGTCGACTCTCTACCTAAGTCTCCCTAGATCCTAGATCCTACACGCCGTACAGAACCTTGCCGATCCACCTCGGGTCAAGTCATCTTCAGCATGGCCGCTCCAACTGCCGCCAACATGATGAACTACTCTCCAAAGAGATTGATCGTATGCTGCGACGGCACATGGATGAATTCGTAAGTCCGATAACTCACAACAGGCCGCTTTGGACAGCGTGACTAACAGAGACCAGGGAGACCGGATACACCAAGGGAACTCTCTTGGAGCCCAGAGGCAAACTCCAGATTCCGTCAAACGTGACCCGCATCTCGAGATGTTTTCGCCGAAAGTGCAGCGATGGTCGAGTGCAGGTCATTGAGTACGAGTCCGGCGTCGGCACGGGCTCCAACACCCTCGACGCCCTCACCGGCGGCGCCTTCGGCCTCGGCCTGTCCGAACGGGTCCGCCAGGTCTACAACTTCCTCTGCGCCAACTACTGCGACGGCGACGAGATAATACTCATCGGCTTCTCGCGCGGCGCGTACACCGTCCGTTCCGTGGCTGGCATGATCGCCGACCTGGGTCTCCTGACTCGTGAGGGCGTGGAGCACTTCTATCCCATCTTCAAGGACATGGAGAACTGGATGAACGACCGTTACCGCGACGAATTTCCTAGTATGCCGTTCGACAACAAGCCCAAGGGAGAGGACGCTGCTGAAAAGTACAGGGCGAGGCTGGAAGAGGTGAGTTATTCGGTGTAGTTTGACTCATGTTGCGGACGCTGACATTCGTAGCGCGGCATGACCCGTGTTCGCCAGGAAGATGGAAAGGGAGATCTGATCAAGGTCAAGGCTGTTGGTGAGTACCCCTGAGGACGTCGCAACGATCGATAGCTGACCCAAAACAGCCGTCTGGGACACCGTCGGTAGCCTTGGTATCCCCCAGATTGCCTGGCTGAACAAGCTCGGTATTTACGCATCCAACAAGGAGTACAGATTCTGGGATACCAGCCTGTCAGACCGCATCGAGCATGCCTTCCAAGCTCTTGCACTCGATGAGACTCGATACTCCTTCCAACCCGCTGTATGGCAACGTTTGGAAGCAAACAGATCCACGGATCTCCGACAAGTTTGGTTCCCTGGAAACCACGGCAACTGTGGCGGTGGTTGGAATGATCAAGGCATGGCCAACATTACTCTCGCATGTACGTTCAAGCCTTATACGTCTCACATGGGTAAACGCTAATCTAGTCAGGGATGATGGACCAACTCGCGTCAATCGGAGTCGAGTTTAACCCACGCGCACTCGAACGCTGCGTGAGTCAATCAAATTCCTTCTACCAGGCGCAGCAGAAGAAGAACAAGAAGATGAAGTGGGCTACCGAACCAATCTTCACCCAGAACCACCCGCTTCGGCCTTGGGGTCTAGGTGCCATCCAGAAGACGTCTAGCCTCGTATACTCCTTGGCCGGAAAGATCACTCGTTCTCCTGGTCTGTACAAGGGGGTCAACCCCAAGACGGAGGCCAGAGATGGCCCTTTCCTCAAAGATACCAACGAACGTATTCACTCGTCAGTCCGTGTCCGTCTGGCTTGCCAGGGTCTCGGCCTGAACGACAAGGCAACATGGGAAAACCCAGCCCTCAAGAAACATTGGGAGCTCGTCCGCACCATGACTAAGTACCCCGATCCTGTCCCGCACCACCCTCACTGGGAGCCCGAAGACGACAACGCCATGTTCGTGGAGCATCCGAGCAACTCTGAGACCGGCCGCTGGGTTTGGAAGTACTGCGGTACTCACAAGCACACTCCAGAATGCAAGATCATGGTTGAAGAACCGCTTGGACCGTACGAACGACATTTGCTAAAGCTGACTGGTGGTAACCCGTGCGTGTACCACTGGGCTCATGAGAACGCTTCGTGAGGGTATGTGGTAGATGTGTTTTAGAAAGTTTGTGTGTTTCGGCAGCATGGAGCGTTCAGATACCAGTTCATCCTAATTAGCATCGTTTGGAGTTTAGTATGGCATTGGTTTGAAGGAGTTACTGCATAGACTTAGAGAATAGATTTCAACTCGGCAACGTCAAATCTGGCCTGTTCCCAGGGTGTGGTGCAGAAACGTGGCTTGTTTGCAATTTTGATGCATCTGGCTATATAAACAGACTTTTGCTCTCAGTATGAAAGACTCCTGATAACCAATCTTTGCCTTCGGTCTTTTGGCAACTAGTCTGTCTCACTCTCATTGAGTTCACCTGATGGTTCTAAGCAGTCGATGATCATACCTTTCTGGGCTGTCACAATGGGTTTGGTTGGTCATAAGATTCGTAGCATCTTCGTGTGACTTAGACGATGCATCTTTGTTGTCTAGCTCTATTTTTTGGTTATTATTGTGGGAAGTGTCGCGTATTCGTGCTTTGATGAGCCTTGGACATGACCCGTCCCCGTCGCCGGCTCCATCGCTGATGGTTGAAGTTGTGCCTAGATATGACAAGACCCATCCATTACAGAGAGCACCCGATGAACGGAGAAGAGATGTGGTAAGTTGACCTTTCCCGAGCTGACGTCCCTGGCTCGAACGAAATTGATTGCGCGGAAAAACCTTGATGTTAAAGATTTGCCGTCTGAGATACAAGTCTGACTGCTTTTCGAATCTCATCGTAAGCAGACGTAGTCATGGGTGGAGTATCTCAGGCGGACGAAGGAGTGTTTATTCATGTCAGGCCCGGTGCCGGGTACCCGGTTGGTGTTGATGGTGGATTCTCGTGCATTCTGTGAGTAATCCAGGGGCTGTGAGGCGTAGATTAAGTTGATGAATGGGATGGTTGTTCCTGTGCCGCGTTCAAAATACTTCGAGCCACCACCCGGGGATTCTGTGGAGCGGTTGCTCCATCCAAGGGGTCCAACTGGTTTCCAGGGTTTTGTACGGTTGCCTGGACAGAAAGCTTGTCGTGGTTCCTGCAGGAACCCGTTGATACTGCTGAGCTTAAATTGAGTTCAAGGGGTCCCACCGGGAGAGTTTGTCTGAAGTATTCCCGGCATTCGAGAGGATTCTTTTTTGCTCGAGAGACGAGTAGTTTGTTGTGCTTGTACCATAATCCCGTGGTCGATGTTCTTCTCTAAGTCGTTGAGGATTTTGAGATGCTCGGCTTCCAGAATGAGTAGTTAGGACAAGTTCTAGCAGTTGCCATCATGATTTCGAGACGCTAGATGTGAGCTCGTTCGTTCTACGCATCCATTCTCCCCGGGTTCCTCTCGACTAAAGTTCAGTTTTTTCCGCCAACAATACCGATGCCCATACATACGCCATCGCTTCTGACGATAGGCTCCAATGCGCACAAGACAAGACCCGGACGACCTAGAGACTTCCAGCAGCTGAGTTTGCTATCTCCGACCTTCCAGAAGATGCCAGTGCTTGCTCGTCTGGTGCAAAATATGCAATATCGCGAGATCCGTCTCACACGGGTTCTCACTCAAAGAGTATATAAAGAGCTCCCTTTCCCCCCGGGAATCCTTCTTCTTTTTCTCTTCACTCTTCACTCTTCGCCCTTCCCTCCCATCCAAAGCCTCCTCAGGCACTCGACTTCGAGGTAAGTTTCCCCCCCTTTTCCTTTGTTATGATCTTCTCCCCTATCTGATTCTCATCTACGACCACCATCGCTCCCCCTCACCTCCTCACCTCCTCACCTCTCCTCTCCTTTCCTTTGTCATGATCTTCTTCACATATTTCCTATCTTATTCTCATCTACGGCCACCATCGCTCCCCCTCATCTCCTCCACCTCCTCCCCTCTCCCGGACCTCGACTCGGCCGCCCTCGCCACCACCTCGACGCTCTCGCCCTCTCCCCGCCGTCCCCGCCGTCCCCGCCGCTCTCACCGTCTGCCGGTCCTCACCGGTCTCGCCCTCTCCTCGCCGTCCCCGCCGTCCCCGCCGTCCCCGCCGTCCCCGCCCTCTCTTCGCCGTCCTCGGCTCCTCAACGCCCAGCAGGGCATTCACATACAAGGTAAGTGCACTCCTTCCCCTCTACCCTTCCCTCCTCTCTACTCCGATACCTTCTCCTCCTCCAAACTGGTCCGTCACACCCAGTTTTCCGCGATGGCCCCGGTGAGCCTTATCACTACTTCTCGGGCAACGAAGCCGGACTCCTAACCTCCACGCGGTGTTGCCTGGTTACTTCCTCTCCAAGTGGACAGGATGCTAAGTCCAAGTGGGCTGGAGACGCACTTCTTCTTCTTCCTTTTTTTTTTTATCTTGGTTGACAAGTGTCTTTCGAGGTCGTGTTTCTAGTTTTTATTGCTTTGTGTTCTCATTGTTGTATATTCCTGTTCCTGTCTTGTAAGTATCACTCCTATGCCGTCAAGTGATGACAGCATCTTGCAGTTCACCTTCTTCCTTTGGTGTTAGTTGACATCCTGTGCTTCATCATTGTTGGTCATTGACAAGTGTTTTTGATCAATTATGTTTCCATTCTTGCATGTTTCGACGTTGTACATATCACACCACTCACACAGTCAAGCGACGTTGACATTTTCTTTCTCATTTCCCTTGATATTAGTTGACACTTCACATTCAAGCTTGTTGGTCTTTGACAAGTGTTCTTGACCAATCACATTTCATGTTTTCATTTCTGCATATTTCTACGTTTTGTTTGAAGTCCAAACGAATCTGAAACGAAGGTATTTTCGGCCTTTGACCTGGTTGATAAGTCTTCTTCCGAGATCATGACGTCAAGTGACTTGGAGCACTCTTCTGCTGTTCATCTTGTCCTCGGCCTGTTTTGCTGTTGGTCATCACATACGTTCCTTACCAGATTCATCATTCTACCTTGCTATTAATGTGTGACTCTCACACCCCTTACCTTCCATATTTTGAATTCAACATTTCATGACCCGTTCCATGCTGTGGTGTTAGTTGATATCTGCGAGCTCACGATAGTCACCCGCAATTATTCCACCCTACTATCTCGCTCACATCAACTTGCCGTTGAACTTGTTATTTCCCCTCACACCTACCTGAGCCCTGATCCTGCCTTTTAATGCCAGTGTTATGACCTTACATCATTGCCCCCTTTGCCCATTGTCATATCAAATCACCTCAAGTTCATCCGTGTCACTCTTCAACTCTCCTTCGTCCCTCCATGATTTGCCGCATCTTCCGATTAGTGCCCAATCACTTTCCCCCGCGAGAAGTCTCATAGCTATCGTGCAAGATTTCTTCCCTCCCCAAGTTATCGCCCATCTTCCAACCCCCCATGCCCCTCGTGAGAAGTCTTTGAGGTGAGATCCCTGATTCCTCCCTGCATCCCCCTCCCAACCTCACTCTAGATGCGTTCTTGCCTCACATATCACCACCAGGTCGGCCATCCTCCCTATTCTCTGACATCGCTGGCCCCCCAAACAAGCCAAACCCCCTCACCCGTCCTACCCTCCCCTTCCTCGGAACCTTGGAAGGGTCACTTGCGTAGGACAAAGGTCAAGTAAGTCTACTTACACAGGGGAGATAACTAGCGAGATAATCTGAGTAGAGAGGTAAAAATCGTGAAAGCGATTCGCGTGTGATAACAATCACGTAGAGATGTCTTTGGTTCAGTAATCGATAGTTAAGATCCCATCTCCATGAGTCGAAGTCGTTGAAGTGGTCATGGCTATTGTGAAATGTTGTGAGTCAAAGAGGGGGAGGAAAATCTCAGTTTTATAGCCCAAAACAGTCGCGGTGCGGCCCATGTGCCAAGGTCCGCGCACCGCCACTTCGTAGTCCGAGGCAACCCGCCGCAAGCACCAGTTCGCTCACCGAGGGGGATTCAGGCTCTGAGGGGACGGAACTGCAAGTGCACGCCACTGTCGCGAAGGGCATCAGAACCTAGCGGCACGACGGGGCACTGGGACGAGGACCTCACACGGGCACATCACTGGCACAAGGCATGAAGGCAGTGGAGTGAGGAGCAGTACACATGGAGGGAACTCAACAATCAGGCTAGACACAAGGGCTTCACATTATATCATGACAACACCCAAGGCATTCACAGCTTGAAGAACGAGTCACATCTCCAAAGTAGTCTCGGGACCTATCTATCTATCTAGTGACTCAGAGGTCATGAGTTGGTGTGATGAGTGAGTAGTGTTGATGGCGAGGAAAGCAGCCTAATCCGAGGATCAGGCCAAATACATATACTACCTATTTCACTGCATTTTTAACCTCTGCAAAGTGCACATTTGGCCTGGCGGAAAGGTTCGCAAAGCGCCAAATGAGGCCGCCGCCGCCGCCCTGGGTTTGCCTACCCGGCTGCCTGCATGCGATAGCGCTGCGCTGCGCCTCGCAAGGCAGCCCGCTGTAGCAGCCACCCACCTTCCTCGACCGCCTCACTTTGGCGCGGGAAGCTGCAGCTCCAAAGTGCCGTGCAGCAGTAGTCGGGTTTTTTGAGCCTCAAGCGACGGCTTGATTCGTGAAGGTCTGTTTCTTTTTTCCACTTTGCCGGCATGTAGTCTATGGTGGTGGGAAGTCGAGGCCGTCACCGAAGCGGGGCCCGGGCGGTGCGGCCCAGGCGACCCGGGCGGGTTCCGCGGGATCGATGATCCGAGGCAGCCACCCGTCCTACCGTGTCAAACGACATCAGGCACTGTGCGCAGCCATATTCTGACCGCGTACTATGAACGAAAGCCATCTCAGCTCATCACAATGGCCTCCCTCGCAACCGCCCTCGAGGCGCTATCGGCACACTCCCCGGCTCAGTGGTGCCAGATATTCTTCGGCCTGTCATCCGCCGCCGTACTGGCGATCCAGGCAATTCCCAAGGCTGCTCAGCATGCCATCCTCGACTACGGTGCTCGCTCGCCCGCCGGGGCCGACGGCGAGATGAAGGGAGGCGGACGCAAGGCTGCGAACCGGTTCGACGAGTTTGTCAAAGCGGTCGCCTCCGTGGGACAGATCCCGCACGCCTGGTTCATGCACTTCTACGTGGCATCGATCGTCGGCTCGGCGTTCTGGGCGTTCGAGTACGTCCGAGACGGACCGGCTTACAGATTCATCGCGTCTCGGCAGGCGCAGTCGGGAGGCCCTGCGATGAGCCTCGAGCAGACGGTGCTCGTATGGACACTCATGCTGCTCCAAGGATCGAGGAGGCTCTATGAGTGCCTTTTCGTCATGAAGCCGGGGTCTTCCAGAATGTGGTTTGTTCATTGGCTGCTTGGCCTAGGGTTCTACATCTGTATGAGTGTATCGGTTTGGGTTGATGGATCAGGCACGTCTTTCCATCCGATACTTTTCCAGCTCCTACTGACTTCCTCAGCTTCCCTCATATCAACATCCGGACCCAAATTTGGCAGCCTCCTGACGCCTACCTCAGTCATTGGAATCGCCATGTACCTCTATGGCTGGACGAACCAGCATTGGTGCCACAAGCACTTGGCCGGCCTGAAGAAGTATTCGCTCCCAGATCAAGGCCTATTTCGTTACCTTGTCTGCCCCCATTACACCTGCGAGTGCGTGCTGTACCTCGGTCTTGCCATACTAGCCGCACCAAGAGGGCAATGGATCAACCGCACGATTCTGTGCGCTTTCTGGTTCATCGTCGCAAATCTAGGCACCACCGCCGACGGAACGAAACAGTGGTACGCGCAAAAGTTCGGTGCTGAGAAGGTAGCTGGGAGATGGAGAATGATCCCATTCATCTTCTAGACTCACTCGAGCCAGTATCACTTCTTTCCGAACAAGCCAAACTTGGCTCCGAGTTTCGATACTTGCATTACATCGCGGTACGTGAGGCTCGTTCTGGTCGCACGGACGTTTCGGCCGTCGACGAAAGCGTCCTTGGATCGCAAAAGGTCCCAATTCACGATGGTCTCGGAGGACAACTCGACATCCTCATCGGTATCGGCAATGCCGTGAAGGTAATCGGTGTAGAGGCTGTCGGTGGTGATGAGAAGGCTTCTGGGTTCTTGCAGAATGCGCCATACAGGCTCCGGATCCAGCGCTCCGCCCTCTTTGGTTTGATAGAGATTCAGACACAAGCTCGCTCCCAAGCTGACAGTGCACACGACTGGATGATAGGCAGCCCCGTCCTGTAATCACTATGAGACTTGTGCCCCTTCACGAAAGCACTTACCATGTACTTAACTTATGCGGCATAATTCCGACCCCGGGAGGATATTCGTTTATGAGCACGTGATTCGGCCGTTGGTGAGGACTTTCGGCGAATAGGTGAGACGAATCAGCACCGGCAGTTCGAGGCAAGGAAAGAATTCGCGAGATCACAGGCTCTTGCAGCCACTGTGGCAAAGGGGAATCGATCAGCTTGTTCTGGACAAGATCGGACGGCCATGTTTGGAGACGTCGATGAGTCAGTTGCTTCCAGCGGGGTTTCGGCGCATCAGCTATCTGTTGGGCAAGCAGTTAGCAGTGAAGTAAAAGAGAGGTTTCCGAAGGAGGGGCGGGATGGGCGTGCTACTTAGCACCACTCATCGAGCGCTTCTCGGATTCCGCTATCGCCGCCATCGCTTTGTAACAGGAATTCAGCAACGATAACAGCTGCGATACCCGTGAGGGGTACTAAGTAGATGCGACCACGCTTCTCCGGAGGTATCCGTACCTTTTGCAAAATAGCTTGCTCTTCTTCCTCGGATATGAAGTCTGCGATGTAGAACGCCGAGGATGGAAGTTGTGTGATCCTGGCGTCGTCCAGGGAGGCGGGTAGCTTCGCAGCTCCGAAAGTCATTTTTCCGGACTTTGCCAACGGCACTTTGCTCGACGATTGGTACGCGGTCGGTACTGTAATGATTTGGTGCTTCGCGCAACCTTATGTAGCGCGATGTCGAGTAAGGTGGGTGGTGAAGTCGGGAAGGCCAGGCACCATGAAGTTTGTCGGTGGGAGGGGCAGGGTCGAGGATGTAAGCTACAAGCTCTAGAGGGTGGGTAGGCAAACAGCGGCAGCCAAGCGTCAAACGGTCCAACGATTCTGTGATAAGCTGGGAGGATCCAGGATGAGGATGAGAAAAGTTGGGTGGAGAAGCAAGGACGGGAGCTGAAGGCAGAATGTGAAAGTGCAGGGAGGCGAGATGAGGACGTGGCATGGAATGCGTCAAGCGGAAGCCGATGGTCGCGAAGGTTTGAGCGCGTGAGCTCACCACCTCACCTCACCTCACTCGATTCGAGAAGTCGACTAGGTAAAAGGAGGCGAGAACGGACGCTGGTGACTGCAGGCACTAGGCCGAAGCGGGAGGCGGCAGGAGGATTAGTCACAAAGGTAAACACGGTCACGGGCAGGTGGGGCTGACGGTAAAGGTGGCCGTTCCCAGTTCCCAGAGCTCCGTTTTCGATGCGGTTCGTGATTCGTTCTTTCAATTCGAGATGCGACGACGGGGAACGCTGGCGGAGGGGGAAAAGAGGAGGAAGAGGAGCCTGCTGCGACTCTGGAGGAGGTTGGGATTGGCCAGGGTGGATCCACCTCAGATAAATCGAATGTACGGTACAGAGTACGTATCTTTTGCGTTGCAGCACCGGAGGTACGTACCCGGCCTGGAGGCTTGCAGGCTTGGGGGTCGGGTGTTGTGTGTGTTTTCCAAACCAAGAAAATCGAATTTGCAGGGCAGGCCGCGACAACAGGACAACAGCCGGGCGAAAGTCTTGCTCGAATGGTCGGGCCTTGTTTTGAATTGAATCCAAGGGAAATTTCGCGGGCTGACGTGCCAGGGTCAGGTGGCCTGCCGCGTCTTGCTAAGGCACGAAAACTGCAGCAAACGAGGAGTTTTAGTACCTCGTGCATCTGCAGTCAGAGACGAAAGGCAGGCAGAGGCAGGCCAGGCAGAGAGAGGCAGGCTCGAGGCAAGCACACGGCACGCTATCTCTCATCATCATATCTTTCTGAAGCAAGGTGGTGCCGGGGCTTCTCCAAGGTTGTGTCTTGTTCGAATTACTAGTGCGGTTTTGAAGGTACTTCAAGATTGACCAAAAGATGGCTGTGAATAAAAGTATCCCCCAGCCGAGTATGTGCCTAGTTTCGTCCTTGAAGTGCCCACCTCAGGCTGCCACTGCCACAGCCTCTGCATCTGCGTCTGCCAGTGCCACTCCATTGCACTACCTTACCTTACCGGGCGCGTTCTCAATCTTTCTCCTGCCTGACTGCTGCTCCTCCTCCTGCTACCGCTGCTGCTGCTGCTGGCCGCCCGTATTCCAAGCGTCCCCCGTCGGGTCCAATCAAAGTGGTGGCGATCAGACTTTTTGACTCTGAAGACAGTCGCGGCCCCATTTCCACCTTCAGCCAAACCGAACCAAGAGTCAAGCGTAACGAACTCAGCCTTTCTAGCATTTCCACCTTCGCCCGCGTCCCGTCGAACCACACGCATCATTATTCCGGCCAGGCGCTCCCTTTGTTTTTTTTTTCCTTTATCGTCTTCGAGATCCGGTTTTACTGCTCCTCCGACACCGACACCGTCACCGTCGTCCTCGCCTACCGCGCCCCCGTGACTGACCTGGCCACTTTCTCTTAGGGGGGGGACTGCTCTACCGACCGACGGGAGTAATCGTCCACTGACCGCGATTCAAATCAATCACCCAATTCAACCACGACCTCCTTCTTCTCACTCGTGGCCGACCTTTGGCCAGGATGGTGCTGGCCAGTTTTTCGACCTTCAGATAAATGATATGGATGCGCAGAATGCTGCCGGGTCCGACAAGCCGAAGCCCGTCGCTGCTGCGGAGAAGCGACCGGGCAATCACCAGCCTGACGAGTCCAAGGAGTCCACCAACAAACCGCCAAAGACTGCAGAAGAGTCCATCAAAGTACCACCAAACCTGCCAAAGGACATCAAGCCCAGCGTAACCGTCTCTCGTGCGCCGCCTGCCGCCGATGACGCTCCCGCCGAGAGAGACTCGGATGCCGAAACCATCGTCTTGCCGGGGAAGGACGGTCACTCGCCTTCCAAGGCTAGAAAGGTAAAGCACGAGGATCGCAGCGATGGAGAGATCCCAGTCCCCCGCAAGAACCGTGATACCAGTGCCCCCGGAGACGGAGACAAGGACAAGTCCGCCAAACCTCCTCGCCTGCTGTCCGAAGGAGCTTCCTCGTTGGGAATGAAAAAGAAACGCCTTCACGATCAATCCGTTCGAACCAAGGATGGCTCCAGCGGCCTGAGTTCGGCCCCTGCATCTCCCCCGAGACGTCGAATCGGTGGACACTCCGATTCCGACACGGGCGCTGACCGTAGGAAATCTCCCAAGTTGCCCATCAAAGACCGAGCCAAATCCACCGACCGGACAATTCCCCACAAACGCAAAGCTCCCAAGGCAGACTCGGAGGACGAGGCCGAGAACCGAAAGGCTCGACGACAACGCATTTCAGATACTGGCATCGAAGTTCGACCGAATCGTGCTCCCAAGGAACACAAGCCGTCTTCGTCCAGGAGAGAAAACGAGGGCCACTCAGGATCTCGTACCAGATCCGTATCTCCCCACCACCCACGTGCCCACCGACGGAGCATTTCGACGCAACTTCCTGCAAACTCGTCTAATGGTCTGAGCCACAAGAAGAAGCGATTGCCTCCCCCGCTCCAGTCGACCGACTATCACTCGGATGAATCTTCTGCGAGCGGCAGCCCCCATCCCCGAAGCTCCAAGCTCCGAAATCTTTCGACACCCGCCACCGCCGAGTCAAACATGTCACCTGCTAAGATCGCGCCACACAAGAAACATCTCGATGCTCACGGTCAAACTTTCCTCGCGAGGGCCTGCGCCCGGGGCGAATACGATATCGCGAAGCAGCGACTCGGTGAGCGGCCTGAAGACCTCAACGTCGCCGACTACGCAGGAAACACGCCACTCCAGATCGCTGCAATTAATGGTTACGAAGATATCGTTAAGCTTCTCATCGACGCCGGCTGCAACCTGGACTGTGTGAATTATGACAAGGACACACCATTGCTGGACGCCGTCGATAACGGTCACTTGGGCGTCGTGAAGCTGTTGCTGAATGCAGGTGTGAACCCGCGGAAAGCTAATGTGAGCGGCGAGGAGCCCCTTGACCGTATTAGCGATGACCTGGAGAACGCCGCGGAGTTTCGTGCCGCACTCACCGAAGCAAAATCTCGGCAAGGCGAGCGGCGACGCACTTCGGAAGACCACCACTCTGTCGACCACCAAGACGGCCGTTCCTCGCTTGGACCGGACAGTCCGCGACGGTCGCCCGCGCCTTCATCCGCCAATGCAAGCGGTCGCCGAGCCGGAACTGTACGGGCTACGAAGACAAGCAACTACCTACTGTACATGTCCCTGGACGACAAGACCCTCCGGCAGGCTGCTGCAAGAGGCGATGAGGAAACGGTCACAAGGATTTTGCAGGTCAAAGATGGCTGCGACGATTCCGAAGCAATGGTTGCCGCAGCTCGAGGTGGACATGAAGTGGTCATCCAGCTGCTTTTGGCCCTGGGTGGCGCAAACCCAGATCCTGCGCCAGTTCCGAGTATGCCACCAGAGTTTGCGACACCTATGCTAGCCGCGATAGGCCAGGAGAATATCAAGGTGGTTAGGTTGCTCTTGGACCAGACAAACTTTGACCCGACTCGTCGGTTCAAAGGAGAGACATACCACGAAATCGCGCGACGTCGACAAGGAACGAACTGGAAAGATGAGGAACACATGCTCAAGGAAGCTTACGACGCGTACAGAAAGTCGCATCGTGACATATCCAAGACCAAGTCTCCGAACAGGCGCGAACGTGAAAGGGAACGTGAGCGAGAACGCGACCGCGACCAAGAACGAGAGGCCAAGCGACAGGGTCGTCATGAACTCAAAGAAGAAGCTCGGGCGCACAAACGAAACCTATCTAGCCCCTCTCGCGACCCTGAGAACCGGAAAAAGTCTGCCAGTCGAAATATCACCAGTCCAAAGGAAAAACGAAGGTCTGACTCTTTCCACGATGAAACTTCACCGAAGCGCGGCCCTGGTCGACCTAGGAAAGAGGACAGAGTACCTACCATTGCAGTGTCCGATCGAGAAGCGTCACCTGCACCATCACAGAAACAATCCGTTAAGGCTGCGAAGCGAGCCGAATCCGACGTTGCCATGTCATCTGAAGGGGAAGCTGTCAAACCGCGGAGGAAGTTGATCTCTAAGGGCGAACTTCGCGGCGAGAGGGAGAAGAACCGACGTGCTAGCATGGTGTCAACCACGTCTTCTCTCAAGGATCCATCGAGTCCACGTGACCCGAAGCACGATGATCATCCCGAGAAACCGAAAGGCGAGCCCTTGTCTGAGAAGTACCATGATCGGACGAAGGCCCTCAAGAGGGACGAATCCAGAGATCGTCTGTCGGTTTCGGGTGACCACTCGTCCAAGAGGCATCGTTCAAGCGTCACTCCGCCTCACTCGAGCACTGGAGAAAAGGAAGATGGCGAGGTTCCCACCAAGAGGAGGCGACTTGACGTTGACGGCAAGGAGCGACGGCCCAAGTCGACAGCATCGCCAGATGACCCGCACCGACTACCACGAGATGGACCACCACGGTCCAAGTCGAACCTCAGGGATCATGACGACAGCGAGCGCAGACCTACGAAAGCCAAACCAGATTCCGACGGTCATAGGAGGGAATCCGGCAAGTCGAGCAACAGTGACAAGTCAAGCATTCACGTCAAGTCAGAAGATGTCGATATCGAAATGCCGGATGCTTCTGATGTCAAGGACGTGGAGGATGAAATCCGTGTTAAAAAGGAGCGAGATGACGACAAGCAACGACGGCTGGAGGAGAAGGAGAGGCGCAAAGAGGAGAGGCGACAGGAGGAGCGAAAGCGACGTGAAGCTGAGGCTGAAGAGAATCGCAAGAAGGAGGAAGAACGGCGACAACGCGAGGCGGATGAGAAGAAGCGGGAGGCTGAGCAGAAGAAACGTGAAGCTGAGCAAAAAGAGCGCGAGGCCGAGGAGAAGCGGCTGAGAGAGGAGGAGGAGGCCAAACAGCGTGAAGAAGAGCGCAAACGAAAGGCTGAGCTCGAGAAGAAGCGTCAAGAAGAGGAAGAGCGGCAACGTCGTGAGGCCGAGGAGAAGAAGCGCCGCGAGGAAGAAGAGAAACGCCTTAGGGAGGCGGAGGAAAAGAAACGCCGCGAAGAAGAAGAACGCAAGAGGAAAGAGGAGGAAGCCCGAAAGCAACGCGAGGAGGAGGAAAGGCTGCGCAAGGAACAGCTCGAGCGTGAAGCCGCAGAGGAAGCCCGTCGCCTGAAGGAAGAGGAGGAGCGCAAAGAACGCGAGCGCAAGGAGCGTCTGCATCGCGAGGAGATGGAACGCAAGCGTGCCGCGAAAGAGGCTGAACAGCGCCGAATCCAACAGGAACAAGAGCGCTTACGTCTCGCAAAACTCCCCCCTCTCCTGCGTTGGCTCGACGGCTGTCCGAATCCGAAGAGCCCTGAGCTGGCGGCCAAATTCAAGCATATGCAAGGTGTGCGGTACGACACCATTCGTCCTCAGGCTTCCGGTACACCTGACGGCAGGGAGCAGTGGATTCTCAACACTCACGCTGCTTTGCTTCTCGGCGAAAAGGATCTCACCTTGTCAAGATGTGGGTGTCTTTGATTCTCCCTGAACTCATTAACATGCTAATGGACACACAGATACCGCCTGGGAGCATGTTCCTGTCTCTGACCTCGCCAAAAAGGTCCTCTGGAGACTCGAAGCGGACCGCTACGCATTGATCACCGAGACTCTCTACGAACTCGGTGCAGGTCTGCCAGCCTACTATGGCGAGGGCCAGGATCCTTTCAAAATGAACTACCGCCTGAAGGAAAAGCTTCGTGGGGAAGCGCGAGAGAAGTTCTTGAAGCTGGACATGTTCTTTGTGAAGGTAAGTCATATGCCTGTGGTGAAATACGCCAATAGCTGACCACATCAGGTATCGGACTTCATGTTCATCACCCCGAGCATTCCTCACCTGCGGAACCTCAAGATGAGCGTCGAATACCGTGAACTTCCAGAGAATGAGGGCCAACTTTACGGATGGAAAGTTCCCGAAAAATGGCGACAAGACCCCGACGCGGACCGATTTTATGGGTTTGCGCCGAGAAACAAGTACTACATCAACGGCGTTATGGTCGAGGAACAGAAACCCGGACTGTCTGCTACGAGCAGCACACCATTTCCTGAGAAGCGGGTTCCTCGAAAGGGCCTCCAGCAAATTTTCCCTGGCGATCCCGACTACCCTCGCCTGTGCAAAGAGCAAGGGCTCGAGCACCTCTTGAATGGCACCAAAAGCCCGGTGCTACCCAACGGCGGACATCTTTCGCCGAGGAGCCAGTCCAATGCTACGGAGACATCGGCCGAGCCCGTAAATGGCAATCATAACACTGCTCCCTTGCCCGCGCTCGTGCCCGCGACCGAGGCAAGACCTCTTCCAAACGGCGTTAACGGCATCGCGACTTCGGGATCCAGCTAGTAGCTGGTTCCTGCTTACGAATTAGAGTAACGGGCCACACTATTTAATAAACAAATGCAACATGCCCTGCAGCAACCCCCCCGGTGACGATTGAACCGTCCAAACTGCCGAAAGGAACCCTAGCCGGTACGGCAGTTCAAGGGGGACGCCGGGCTTCCTCCTCTTCGTGTCACGGACAACAAAATAAACGAGCATATGCCCTCGGCTACGATGAGCCGAGGTGATGTTGAAATATGATGGAATCGGTCCAGTCTGCCCCCGAGCAGACTGTTTACGAACGCTACCTTCCAGTTGCTTTTGGATGACCAAGTACGGATACACCACTGCGACAAGCCTTCCTCCTACCAGTGTTATAAATATCCCAGAATCAGACTCGCAGTGGGCAGTCGGTGATTCGAAGCTTGGGGAGTATGAAGGATTTTCATTCTATTTTGAGGGAGGTGGGTGGGGTTTAAGATAATGAAAATAAAACTGTTCAAAATGACGAGATGTCTCTCATACCTGCTCACATTTTGATGTCCTATTTTGAGAGTGAGTGAATGTGAACAAGTGGTTCAAAAAAATTGTGTAAGTCAAGGAAGGTTTTTTCGAGTGAAATGATTCGTCCAAAAGGGCTCTGACATCACCTGGGCCAAGGTCAAAACCGGACGGCAAAACCCGCCCGGGCTGCCGCAGACACCCCCCGCCAAAATTTTAAACACCGCCCTCGTAAACCGACCGCCCGCCCTCCTCCCCGCCATTTGCCCACGAAAGCCCACAACCACAACAGGCCGAACTGCCCTTCCCACGATCATCGACCGAAACCCCCCGGCCAGTCGAGAAGCTGCATTTGCGACGACCGCATTACGATACCAACGAAAGAAGGTTGATCGAGTTTTCCGTTTCGAGCTTCCCACGCGCCATCTTCGTCTTTGGGACGGCGATCAGCTCTTCGGCAGAAAACACACACCAAGCGAGTAACCTGGGAATACCGCAATCATGGCGACGACGGTGGACAAGGTATGCGCGGGCATCCCGACTCCCGCTCCCTCAAATGCATGGGAGTCTTTCAAACGTGCGAGATGGCTAATATGTGTGACCTGAATAGATCAAGGATATCGAGGCCGAAGTACGTGCAACCCCTCCTCCCCGGCCGCCCAGTCCCTCAGCGATTCCCGAGCCCTAAACGCCGCGTCGACGCAACGAACACGCTACCTGCCGCGAAATCGTCGACACGGCGGCATCAACGATGCGATGGGACTCGCGATGGGCGGGGGGCGCATTCTCGCTATGCACAATTGGAACAGCCAGGACTGACAACTACTCCTCTCTACCTGCAGATGGCCAAGACCCAAAAGAACAAAGCCACATCGTTCCACTTGGGACAACTGAAGGCGAAGCTCGCCAAGCTCAAGCGTGAGCTGCTGACGCCTTCGGGCGGAGGCGGCGGCGGCGGCGCCGGTTTCGACGTTGCGCGTACGGGTGTTGCCAGTGTTGGCTTCATCGGCTTTCCCTCCGTCGGAAAGAGTACGCTGATGAGCAAGCTGACGGGTCAGCACTCTGAGGCGGCCGCGTATGAGTTCACGACTCTCACGTCCGTCCCGGGTCAGGTTGTCTACAACGGTATGTTTTCTTCAGGCACCCGAATGGATGAGGACTGCTTGCGGCATCCGTACAGGGGGCGAGAAGCTGATGCGCATTGCAGGTGCCCCTTTGCAAATCATCGATTTGCCTGGTATTATCGAAGGAGCCAAGGACGGTCGCGGACGTGGTCGCCAGGTCATCGCCGTCGCGAAGACGTGCCATCTCATCTTCATCGTGCTGGACGTCAACAAGCCCCTGACGGACAAGCGCGTCATCGAGTCCGAACTCGAGGGTTTCGGTATCCGCATCAACAAGTCGCCCCCGAACATCACCTTCAAGAAGAAGGAAAAGGGCGGTCTCAATATCACCAGCACGGTTCCCCTGACGCACATCGACCACGACGAAATCAAGGCCGTCATGAACGAATACCGCATCAACTCTGCCGATATCGCCATCCGCTGCGACGCCACCATCGACGACCTCATCGATATCCTCGAGGCCAAGAGCCGCAGCTACATCCCCGTCATCTACGTCCTCAACAAGATCGACGCCATCAGCATCGAGGAGCTCGACCTGCTGTACCGGATCCCGAACGCCGTGCCAATCAGCTCTGAGCAGGGCTGGAATATCGACGAGCTGATGGAGGCAATGTAAGAGCTCCCTGCTGGACCCCCGTCCGGGCGATGTCCCGGAGGCGCCTTTAATGCGACAAGGATGCTCCTCAATTTCGAAAGTTGGCTAACAAACTCGTCACAGGTGGGAGAAACTGAACCTGGTCCGCGTATATACGAAACCGAAGGGTCGCTTGCCTGACTACTCTCAACCGGTTGTGCTTCGCTCGTCGAGGTGCACGGTCGAAGACTTTGTGAGTAGTGACCCATCACAGAACTCCCCACGAACAGCTTTCTTGCAAGCTGCATGGGAGGAGATGCTTGTCGTTTTACGTGGTGCTGACGTGTTGTGCAGTGTAACGCAATTCACAGGAGCATTCTTGAACAGTTCAAGACGGCCATTGTCTATGGCAAGTCTGTCAAGCATCAGCCTCAGCGTGTTGGATTGGCCCACGAGCTGGCTGACGAAGATATCGGTATGATTATGCCCCTTTGATCCCTGTCTTCGAGACAAACCGCATCCCTGAATCGGCGCGACGCTCAAGAGAGCAAACAATGCTAACGTATGATGACCTGCAGTAACAATCGTCAAGCGATGATGGATACCGCAACGATGTGTTTTGCGCACGGCGGTCGCTGTCGTCACGCCCAAGTCTTTCCGGAGACGCCGCCGGCGGTGGTGGGAAAGCCACTTGCCTCTTTCCTCCCCCAAAATCCTCGAGGACCCTGAGGTCTAATTCGCACGATATTGGCGCCCGATCCCATGGGATCGTGGACGAACTCGATTTCTTAACGAATTCGTGACGTGTACCAACACTGCGTGGGCGTACTATGTGAGAGTTGCGGCTTGAAGCTTCCGTCAAATTAGAACAAGGCTGAGTGAATGGTCTGCCGCGTAGGGGCGCGGCCGCAAGCAGTCAAGTTTCGACAGCGGCGCCAAGGACGTGTTGCGGCCAAGACCAGATGGAATGAGAAGACGGCGTTTGGCTCCAGGCAGGTTTGTCGTTCTAGCATCTTAGAATCGGAACAGAATAAAAAAGGAGGCCGGGGACCTGGCTTGCGGAATGAGTGTCTCAGTTGAAACGGCGTCTGGCGTATAACGTCTCCATATTTTCCAATACTTCTGAGAGGAATTGCGTATGGCATGCATGTGTCCCAGTCACACATGGCGGCGGCGACGTGATGGTCGTCGGGCAACGGTCGACTCCAAGGCGGGCAAGCAGGCTTGTCTCAACCCCGTGCGGAGATAGCCTTGCATTCATTACCGGAACCGTCCAACCTCGCCGCTGTTGCGTGTGATTCTCGAAATCATTGTACCCGTAGCTAGGGGCAGCCGCGAGACTGTGATTCGAAGTGCACAACGGTTTCTACCCCACATGCGCCACCATCTGAAGTCGCGGGCCAGAATGTGAAGCAAATCGTGGGCGACCTGCATAGCCGAGGGCCTCTGTTTCTGCGGCCGTAAGTTTCCCAGTAGAAGCGTGGGATGCATGCTCAGTGTCTGCAAGAGACAGCACATGTCCGCCGCCGCGGTCCTCTGCAAAGGCTGTCCTCCGCCTTGATGGGTGGGAGAGAGAAAGTGCACGCAGCAAGTATGCAGCTTCCGTACGCACATCCGTCTCGTGGTGCATGGGTTGACAGGCCGCGTGTGGATAAGCAACGGGCGGGTGTGTGGGTGACCAAACGGGGGATTCCCTGGATCGAGGGCACGTCGGCGCTTAAAACAGAGCTAGGACGACACCCTTTTCTTTTTGGGCTCCTGCGGTCGACTCTCCGCCATTTGACTGACCGTGTCTTCGACCACTCTGCACCACTGGTGCAATGCATTCACTGCAATTCCCCGAAGGTGAAAAACGTGCCTGACGAACCGACGGCGGCTCAGAACATGTTTCCCTTGTCGAAACAAAAAGAGGGGGCCCGACTTTGCAGCTAGTCAGGCGCAAATCGATTCCACCCCGGCGCCCGCCTTTCACAAGGCCTGCCTTGCCGCCCATGTTCACTCGATCCTCTTCATCCCGTTTTTTCGTTTGCGCCGGGTAGTGGTGCTAGCGGTGGGTCGGCCGAGGTCCTCTCGAGCCGTGATCTCATCTCATCTCATTCTGAGCAAGAGAAGAGAAAGGAGGGTACCTATCCTAGGCCCGCGATATGCGACAAATCTGAAAGCGAGGCAGGGCCATTGCGGAGCGTGGTAGCAGTAGGACTGCCGTATCATCTTGGCTTCTCATCTCGAGAACGTCTGAGAAGATGAGTGTATCCGTACCTTGCATCGAATCGAACGTAAATGAGGCGAACGAAGAGTGAGAGGACACAGACCACGGGAGAACGGCTGCAGGGAAGGGAAGACAGGCGCAGGGGCAACACAGACGGCCGCGGCGGATGCTGCGCTGCAATGTTGGTTGTGCTGCCCTGGTCCCCCGGTTGTATAGAGAAATAAACTGCTCCGTCCAGTTCCAACAGGATTGGAGGAAGCTCATGGACAACCAATTCTGCTCCACCGTGTGCAGCTTGAGAGGAGACATTCGAGGGTTGTTGGAAAGCCAAAGCTGGGACTAAGCGTCCCGTGAATGCACAGTAAGCATAAGGTATCCCAATCAGTGCAGCTTTTGGGAATCAGCTGGTGTGTCTGCCCTAGTATCCATCGTTGCGGCGGTCCTTGAACTACACTAGTCTGGGGGAGACAGAGACAGAAACTGCGACAGCTATCAGTCTACACTGCTGAAGCACTCAGACGCAGCCTGCGGTTCGTGACGTCGAGCGCCCAGAGGCTGACAACTGCAGCCGATTGATCCTCTTTCTCCCTTATGGTCTTGCGCCATGACGTGAATATCCGTTCAACGTCGCGAGAGGCCACTAAGACGACGCTGGGATGAAGCCCTACATAGTAGATTCCTTCCCGTATCTGGCTCCGCATCGCCATGGGCCGGTTAAGCATGCTGCCACGTTCTGAGATGGCCTCGTCGCTTCGAAAGTGGGCGTTCGTCGTTTGATGAACACTCGGGTACGCAGTCGCAAACGTAGGTTGGAGTATATGGGTCTCTCTGAGAGCACTTTCTTGCCTTTTCTGTTCATCCCCGCCTGGTCCATCGCTTTATGCATGTTACCCGTCCGACATGGCGTGAAATGAGACGTCTCTTTTGCCGTGACGGACGCGAGGTCTGTGCCTGCCGAGCGATCAGACATAGGCCTCGTCGACCGTCAAAGGTTGGTGACATGTAAGCTAGGGTACTTCCCGGAAGGGCCCGCTTCATATTGGGAACGGCGCATGTTGCGGGCCAACCCGGGCGGAGGCTAGTATAGTCAACCCTGGATCAAAGATGGCCCATGCCCCAATTGCGACAGGACGACCGCCTTTGCTGCTCCAGGATGAAGCTGCCTGGGTGTCTAGGCTTGGCCGGGGCCTTTCGTCCTCCAGACAGCCTTTCAGATGATTGTAGACAAGACCATCTTGGATTTCTCGTATGCAGCGAGCTGACCAACTAGGAGCATGGCTGGCCTGTGAAAGGGCTTCGTCAAGTCCGCCTCATGCGCGGGCATTATTTCTGTCCAATAGTAAGAGCAAAGGCCTCGTGATGAATCCGGAATTTATATCCAATAAGAATTCCGAAAACGACTCGATCACTGCTGTTGGTCAACGGCCATGCTCCATGCTCGAGGCGCGCAGGCTTGAACGGCGATCCTGCTTGTCCGATGACCAGAGTTTGCATCGGGTGACCATCAAGGCAGCTTCCAAGCTACTTGGGTGACCACTGTGAGAGAAAAGAAAGTAGAGAGATTGGGTTCCTGACGGCTACGGAGCCCGGCCGGGTATCGGTCAAACAACCCTGGCAGACCCTTCTTATCCGAAGAGAATTTTGGAGGGCCGTCCCATGGTGAGCTAGCCAGATCTATCAAACTGTATCGAAGTCGTCGTTCAACCCGTGACCTTCCAGCTGGCTGCGGGAGCTGGGGCCAAGCCACGAGTTGGACGGCATGGACCGACCATCTGGCCGACCGCAATTCTTGGTCAAGAACTTACCATGCAATATCAAACAAAGTACGGACAGGTGCCCTGGCTGGATCGCCAGCTCCTATACCTAACGAGGGGCGAAGTCGTCCAACGGCGGTCCACGATGGATGTGACGGTGGTGGATAGACTGAAGGCATTATGACAAGTCCTTGTTGTTGTCGGAGCTTGTTGACGCGATGTAGAGGTGGGCGTGCCAGTGTGGCTGGCTCGGGTAACCCTCAAACCATCATCGGACAGCAGTAATGTTGGATGGAATGCCATTGACGTCGGCATATCAAACAAAAACTGAGGATCAAAGCGTCTGTCGCATCTTGGCTCGTTTGATCACGAAGTTTTGGTAAGATGCTGGGTGTTCGTGAAGCACGCTGATTGAGCATGATTGAAGGAATCAGACCAAACCCCGGCGTGATATGCATTGATCGTCACGGACTGCCGCGGCCGTTTATGCTGGTAGAAGCCGGCCGAGTCGACCAGATCGAGGCTGACAAACCAGCACACTATTTCAATTGCTGCTGACAACGACTTGTGTGCGGCGGACTCTGTAGAAAAACGGTTGAATAGCGATGTCAGACGCTCAACGAGTCTGAGTATCCGCAAGAGATTCTGGGTCTTCAGGCACGCCCCCCTCCCATGTTCAATGTTCAATGGTTCTCTCGGACGGCTGAGAGGGTGGGACGCCTGGGGGGTGGCACCCTGGTCTTTGCTAGGATGGGACAGGTCGCCGAAGGGCCCTTTTCTCAATGTACCAGTCGATGACTTGACAGCTTTGACGGACCGGAAAAAAGGCAGCGAGGTAAGTTGTGAGGACCGGATATTCCGTACATTGGGCGTATGCGTAGATTGGACTAGGTTGGAGAAGGTCGCGAGCAGATTGAGAGGATCGAGTTGTGCGCGGCTGGCGTCGCAATAGGTAGGCGTACGAGTACGGGTGGTTGATCTGTACTTGGTGAGGAGATTATGGAACAGGGCAGGAAGTTGAAGAGCCGGGGTGCTCATGTGGCGGCTCGTGGTGTTAATTCGCGCTCTCTGCGTCTCGTATGCCGCGATGGATAGCAAATTGAGTCAATGACGAAGTGTCGGTCAGAGTATCCGTATGGGTTGGAGAAGTGATCAGATGACGAAGTGAGTGGATGTGCCATGGTGGACTGGTAGGTATTCTCAGCGGAAATGTACCTCAGCTGTATTTGAATTTGGGCGGTTGGAAACGTGGAGGCATGCGTGGGAGCGGTCGAATAGCGAATAGAAGGTTGCGGGAGAGAACCACCAAGGCAGTGGGAAGGTAAGAAAGCCGGGCCTCCACTTAGTCGTGGGATCTGTAACGCAAAGTTAGAGTACCACTGGATGAGACGTCATCCGGAGGATATTGGTGGAAGAGAAAGAGCTCAGCTGGGTGTTGAAAGTTGAATGAAGGAAGACGAGAGCGGGAGCTTGGAGGAATCGGACATGGTCGCTTTCAAGCCTCATGAGTCGCACCCTCAACGTATTGGGCAGCGGCGGCCCTATGGGAATAGAGAAGTAGCGGACAACCCCTCATTCGCGAGGGGCCGTATCCGTAGACATGATGGGAGTTGGACGGTTAATTGGGGTTTGAAGTTGGCCTGTTTGAGCTCTGAAGACTGAAGGGCCAAAAAGGCGACTTCATTCGGGGGAGCGGACGGAGCAGTGTCGGTACAAAGTGGAGATGATATCAAGAGTGGAGTTCGCGACTCGATACCTTAGGAATAAAACATTGTGAAGTATCTTTTCAGCATAAATACTCGAAAGAGGTACATGAGGGACGAAGGAAGGAGCCCGGGCGGGAACCCGCAAGGAGCACGGTGCTCACAGCTGCCCCTGCCCAGCACCCTTACCGGTGGCCCTTGCCTCGTGCACTTCCACTCTGAGAAGGGTTAGCGCCGCCTGTGGGGCATGGCAGGGCGGGTGTCCGTGAGCCACTGAGCGCCCAGGCCGCCGGCCCTCTGCCCAAGATGGGACGACGCTGTTTCTTTCCTTTGCTTTTGGCGTCCGTATCCGTGAAAATTCAACAAGTCGACCTCTCATTGCCTGTCTGCCTTCCATGTCTTCTGTTCTCCCACAGAGACTGAGACTGCCTTGCCTTGCGGTGAAGTCGAAACACCAACAGCAAAATTACCAGAATGCTGATTGCTAAATTAGGTAGGCCGGGTAGATGTGGACATTCCCGCCTCTGAACCAGGGTCTGTGCCCGGCAAACCTAGTGCTTCTCTGAATGGCATGGAATGAGTACTTCATCCTCTCTTCTCCTGTTCATTTTTCGAGATATGCCTCTCAACGCCTTAGGTTTCGTCGGTTGTCGTTAATTCTCCGTGTCTCGTCCTGCTCATCCGTCACATTGCCATCATCCGGGACATCAATGGCAACGAGCTCTTGCGCCTACGGATACGTCGTCCACGACCCAACTCAAGTCAACCGCGCGATTGCCATACACCAACCAGCTCCAGCAGCTCGCTCCACGGCCATTCAGCGCTTGAGAAAACTCCCCGTCACACCATCTTGTACCGCTTCCAAGGTACCGTCTTCCCTCCCTATCGACCTACGGATACCTAGCCGTATCTCAGGCTGTCAAGGGTGCTAATACTCCGTCACTAGAGCCGACCTCTCTCCGTCTCCGTTGATTTGTTCTCCCCTCCGAAGACCACCTCACTAAGCCCGACATGTCACCTACTGCGTACGCGTGAGGTATGCCCATGCCTCGTCGGCCTGCCTGCCTCTCCCTCCGCTGAATGTGTGTGGGTGGGTGGTAATCTGAGCACGAAGCAGGTACTAATGTCAGCTAATTGGCGCGCACTCACTCCGTTTCTTCGACCCCAAGCCCTTTTTTCTTTGCTGATTATTGAGCAACACGTCCCAAGCAACCGTTTTCTGTAATATCTCGCTTTCCGGCTTGCTTTTCCCCTCCGTCGACCCAGACTCGCCTGTTCTGTTCGCCATTCCGTATGTGTTCTGCGTAATACCAAATCTTGTTTCCCTCCAAACCTCGCCAGCATCGGGCAAATCATAGTCACCTTGCAGCCGCCTGGCAGACTCAGCTGCCTCACTTTTCATCCAGCAACGTGAAGAAATAGCAGGCAGTCTTCTCTGTTTATGTGGCAGGCTAGTGGCCGTTCCCTTTCCAGCGTGGGAAAAAGCCGAGACATCACAGAGATGGCGAGGCGAGGCCAGGTCTAGACGGGGCGCGACAGAACAAGACGAGACGAGACGAGACGGAAGCAAATCAGCATCCTAACTAGCGTCTGCTTGTGGCTTGTCCCATTCCCGTCAAGACCGTTCCTTAGATCCTCCGTTGTATCTGCCCATGCGGCAATGGAGACAAAACCGAGCCAGTGGCTTCGTTTAGCTCATTCTCAATTCCCTAGCTGTGGCGGTTGTCTACGGTCTAGACGCCAATTGTAGGCCGACTATGATGTCTTTATCGATGAAAACACTCTCGTCGACGACACCCTGCTTCCTTCGCCAGACACACAACCTCGTCGACTGCCATATACACTTACACACTTACAGACACATTGGGACTTACTTTAACGACATTTGCCTTACTGACCATAGCCCTGTCTCTCACTCTTTGCTCTTAGTTGCTGCTTTCAAGATGTTACTCTCCGCCGTCTACAGCTCTTTGGTCCTATTCGTTTCCCTGCTCATATCATGATGCTCCATGCATAAGACTATGCTATACCACAGTCTCGTCGTCGCACTCCCCTCTTCTCTCGGACCTATTATAAGTGCCACCGCTTTTATCGTCGAGTGTACTGCTCTGTTTGACGGACGGCTTGGCTCTCGCCACTGGCATCCGAGCTAGATATTTCCCACAATCCCAACTTGACTATTGCAATAACTCACTCGTCTGTTTCCTCTTCTCTGTATTCTCCCCTGTTCTACCATTACTTTACGAAGTCGTTTCTGTTTTGTTGCCGCTGTACGCCCATAGACCAGAACTCCATCTTATCCTTCACCAGGCCCGCTGCCACCCCCAAGTCAAGACCCCAGTCCGACTTAGATTCAATCCTACCCACCACACCCCCAGTAGGAGACGAGACACCCCCGTACCCTTGCCGGTACTTACATGGAAGCCATCCACCGCCCGCATACCCTTTACATATGTACACTACGGCCCACCACCGGAGCGCACACCTTCCTTCCTCTTCGTGCCTCTGACAGTATTACTATCTTGACAAGCCCACCTACCTACTCCAACCCCGTCTTGTTAGCTCTGTCATCCAAGCCTTGCTTCGTGCGTCGCGGCGTCTGATTCTTGCAGCATACCGCTGCACACCCTTCTCTTCCTACTGGTCCGATTCGACTCTCCAGACCTGTCAGGTTTGTCTTCCTCTGTCCTTCACTGGCCGTCCGGATAGGCACGTCGAGTCTACCTACCTTACTATTGGAACTCTTCTCCTCAGCCGATCATCGCTGTTTCCTCTCTTTCTCTCTTTCTCAACTATCACCGCCAACTCATCGCCGACAAACGCAGCGAGCACCTGTGTTCAACGAGCATCACCTCGAAAAGAGCACAATTGCCGGCTTGCCCCAGAGACAGCCGCATAAGAGAAACGCCCCAAGATCAGACAGAAGGCGTTGGGCAAGTCGGGGGTCCCTGACGGGGTAAAAGATCAACTGGGTGGTTACCGCGTTAAAAGGCAGTTGGTTGCTGTTGCACCCGCCCTCGAATCCGAACCCCCAAAGACCTGCATCACAGACCGGCCCTTCTCGTTTAGGAGGCGCTTCAAAACAACCGAAGCAAGACTGGCAGCAATCATTTAGTCAGTTGGACTGAAAGACGACCTTCCTCCCCACCCCCAAACCCAACACCCTTCTGCAGCCTGCAGCGCACTTGCATCTAAGTCACCTCGAGGCCCAGGGCTTCTTGACCTATACAGCAGACCGCCTGCACGCCGCGCCTCGAGGAACCAATTAGTCGCCTCTATCATGCATGCCGCCTCCCGTTCATGAATTCGAATCCGCCAGCATCTGTCGGGACGAGATATCCCCACACTTGGCCCGAGTGCCATTCCATCAGTCAAGCGGAAGCCAAACCTACCGGAGCAATCCCCTTCTCGCAATCACCAACCTGGAACCTGGATTCAACAACTACAGGCTAGCCAGACCATTGCCGCTCAGAGCCTTGCCGAGTTGGCTCGTTCGCACTCGTCCCTGTGCAACGACCGAGTCATATAAACAATGGACCACTCCATCGTGGGCACCACCACCATGGATCAACACAACCACATGGCTCAAGACGAAGATAGCCACATGTCCCACAGTCACACACCTTTCGGCAATGAGAGCTGGAGCGACATGAACTCGTATAATCACCAAAGCAACATGTCGGATTATGGAGGCTTTGCTGCCTTTATGCCCGCCCATCCCCATGGCCTGCCGTCCGAATCGCTCGCTAGAATGCCCCCTCCTCCAACGCCCAACCAACCGATACAGCCTCAGCAACAGCAATCCCATTCGCAGCTTCCAATGCTCATGATACCTTCTCAGCCGACATGGCCTAGCATGTTGACAAATCCCAACAGCTATTCGGCACCGCCTTTGGGGATGGCTCCCGTGCCACCTCCTGTGCCGCCGAGAGCAGGCAGGATGGGCAACGGTGCCCAGCCTCAACAGCGAAGAGTCTTAACCGACGAAGACAGAAAGAAAATGTGCCAGTATGCTGCTGAGCACCCAAATGTCAAGCAAACGGACATTGGCGCCATGTTTGGTGTAGAGCGAAGGTAGGCCTGCGAGAGAAAGAAAGGACCACACGCTGGGCTCACTAACAATAATCATCACAGCACCGTATCCAAGGTTCTCCGGAATAAGGAGAAATACTTGAACCCGGAAGCAGACAGAAGTCAATCCCCTGCTGGCAGACGGCAGCAGAAGGGCAAGTTTCCTGACATTGACCGCGGCGTCATGTCGTGGTACAGAAAACAGGTCCAAGCCGGTTTGACTCCTGGTGATGAAGAAATAATCGAACAAGCGAAACACTTCTCCAGATCTGCCAGTGGCACCGAAGGCAGTCAGATGAAGTCACTCAATGCCACATGGCTTGAAAGGTTCAAGCAGAGAAACATTCTGGTGGGGGGTAAACTCTCCCGCAGGGCATCCGAGACCAACATCACAAATCACTCGAAACTATCTGGCTCTCCATCCTTGGGAGCATCCGGCATCTCTCCAGCCTCGCCGACAGGTCAGCAATCTCCTCTGTCTGCCGACAGAAGCGACGACGACGTTGTTCACGGACTGGGGTTCGTCAGCTACGGGGAGGGCGCTGCTTACAAACACTCAAACTCCCAGAGTACGAATTCTCTCAACAGCGCGTTGACCGACACAGGAAACTCCTCCTTCTCCGGGAGCGCCATGAGTCCCACGGGAACATTTACCTTTTCCCCTGACCCCAACGCAGGAGCCTTTCTCCCCCCTGATTCGTCTCGTCAGATGCACGGCGGAGCAGCTTCCAACTTCCAGAGACCCAGGAGCCAGACATTTCCGAACATTGACGTGGAGTCAATGTATCAGACCGCAACCGCTGAGCCGATGACCCCGAAATACCACCCGGCATCTACGGCACCGTCCTCTGCGCTCGAGTCGCCCATTTACGAAATGTCCGCACCGCACTTTGCTCTTGATACCGCCATTGCTTCATCCCCACATCTGCACCACAGCAGTAGCAACAGCAGCATTGCTGGCCGATCAGTAGCTACGCCCGCAGGGTCTTCTCCCACATCACCGACACAAGAGGATGCTAGGAGGGCAGCAGACACGCTACTCAACTTCATCCAAAGCAGAGCTGCGAGTGGCTTGGTGGACCAGAAAGACTATCAGGTCATGCTTAAGTTGACAGAGAGACTCGGGGTCCATCAACAGCAAGTTGCCAAGTCCTCTGTTGGTGGCTTGGATCGAATCCCTGAGGGTGACACGGAGACATTACCGCACCACCAACAAATGTCTTTCGAAGTCAAGCCTGAAGCAGTCCTGACCCAGTGAAAGACGGGTGGTTCTTCCGCGTCTTTGAGAATTCTACTTTTTTTCTCCGGCGTTTTCTTGATTTTATGTTGGATTAGGGCGTGGGAAAGGACAGGGACAACAGGGACGAATCCACGCAGACGATGCGTGAACAGCAGCAACAGGAGGACGGAACGGCCATAATCATGGCTACACCAACCGGTAGACCCGGCGAGAGTTCTGCAAAGAACAACATCATCTCATCGGGATCGGGTTACGGTTTCGAAAAATCATCATCGGCGATACCTAAACGGTTAATGTCTCACGACAGCCTCGAGTGCCCTCGAGGGCCTCTTCAGTCCCGCGGCTGACATGTTGCGCGCCGTCTCTTCCCAGCTCCCAGTCTCACGACATTTGAACATCAACACATCATATCTTACCATTACAGAGCTGGCGAAAGAGCACGACACCAAACAAAGTCGCGAAGAATCAATTCAACTCCGAATTCAACATCTTCTATATACCCCTATTCCGCATCCTTAACCGCTGTTCACCAAGGAAAGACCTTGCCGCTCACGCGAACATCCAAAATTCCCCTCTTGCGCGACTTGTCACTCACCCATGGTTTTCTTTTGGTTTAATTTTCCTCGCTGTTAGCTTTCTTCATATTTAGCCCTTTTCCTAGCATTCCCTCGCTATATTCCCGCGACGTCTCGACCGAACTCGACGACTCGAACACGAAAACGAAGCCGCCGCTGTATTATTTCCCATTGTTTCCTTCGCGCTCTGCATTGCAAGATAAGGTGCTCAGGCTGGGTTGGATAGGCTGGACAACCGGGCATTGGACGGATCTACGGGAGGTCTGAGGCTTCAAGGGAATGAAGTCCTCGGGGGAGATACTTCGTATATGGATATCATATGGGCACGGACGTGGCTGCGAGCCCATCACATCATCCGGCGTGGTTTTGGCAAGAGAGGGAAACCGAGAACAAACGATAGCGGCCTGAGGATGATGGGGAGACGACGGGGAAAAGAGAGGTGGGAGAGGAAACCCACCTCCCGAGTCCACAGCCGGGAAACACCCAACTTCAACTTCCCTGGCTGTCACTACACGAACAACAAAACGAGGACTCGCGTTGCCCCGGCCAGAGAGTATGCGCGAAATCTGAAAAAGAAACTGGGTGGCCCCTTCTGCATTTATTTCCAGGGATCTGCCCCTTTTTCCCGACTTGACCGCAAAATATAAAATCTTTGTTTCTCTCTCGCATATGCCTCCGTAATGATGCTGAGTCGAGTGAACTAATCCAGAGAACTGACGTTATTTTCGTACTACTTCAAAGTAAACGCAAACACTCCATTTCTTTCGGCAGAAGGGTATCTAAGCTAAACGGGCAATACGTGAAGGGAACAAAACCTTGCAAAACGTTTCCATAAACCCAAGGCCCCCAGCTCATAAACTCAAGCGTTCCTCCAAGAGCTCAACTACGCCGTGCTCCGCCAGCTCGGGCATCAGTCTCACCAAAATCAACTCCAGCATGCTGTAGACAAAATGCTTGTTGCAATACTCGTCCGAAAAGACGTCGAGGATGCCCTCCTCGATTTCAGACAGCATCCGCTCCTGGTCCTCCTCGTCAACGTCGACCGGCGATTTCGTGCCGCTCTCGTCACCTGAACTATCGCCATCGCTAGTGGAAGTGGCGACTGCCTCAGCAGCATCCCTGCTGTCAGAGCCGGCCGCGGCGGTGCCGTCATGACCTCCTCCCCCTCTCGAGTCCGGACCGGACCGCCACCGGAGGCCAAGGCCTCGCCCGCCCAGGTAGAGCCTGGCCAGCCAGGGCGGGATTCTGGACAAAAGAGCACTAGCGCATCTGCGGCGCAGAGCACGCAGTTCCTCGTCGGAGGAGGGGGCCACCAAGCTCGAGACGCCCGGGGCGTTGTTGGGGAAGAGGGCGGCGCGGATGGAGCGGAGGAGGGTGGGCAGGTGCCCGGCGTCGAGAATCCGTTGGTGGATGGTATGCGAGATGAGCCTATATTTCGCGCGCGACGCGGCAAGCGCTCTCATGTCAGTCCCGGCTTTGCTTCCGACTCGGAGTCGCAACGGTTGATGCGTGGGGGTGGCAGGGGTTTTTGTGTGAGGTGAGAAAGGTGAGCAACGATCTGCGGAGGGGAATCGGACGAGAATGCGAGAGTATGTAAGAGGCAGGAGATGAATACAAAGCGTCAGGGAAACAACGTGAGAACTGAACAGGGGTAGGAGACGGCTGGTGGTGATGTCCAAGCCATTGATGATGCTACTGGCAACGTTGCGTAGGAGGTGAACGCAGCCCCCGACGTCAAAGGACATGGGTTTCGACCGAAAGAGCGTGATAGACTAGGGGTGAAGACGAAGGTCTGCTTTGTGAAATGGGTGCAGAATTTCGCCTAGTTCGACCTTTGATCGGCGGATGGTTGCCGGATGGCCCTCAGGCAAGGCTGGCGGCCTTTCCCCGTGATTAGGTGTGGTTCCCGTGCGGCGTAGGGTGGCATGCTGCATGCTTCGATACAGAGTCCAGGCTCTCTAGCAAGTCATCCAAAGACAGAGACTTAGGCTACTGGGCAGGGCGCACTTCGTCTTCCCCCATTGAGACAGCCGTCCCATCGCCAAGCATCGAATCGGATGATGGTGAGTAGGTAGCTAGCCGCCGGATGAGAACCAGCTGCCAGCCTTCTTCTCGGGACGGGTCGAGTCAGTAGTTGCGTCAGGACCGTGCCGCTTAAGCAAACATGATGGCATTGACAAGCGGTCACGGAAAGTACCCCATGACAAGCCCCGTCATGTCCCGGATCGTGAGAGCGGCCCCGGTAATAAGACTTGATCCTAAGGTGCGCGCCGACTTCAACGCCGTTTTGACAAGCGGGTGCGGTGGGGCGGCAAGAAGCGACGGTTGAGCGATTGAGTATCGGTTGCTGGTAGGTGTGCGCGGATAAAAAGGATGACAGTGGTGACCAGATCCTTGTAAGTCGAGTGCTCGTTGTTGGAACTCGGCGCGTAAATGAGGCTTGCTGGTGGATGGAAGCGTAGCCCCGCGACAGCCTATCGAACAAATCGGAGGCGAATACCCTTGACGCCCTCTGCTATTGGTTGATGGCCACGAGGTCCTGCAAATGTAACCGCATTTTTCGAGGAATCGGGGCAAGAGGTCAAGTCAGGGTTGGGCCGCAGAATTGGCCAGGTGGGAGGTTGCACAGCATATTTCGGCCTTTTTGGCGCAGTCCTGCACAAGCTCGAGTCCATCGCTGCGTCCACCCCCAAGCCGTGTCGTTGTAAGCCGTATCAACACATCGTCAGATGTGCTCTCTCTGAGGAGCCCACTAGGCCGTCATCGAAGTAGTTGCTCCGTCTCACACACTTGTTTGACTGAGCATTTCTGGATGCTCACTGGAGCAAAACCAAGTCCAGTGACTTAAATCTCATGCGGTGTGACGTGAATTTGCCAGAGAGGGGAAGGGGGAGGATGAAAATGGGTGCCTACCTGTCCACGGTTCCGTTAAGCCCGGCGACACGGCCTGGACCTTTCATGGCCCCGAGTTGAAGCATCGACAGCATTCCACTCAACCAAGGCATGCGAGTGTCCATTTCCATCAGGTCCGATATGCAAGTCCACAACTTGAAGGCGAAGATGGGAGTCTTCACTGGCTGAGCTTCTTCCGAGCCAGAGACGGTATCTGGCGTCTTCGAATCCGATATTTGACCAGTCACCTCGTGTTTCTCAGACCAGGTCTCTTGCGATCTTGGAGGCAAGGATGAGGACATGGCGAGAGTGGTGACAAGAAGGCGGATCATCGCGAATGCAAGAAAAGACCAGTGTACGAAAGACCAAAAAGCGCCTTGGATAGACCAGCTGCGGCGCTCCTGTTTGGGCAGAGGAGCTGCTGACCCTGCCTGCACTGCCTCTGCAACACCCTCTTCCATAGGCTCGGACTTCCTTTCGAGTACTCTTGACAGAATAATGAGACATTCGTAAATGAGCCATGGTTGCGATAATCGATTGGCTAGAACGTTGCCAATAATCAGTTCCGAAAATATTTGACCGACGAGAGAGGTCAGACAGTCATTTTCGAGATCTTCTGTTGGCAAAAGAACTGCCAAAACGCTCTGCACCAAGAGCTGACGGTAGATTGCTTCGTTTTCTCGTTGCTTCGCAACACTTTCGGGGTCTTCCGGCCGTGGTATTGGCGACAAGGGGGGTACAGGACAGAGCGCATGGTAGACTTCTCGAGAGTCTATCGTGGTTGGAGGGCTGGACACGGGATCATGCGCCGCGCGGTACGCTATGGGGTTGTTCAGTGAATGTTGAAATGAGGGCATTGCGTATTACTCACCGAGGATGTGTCTGTCGAGCAAGTCTGGAAGTTCATCGAATAGTAGACTTTCAAGATCAACCTTTCGTAGGCGCTGCTCCAGTGCCCTCGTGCAATGTGCAATTATTTGTACGATTTCGTCGACGAAAGCCTCGTCCGGTGTGATTTTGCTATACCAGGCCTGCACATATTCTCTCAGAATGACGGAAATGAGGGCATAAAGCTGTAGGTCGACATCGTTCCGACTCGTCAGAGGCGGCAAAAGTTCCTCGATGGGGGGTGGGGTTGTTCTCCCCTTATCGGACAGTTGCTGCGAGCATAGGACGCGCCGAATGAAGGCAGCAGTGGCCTTGTCGGAGAGAAAGTCTGCAGGAGCAGGGCGTGCAAGGCGGCGACTCGAAGGATTTGCCTGTATCGCGGGACGGGTTCGTTCGATACCGGGGGTAGATAGAGGTGTCGATACAGCCGTGGCGGTTTGGCTCGCGAAGCTGACCGTCGCGGGGGCTTTCGGGCGCGGCGTGGGAGCGCGAGGAGTAGCGACAGCTGTCATGGCCGTCTAACGTCGGGAATGCCACAGTATCATGGTCTGATAGCAAGGGTATTTGGGCGCATTTGACCCGTCGAGTGGTTGTGACGAAGGAGAGTTGTCGTCGACTTTGACTTGCAGCAAGATTTCGGACGACGCTGATCTACCCTATGATTAAGGTAAGGTCGGGTGAGTGACGACGGGACTGGGGACCTGGCCCCGGCTTCCATGCCTGTTGTTTACAGGGAATGCCAGGCTGTTGCAGGTGCGGAACGGCGGGCACCCTGCGGCCCCGTGCGCCGCGACATGCCAGGAAGGGGCCTTACATAATGCAGGTGCGAGCACTACCTAAGGTAAGGTGAGGTGGTCAGTCACTCAGTCGGGATCAATCTGCAGAGGCTTGTCTAGCTGGTGCGAGACACAAAGAATAGTTCCAGAAGCAGTCGCATCTTGGCATCACTGCAATGATTCCACAGTGGACAGGCACTTGACGTTGCTCGGTAACCATACTGCTTCACTCAATCTAGACACGTATCGCGGGGCATGGTCGTCTTCTAATGTCAAGTACCTTAGGTAGCAGTGAGAGTCGATTTTGTCTTTCCCCTCCATCCGGTCTCCTGTTGTACAATGCACATGTCGTAGACAGTATGTTACACTTATTTACAACGGCTCAGCAAATGGCCACTCATCATCATCATCCATGATGTCCTGCACTGCCACAGTAGCGACTTTAATCATCCTTCGTGGCCGTCTCATATCTGTCTATAGTTAGTCAACCGTTATGATTGAGATGAATCAAGTCGTCTTACCTCTTTCCACGGAAGGCCCAGACTCCCCAGTTTCCGCAGCTTACATCCTGAGGGTCCAAATCATTCAGATCCCATCTCATGCTGCGGAAGAGGTTCTCGCCGGGCTCCAACAACATATCAAACTCGCCAGCGGCTGTCTTACGAACCCATTCAATGTCTCGCTCCATGTCGAACTGCGTGTAGCCGGTGGCGATGATGGGTAGCTTGGTCTCAAGAAGCATCGGGAGAGTCTCGGACCACTCGTGGCTGCTCGCCGGGTGACCCAATCCGGGGTGGAATAGACAAAAGCAGTCAAAGTACGGGTCGTACGGCGCAAAGTACCCAGTCTTGTGAATAGTGTGGTAGTAATCCACAATGGTGCTGATCTTCAGCTTATGCGATATCCGATCCTCCACGACCATGCCGAAGGGATTCTCGGGAGTTCTAGGCGGGAGTGGAAACTCATCGTCTCTGTTCGCCATGCTCTCAGGGCCGATGAAGATGAGGTGAATCTTGCTCTCGGGGAACAGGTGAGCCAGCTGAAGCCATACATTTCTCGGCAGCGAGGATTCCGCGCGGGCACCCAGGCAGAACACTCGCACAGGAGGCGCTTCCGGGCGCAGATCCTTCATGTCGGTTCCCTTGCCAGACAGAGGAGGATGAAGAGTATAGCGCAAAGCTGTTTCCAAGTCAGCACCTCGTCTCAATCATCGCCAACTACAGTACTGACCACTCAAACTCTTCAGGCCCTCGTTTGTCAGTCTCTCGCCTTGCTTGACACTGTAGGGGCTGAGTTCATGAAGGATGCTGCCAATTGTGATAGGATATGTGAGCATCTTTGTGACCTGTCTCATGCTGCGCTCATCGTTGATGGCCTCAAACTCTCGGCTGTACATGAACGTATCCCAGTTGGTCATGTTGACAACAGCCTCAGGCATTTGGTCATCGGCCATGACAAACTCCGGGAAGGCACGGCCAGATCGTAGGTCATGATCGTCCTCGTTGATCTCCTTCAGGGTATCGCAAATCTCCAGGTGGGCTTCGTAGTCGTCCATCCAATGCTCCTTGCTGCAGTAAACGGGGACTCCACAATCGGGACATTCGAAGTCGACGTGCGCCGGCGCAAGGTTTCCGGTCTTCGCGGTGTTCTCATCACCGTGGGGAGCAATCGTGGGGACTCGAGTCGCTCGGTGGTCCGGGTGCGGGCAGTATGCGTGCTGTCGCATGAAGGCCGCACGACGCCGGATCTCGGGGATTGGAGAGTTCGTGAAGGAGTGGAAGAGATCGTCAGAACCGAGTTTCGGAGTCGGATTCTCGGTGTTCGTAGCTTTCGCAGCAGCAGCTTCACTTGCAGCCTTGGGAGTCGAGGAGAACTGTCGCGTCGTCACATTGTTGGCTTTTGATTTCCTCGAAACAGTGGAATGGAGGGCCCGGGTCGAGTGGACTGATGCGATTCGGGAAACTGTTCTGGCCGGTCTGCTCGGGACCAATTGCCTTCTCAACGTCGCGGAACACTGTCCGCAGACGCTTGAAGCTGCTCGTCGCAAAGCAGGCTCCATCGTGTGCGGAATTGGATGTTGAACCTGTTGCGATTATGACATTGGCAGTTATTCAGCACTACTATCCGACAGCTGCTGCAGCTCCCGTCAATGACCCGAAATTTTGGGGAAGTGCTCCGGATCAATTAGACGCCGGCAGGTGGGTCCCAGGTTGGCCTCGTCTCAATTGCCAACCTAAGTGGGAACCTAGAGCTTTTGAAATTTTGTGCTGGAGCTCTCCAGCCTCCCAATCCACCTTCACCTCAAAACACCACCGCGTCGTGTCTCATCATCCAATCGAGCTCGAACTTTGAGGCCGCGCAGGCTTTCTGCGCTCAGCTGCAAACATGGCGACGACCTCGAACATGTTTCTTTACTCCCTGACCCTCCAGCCGCCTACCAACGTCACCCTGGCGGTATTGGGTCAGTTCTCCGGAACCAAGGAGCAGAACATTGTGACGGCGTCTGGATCGCGGCTGACGCTGCTTCGACCCGACCCATCCCAGGGCAAAGTCATCACTCTACTCTCGCACGACATCTTCGGCATCATTCGGTCCATGGCCGCATTCCGGTTGGCTGGAAGCAACAAAGGTTAGTCCCATTCCCTGTTCCATTTGAAGCTTCACTTAGTGATTCGAGAAGCTTGCCAGTCGCAACACGCGCCACTGCGGCCGTTGTCGCTCGGCCCTGGCGACATTTGATCGTCTCAGAACTTCGCTGACCTTGTGTCAAAGACTATCTCATTCTCGCGACTGACTCTGGAAGGATCACCATCGTCGAGTACAACCCCGCGCAGAACCGGTTTCAACGGCTGCATCTTGAGACCTTTGGAAAGTCTGGAGTACGACGCGTGATTCCCGGAGAATACCTTGCATGCGATCCCAAAGGCAGAGCATGCCTCATCGCCTCGGTCGAAAAGAACAAGCTTGTCTACGTTCTGAACCGAAATGCGCAAGCCGAGCTCACGATCTCTTCGCCCCTTGAGGCGCACAAGCCCGGAGTCCTCGTGCTTTCCATGGTCGCGCTCGATGTCGGCTATGCCAATCCTGTCTTTGCCGCCCTGGAAATCGAGTACACTGAGGCAGACCAAGATCCCACGGGAGAGGCTGCTCGCGAGGTCGAGACCCAACTGGTATACTATGAGTTGGACCTCGGCCTGAACCATGTGGTCAGAAAATGGTCCGAACCTGTCGATCCCACGGCGTCTCTTCTCTTCCAAGTCCCTGGCGGGCAAGACGGCCCAAGTGGTGTGTTGGTGTGCGGAGAAGAAAACATTACCTACAGACATTCCAACCAGGAGGCCTTCCGCGTGCCGATACCTCGGAGACGGGGGGCTACGGAAGACCCGTCAAGGAAACGCCACATTGTCTCCGGCGTCATGCACAAGCTCAAGGGCAGCGCCGGTGCGTTTTTCTTCCTGCTACAGACGGAAGACGGCGATCTGTTCAAAGCTACCATCGACATGGTCGAAGACGCGGACGGCAACCCCACCGGCGAGGTCAAAAGGCTTAGGATCAAATACTTTGATACCGTGCCCGTGTCATCTAGTCTGTGCATCCTCAAGAGTGGTTTCTTGTACGCCGCCAGTCAATACGGCAACCACCAGTTCTACCAGTTCGAGAAGCTTGGAGATGATGACGAAGAGCTTGAGTTCTCGAGCGACGATTTCCCAACCGACCCCAAGGCTGGCTACGACGCGGTGTACTTCTACCCGAGGCCACTGGAGAACTTGGCTCTTGTCGAGAGCATCGACTCCATGAACCCTCTGCTTGACTGCAAGGTGGCCAATCTCACTGGCGAAGATGCGCCGCAGATCTACACAGCTTGCGGCAATGGCGCTCGTAGCACTTTCCGGATGCTGAAGCATGGATTAGAAGTCAACGAGATCGTTGCGTCTGAGTTGCCTGGTATTCCGTCAGCTGTGTGGACGCTCAAACTCGGCCGGGGCGACCAGTACGACGCGTATATCGTCCTTTCTTTCACCAACGGGACTCTTGTGTTGAGCATTGGCGAGACTGTCGAAGAGGTTAATGACTCTGGATTTCTCACTTCAGTGCCAACCTTGGCTGCCCAACTGCTTGGTGAGGATGGTCTTATCCAGGTCCACCCCAAGGGTATCCGCCACATTCGTAATGGCAACATCAACGAGTGGGCTGCACCGCAACATCGCTCTATCGTTGCGGCAACAACAAACGAGCATCAAGTCGCCGTCGCTCTCAGTTCAGGCGAAATTGTCTACTTCGAGATGGATGGCGATGGATCCTTGGCTGAATACGACGAGAAAAAGGAAATGTTCGGAACTGTCACCTGTCTGAGTTTGGGAGAAGTCCCGGAAGGGCGTTTGAGAAGCTCATTTTTGGCTGTCGGTTGCGACGACAGCACCGTCCGAGTTCTGTCTTTGGACCCGGACTCGACACTGGAGAGCAAGTCGGTACAAGCCCTGACAGCGCCCCCTTCATCTCTGGCTATCATCGCCATGGACGATTCGTCGTCTGGCGGATCAACACTTTATCTTCACATCGGTCTTCACTCCGGCGTCTACTTACGGACGGTGTTGGACGAGATTACCGGAGAACTCACAGACACCCGACAAAAGTTCCTCGGTCCCAAGCCAGTCAGGTTATTCCAAGTCACAGTCCAAGGACGGACATGCGTGATAGGATTGAGCTCTCGCCCATGGCTTGGCTACTCCGACCCAATCACCCGAGGCTTCGTGGTGACACCCCTTAACTACGTCGACCTTGAGTGGGTGTGGAATTTCAGCAGTGAGCAATGTGAAGAGGGTGTTGTTGGCATTCAGGGCCAATCCTTGCGGTAAGCAATATTTCTCTTTTACCTTTCACCTTCCAACTACGATGATGAGAACCGGGATCCTATGCCAAAGCGCGATGAGGTCTTACGCATTTTTATTCCTAATTGTTCCTACTGAAGAGTCACACTCAACCCACGTTTTACGAAGTCTTATGTTGTGGGCAGCGGCTAATCAAGACACAGAATTTTTGCTATCGAGAACCTCGGTGACACCATCACCCAAAAATCGATACCCCTAACCTACACCCCGAGGCGCCTTCTCAAGCACCCCGACTACCCCATGTTTTACACGATCGAGGCAGAAAACAACACCCTGCCTCCGGATTTGAGGGCCAAGCTCATTGCAGAGCCAGGGGTCGTCAATGGCGACGCCACGGTTCTTCCCCCTGATGAGTTTGGGTACCCCAAGGGCAAAGGTCGCTGGGCGTCATGCATCAGCGTCATCGATCCCCTGTCAGAGGAGCAACGAGTCTTGCAAACTGTTGACCTCGACAACAACGAAGCCGCCGTCAGCGCTGCGATTGTTTCCTTCGCCAGTCAGGACAACGAGAGCTTTCTGATCGTCGGTACGGGCAAGGACATGATTGTGAATCCCCGACAGTTTTCTGAAGGATATATCCACGTTTACCGCTTCGGTGAGGATGGCCACGAACTGGAGTTCATTCATAAAACCAAGGTTGAGGAGCCTCCTACTGCTCTCCTCGGCTTCCAGGGCAGACTGCTTGCGGGTATCGGCAAGACCCTGAGAATTTACGACCTGGGTCTGCGACAAATGCTCAGAAAGTCGCAGGCAGATGTGGCACCGCAGCTGATCGTATCACTCAACACACAAGGAAGTCGCATCATCGTCGGCGACGTCCAGCACGGCGTCATTTACGTCGCCTACAAGCCCACCACGAACAAGCTTATTCCTTTCGTCGACGACACTATCGCGAGATGGGTCACTTGCACAACTATGGTGGACTACGAATCGGTTGCTGGAGGAGACAAGTTCGGCAACATGTTCCTTGTCCGTTGCCCAGAGAAGGCAAGCCAGGAGGCCGATGAGGAGCAGGCCGGACTGCACCTGTTGAACACCAGGGACTATCTGCACGGCACGCCCCATCGTCTGAACCTTCTCAGTCACTCCTACACCCAAGATGTGCCGACCAGCATTACCAAGACGAGCTTGGTCGTTGGTGGCCAAGACGTCCTTCTCTGGAGCGGCATCAACGGCACCATCGGTGTCTTCATCCCGTTTGTCACGCGTGAGGACGTCGATTTCTTCCAGAATCTCGAGCAGCATATGCGAACCGAGGACGCGCCTCTTGCGGGCAGAGATCATCTCATGTACCGCGGCTACTACACCCCTGTGAAGGGCGTCATCGACGGCGATCTTTGCGAGAGGTACACCCTCCTGCCGAATGACAAGAAGCTGATGATCGCGGGTGAGCTGGACCGATCGGTGCGGGAAATCGAAAGGAAGATTTCGGATATCAGGACGCGGTCCGCCTTTTAAGGAGTCGTTTAAGCAAGCGGTCAAACTACCATTCTCTACTGGGAGGGAGACTTTGGAAAATTTCGTGTATTATACAAAGCGTACGGTATATGGTAGCGGCGTTTCATATAGGCCAAAGAGCCGTAGGGTGGTACAGGACATGATGACGATGCAATGAAGAAGAGCTCTAATAGTAACACCCAAAACGCCTGTCAGTCTGGTGAAAACGCATTTGTCCCCCTGAACTCCAAAAGTCAAAACATTCGATCTCACGCAGACCCTCGCCAAAAGGGGCCCCGATTCTTGGGCGCCTTCCCTTTCTTACCACCCTCTTGAACGGGGTGGTCCCTCTCCCACGCTTCATCGGCAGCATACGCCTCCATCGCCGTCACGAGATCATAGCCAGTTTGCTCGAGATACAACACGGCGATGTCGTAGTCCGAAACTTTGCAACCCGTCATGAAGCGTCGGATCTTGCTCTTACGCAGCTCCTCCTCCTCGCCCTCGATGGGCTGAGGCGACAGGCTGATGCCGGCGGCGTAGTACTCCCCCGGTATCAGCACCGTCTTGCGGCCCAGGAGCAGGTGGTCGCTCGTGATGTTGTTCGCGCGACGAAGCACGGACGCGGGCACGCCGTAGCGGAGGGACAGAGACGCGATGGTGTCGTGCTCGTGGTTCAGGAAGTGCAGCGTGTCCTCCGGCGGCGTCGCGGACTCGGACGAGCCGGCCTTCTCATCCTCTACTGCTGCGCCGTTGGCCGTATACGGCGGGGGCGGGGCCGAGGGGCCGGAGAGTCGACGGCTCGCGATGGAGTTGTAGGACGGCGGGTCCCTGAGGTTATCGGGCAGCACCGAGGGGGCGGAAGAAGTCTGGCAGTACGGGCAGTAGGATGCGAAGCGGGGGTTGTTCTGTGCTTGGTCAGTATCGTGGATTCTTACATGCATGAGTTGGGGCAGCATACGTGGATGCAGTTTCCGCATATGATTCGCGAGCAGCATTCCAGGCTGCGGTCATCCGGGAACGGCTTCTCGGTCGCGGGGTGGTAGCGGGGCACGGAGGTGAGGAGCTTGGCGCAGGTGCAGCAGGCCGAGTTGTCCATCGGCTGCTTCTCCGGGATGGGGGTGTACTCGATCTTCATGATGGGTTTCTCTCTGGGGTCGCGTCGCCTGGACGAGAACAATACGTAGGAAATAAAGATGTACAGGATAAAAAATTAGGTCAAACTAAACGCTCAAGGTTGACAGAGGTCATCCACGCGGCCGGGACGAGTGACGGTGTCACGGCTTTAGAGGGGTTCATCCCCGCAGAGTCGCCACCCCCACAAGCGCCGCACCGCCACCGGCCGATTCGGCCGGTGTTTTGACTGACGTCTTCCATCCGGAGACTAGCTTTCTTAGTCAGAGGCATGTGGTCAGTCAACTACAACACATACAATATTCTGCACACCAACGTTGCCCTTGACCTCTACATAGACCAGTTCGCGCCGTCACGGAGGCAGTCTGACTGGCAACGCTAACATTGTTCGAGGATGGCGGAGCTTTTTACGTTGATTTCATGCGGGAAATCATACATTGCCGTGACTTCCAGATGTATCTGAACTACTCATATTCTTACACAAAGCTAGAAAGAAACATCACCCTTGAAGTACAGCGCCAGCGCCTTCCCTATCATATGACTTCTAGTCCAAGAAACAAACAAGCCCTCTTGAAATGGATGTCTGGACTCTTCATTCAGCACACGCATGTCAAATGTTAGCCGATGTTTGGAATCAACTGGCGATTTATGGATTCACCTGATGTCAGCTTTTGTTGGCTCTGCAAGGGGAGCAAGGATGTCAACGGGGCCGCAAACACGAAATGAGGAATAGCCGGCTTTAATCTCAACTTCCCGAGTGCTTCAGGCGCGCTGTTGCTATGAAGTGGGATGGTCTGCCTTTTTAGTTGAAGAGGTAACATGACAGCCGCCATGAAGTGGCATGGTTTGTCCATGGTGACAAGATGCCTGAATGGATCTTTGGATAATATGCCATGAAGAGGGATGTCTGCCTCCCGCTGCAATGAGAACCGCCATGAGGTTGAGATGGTCTGCCGCCCGTTGTGTGAGAGTGGTCCGATGTCCGACTTCTGAATTGCCGATAGAGAGCTGAAGATAGATAGATGGACAACGTTGTGCGCTGGCCTGCTTTCTGTCATTACACGAGGTACCGAAAAGAAGGAACGCCAGAAACCACATCCGCACCTGTATCGTCATGAGCCTAGGCTTAGACCATCTTCCTCCTAAATTGAAGATGGGGAAGAGGCAAAAGGTGGAAGGAGTACGGGGGCAATAGATGGATCTCTTGAGGCAGGAGGTAACTTGAGGGAGGAAGACAGCAGCTATGAGATGCTTCAGATAGTTACTTTAGAAGAGCGTCGTGATTACCCACTGACAAATCATAGACATCACTTCCTGTTCTAGGTCATTCCAAATCTCTTTTGCATTTAAAGCCAACGAAATAAGCCGTATATAGTCGTCTGATTCAATAGTTCAATACTATATTGTGTTCTATGGATCGCACGGTCTGGTGCAATGGTCTGCCGCCCGCCGGTTGCGTTGTGATAAACGAGAGCTGCTAACCATGAATTGAGACTGTCTGCATCCCACCCGGTGCGTTGCAAGCTGAAAGTCCCACCCACTATAAAGTGTTACTAATTAATAAACAGCTTTACAAGCCAGGAGAGCTGCCCACGCCCTATGAATTGGGATGTTATACCGCCCGTTGTATTGCGAGTCAAAAGAGCCGCCCACACCCCATGAATTGGGATGGTCTACTACCCGTTGCTTTGCTAACAGGTTAGATAAATAAATTGGTAAAAGGGGGTAACGATACATATAACACAGATAGAGCCAAAAGAGCTGCCCACGATGAATTGGGACGGTCTACCTGTTGTTTCCACAATAATCGATATGGCGCCACGCGAATCTTGGGCTTATAACAAAGGCTCTAACTGACCGTATTCAAGCATACGGACGATGTGATCTTGTCGGAGAGACCAGAAGGATGGAACGGGCTGGCCTACGAGTTGATACGTCGGGGGTCGGCAGCATAGTAGCACACGGACTGATATTACCACCCACCATGAGTTGGGACGGTCCATGAACTGGGATGTTCTGCCGTCCGCCCGTTTGATTATAAGTCAAAAGAACCAACCGCCATGAATTACATAGTTTACCACCTAAGTATCATGAAACGGCGTGGTCTACGGCCTGTCCGTTGTGTTGTGAGCTGAAAGAGGCGTCATTGGAACAACTCCCATTCAAGATCCAAAAGCCTTGCCAAAACCGGCATGTTAGCTGTCAATCATCGTGAAGGTTGTTATGGTAGCACTACTCACCCCAAGTTTCGTCGTCATCAGCATACCGATTGGCATTGGCGGCAAGAGTACACTGATACAGATATCACCACTAATATGCCGCAAAGTGACTGGAACTGGCATGGAGAGCGAAGAAATCAGGGGCTAAACACAATATTACGCAATGTGTTTCTATCTGGGCCTGTCTGCGTGTAGTGTTTTATGCACTTTTTTATTTTACCCCTTTTCTGCCTCGCTCAAAACCTTTGTGCCCTTTTTGGTGCCAAATACCATTGCAATCAAACACGAAACAAATGCAACTCGTTTCCAGAGATGGAAATCCAAGACCGTGATCAAATCCTCAGCCTCCCAGCTCAAACAGCACCGACGCCATAATGCTCCTCATCCTGAAGCAGAGGGCCGAATGGGTCGTGTGCCATTTTCTCGATAGTGACCTTACTGAGTCTCTAGGCTTTGGGGGCAATGCCAAATTCCGTGAGTTTCTTGGAAGGCGAAAACTTCTGAAAGTAGTTGGGGTCACCGCCGAACGAGCAAGGGCAGCCAAGAGCGATGCATCTTCCACGCGTCTTAGTGGCGGGATCGAAGTTGAAATCGTTTGCCTATCGAGAGTTGACATTCAGTCCCCGGTCCCGATGAACTTCAAAACTCATCGCTTGACTCTGTGACATGCGATAAGTGCACATCTGCCGCTTCGCCGACCCTGTCTAGCTGGGAAACCTAGCGTTCAGTGCGCAAAGAGAACACCTACGGGTCAAGACTCGCAATCGTCTACCAGAGTTGCCGGGCCGCAGGGAAACATCGGTCGGTCGGAGGTGTCAGAAGCTTCTGTTGAGCTATTGACTGCACTCGTCCACCGTGAAGTCTTGAGGCCAAGTGCTAACGACAGTGGGCAATCGACGAACGCGGTACTCCTGGAAAAGGTGCACACTCTCAACTTCCATAACTCTGGTACCGTCTAGTTTGGGCAGCCAATCGGGGCCATTGCTGTAGACGGCTTGCTCGAGGTTGTTGAACAGGACCATGCCTTGCTTGACCATGTCCAGATGGGCTTCGGAATCCTGCGTCCAAAGCTTGGCGCGCTGTAAGTAGGCAGAATCCCATTTGCCGGTCTGTTTGTTGCGGCGATCGATCTTGATGGCGAGGGAGTTCAGCTTCTGGTACTCCTTGTTGCGCAAAACCGTGGGCAGACTGTAGTAAGCCGCAGGATGAGGTGCGTACTCGCCAGTCTTCTTGTTGCGGTTGACCTCAATGACGACGTTGATCAGCTCGGGTGACTCGGGGACCGTGAGCTCGTTGACTGTCATCTGGATCTCGACTCTGCTGGTGTCGTTGTTGCTGACGAGCAAAATACCATTGCCCGAAGGCCGGAGTGCTCGACGAGCATGGTAAATGAACTTGTCCTTCCTGTAATCGTACCACATCAACCAAAGGTCGCTTCTCCAGGTACCATCGGCGTGAAGTTTAACTTCCTGTCCAGGGAACTGCCCCTCTGCTTGTGGTCCCGTGCCGGTGTCCTCGACGACGCCTTTCTTGTTCTCCAAGGCGGTCTTCCAGAGGCTCTGGATGGTTTGGCGCAGCTCTTCTTGAGGAGGGGAGGAGCCAGCATCACCGCTCTGGGAAGACTCCAGCTCGTCGTCGTCGAACTTGGTCTCCCAATCCGTGCCAGGGCGGCAAAGTGCCCCAAACTTGAGGTAGCTTTTGGGCAAGGCACCTGTGAAGAGGTTGGTGATTTAGAAGTAGAATGAAATAAATGAGAAAAGTGAGAAAAGAATCGAGCAGTGAATGTGGACAGTAACTGCACTTGCCTGGAAGAACCTCCGTGCCGCGATGAATTTTCACCATGCAGACTTTGCCGCCATCGAGCTTGTAGTGGTAGCCCACCTCGCCAGCAGCGACCTTCAGCCAAGGCCGAAGGTTACGCGCCTGAGGCTGAAGATGCAGATTCGGGTCGAAGTTGTGGACGACCACGAACGACTGACCACCTTGAATAAGGTCCAGGGGCTCCAGAGTTTCGAAAGACGAATACCCCGATGACAGTGACGATGGAGCCAGGGGCAGCGACGGTGATGAAAGAAACCGATGATGGTGATGATGGCCAGGAGTGGTGAACAGAATCAGAGGTGATTTTTGTCGGTGTGCTGGGTTGAGATCTCTTCTCAAGATAGGTAGGTAGGTAGGTAAGGCCGGTAATTATTAGAGAAGAGTGGGACTAGATTAGAGGTGCTTGGGCAGGTGGCTCCTTCCTACCTCATTTACAGGCGTTAAAGAAGAACGTGGGAGTGTGGTAGGAGCAAGCTGACTCTTCGACTTCGAACAGCTAAACATACATTTACTGACTGGAGTCGTCTACTCATGCAGAAGCCAACTTATATGGCAACGGGAGCCAGCCGACAGGTTGTTGAGAAAGTCGGCAGTGAGATGTCATTTTGAAGTCTTCTTGGTAATATGTCTTCATGTCCTCGGTTCCCCTTTTAAAAAAAACATAAATATCCGCGGTATGAACTGCGCCGGCAGACCATCCCAATTCAAGGTTTCCAAGCTGTGGATCTGGGTCTATCTGGAGCAACGTATCTCCCTGTCTTCTTGCTGCGCAGGCCATCAGCTTTGTCTAGCCAGCTCGTCGGATGAAGGACGAAGTCGGACATGATCTCCCCAAGCTGTTCGCTGGGCAGCTCCAACTGACCGATGTCTGCCTTTGATTCAAGCTCAAGCTTGTCTGTACAATCTGTCAGTTGGTTTGCTTTTAGACATGTTCAGGCGAACCTGGTTCTTCCCAATTTGAGACATCTCATGTCTTGTTTTGCTGTCTAACATCGTCGCTGATGTTTTGATGTCTAGACGAAGTGTCGACGACAGAGTTGACAAGAAACACACAAATGAGATATATGTACTGAACATCATGGGTCCATCGCGCTTCGCCGTTTTGGGGAGCGATTAGTGACTACAGTCAGGTGCGGCTAGCAGGCTGGGTACATCGGCGCATGCAAGCTTTTGCCTGGGTTCCTCCCGGACGGACAAGTGTCAAGTTTCAAAGAAAGACCCAGATAGATGATGTCTTTCTCATTTGCATGGGTCGATCCGAGGAGGCAATGAGTAGAGAGGTAGTTGAGGCTGTCGTGGATCTCGCCACTGTGACTTATCACAGCATAAATGCGTCCCTATGACAACATCTCCACGCATTGACCATAGATGCGCTGGTGGTAGTAACGGCTTGATCAAGACAATCAAGCCGGTCAATCAAGCCTTCATCCTACATCACAAGACTCAGTCGCAGCTATGGCTCTGCTGGCAGCCAATTATGCTCAGACGGTCATGGATTCAACAGAAAACAGATGGGTCGCCCAGCAAGTGTGGTCGTGTCCTATAGCTAACCGTACAACCTGACGCTATTTTGATTTTCATCTTCCCAACCCCTTTGGAATCAGGCAGGCAGGTGACGACTGTCTATATCACGCATGAACATAGATGACAGGCTGTCCTTTTAATTGCATTGGCGAACAGGCATTGTTGCCCAACAGTCGATTTTGGATATTATATTTGATCTCGGATGTGGTCCGCATGCCGGTTCTGACTCCGCGTCTCCAGCCGGACCGACGGGACTTGGGGCCGGCTCAGCTCCCGAGTCTCTCACAACATGACGTTCCCAGCATCATTACAATCAATTATATTGAAGGCTCATCTTTCTTTATTCAGCTGTTCACGGCGAATCATAAGTCTGCAAACGAGGTTACAAAGAATGAGGCTAACATATCAAAGACAGACAAGAAAGATAGTTACGACTTCCAACACCCTGAGCAGAGGTGAAAGGCAAGTTTAAATGACGATTTCGATGAAAGGAGCTTAAACGCACCCATTCAATGATACCAAGTTGGTAAAATATCATCAAAACGTTTATGTAGTCACTGTTGATACCGGCAGACTTACCTTCGCTCGCAGCAGAATCTATTTCAAGGGCAAAGACCCAGCATCTTGTACTCAGCAGCAAACCAACGAATTAGGATGGTCCACCAACCTGATCGTCAAGTGGCAGAAACTACTTAAAGAACAAATATCTTCTACCTTATGCTAAACTGTAACCCAATGAATTGGAATTATCTACCAACCTAACCAGTGAGTGACAGAAGCTACTCGAGGAGCAAACAACTCTCCCTCCTTACGCCAAACAGCAAGCCAATGAATTGGGATTGTCTACCGGCTTGTTGAGTAGAAACTTGGCTCTCGCTTACGTGCGCACGACCTTGGCCAGGTTGAGCTTGTCAATACCAGTTCAACTGATGTTTATATCCATTTGTTTCATTGAGAGATTAACGCGCTTGTCTCTTTCAGAAGCCCCGTCGTCTTCGTCGTCTTCGTTGTCTCTGTCGTCCTTATCGTATTCGACTACCCTCTTAGCTCGGTCGTCTCCATCATCTTCGTCGTCTCTATCGTCCCTGTCGTCCCTGTCGTCCCTGTCGTCCCTGTCGTCCCTGTCGTCCCTGTCGTCCCTGTCGTCCCTGCCGTCCCTGCCGTCCCTGTCGTCCCTGTCGTCCCTGTCGTCTTCGACTTCCCTACTAGCCTTATCGTCCTCGTCATCTTTATTCTTTACCCCTTTTACCAAGAAGGCTGGACGGTTACTTTCAGAGAGTCATATCTATATTTCAGACTTGACAGGGCAGTGTCCAGAACCGTATGTTCATAAATTTTCTACGTCACTGAAAACATTAACGTAACGCCTTCACAGGCGTTCTTCAACTTTTCTCCCAATAGTATGTTAAACTTGGATGAAAAGCAGTTGTACTGAACGAAATGGCTAGCATACTGGCCAATGGGGTTGATGTAGTTGACACCGATAACCGTTCTGCATTAGCAGAGGTATGGGGAATGCCACACAAGAATCTAATCGCTCACGAAAGCTTCACTTCATGAAAGCAGTCCGAGTCTCGGGATTGCCAACTCAAAGCCAATAGTAACAGCATCTCTCAACTCGACGCCTTCGTAAGCCCGCTACTTCAAGTATCGTATCATTACCGTAACTTTTCGATTCCGTTTGCATCAAAACGAAACGCTTCAACTTCCATCTCCTCAACTACATGACGGCACTAGCTCGCAGCAAGCCGCCTTGGCTTAGATCACCAACTTCGTCCGACGAGGTCTAGACCACACAAGCTGACAAACCCGTCTCCCAAAGGTTGCCCGGCCAAGCCTTCCCAGTTCCGCATTTCAATCTTCATACCCTTCAAAATCCAGGAACCAACCAACACATCCAACCATCCCGCCCTCGCATCCCTAAAGCCAAGCAGAACTTACATACAGCCACGTACGCCGGACGACCCAGGCCCGTCATCAAACCCTGGCGCGGGCCTCCGGCAACTCCAGTCTCCAACATCACAGCCTCCAAAAAAACGGCCGTCCCGAAACTCCCAATCTCCAACTTCCCAACGCTCCCCACCTCCCGACCATCCCGATGCCACTGGGTCGGTCTCCACGGACTTTGCCCAAGCTCCAGTCCAGTCCCCTCCCCCAGCTTGTTGACAAACAGGAACCAAAAAACGCAGGTCCCCTTCCTTCCCAGCCGTTTCTCCAAGGGGGTTCCTCCCTCCAAAAAAAGTCCTACTTACGTAATTCCCGAATGCCCTCAGTGGGACCGGCCTGGAAATCTCACACCCCTCCCCCCTTGGAGGTGTTCTCCCAAAACATTACCATTAGGTGATGAAACTCCACCTTTGAGAGTCCCCGTCACACAAACTCGGCGGACGCACGCGCCGGAGTACGCAACCGGCACCACGGCTGGGCTGGGGGAGATGAAGTGAGGAGACGGGAATCAGTTTGGCAGGAAAATGGGGTAAAGAAACCTCATCCCCAGATTTTCCAAAAGATCCGGACGGGCACACTTTTCAGGCACACCCGTTCTTCGGTACCTTATTAGCTGGGCGGAGCAGCAGACGCACGCCGTGGCCCCGTCACGTCACATCACGCCTTGACCTCATCTGCTCTCCGGTCTCAGAGAGGGCAAGTTTGTCATTCTCTCCGATACGATCCTGTTACTAACGTGTTCCGAACTTTGTCGGTTCTATTGGCCAGCTAGATGGTGCAAAAAACACAAGCATATGGAACGTACATTTCATGACCAAAAAGAATCAAGGATGGTGAGAAAACCAACACAGAGCCAAGCCCATACGTAAAGCCGGTCGTCTACTTCGGGCACCCGCGAGGCTCTCGTCACAATGCAACGGAAAACATAAGCTTCAAACCCACTCACACACGCCCTTCATCCACGTGTCTCCCGCTGCATTCCAAGAAAAAAAAGGAACAAGAATGAAAGCAAACTCACCTCGCAGGGCTTTTTGGAACTCTTGGCCTGACCCTGTCCCCTCGAGTCAAGCTCGCTTCCGCCCTCGGCAATTACCTAAGTAGATGGGTGAAAGCGGGCGCGTGCCACACGTCCCCCGCGATGGGGAATATTGGAACATACATGACGAAGATTGCACCAGCTGTGCAGACTGTCAGAAAACAGACCAATGGCCTTGAAGAAACGAGGCCACGCCATCAGCCGCTCGCTCGTGATGCCTCATATTTGCGGACAACTGCAACAAAGCAAGTAAAGAATACGCCGGCCAAGGTTTTCGGCCTGACTCAACCCAGCCAAGCCAAAACCCGTCACGGAATCGAGTCCGAAGCCCCCAAACGATGCCGTCAGTCCGCCGCGCCGAGACGTGATGAATGGGGCACAGCGGTTTCGCAAAAGGGCCACATCGGTCCTGGAATCCGCGTGCCGAAAGTCCCACTCTTCCGCCGGCGGCCGATCCAGACAAACATCGCGGCGGGTCTCGAGCAACGACGAGCCTTCGAATAGCCAGGTGGCACACCATACGGAGACCGCTGTCACAGACGACAAACACCGCGCTAGATATGCTCTGAGAAAGGGAAACATAAAACTTTTCAAGTCAAACAATAAAAAACTTTTTTATCCCTCCATAGTTTTCCTCCCTATGCATCATCATCATACGAGATGTGTTGAAGACAAAACGCCATTAAAACAGTGCAGAGGCTTCATCTCATAAGCCGCTTATCCAAACATACAAACAGTGAAGACGAGTACTGCAGGCCACCCTACCACCTTTGGGGTATTTCCGTCGCCCAGTTGACTGTCCCTTTTTCGAAAATGATAAATGAGTTTGTTGTACTTTTGTATCGTATCGTGATCGCATTTCCCGTAGGTGACCGCGGCGCGGGTATTGAAGCCACCTTGAATTTTTGTTCCCCTCGCTTATTGTGATTAGGGACGCTGCTACAATGCTTCGCCCAGAAAACAATATCGCCGTCCGAATGCTTGTGTCGTGTCGCCCGGGTATCGAGTTTTTTTGTTCGCTCGCCGCAACCCCCAATTCGCATAATTAACTTTTCTTTTCTTTGCAAAAATAAGACAATGGCCGAAGCGGCCGTGATGAAACAATTTTGAGAGTCCATTCCTCCTCTTCTTGTCACTGAATGACATTGGACCCCAGCCGAGCCTGTCATGTTGTTGAAGTTGAATCCGCCGGGGGCGTATGGTTACCTCATGTTGCTCGTGTCGAAAGAGAACTGTGACGGGAAGGCCATGCTAGCGCTCAGTCCGAAAGGGTCCCAGTCGATGCCGGTATCCAAAAGCTGGGTCATGGAGGGATATGCACCGCCAGAAGTTTGAGCAGGGTGGTTCTGCTCAGCCTGGGTCGTCATGTGCTGGCCGGGACCAACAGAGGTCGGGGATGCCAACATGTTTTGTGGCGCATCGCCGGAGAAGTTGCTCGGATATGGGCCGGGGCCGCTCGGTGTATCGATCTCGGAGTCATCGATCATGTCTGCAGGGGCATCATACTCCTGCTCTGTACTCACGGTATTAGCTTAGGACGAACAAATTTTCATTACGGGGGAGGAGTCGGCTTACCTAGCTGCTCAATGTGGTTCTGGAACGCCGGAGTCGGGTAATATGGACCGTTGTTGCCGACTCTGGGAGGACCGCCGGACATCATGTGGGCCCGGGCGGCCGGGTTCATCGGAGCCATGGGACTAAGTTGTGACTTCCCCAAAGCCGGCGCCATGGCACGCATCGGACCATTGTCAGAAGCCGCCGGTGAAAGCGCCGGCTGACTGCCGTACGGGGCCGTGTTCGTCGGAGAGTTAGAGTGCGACGAAGGGGTCGGGCGGGTCTTGGGAGAAGCCGCCGAATGGCCTGCCTGTATTGGCGGAGGCAGAGGGCTAATGCCAGGCTCAAGCTTCGGAGCGATGCTCGAGTTGGATCGTCGGGACTGGTGGTGACGATTCAGAATAGCCCGCTGGATAGGCGGAGGCTGGACCATGTTCTGCGGAGCATGGGTTGGTCCCAAGTTGGGGCTGCCCGTTTTGGCTCGAAGCTCAGCTTGAACATCGATACCTATGATAGATAAGTAAGATGCCACTTAAGATAAGGTCACGTATACTCACCCTTTTCCAGCAGGATACGTTCAAGCAATGAGTTCTTGTAACGCAGCATCAGGCACTCATCAGCGGCAGTGCGATGAGCAGCCTGGAGATTGTGCAGGTTAGACTCATGGACACGGATGGCCTCCTCGAGTTGCTTGATGTACTCAGTTCGACGCTCGCGGAAAGCAGCCTGAGCCTGGCGGTTGCGCTGCTTACGCTCCTCGGACGTGGCGTAAATCTTGGGGTACGATTAGCATTCGGTCGGGGTAGGAAATAAGACTAAACAAGGTTTCGTCCAAGGTGAAACCTTAAGATTGTGTGACACGGACGAAAGTCTGGGGAAGTATGGTGTTGATAGATAGTGAATAGAGATGACAGGAAAGATTTACTCACAGGTTTGCGACCACCCTTTCGCTTGGGCTGCTGGTTCTCCGGGGCAGCATTGGCGTTGGCAGTACCATTGACAGCAGTAGGCTGCTCGGGCTCGGGACTAGAGCCCGTGGTCTCAGGAGTGTCCTCCTTGACGGGATCTTTGTTGTCGATGGACATCTTATCTGCCATTCCTTATCTCGTCCGGGGTAGTTGAGGCAGCTTGCCGGTCGGCGGCGGCAGCGAGGACTGCTGCAGCACGGTAGGCCGAAAGAAGGATATCTCAGTCGAGTAGAACGGCCGTTGTGACGTCGGGCGTTCCACACTCCAGCCCTATGATGTTCTGGAAGGTGTTCGTGTATGGGTGTTTGCGCGTGGTTGCGGGCGCAAGAGAGATGACAAGCAGGGACGGGGTAGCAAACAATTGCCCGAAAAAGGGATATCCGGGGGAAGAGATGGCAGTGGCGCCTATGAGCGCCCGCACGGGAATTTGGGGCGAAACAGCGCGGACTGCAGTTGGTAGACAGGACTTTGAAAAGGGTGGGAAATCCTAAGCAGGCGCAAGATAAGGTAAAGAGCGCTGCGCTGCTGAGACTGTGACTGGGGGGAGAAGCATCCAAGCGGGCGCAATTGAGCTTCAGTTGAATCTTTGACAGTTATTTTCCGCCAGCCCAGAGATAAGGGATGCAGCGATGAGAGGTTGCAGTGTGTAAGGAAATGGAAGAGAGCGGCGGTCTTTTATGTAATGATAATAAACAGAGAGCTCGAGGGGGGGCGCTCTCCAGCCATTCGCCCAGACCCAGAGGAGCCAGAGGAGCCAGACACCAACGAACAGGGCCGCCGGCGTGGGAGAAGAGGGGTGGCGGAGGAGGGGGTGAGGTGGAAATAATGGATGGTGGTGGAATTGCGTCGAGGGAGGTGGAGGACGTGGACGAAGAGGGGATTCGGGGAGGGGGGTGTGTCCTAAATCCCTCGAGTCCCTCTTGTCTGGCCGTGTGTGTGGGGATGGCCCTGTAGTTTGTGCGCAGTTGCAGCTGTAGGCCAAGCTTGGCCTGGTCGATGTTTCTTGTTAAAAAGGACGGGATGCTCTGCTTCAGCCAGTCCACACACGTTGGCTGATCCGAGACTGGTTGTTTGTCTCTCCTCCTTCTTTCCTGTCTCTTCTTGTTCGGGCTGTCTGTGTCTGAACTGGGCAAGGAAACTTGGGCTGACGTTCTTGGCGGGCTGGAACGATGAACTGTCCGTCCCGTGTCTTCTCCACGTTTTGGTGCAGATACGGCGCGGCAACGACAGCGTTTTTTTTTCTTGTCTGGAGGACGTGCGGTGCCTCGTGCCTTCTGGCTGATTTCTCTCTCGAACAAGAGGGTGACCGCCCTGACGACCTGAGAGGTTGATGGAAAGAGAAAAGAAGATTCCGGGTCAGCGGCAGGTGACGATAGCCCGCGTGGTGTCTATCCTCCTCTTCGACAAACCAGCAATAGATCGTGGAATCCCAACAACAACAGCCAGGCACACGAAACAATGATCGATGATGGATGGCGGGATAGACGGTCGATGCTCCAAAAAGGTGAACCAGGAAGGCAACGTAAGTCTGGTTGGATTCCGTTATGCCGCAGCAAACCAGCAGACAGCAGACGAACAGATCAGCTCGGCTTGTCGACAACGATGCAGCTTCACTGATCAGGTCGTGCGGGTGATGCGCCGGTCAAGAAACCCCGCTTCTGACGGTTGGAGGAGGGTCGGTCGTTGGGGTCGCTTTTTTAGGCGGCGTGTTGATGGTTCGCCGCGCGATCTTCTTCGTAGCGCTGTCTCGGCCTCCCTGTCGTTCGATTGTAGTTTCTCGACGGCTTTTCACGGTCTCAACGGCGTCTTTCGTCTGTGGTCGTCGGTTTCTCTCAGAAGTTGAATGTCTGACGAAGCGTCAAGAGAGGGCGATGCAAATGGTTGAAGAGTTCGAAAAGCTTTTCCAAACCCCTTCCGCTCAGTTGAGGCGTCGGGGTGGGACTCGTTATATGGGATTGGAAACCGGTACTTGGCTCCAGGTCACTCGGACTGTCCAGGTGTTAACGCGGCCCCAAAACCACACGCCCCCCGGCTCAATTATTGGTAGGTCTGTTTTGGTGGCACGCAAAGCATTAACATGAGGAATTTGACCGTGGGGAAGGTGGGAAGCTGGCCAGAAACCAAGGCAATTCCCTCGTTCTGCAAAGTGGGCAATTATTGGTCCAGATTGTTCTGTCCATCCAAGGCCATGGATGCCAACGACAGCTTCTGTTGTAGGCAGCTGAGGAGGGATCTGGCTGTCCATTGCGCCCTTTGGCATAGTATCCCGTCGGTGTTGTGCAGATTATTAGCAGCTTATCCTCCGACCACCGACCGGGCTGCTTTCCGTCACGTTCCTGAGCAAGTTGTGCTTCTTTGCGGGATCCGACTGGGAGTTGCCCGCGGCATCTCTTGGCTCTTTGACTTTCATCTTGAAGCTCAGGGAAGACGTCGTTTTGGGGAACCTTGCCCATCATATAACCCAAAGCTGTCGTCGTCAGATCGCTGCGGTTCCAAAATGGCAGGCTTCGCCAAAGCAGGACATGCACCGCGATGACTTGCTCCAACACAGATCAATTGCTGACTCGATGATTCAGCGAGTCCTTTTGCATCCGTTGTCCGCCGCGAAGTTCGCAATCAGTCAGCGACAGAGCGATTGAGAAGATCTTCGCAGAATGAGCTTGATTGAGCTTGGGCCAAATGAGATCTGACAGTCCCTCATAACCTCCGCGCCTCGAATGATCAGGGGCGGTCTTTATATGCATCGTGATGCGCGCTGCAAATATCTTTTGACCCGTTCCCACTGTTCAAACCTGGACAGTGAGGCTCCGTATTGAACCTAGAAATGATGCAAGCGTTAAAGTTCCATCAACACAGATTCCCAATTTCTCAGGCTCCGAATCGGAGGGCATCTGCAAGCATTTCCTTGCCCAGCAGAACGACACTCAGACCACGGACGGGTTCGGTCGTCAAGCATCACAACGACCATCCTTGGCGTACAAGAGGTCATTTTTACCAGACCTTTCAGACGTAGGACGTCCCAGGCGTATTCGCGGCCACCGGTGCTGCTGGCGACTGGTCGAATCTGGCGGTCATCAGACGAAGCTGGGGCCGGGCTTTGGAAAGGAGCGGAGCCACGTTCGCATCGAACAAATTTTCGGATCACCTGAGCTCCAGCCAGCATCCGGGAGGCGGAGAGCTTCCACCTGTCGTCCAGTTGCGCGGCACACCCAAAACCAACGCCCCTCCACCAATCCAGGTGTGATTGAGGTACTTGCATTCGATGTACTGTTGCGAGCGAAACGTTAGACTCGTCAGCCTTTTGTAAACACTTTGTGCGTTTGTTGAAATGTTGTTGGTCCGAAGCTGTTGTAAGAACGAAGGATAAGGCTGAGTTTGCTCAAGATGTAAAACCGACTTGGATGCCAATAACCCCAGCAACTCCATTCATGACCAGACTGTGTCATGTCGAACAGCCAGAAACGGCCTGTTGGATGGCGTTCCCCGCGACGAAGCCTTCGGTGGACAGTCCAGGTGGCAGCTTCCCCCAGGCCCTTGCGTGGTAGTGATTCGATGATCCACGACGGGAGCAGCGGAAGTGCCGTAACAGCAACGGCAGGTCGTTTAGCGTACGGCGTGTTAACGGTACAGCTTGCAGGACGGATTCTCGCGTCGACAGAGCTTAGCGCTGGGTGGCATCCCTGCGAACTGCACGGTACGGCAACCGTAGCGAGACACTAATGGATGCTTGCCTCAGATCCTCGAGAGAGAAATTTGCATCTCCGCGGAGCTCTTTCCTCACATCGTGACGCAGGCACGCAGAACGCGGAGCAGGCCAACAAGTGACGGAATTTGGTGCGATGGCCTGTCCTGGCGTAACGGACGGCGTCCAATAATTGTCGGATTCGACCCTCCCGGAGAGGTGCGCCGATTGTCACGGCAGGACCCGAGTAGTCGGGAGAGGGATTGGCGGTGTTTCGTCACATCCTCGTCTGTGCCGTGAGGTTGAAATAATTTTCACCCGTCATTCATGCTTGAAGTTGAGGTCATTCTCCGGTCTCGGGATTGGCCCGATCTGATCTGACTTTCCCCGTCGGCAACTGATGTTCGTCCATTGAGTCTGTTTGGCGGCAAAACTTCGCGATGCCAGGCGCTAAAGCCAAGGTTTGCTGCGACTTAGGTTGTTGAGCTGGCAGTCGATCGCAAACGTGCGGACAGTGCAAGGAGAAAGTAAGCGCTCGGTTTCCGCCGTCCGTTCACACCGTTCAGCTGACCGTCTGGACGACGGGAAGTGGCCCTAGCGTCGGATCGGGGTCCAGATGGTCCGGGCCAGCAGGAACGAAAAAGGTGGATCCCATCCTTCTAGAAAACTTCTAGTCCCCGACCAGTCCCCGAAGCCGGACCACTGCCGGGCCTTTTCCGCCTTTTTCAGCTTCTCGTGTTATTCGCCGCGGCATCCGAACATCGGAAAGCCAATCATCTGACACGAATGTAAAAAGCCTGGCGTCGCATTTCAGCGACGCACACCACCACCAAGTTTTCCTCTGCTTTTCTTTCTTGCTCTTTTGCAATGCAATGCGTGCATCCATACCTACGCGAGCCCTAGGGCGGGGCTCTTCCTTAGTGGACCGTAGTGGAGTTGGTTTCCTGAAAAGCGAGTGTTGCCGTTTCATTGCCAGAATGGGTCAAACCCGTAGGGGGGTGCGCCTTGGACGGCTGGCTCACTGAAAGCTCAGAGAGTTGGCCGCCGGCCACCCGCCATGTCAGCACGCTCAAAAGTCCTACGAGCGTGCGGTTACGTAGTGGTCAGGTGATGCCACATCTCCCGTGACTCACGAAGGGGCAGAGAAGATGGCTAGATCGTGATCTTCAAAAGGCTGTGGAGAGACCAAGGGCGTTGAGCGCTGCAGCAATTAGACATCGGACATTCCATTGGCACCTTTGCTCCGTCACGATGCTTGGCTTGCTGCCTCACAAAAGTCCTCGGGATGAGTCCGGTGCCCTGCCAAGCTTGCGATGCCGCCGGGTCCGAACTTCTCCAAATGTGAAACCATGTTCGCGGCCGGATGAGAAAGAAAATGTGATGAGCGGCGGTCCGAATCCCGCTGCTGGGTCTGATATTCTCGGGTGCGTTGTGAGTTGAGGCTTGGATGCTGGGATGACGCGGAATAGGTGTCGAAGATGCTTGGAGGAAGGAAAAAGTCAATTGAGAACAAGGACCGGTGGTGGGCGTCCTGAGCTTTTTCAATGTCGTCGGGTTGCCAAACTGTTGACAGAGTCTCTTGATTCAGTTGACATGGAGTATCCATAATGCCTCGGGTTCTACAACTTTTTGCTCAAATCCGAAAAAAATGTTGTCAGAGAAATTGTGTCTCGATTATGCTGCACCAGTTGCTGACAGCTGTTCGCGGTTCATTCGGCACGAATACCCAAAACTCTCTCAATAGGCTTTGGGCGGCTCGTCACGAATGCCCGGAGTTGAGGACACACCACATTTAGCCAAGGCCAATCAACTCAACTCATGTCTTTAACATAATCCATTACTTACTTGACTCTCTGCCTGCAAGAGCTCTTTACTCTTGCTGAAATGTCAATGCCCGGGATTCTCTGAGTGATGTGACCTTAACCTGCCATAGAGAACGTCAGCACGCTCAGTGCCTGGCTCAATCAAAACCAACTCAGTGAAGCGAATCGTGTATTCCGGCTGTTGTTTCAACGAGCTACGGAGTAATGACTGCGCAATTGCCTGACGTCAGAGATCACCACGCTAACATCCACGCTCCATGGATCCTCAAATGACCGCGTCCTTCAACAACCAACTCCGATATGGTGTAACGGTTAGCATACTCCGCTTTCATGCGAAGTCCCGGAGAGTCCCGGGTTCGACTCCCGTAGGCGCCCTTTCATTAAATACGTTATCTGAACTCGTCTCTAACAATTCTTCAGGGTATCGGAACTCACAAACATCTTTTTTGCCCGTTGACGATGTTCCAAGTTGAAGTTCTTAACCAAACTCACATACGACTACGTCACGCTGTAAATAAAGCACAAAGGCTTTAGTCTAACCACTCTTATTGATGCTGGTTAAGCTGTGTTGCTACAGACTTGCTTTTGGGCCGATTCGGCGCCGACATCCGGAGGCCGAACCGAGACCCGGCGTTGCCCCACATGCCGGAGGTGGCGCACGGACCAAATTTCGCCGGGTCACCGCCGTAATGTTGAAAACACCCACGGCCTGTTCGCATTAAGCGGCGCCTCACTACCGGACCTGCGCGGTGACATCCAGACTTTGGAGTTCGATCTTGCGAAGGCTTCAGTATATGATCACGAAGTGTGAGGCTGCTGATCTTGATTTGAAGCTAGAAATGTGCGCTTCGATTTGCAGCCGTCTTCTCAGCTAGGATGGCTATATGCTTATGAGGTTTTGAGGCTCAGCCCAATGCCTTCATTTAAAGAATAATATAGTGTTACATAGTGTTGGCTGCCGGATTTCTCTCCAACTCCAACCTCGTGGCTCCGCAGGAACCGTTTGAGATGAATGCCTTTCAACACGAGTTCCCGCCAGGTCTCACCCACGGTTCACTCAAACTCCTCCAGCAACTTACAAGGCTAACCACCGTGCCCTTATGTATCATTCAAAGCCCAATGCTTCCAACAAACAAGCAAATGCGCTATAGGATATTGGGAAGAGCGTTTCCTCTAGATCTTCATCAATTCTTCTCAGAACTGCAAATTCCACAGAACGTTTATGGAGAGGGAGACGGTGGTTCGGTTCCACACGGTGCCATCATTCCTCTTTCTTTTGCTCCTGTTTTTGTCCCGTCTCTCACTCAAACTGAGAAAGACCAGAGGCGTCAAGGATTCAAGTTCCAGTTCCAACTGAGTTAACAGTCTTCGTTGCTAGAAAGATTGCATAGACAGATTCAGTGACGGTAAGTTCTAGGCACGGCGAGGAGAAGGATCGGTAGATACGTTAGGAGCGTACGCCCAGCCTATGAATATACTTACTTTTTCCCAACATTGAATGACACGTACTCGCCATAGGTCCTGCACAAGACACGAAGTAAAGCTCGAGACGCTCGTTAGAGGCCTTAGCACACGCCGAGCTGATGCCAAATTTGCATCCCATGATGACCTCTGAAAATCAAATAGCTTCGATCGACATCAGTGAAACAGACGGAAATCCCAACTCCAACGTTCCTGCCCAATTTGAATATTTATCAAGGGTCTGATATAACCCGGTGGTCTCTCCTTCCTTCAATAGTTCTGCTGCGCTTGCTTCACTTACTTTCCTTACCATCATACCACTTCAACTCATATAAGAGACAGGCATCTTCAGAGACACCCACATTTTGACCGAAACAAACTCACTCAGAACCACATCGGCGACCTAAATATACCAGCAGCATCATCCACAACAACATCACAAGATGAAGACCACGACCAGACGCGACGGCCCGCGGGAGGTCAAGAAAGCTGCCAAGCCCACCAGGGCTCAGACTCAGGCAAACACCACCCTCCATCATTGGATGCAGCTCTGGGACAACGTTCCTCCCCCCTTTCCTCCTTCGCCTGTGACCTTCGAGGAGCTTCAATTCACCAATCAATATTTCTATTTCCCATAGGATTGATTCGCCATCTCTTTGGAGGTCCCGCCATCTATATCTCGAGTTCAGGTTCTCAATTGCCTAGCTTTTTAGTCCAGTCGAGTCTCACTCACAGGTTAGTGGGCAATCTCAGCGACGCAGAGTGGTTTTGGAGCAGATACTAACGCATGTCATAACAGATTCGAAAGTCGGCCACCTAGCCTAGGAGTAAGGAAATGAGATAAAGACAAAGGGAAAGATGGAAGTGACAACGTGCTCCAGCGCAATTGTCAGCAGAGATGGCAAGTGAGGAAGGATTCCGAAGCGTTATAGCCCGCAATGGACATAAGCCATTCAAATCCATTCAAATCTTATATTCATCTCAAAGACTGAAGTGACAACATACGTGATAATGCTGTTGGAATACATTGGATTTGGTGTCTTCCTAGAAAGAAGACATACCAGTGCCAGTGGAAGGCAGACCTCAAGAGCTCCTTCTACATATCCTGACATATTTGCTGGTACTTGTGCAGGACAGAGCGCCCCAACATCCTGCCCTCTTCGCTGTTACATAAATTAAATCCATCTGCCTGTCGCTTCGCTCGCTTCGTTAGCTTCTTTGCTCCCAACATTTCAAAAGTCATTCAAGTGTTCACGTCAAACTACGTCCGCACTCCACACCAAGCAAGCTGAACTAAACAACATCGTCCCAAGATGAAGACCAGCACCCGCCGCAACGGCCCGCAGGCAATCTCCAGCGCTCCTGCACCCCCGACCGCATCCGACATCCTCATCGAGATGTTCAGGCTGGAGACCGAGCGAATGATGCAAGAGATCATGGGCGTCAGCTTCTATCAAAATATGGGGTACAGGCCCTTGACCCGACCCAGAGCCGTCGGACCTCAAGGCCGCCGCAACAGATCCATCTTCTGACACGAGCGTGGCGCGTTCTATCACAGACGAGAAAGAGCACGAGTCTTCCCTAATCGGTCAGTCACTCGAGTAGTCGCATGCCTTCCCTGTAGTCAACTCTACCTCGAGATCTTGGAGAGCGCTTTCCCTGAGGGCTGGTCGACTTCTCTGTAAGTCTACCTCCAGCTACTTAATTCACCATGCGCAGAACCTTGCGGGATACTAATGACTCTTATTAGCATTCCGTCTCGGGGTAATCGGCAAAGAATGTGAACACAAGCGGGGTTCACGATGAAGGACGGAAGATTAAATCTGCAGAAGGAATCGCACGGCGCGATAATATCTTTTTAGGGAGAGCGTTTTTCGGACCGCCTATCATCAGTAACCCGTCGATAATAACATAATATCATATCAAAGCATCACAGAGCTTCAAGAAGCGTTCTTGTCAAGGTGAAATCTATGACGTTGAAACTCGTAATCTTTCAATAAGCTGAGATACCAATAATGGTCTGGTGAAACTTCACTGAGATCTTCGTTTGAACAGGAAATATTGAGCAAGAGTTTTTCAAACGAGGATGAGGATAAAGCAGGAATTCTAAATGTTGGTCGTCATATGATCTTATGAAGGCACTAATTATGATTCGGACGAATTCGCCTGGATAGACCCAAACCAGTATTTCAATTAGTGGTATCCGTTGTTCAACCACAAGACTCGACAGCAAATATGTGGACTAGGTGATTAAATTCCAAGAATACATGCTCTGCCGAAAATCACTCGAGGGACATAATAGTCCGGCAGATCCAGGTATTCTGATACCTGAATTTCTTATTCAAACTGCAACTGACGGAGCAGTTCCCAAGAGCCTTACACTTGATGTCTCGAACCCTCAGTATTCACGACGTATCATTTTCCCACGAGTTAATTGCCCCATCCCGATTCACACGCATGCATTCCTGGTCTTGCAGAGGAAGTTCCATGGCCGTAGATTCAAGGGGCGGAAGCTCCCAGCCAGAGGATGAACGGCGGAAGTGCTGACGTCCTGATTTTCTTACACAAAGCTCTGGATGTTCAGTGGTGAATGATAAACTTGGTATTATTCCGGGCCTAAAACTACTTTAAAAGAAATACAGTCGCTCGCCATTGATCATTACCCACGATACATCATCACGTCCCTCATTTCACAGTCTGCTCGACCTCCCCTCATCCATAATCGCACCGCTCATCACCGGGACCTGCTGCTCTCCCAGAACCAGCTCCCTCCCGCCCTTGGTAGTCCACCACGCAACACCAATCGTAGCCCTCTCGACGTCCATCTCGCCGCTGACGAGGACCTCCCAGAAGCGGTCCCTGACGGGCTGGCGCAAGACGGGGTCCGAGATCTCGTTCATCGTCCGCGCCGTTAGCGTCAGCCAGTCCTCGACGAGCGGCAGGGGCAGGAAGGGCAGCGAGTCGATGAGCGTCAGCGCGAGCGAGCTCTGCTCCGACATGGGCTCCTCGGGTGTCAGCCCCTTCTCGGCCTGGGATATGGCGTCCTGCGTGAGGGGCAGCGGGGTCGTGCTCGCGCCCATGGCCTTGAAGCGGACCATCTCGAGGAGGGTCTCGGAGAGCTGGGGCTCTGTTAGGGAGATCGGGAAGGGCGGGGAGACGATCTGCATGACGGTCTTGAAGGCGAGGCGGAACTGCCGGGTCGAAATTTGTAAGGGGAAGGATGCGAAGAGGGCGTCGATGTAGAAGGGCACGAGGCCGACGGTCAAGGAGCCGGTGTGCGGGCAGGACAGGACGGAGAGGATGGCGCTGTGGGCGGCTTCGAACAGCTCGATCATGGTCGACGTCAGCACGCCGGTGTGAGTGAGGTATGCTGTTGCTGGCCGGACGATCAGCGCGTCACATGCTTCGGTGGGCATGTTGAGAGGCAGATGCTCTGCCACATTGAGGTAGAAGAGGTCCAGAGTCCGGTCCAGGAAGTTAGGGGGGACCACTCCGGCGTGAGGCGGCTTGACTTCGGTCAGTAATGCGACGCACGCATCTGCGAACCGGGCCAGGATGTCGAGAGATGTGAGGTAGGTGAACTGGTACGCCTGGAACGCGCTGGCTCCCTGCCTCGAAGAGATGAAGAACAGGTTCCGTAGGGTGAATAGCGACTTGGTCGCGACTTGGGGTGCCATCACATCGTTCCTCATCCGGGGATCAAGCAGACTTCGTCCGACGATGGCTTGCATCACAGCGACCGTCGCGTACATCGTCTTCTTCAACACTTGCCACAAAACCGGCCACGAGCCCTCCAGCGTTTCCTGACCCAGCCGTGCCGTCTCCTCAGCGCCGTCGACCGTCGATAGCGGGTTGTACCGCCACTGCTGGAACACCTTCTGCGTGAACTCCATCAAAGAGTCCTGGGCCTCGAGCACGACGGCAGAGTCGGTCGCGTTCGTGACGGCGAAGGCGGCCAATCTCGACAGCGGGCCCATGCCGCCCATCAAGGGTTTGCTATCCATGGTCTGCAGCATCGCGAACGACGGCGAGTTGGGACGCCAGTCAACCATCTGCCCATGCTGCTTGACATCCTTACGAATGTCATCGATGAAGCGACCATCCTGGAATCCGTCCTCTCCGGTGATGGCCAGAACCGTAATCGGTAGCAACGCATTGCAGTTGATCATGCTCTGGCGGAACTCGGACAGGTACGGAAAGACGTAATTGAGCGCGAGCACAATCGACGCCGAGGCAAACGACCCATCCTGACGCTCCAGCGCGAGATTCGCGGCCGTGACGACGGCCTCCTCCAACGTGTTGCGCAGACCCCTCGATAGCGACTGCTTGTCGTTCGCCTCCATGCCCATCAAGATGCCTGTCAGGACCAGCAGATGCTGCCATCTATTGGACCGGTCATCGGCGCCCTTGACGACCGCCCGCACCCAGGCGTCGCTGCCGAGGCATCCGCCCTGCCGCGGCCCGTGGGCGTTCTTCGCGTTATCAATCTCGTTCTGTCGCACTCGGATCGCGGCGCTGTTGTAGATGCTGATGATGCGCAGACTCGTCCGCAGGCCGTCGCGACGGTGCCATATCGCTGGGGCGATCAGCAGCTGCGAGGTGAGGACGCCGAGGTTCAGCGGGTTCGAGAGGGACGTCAAGAGGTTCGTCGTGGAGCCGACTATCTGGTCCGTCTTGCGGTCATCGTGGACGTTTTGGTACAGTTGCAGGACTGTGTTGAGGAGTCTGTCGGCGGGCATCGCGCCAGAGGTATATCGGTCGACGAGGGCGAAGAATCGGACCAGAATTCGTGCAAAATGTCGTTGGAGGAACGTCGCTCGGGAAAGGCGTTGTATTGCGGTGGCTGCGAAAGACGACGCCGATGCCGATGGCAGGACGTCGGGACTGGAACGGACGTTTTTACCGAGGCACCTGAACCGGCCCCCTAAAGCCACGCCTCGAGCTTCCCCCAAACCTGCGCCATCCCTGCAACACCACCCACGATCGCCCACCCAACCCCAGCAAAGACGATCAGCGACAGCTGCTGCGCCTCCTTCGAAAGCTCACCCACCTGCAGCATCCCGCCGAACCTCCAACGACTACTTCTTTCCTCTCCTCGAGACCGCAGGACTCGAAGCCGACGATGTCCGCACGCGCGCAGAACTATCCGCCTCAGAACTACAAAGTCCCGTCGTTCCCGAGCATCAACTGGCAACTCCGGGACCTCACGGACGACCACCGCTGGAGCCTCTTCTACATCCACGACATTTGGCGGTTCACGGTGATATGGACCTTCATCATCTACGCCGCGGTGCACATGGGCGCCGCCGCCATCACGATCGTGATGCACACGAATAAAAGGGGCTCGTTGACGTATCTCTGGGCGGTGCCTTTGCTGTACGCCTTCGTGGCGGGTGTGCAGGCGATCTTTGCGGGCAGCGTCGTCGGGTTGATGTAAGTGCTGGCTTTCTCTGCGACAGAAGTGACGATGCTGATTTATGTTTTCTTGCAGCCTCGGAGCGGTCTACAATGCCGGATACTTCTCAATGTCAACATGGGTTCCCCTCCTTTGGGGCGTCATCAACGTCCTCGTCCTCATCATCTCATCCTTCTCCATTCAAGGCGGTCTCTGAACGACACGCGCGAAGCGAAAACACACACGCACGAGAAGCAATAGATGCATTAAGACTACATGGTAGCACTATAATTGATGGTCGCGGATAAACCGTTGGCCACCCCGTTGACCGCCCCATTCGTGGGCTCCGACGGCGTGATCTCTTTGATGACCCGCGCCGGGTTTCCCACGACGACAACATAAGGCGGCACGTCCTTGGTCACGACGCTCCCGGCGCCGACAGTCACGCCCTTTCCGATCGTCACTCCCGGCAACACGATGACGTTGCCCCCGATCCAGCAGTCCTCGCCGATGGTGATGGGCTTCCCGCTTTCCGGGCCGCGGGTGCCGTTGCGGAGGGTGGGATCCAGCGGATGTGTGCCGCTGTAGAAGGAGCAGTTGGGCCCGATCAGGGTGCGCGAACCGACTGTGATCATGCAGGTATCGATCCATGTGCTGTTGGAGTTGACGTACACGTTGTCGCCGAATCTGCGGGCGGTGTGAGACGTACGTATCCAGAGGTTAGGAGGTAGTCACGTACTTTACGTTGTAGCCGTAGTCCATCTTTATGGGGGCATCGATCCACGGCCAGTCTTCTAGGAGATGGTCGTCCTCGTCCCGGCGGGCCCTCGGTGGAGGGAGGGGGATTGTGTCCCCGTTGAGGCTGCTCCGGGTTAGGTCTATCTCTTGGACGAGAAGGGGAAGGGCGCCAAGAGGGAAGGGCGGCTTCGACGCCCAGAAAATAGAGTAACTGAAGATGGCACTTACTCTTTCCACATGCCGATAAGCGTGCGGCGGCTCACGTCACCGGCGTTGTTGAACCTGGCGCAGGCGGCATTGCACCGTTTCCGATCCGCGATCAAGTCCGGGGTAAAGGCCCAGTAGAGCTCGCCATTCCTCATCCGCCGACGGTTCTCTTCCCTGTCGATGGTGCGGATGTCCATGGTTTTCTTGTGCATTTGTGTGGTTGTTAATGTTTTTGGAGAAAGTGTCGGTGTACGTATATGAGGTGATTTGTTTTTCTAACCCCTACACGAGGAGGACGGGGGAAACGTGTTTGTTTACAAGGACCGGCAAGGTGAAGCGAGATGAAGCGGAGGGACAGGCCTCGTTTTCGAAGGAAAGAATGGACGTCCAAGACTTTTGTAACCGCTCAGAAACAAGCTGCGCAAACAAGACCAATGAGCGAGCTTGCAGAAGTAGAGGTAACTCTTCTTTTTTTCTTCACCGCGCTAAATAAAAAAAGATACGGTGGTAGATCTCGGGAGATATGTGCCGGACCGTTTCGAACTAGAAGTAGTTTATCTCTCTTAAAGGTGTACTAACAGAAAAGAAGTATTTCCCTCAGATCAAGTGACCCATGATCAGAAGAGAAAATAGACAAGGAAACAAAGTCGGTGAGGCCGAAGACCAGCAGAAGAGAACACCTGGTGCTCGCTGCTGCTGCCGCTGCCCGTCGTAAGCAACCTGGAAGCAAGCACCTGAAGTCCCAAAGCGCAGGCGGCGGGCGCGCATCGAAGACCGCTGCTGGAAGGGGGGACGAGGTCCACGCACTTGCGTCATCTGCCCCTGACCCTCGGCCCGCGCTCACGCTTGGCCTTACCCGTCCCACCCGTCCTCTTGCATTCGTGAAGGGTTTCCTTTCTACTGTCCAAACAGTTTGCTCGAGTGCAGCAGCAAGCAGCAAGCAAGGAGCGGAACATAGTTCCCTCACAGGTCAGCGGCGGGTTCTCTCGGTGAAGAAAACGGCAATAGCTCACACAAACAGTGGGGGAAGGGAAAGTCATTGGAAGTGGACGTCCGAGGTGGACAACTGGACGTGGAATTCGCGTCGCCTGCCCAGGCTGAAGTGGATAATGCCTCGCAACGCAAAAGTGGTACCGATCTCTCTCCACAACTCCAACGTTGGGCCCTTCTTTTTTTTCTTTCTGTCTTTCCACGTCCACTCCGACAATTTTGCTGTGCAATTTTGAGCCTCCACGTCAGAAACCGAGCATTACAGCGTCAACGGTCAACCGAATCCGCCCTACAGGGAACAGACCTTTAGCTCGCCTGTCAATCACAGGACAGCCGCCAGTGTGGAGGCGATTACTCACGCACTCCCTTACTCAATCTCGGATTCTGCAAACGCCATGACCTCAAACTGAACAGAGTTATCGCCTGTCTGTCTGCCTTGCTAAAATAACAATTCCAGGCGCTTTGCTTGCTGTTGTTCATGCATTGGGTGAATGACGGCAACCACCTCGAGGAGCTAGAGCCGCCCGCCACTGTCACCGTCCCTGCTAGCCCCCTGTCTTTCGCCTCTAGCCAACGGCATCTGTATCTTCCCGCGTCCCGCGGCCACCCCCAAATCTTAGCTTCTTCCCTCCCTCCCATTCGTTCAGAGCTGCCGGGCGCGGTCCCTCGACTCTAAACCTCGACGCGTGCCGAACATCCATCCACCAGACATCGGATCACAAAGCCCAACCCGGGGCACGCGGGACCTTCGCACAATGTCCAGCTTCCGACGGGTGTAAGTCAGCTTTCTCTCTCGCTCTGTCTCTCTTTCGGTCCCGTGCTCTTCTCCATCACGCCGTGACCTCGGACCCCCTTTTCCCTCTTTACCCCTGGATATGCAACTTGCTCTTCTATACTCAACCCCTCAACACCATAACCCCGCCATCACGATGTCCTCCCGCAGGCCCGTGAACCCCCTCTACCAAGACCCGACCAGCTTCCTCTCAGATCACCATCACCACCACAACAACCTCCCCTCACCCTCGCACTCACCAGAAACTGACTCCTCTCCCAGCGACGCCCGTCCCTCCGCCTCAACCCCGGAGAAGGACTACTACCCCCACCAGCGCAAGTCCCTAGCAGGCATCGCCCTCCGCGCCTTCCTCCTCGGCGCCTCCCTCCTCACCGGCCTCCTCTCCGCCGCCTACATCCTGCTCACCACGACCTCCCCCCTCTGGCGCCTCCCCTTCTTCCTCTCCGCCCTCTCCCTCTTCCACTTCCTCGAGTTCTGGACGACGGCCGCCTACAACACCCCGCAGGCCACCGTCTACGCCTTCCTCCTGACGGCCAACTGGCCCGCCTACGCCATCGCCCACGCCACCGCCTTCGCCGAATGCCTCGTCTCGAACCTCGTCTTCGGCGGCTCCGTCTGGGCCCCCTTCGGCACGAGGCCGCTGCTCGTGGCCGCGGGTTTCGCCCTGGTCTTCGTGGGCCAGGCGGTGCGGTCCCTGGCCATGATCACCGCCGGCGAGAGCTTCAACCACACCGTCCAGCACTACAAGGCCGAGTCGCATACGCTCGTCACGGGCGGGATCTACGGGTGGTTCAGGCACCCCTCCTACTTTGGGTTCTTCTGGTGGGCCATCGGGACGCAGTTGGTCATGGGCAACGTCCTGTCCTTGTGCGGCTACGCGGGAGTGCTGTGGTTCTTCTTCTCCAAAAGGATGCAGCACGAGGAGGAGCTGCTCATACGGTTCTTTGGCGACGACTATGTCAGGTACCGCAAGAGCGTGGGCACCCTGATTCCGTTCTGCGGATAGACTGGGTCGAGACTGTCACGCGCAGTGGCATGTATAGTACGTGCACACAAAGTGTCTTGACGAAGCGCCAGTATTATTTTATCTATAGACCGCATAGGAACAAAAGGAATGATAGGAGAATGCCCATCTTAACACGGTTTACCCAGCTCTCGACCACGCCATCTGTCTGCTTACGCTGCCGTACTTAGCCTGCCACGCGTAAAAGTACATCAATGCGGCGAAGGGTTGCCCGAGAATCGTGAAGGACACCCAGAAGATGCAGTTGCCGATCATCTTGCCCGTCGGAGACTGCATCTTCTCGAGAGGAGCAGTGATGGCGATGAGAGGGAGTTGGAAGAACATGCCGGCAAACGCAACCCCTGATATAGTTAGCCTCTGATTCAGGACACGCGTGATGCATTTCGGCTTACCAATGATGTTGTGGGTCGGTACGCCGACGAGAACCTCGTGCAGAACAGCCGAGGCGAAGAAGACCGCAAGTTGGGCGGCTCTAGGGCTCCAGCCGCGGCCGATTAAGGGAGAGTAGACGTGACGCTTGAAGTACTGGTATACAGGCTTGTTCCACAGGCGCCAGTAGGCACCAAGACTCTCGCTGTTCCACCAATCTTCGTAGAAGCAGCGATCTCCAAAGCGGGTGACCTCGGCGAGGGCGTTAAGGAAGGACTGGAAGAGAGCGAAGAAGCCCGCCAGCCAGATAACGAGAGAAATGGTCGAGAGCTTCATCAGGCGCTCGAGGATCTTCGGCACATCCAAGGAGGCAATCTTGTCGAGCGAGTTGATCAAGACAGGGGCGGCGTACTGGGCGCTGGCGAACCAGATGAAGACACCCAGACCAAAGACCTCCGCCATACGCTTGCCGACGAACACCCATCTGATCTTGTCTGTCCTCGGGTATGCGGGTTGGTACACCAGCGTCGGCGCCCACCAGAAGTAGGCCAAATTGCCCATCGTGATATTGTTGGGATAGGGGCACTTCGCGTAGATTTCGGGCATGGCAGCAAGCTCGCCCTTGACGGGATGCAGATAGGCATGGCGCAAGTCTCGGTTCGTGAAGGCGTACGATGCTGTCTTAAGCCATACGATGATGGCGTGAAGCTCCGTCAAGGTCCCAATCAAGGGATGGTGGATATGGAAGTACACCATATACGTCGTGATGGCCAGAGCGAGTGTGATGTTTACGGCGTGAATCCAAGCGATGACCTTCCACGTAGCGTTGAATCGAGACCGTTGGTCCGGTGTTGGACTGGCAGCACCATCCTTCGACTTGGCTCGTAGGCCACGGGCTTGCTGAGCCGCGGCCAGTTCGATCAGGTAGGCGGCAAAGAGGTGGCATGGGATGAGGGCGTACAACCCCAGGCCGAGAACAACATCTTGCCGACGGAAGTCGTGGCATCCAACGCAGATCAAGACTCCATACTGCTGTGTGTTAGTGACAGCTAACCGGGTTACTGCGATATGAGCCTACTTTTTGGATGTTCTCAATCATTAGACGCAGGTTACCGACAACTGTACACAATCAGCCAAAGCCACGAACAGTCCTGGCTTCGATCGACGTACTTAATACAATTACCATTAGGTTCCTGAAGCCTAGAAAGCTAGGCGCGGCGTTGGAGTCATGGCTGAGGGTTGATGGTCGTGAGCTCTTGTGTACCGCAGCAACGTGTCTGTATTTCCGTTGGACCGCCCTCCTCAAGTCCTCGGTCGAGCGCTGTTCTTCGGAAGCGGACGGTGGTGCGGGAGACTTGGCGGATTTCGGCTCGGCGGTGCCATTGCGTGTACGAAGGGATGTAGTCATGGTTGAGCTCTCGACGCTCGTCACCGTTGCCGTGTGCATGACGGGCGACACGATCTAGGAGCAATTGGGACCAGACAATAAGAATCTGGCCAGACGTACAAAGCAATAGGAAGGTGCCGCAATGGATGACGAGGGGAAAGAGGTGAAAGTTTAAAAAGGGTGAGGAGATTCGATGGTAAGGAAAGCTATGTAATATGCAATGCAGGGAGTGAGTGGCAAGCGCGATAAGATATCGGAGTCTAAGGGCAAGGTGCAATATGCAAGACGCCAAACCGAGAGCGGCCTGGGCAGAGGAAAAAATACGAATTGACTTCGTGGCCGGTGTTTCCAAGGGAAGACGCCTGACGCCCTCGATTCGATCCGAGCTCCCTAAGCTTGGAGAGAAGCTATCGGGATGGCGAACGCATTGGCATCGGGCCTGGATTGGATTGGATGAGGGGCAATTCGCACGAAGGGGATCGGGAGCAAGCAGAAAAAGGGAAGGGGGTACGTCAAGGCACCGAGCAGGGGGAAGGGGGGAAAAACAGGTGGAGGAAGCTAGGCCGACGCCATCAGGCCCTTGAAGCGTGGGGATTCGTTCGTCGACGCGGAGGAATGATGGAAGAGGAGGTGCGCTGACGACAAGAACGCAGATGGCGTGAATGCGAGACCTGCCGACGTTGAAGAGCGGAAGTGATCGCAGAAGGGGAGAGACAAAAAAGTGAGACAAAGTAAACAAATTAGAAAGATGAGGAGACGACAGCCGAGAGCTTCGGGCGAACTGGACGATGGCACGGCCCCCCGGATTGAAAGATTGGAAGGGGGAACCTTGGGAATGTCAGGGTCGTTGAACCTGTCGAGCCTGTCCGGTCTCGATGGCAGGACCAGACAGCAGGGCCAACAACAGGCCCTCAGAGTTCCAAAAATCACCTTACGGCCTGCTAACGCTGCAACGAGAAAAGCGCAATGCATGCACGTCAGGGGTGCTACGGCTCCACGGATAGAGACGGCGATCCCCGGTGGGAGTTGTGAGTGGTGGGACACGGGGCTTCGTGGGGCGTTGGAGAGAGAAATTGAGGAACGAGCCGTGGCTGAACTAAAATCACATGCCAAAATGAAGGGGGATGGCATTTCTTGGAGCTAGCAAAAGACGATGGGTCATAAATTGTACCTAATTATCACCTCACACTGCGGCTTGTGGCGATTTGGGAATTACTGCGAAGCTCGGGAAATAAAAATAACCTGGAAAAATGGAAGCTCGAAATCATGGAAGGCCCGACGATGGCCCGGATAAGCTGTTGGCGCCGATAAGCCAACCGGTCCTTGACGCACGCTAAGAGGTACGTAGCTTCCAGCTTCGAGCTTCGAGGTCATGTGACCTACGTGAACCAGACCTGGCTCGTGCGCGCGTCGCGGTCATTTTCATTGATTGGCGACTGTCTCGTGGTTTGAGCAGTAAGAAAGATCATTCATCAACGGACGCGGTTTGCAACGGAAATACCTATTATAGGAGTCGACCCCTGACTAATAGACCTACGCTAATCAGTCGCCACATACCTCTGACTGAATTTATTCGTTGCATGAAAGTCTAAAGATGGCCTACGAGCCTCGAGGGGATCACCACGACAGGCGAGGGCCACCCAGGGACGGCGAAGATGGAGGCTTCGTGAGGGCCCGTGGACGACGTGAGTTGTTCCCTTGTGTGAGACCGCAATAAATTTCAAGTCGTCTCAATGGAAGGAGCGTGTCTGCATTGGAAACTGCGAATCCCACTTGGCATTCAGGAAACATAAGGCTTGGACCGGAAACCTACACAACCAGACTGCTGACATCAACCACCAGGTCCCGTCACTGACTATGGCTCTACCGTTGCACACTGGATGCGGAATCGCGCACCGGCAGATGGAGACGCATATACCGGAGAGGCTGAACGGCCAAGTGCAAGCTTCATCGTCGACGTAAGTCAATGAAACCTCACATGAAATCAACCTGCTTACAAAGTTTCAGTTCACACCACCCGCCGCCAGAAGGACAGATCCTGGAGACACGATACCAGTGAAGCACCTTCACTCGTCGCTCAACAAGATCAAGCATCCTATCAACGTCGTTCGATGGACCCCGGAAGGACGTCGTCTGTTGACTGCTAGCAGTAGTGGAGAGTTCACGTTATGGAACGGCACTGGATTCAACTTCGAAACCATCATGCAGGCTCACGATTCTGCCATCAGAGCACTGGCATATTCTCACAACGACGACTGGCTCATCTCCGCCGACCACGACGGCAGCGTCAAATATTGGCAGCCCAACTTCAACAATCTTCAAAGTATCGCCGCGCATAACGACCCTATTCGAGACCTTGCTTTCAGCCCGAACGACTCAAAGTTTGTCACGGCCTGCGACGACTCTACGCTGAAGATCTTTGATTTTGCCGGCGGAGTGGAGGAATCCATCTTGAAGGGTCACGGCTGGGATGTCAAGAGCTGTGACTGGCATCCTACCAAGGGTCTCTTAGTCTCGGGATCCAAGGATCACGTTGTGAAACTCTGGGACCCGAGGACCGGCCGGTGCTTGACGACACTACATGGCCACAAAAACACCATCACCAAGACCTTGTTCGAGAGAGTTCAGGGAGACTGTCTGGCAACATCGGCAAGAGATCAAACAGCCCGTGTTTTCGACCTCCGGATGATGCGTGACATTTGTCTTTTGAAAGGACACGAGAAGGATATTTCGACTATTGCTTGGCATCCCGTTCATTCAAATTTCCTCACCACTGGTGGTCACGACGGATCCTTGCACCACTACATCTTGGACGAGCCGAATGCGCCAGCTGGCCATGCTACCATGGCGCCATACGACAGCGCTGACCCGTCCACGACTAGCGCCCAGACTATCTATCCGGCCCATAAGATTCCATACGCACACGACTTTGCAATCTGGTCTTTGGACTGGCATCCTTTGGGTCACATCCTGGCATCTGGTTCTAACGATCGTATCACAAGGTTCTGGTCCAGGAAGAGACCAGGCGACGCCGACGTCTTCCAGGACAGGTATCACATCGGGGAGGCCGCTGCCGAAGCGCAGGGAACCTGGGATCGCCGTGGAGGTCGTCGCCAGAGACAGGAGGAAGAAGAGCAGGAGATGGAGGACGAGATGGACGGCCTTGTCGACCAGAAGATGCCACTCAAGCAACCCACGGTTCCTGGATTCCCCGGACTGCCTGGTCTGCCTGGTCTCCCGGGTCTGTCCATGCCGCAGAACGGCTCCGTACCACCGCCGCCGCCCATGGTCCCCGGCATGGGAGCCAACGGCGGAGCGCCACCGCCACCGCTCCCCTTCGGTTTACCCGGCTTGCCGGGCCTGAACGGCGCGCCACCTCCCCCTCTTCCCTTGCCTGGTGGCATCGATCCAAGCAACCCCGCCGACCTCGCCAAGATTGCCGAGATGATCCAGAAGGCCGGAGGCACCCTTCCACCTCCGCCTCCTGGTGGCTTTCCTCCAGGCATGGTCCCGCCGCCAAACTTCGTGCCTCCGCCTGGGTTCCCACCGATGCCGATGCCGCCCCCAGGCCATGATCAGAATGGCAACGGCCATGATCGTGGCGGAAGGAGAGCTCCCCTGCCTAGTCAAGAGGAGAGCCTCAAGGCGGAACAGCGGAGAGGCAACTACACCCGAGCGCGTTAACACCCCGACGATGGTATTCGGGGTGCAAGCCAGGTGACAGGGGAGAAGCTCAGAGGCAGGGGAGGGCTGTGTTGATACCCTAGTGTTGTAATAAAAGTTGAATCACACAATATTGCCCGAATTCCTAGTGTCTCTGACGTTGTTCGTTTGTATGTATGTAGCCGGATCGCTTATGGCCTATGTAGTGTACAAGTATGTCGTGCCTGTAAGAAATCCCTCGCCGTATGCTTGCGCCATAAACCTCTTGTGATGCAAGTCTAGTGCGGCCGTCCACAAATGTCCCTCTCTCGAACGTGTAGGTAATGTACAGACGTGAGGAACGAACCCATGTTGAGATTCAAGACATCCCTCCCCTTCCCCGAATCAGGAATCTCGTTGAAAACCCGAAAAATGTGTGTGTGCTGCGTCGCTATCTCTTTCTATTCGCTCTGCCACGTCAAATCATCTGAACTCGTCCGAGAACCCTTTACTTCTTGGTGAAAGCCTTCTGCCTATCCGCGTAGTCCTTCACGATGATGGCGCACGAAGCCTCGGTGCAGAGCCTCTTGCGGCGCTGCGGCGGAAGCTTGGACGCGAACTCCAGACCGGCAGCGCGCTCGACGGCCTCCAGGGGCATCTCGAAATCGGCGAGGGGCTTCTCGTTGGGGATGCGGGCGTTGGGCAGGACGAAGGCGCCGATGGCGACGTTGCCCCCGGCCTTGCCGTCCTCGGCGAAGATGACTTTGTAAAAGTGCGTCGGCACGGCGACGTTGGGCGGGTTGCCGATGACCTCGTACTTTGTGTACCACTTTCCGTCGACGGGGTCGCGCTTCGGGAGGTACAGCGGGCCGGTGACGATCCTCACGGAGGGGTAGCGGGTGGTGAGGCGGCGGCAGAAGTCCTCGAAGTGGGCCCAGTAGTCGCGGTTGAAGCCGTCGCCGACCTGGGGGCACATGTTTGTGAGGTAGAAGGTGTCGTCCATGGCCTTCTGCGACCACTTGCAGTCGGCGGCGGGGACCTGGTGGCCGCGGTCGTAGCCGCTGCGGAAGTAGTCCTTGAGCTTGGCCTGGAACTTCTCGGGGACGGTGGGGTCCTCGAGGAAGACGCTGCCCTTGCGGTCGCCGCCCTTCTGGGCCAGCGACGCCGGGGTGATGTGCTCGACGACCCAGTGCGGGTTGCGGGTGCGGCGGTCGTAGCTCGAGACGAGGCCGGCACGCGGGGCCAGGTCGGCGACGGGGCCGGGGAAGCCGTACTCGAAGAGGCCGGAGGGGTCGACGATGGCGCCCGGGATGGCGCCGGGGACGGGCGGGGGCGCGGACGGCGAGGGGGCGGCATTCTTGTTGTCGAAGACTTGGTTGCTCGGGACGGGGACGGAGGGGGCGAGGGAGAAGGCGTTCGTGGAGGAGGGTGTTGTCGGCGCGGCGGTCGCGGGCTGCTTCGTGCGGAGGGAGTACATCGCTGCTGTGAATGCCGCGCCGCCTCCCGCGCCTAGAGCTGCGATGAGGGCGACGGAGGTGGTTTTCGACATGGTGGGCTAATTTGTTCGCGGGCGCGCGACCGGTGCCGTTTGTGTGGTTCGAAGAGGCTTGAGTAAGGAGGAAGGAGAAAATGAGAGGATAGCGGCGTCAGACGTCCGGCGTATTTGACTGCTGTTTGGACCACGGGATGCGATGCGCACGTGGTAGTAGTGGTGTGGTGGATGTCTCAGCTGTTCTTCACGGGACGGGGATTTGGGGCCCGGAGCTGGAAAATTTTGGGCTACGGCGGCGCCTGGTCCGCCGAGAGATCTCCAGGGCCGCCGATCGGAAGGAGGAGCTTATGTGGGTCGACCGCTGCGATGTCCCGAGCATTTGCCGGCCAGCTGCCGCGGGGGATGGATTTTAGGGTGCAGGAGCGGCTGAGGGGCTGGAATGGGGCTGGTCTCGGTGTGAGGTAAGGTGTGCCTCACCGAGACCGGACCCGGTGAAGGAGGCGGGATGACCAAAAGCCAGCCTCCTATTCGTAGTCCGGGTGAGACCCTGCGATGCTATGAACCTTTTTTTAATGATAAGTCCGAGTCGCAGAAACGACCGTCGACATGTCAAATAGCAAGCATGCCCCTTCAACCACATAACAAAAATCCTTTCACATGCGTTGGCATCTCCCTAAGAAGCGCTTCGGGCGGCATCATTGAGCTGGCGCACATCTCTAAGACTGGAAGTCACGGGGCTCGAGGGAGTACGAGGATACCTAGCATCTAGCCCGCCATCCGGGTTCTCAAGCCAAGGCCCTGGTGTGTGTTGTCGACCAGCACCTTGACTCGCCAGCGGGGGAATCCCAACAAACCGGCTGCCAACGTGCATTTGTTTTTCCCGGGATGACTCTCTGCCCTGTAGAACAAAACAGACTTCCCGGGAACGCTCGACTTCAACTGATGAAAGAGCCGCATCGATTTGCTTCGTACGCCCTGGGAAAATCAGGGTGGGTTGCTCTCGGGGAGGGTCAGACGGCAAGCTGCAGGCAGCGCAGGGCGGCAGCTAATGATGAACAGAACGACAAGGGATCTCGGTGATGGATATGCAAAACAAAATGAATGGGAAACGGGCTTTGTCTGGGCGTGAGACTTTGGCTTGATGAGTTGAGTCCTTCTAGTCTTTTGGTCTTTTGGGAGGGGGAGGAATTTTGAGAACCTTGATGGCTTCGGCCAGCCATGAATAAGGCCCCAACCCCCGGTCGTTGTTGACCATTTTCACTGCTCCGACACAGAAACAACGCAGCGGCTCCAGCGAAAAAGGCGAACAAGCGCCAAATCCAACGCCCCCCGAATCCACTACTGCGCGGCATGCTGCACTGCTGGAAAGCTTAAGGTGCAGACACTCCCAGTCACTTCGATTCCTTCCCCCCACTTTGCTTTGCTTTGCCGTCCCAGCGCAAAGCCGTCGACATCACTACCTACTCTTCCGGCACAACAACACACTTTATTTTCCCTAAGGGTCCTCGAATTCCCATCTTACTACCTATTTACCTCTACAATCTACCTGCGACCAACATTACAACGCCTTTCCCGAAACCTTGTGCTCCCGCATGCGACATTGGAATACCTTTCCGTCTCCTACGAACCAACATCCCACCTCTCTGGGTCTCCTGCGCCGTACTACGTCAGACGTCATCCGCTGTGCGTGTAGCCATACCAACAATATTGAAATCTTGAGAGATTGAAGAGAACACGACTTCCAAACCACCGAAACCGCGAGCCGAATAAACATTTCGAAATTGCACCCCCTCCATGCGCACTGAGCACCGCGACTTTTCCAGGCACCGATTGGAGGCGTTGAGCCCAAGTTGCTCATGATGGAGGCTACGGAGGTTGACAACGATACCAGGGGGTGGATTATGTGTATCGTGAGCGGAATTGGTACGTGACCAAGGTCTCTCTCGGTCCCTGGTGATTGAAAATTTGCTCACTGGTGTATCATGACAGCCTGCGTTGTCGGCGCATCTATCATCTGTGTCGACATCTTCGTACAATGGTTTCCAGGGCAGCGCAACTTCAGAATACAAGACAGCAATGTCTTCCTCGCCAGCTCTCTAAGCTTGAGTTTTGGTGTTATGGTAAGCCATCCTTGTGGGCGATGCGCATTGCTTTTGAGAACCATTACTAATGCTAGTTCTGCTGTGTAGCTCTATTCCGCGTTAAACAGCATGCTGCCGTCAGCAAAACAATACCTTAAGGAGGACGGCTTCCAAGATTCAACAGCGGGCTTCATTATGATGAGCTGCTTTATTGGGGGCTTCTTTGGCATCCAGGTTATTTCGCGCCTGCTGCACCAGTACATGCCGTCGCACGTAGTCGACTGCGACCACACACATAGCGAAGCTGATACCCGCTCGCGCAGCCAAAGTCGGAAAACATCTCTATACTCCGGAAGCCGCCGGTCTTCCCGAAGGCCATTCGTCGAGAGCATAACCAAGAATGGCCATGCCTCTGAGTCCACGCCTCTGCTCAACGGAGAGACGCACGAAAATGGGAGCACGCTCATGCCTAAGCGGCATGCTTCCAGCAAGGGCAATTTGAGCATCAACACCGCGCATTCGACACCGGCGCCGCGGACTTCGCGGAGCCGCGGTGCTACGGTTGAAAGGCGACCATCCATGGCCCAGGTCCAACAACGGGTCATGTCTTTCGTCAAGGATACCAAAACGAATTGTGATGAAGAGGGGCCCTGTTTTGGATACACTGACCCTTGTGGCCAGGAGTGCTTCAAGCATCTCGGAGCCCGGTCGGCAGCTTCTTCGAGGCACCCGACGATGCTGAGGACCAGTATGGCGCAGCTATATCCAAGTCATACCGACTTGGAGGACTTGGAGGAAGGCGGGTCTTCGTCGTGTCACTCGCCAATGAGTGGGCTAGTACGCACCAGTCGCGCGGCATCGCGAGAACCTTTGCCTTCACATGCCCACGCCGATAACGAAGCGCATGACCACGAGCACAGCCATAGCCACAGCCATGGCCATGGCCATGGTCATGAACACGACCATGATGCACACGGTGAGCACGAGGGAGACGAGGACCTTGAGGCTCAGCATCATCACCATGTCCCTACCAACGCTTTCCTATCCCTCGGACTGCAAACCTCGATCGCCATCGCCCTCCACAAGTTCCCCGAAGGCTTCATCACTTACGCCACGAACCACGCCAACCCTTCGCTGGGTTTCAACGTCTTCATGGCGCTCTTCGTCCACAACATCACTGAAGGCTTCGCCATGGCACTGCCACTTTACCTGGCCCTCGGGAGCCGTTTCAAGGCCATGTTCTGGGCTGCCGTCTTGGGTGGTCTCACCCAACCCCTAGGCGCAGGCATCGCCGTGTTGTGGTTCAAGCTTGCCAACCACACCCACCTCACGCCCAACGCCATGGCCTACGCTTGCATGTTTGCCATTACCGCCGGCATCATGGTGAGCGTCGGTCTCCAGCTCTTCGTCGAGGCGCTCAGTTTGAATCACAACCGTAACCTTTGCATCTTTTTCGGTTTCTTGGGCATGGCTCTGCTGGGCATCACCGGCGCCATCGCATCTACGCATTAATGACTTGCATGCATTCAGTGGGGGGACTCACAATCGGAACCAGGAAGTTACGGGAGTCACGGGCAGGTTTTTTGGGTAACGGTGGCACGCATATATACATTATACCAACGCGAGGTATCGGGGTTCGGAAGGCTTCAACTGTTTAAATTGAAGGGCTTGGTTCTCATACAACCTCGCCAGCATTGTTTGGAATCCGGGACTGGGGCATTATAGACAGGGCATCACCATTGAGCAAATTTAAAGCAGGATCACTCGGACCATAGTCGGTGTGCGTTACATCGCAGTATCAATTCCTTTGGTGACATATACGTTTAGCAAGCCAAAAACTTTTAGTGATCCCCCATCCATCTACTTTTTTGGTGTGGCCCGCGGCCGGGTATCAATACGTCGTCAAAATCATAGTTGGTTTTTCTTTATTTTTTCGCTCATGCCATGTTTGCCAGCGCCGGGTCAACGTAGCAAGAAACATCCTCGTCGATGAGCGCGCGCATGGCAGCTTCCTCCTCTTCCCACGTCTGCGGCGGCGAGTTGAAGTCGTCGCGCGCGCCGAACCAGAACTCGTCGTTCGGGCTCTGCTCTCCGCTGGTGAAGTTCTCCGAGAAGTTCTCTGAGAAGTCGGTCACGCCGGGGATGATGCCGTACAGGGGCAGCTCGGGCATCTCGCGGTTGCCGTCGAACGGTCCGGCGTCCGCGTTGTCGGCGTCGGTGTCGCCCGCCAAGCTCAGGATCGCGGCCTCGATCTGGTCCACCTCTGGGACCGCTGGGACCGCAGAGACCGCAGGGGGGTGGTTCTCGAGATGGACTTGGAGGTCGTGGTGGCGGATGAAGCGCGCGTTGCAGCCCTCGATTACGCAGGGAATGTTTCGGTTCGTGCCGGCGATGTCATCGAGAAGATTGCCAGAGGGGCCTTCCACGGGCTTGACCTGGGGCCGCTTAAAACCCAGGTGGATATGTCGGATGTGCTCCTCCAGCTTCATCTTGCTGATGAAGCCCGCGCCGCAGCCCAGGTCGTTCGACCAGCCCTCCAAGTCCGGGCCGCCACTGACGTCGAGCTCGCCGCAGACGACCCGGAACCCCTCGTGGGCGGTGCGGATGTGCACCGTCAGGTTGTGCTTCTTGGTGAACTTCTTGTCGCAGCCCTCCCAGGTGCAGGCGATCGTCTTGCGGGCCTCAAGAGGGATGCCCGAGTGCCGCATCTCGACGTGCCGCTCAAGCTCCCACTGGCCGGTGCACTTGAAGTCGCAGAAGATGCAGTTGAGGTGCTCCTTGCGGATGTGGGCCTGGAGGAGGGCGAGGGAGGTGAAGCCCACCGACGAGGCGCCGTCGTCACCGCCGCACTCCTCGCACCAGAACTGGGGCTCGCTGTGGTCGCGGCGGGTGTGGTTGCGCAGGGCGCCCTGGGAGTCGAAGCCGGCGCCGCAGCCGGGCTCCGGGCATGGATAGGCGTGGGCGCCGAGGTGCTCGGAGCGGATGTGTCGCTGGAGGGTGTTGTGCTTGCGGAAGCTCTGGTTGCAGGGGGGGAAGTCGCGGCAGCGGAAGCGCTCCTGGCCGGCGTGGACGTCCTGGTGACGGCGCAGGCGGGTCGCTGTCAGGAAGGACTTGCCGCAGCCCTCGTGGGTGCAGGTGTAGCCGCGCTCCTGGGTGTGAGAGCCCTTGATGTGCTGGCGGAGGTGCTTCTCCTCACGGTAGTCCTTGTCGCAGCCTGGGTAGGTGCACTTGAAGGGGCGGTCGTCGGTGTGAGAGCGCAGGTGGGCGGCCAGGCGGGCGGGACGGTTGAAGGTCTTGTGGCAGTCCGGATATGTGCAGGGAATCGTCTTCAGGTCGGAGGGAAACTTCCGGGATCGGGTGGTGAGGGACGTCTGTCCCGTCAGGACGGTCTCGGCGTCGGCATTGACCGTCGAGCCGGAGTGACTGGCCGTGTCTTCGAAGTCATCGTCGCTGGGAGCTTCGGACGATGTTAGTGGGATGCTAAATTGCTGTAACAAGAGACCGCCTACCAATGGCTTCCGGGTCTTCGATCTTCGACCTCTTTGACGGGGAGGCAAGGCCAGCCTCTCTAGCCTTTCGTTTCGTCATGACGGCCGACTGAGAAAAGTCATGCTTTCCTTGACGATTGGAAAGAATTATCGTCCTAGGATGCCGGCTGGTGAACTTATTCCTGGCAGAATTTCGGCAGGCGGTGAGACGAAATTTTGTGCGCTCCAGCCACACCGAAGGGGGACTTCGGTCCGGATAAGCTTTTTGCTGCTGATAAGACTAGTGTGGACCCACATTCCAACGCTGAATCGTAGCCTCGTCAATAATTTTTTACGGCTGGATCCAGCAGTCACGGCCAGTCTCTCCCCGCGACACCAACTGCATTCGCGACAGCGCGTAATCACACCTCGACCTATATACGACACGGCAGCTCACGACGTCAATTGATATCCAAAATGTCTGACTTCGGCGACGACGATGTCGGTGGCGGGTACGTTCAAGAGACATTATTTTGATGGGAGCGCGCGACCCTAACGTCTGCACAGCGACGAGCCCATGTACGAGGACGAGGGCGCCGACTACTGGGACCCCGAGGTTCCCGTCGAGGACGAGGAAGTCGGTCGAGCTGAGGGCGACGAAGAAGATGCCGATAACGTCGTGGTGTCGGGAGATCCGTCCGCGGCGGCGAACGCGGGCAAGGGCAACGAGAAGTCGCACCGCGACAAGAAGATCCCCGACGACCAGCGCACCACCACCCCCTACATGACAAAGTACGAGCGCGCTCGCATCCTCGGTACCCGCGCCTTGCAAATCAGGTACGCCCCGAACGCCCACTACACGAGATCCCGACGCGCTCGTGACCCTTTCAGACCGGTCGAGAATATGCTAATGCGGGTTCCTGTAGCATGAATGCGCCAGTGCTGGTCGACCTGGAAGGTGAGACGGATCCTCTTCAAATCGCCATCAAGGAGATGCGCGAGAAGAAGATTCCTCTTATCGTGCGCCGATACATGCCCGACGGATAGTAAGTAGCCTGCCCGACCCCTCCAACCCCTCCCTGCACGTCCACGCAAGCCTCTCGGGTAGACGATGCCGCGGAACGAATGTAAGGCTAACCGTCCGTTAGCTACGAGGATTGGACCTGCGAGGAGCTTCTCCAGTGAGAGATTCTGGCTTTCTTTTCCCGGGGCAAGGAGATACGCGACTGGATGCAAGGCACTTATACCCAGCTCCTATTATCGTTGCCTGAGAGATGGTTAAATCTGAGCTGAGTCCCAACCATTTCATTCAATCATGGTGGACAGCAGATGAAGCTCGAAGAGGAGGAAAACTCTCCAACAACACAACTTAGAAAAGAAAGACACCAAAAGCAGTGTACTTTATTTGATTTGCATTGAGCGTGGCGTTCTCTAGGCAATGGAATTTCTTCAAAACTCAAAACGCGTTATCCACATGTGAGAAAAAAAAATCCAGATTCCCATCTTCTTGCCGGAGCGGCATCTTTTTTTGGGAGGTTCCCTTCGTCGTGGATTGCAGCATCAGCACAGGATTACGTGTTGCTCTGGGGTCGTCGAGCATGCAGTGTAACCCGACGCGCCGCCGGCTTGACGAGTCAGAGAGCACCGACCGTCTTTCCCCGGGCCTCCCGCCTTCCGGAGGCCATGCCCGGCCCCGCCCTACCGGCGGGTTTAAACTGGAATTGCGATCGACAGTAAACAAAACATAGACGACGGCCAAGCCACTCTCGTCGTCCGAATTACACGTAAGGTTTTGACGGGGTTCCTCCTTTCGTGATCCCTAAAGCCCTGTCACAGACTAATCGAGAGAAGGTTAACGAAGAGAGTTGCCAAGACATCCCCTTGACAGCCATTCACGATTGTCTGATTGGCTGCTATCGTGACCGGGGTCTCTCTGTCGGAAGGGCCTTCACGATCTAGAGGCAATAGCAATCGATCCGCGGGAGCCAACTTAGTCTTCGCTCGGTTTTGCTACCGTCTTGGCAATGACGAGAAAGGATAACGAGTTGCAGAAATTGACTACATCCAGCTCGGTTTCTCTAACTCTCTGCCACGAAACAGGCTGGAATCATTGAAGTTCTAACCGAGCCCTCGCTGATCTACTCTTGTGCCCTCTGCTTGGGCCTCTTGAGCAGGCCTGTAGGTTGCGTAAGACAGGAGGAGCAATTGCAACCGAAGCGGTTCCTCTGCATCGAGTGGTGTGCCGGCCGTCACGGAAGTCCCTACAACACACTCTACCTATCTTATCCCCCACAATCTCCCGAACGCGAGGCTCAAGTTCTCCCGTCTCGTCGAAACAAGAAGGTCACAACGTTGTCGTCTCCACGCCTCACAGCTCCGCTCCAAACACGGTCCATGTTGGTTGGTTGGACATAGCCCTTCTCGGCCCGCCTCGAGCTAGCCCGGACCGCCGTCAACCTTGACATGTTTCTTCAGGAGAGAGGCTGTGGGTAGGCGTACGTGTCGAGCGTCGAAGTGCGAGTCGTCATGTGCCCGCGGTGCGGTTATCCTAGTGGGACTCAGCCTGGTAGCTCTGCAGCTGCAGTATGCACACCATCTGCCTACGGATAGCGGGATGTCGAAAGCGAGAAAAGCTTGACTTCGTGATCGCTGCCCGTTGGTCCGGCGTGTCTTGGCTCTGAGATGGCTATCGGTATAAAGAGCCTCGGGAGTTCTCCTCCTGGAAGAGAAAGAGTAGAAGCCAAGCCATCACGAGCCGACAAGCCTTTCGTTCCTAGCACCAACTCGACTCGGACTACGCTCGCTTCCCCTAATATCAGTCTCTAGTCCATTCGCTTTCAAGATGCTTGCACCGTCCGCCATCATCGCAGCGGCTCTCCCGCTGCTTCTCCTGCAATCCGGTGCAGCATCAGCTCGTGTGATGCCTCGGGCCGCCAACTACACTCAGGAAGCCATCGATTCTGGTGAAGCTCTCGGAGATCTTCACACACAGGCTTACAACAATGCCCTGGCGCGGTTGTCTGCCAATGGCAGTTCTCAGTGCACACAGGACAACGTCAGAATTCGTCGTGAATGGTAAGACATCGCCTGTACTGCTTCGACGGACAATGTTGTTTGCTGACAGCCTCAAAGGAGAAACATGCCTGGCGAAGACCGGATCGCCTACACCGACGCCGTCACTTGCCTTCAGTCCAAGGCACCCCTCTACACCGACATCGCAGGGTCTAAGTCCATGTTCGATGACTTTGTGGCCCTTCATCAGAACCTGACTGGCTATGTTCACATGTCGGTATGTGAAACGATTCTCCACAATGTGTTTTCGACTTAGAGATTCTGACCTTTGTCAGGCAACTTTCCTCCTGTGGCATCGATACTACATCCACACATACGAAGAGAAGCTGAGGACCGAATGCGGCTACACCGGTACGATGCCAACACACTCCTAGTCGCTGTTTCTCAGACTAACATTCCCCAGGAACTCTCCCTTACTGGGAATGGTCCCTCGACGGCGACGACCCCGCCTCAAGCCCCATCTTCGACGGCTCCGCGACCTCGATGGGCAGCGACGGCAGCGCCGTTGAGCACGACGGCCTCGTCCTCAACAGCACAGTCCAAGTCATCACCCTGCCCGCCGGCACCGGCGGCGGCTGCGTGACCTCGGGCCCTTTCACCAACATGACGACCCACCTCGGGCCACAGGCGATGCCGAACCTCGGCTCCGTCGTCTCCGACAACCAGGACGACCCAACCGCCGACAACCCGCGCTGCCTGAAGCGCGACCTGAACGGCTACGTCCTGCGCACCTGGGCCAGCTTCCGCAACGTCACGGACCTCATCACCGACTACGACAACATCGAGTGGTTCCAGGGCATCGCTCAGGGGCAGACGGAGTACTCTGGTCTTGGAGAGCTGGGCGTCCACGGCGCGGGGCACTACGCCTTTGGTTTGGACCCCGGTTCTGATGTCTACATCAGCCCTGGTATGTCTTTGACGCTCGAGTTATGATGCGGTGGTTTACTGACATGGTAATAGGCGACCCGGTCTTCTACCTGCACCACACCCAACTTGACAGAGTTTACTGGATCTGGCAGAACCTCGATTGGGACAACCGTCAAGTAAGTACACACTCTTGCACCTACTCGTCATTCTTCCTTGGTTTGATAAGGGGCTAACAACCAATAAGACCATCTTCGGCACCGGCACGATGGAGAACAGCCCGCCCAGTGCCAACGTGACGCTCGACGACCTGCTGGATTTGGGACCCCTGAACGACCAAATCGCCATCAAGACTGTGATGGACACCATCGACGGGCCTCTCTGCTACCTCTACGCGACGGACTAAGGCTTGTTCCCTCTTTTATTTTGCTCTTCTGTCGTTCGTCTTCTTCTCTGTCTGTATCATGAGGGCTTTCAGTCTTCGTCAACTGTCATTCGTTTCCATTTTGGTGTGTTCGGGCTGGTAATCAGGAGGAGAGAAGGAGGAAGGTACATAAACTCAGAGTCTTGTCTGAGAAGGTGTTGGCATAATGCTGAGAGCCTCAGGGCGATAATCTTTGGGGCATTGTGTGGTTAGGCCGCGGAACCTGTATGAGAAGATCAGATAGGTGCTGCGTGAATCAATCATCATTTTGGGGCATTTCGCGGCGTATGACTCGGCGAGTCACGCTTTCTTCCCATGCTTGACTTTGTAAGTGAGGACGGATGAAAATAGCACGAGACACGACTTCGGAGTTTTCCTCCGACAAGCGAAAACCCACCGTCTTGTATCATTCTGCTTCGTGGGTTGCGCGAGGACGAAAAGCCACTCAGACGCAACGAAGCATCGCAGATGACGTGGTTGTCCGAGGCTCCTTGACCGCAAGGGGTAACCTGGCTACTTGACAACCCCCGGGCATGCCGGCCGCCCGGCTCAAGTCCACAACGTTTGCGCCGGCGCGGACACACGCACGGAGGTGCCGCGGTGCGGTCTGTCCCCCGAACGGGCCCCCGTCTCCTTCGTGTCTGGTTCGCCAGTTGCGACAGATCGCGATGAACGCCTTCCAAGGTCGGGCGGGCGGGTGAGAGGTGGAACCATCCGACTTCATGCCTTAATGATCAAGGCCAGCTCGTAGAAATGATTCGAGCTCGCTGTGCAACGAAAGAAACCCGGATCAGACCGTTTGCCACCGGTTTGGCCGAAATGATGCGATGGTGGGTGAGGCGGACGTCAAGCGCCATCTGACGGAACGAACGGTCGTCTGGTTCGACCAGGATGGTTCTCATGAACTAGTCCGAACCCGAGCTGCCCATCGTGCACGCTCTCGCGTCTCGCCATTTCTCGACTTCTCTTGGCGTCTCGATTCCGGAGAATCCGCTGCCGTCGAGGATGGGGAGGTTCTTCGTCGTTTTCTGTGGTTGTCCTTTCGCCCTCTCTCCTGAACTCGATTTGTCGCGCGTTGGTCACCCTCTCACATTTTCTTCCCTGTCAACTGTGATAATTGCTCGAGCAGTCGACAACATGTGGGCTCTCGGGCCTCTGGTTTTCGTCCCATCCGCGACGGCCTCTGACAAGACAGCATGAACTGCTCAAATGCTAGACATGCACCGGTAGCGACGGGAGTATCATATTTCAACACGGGCACTATTCGTTGGGCCTAGGAGTAGACAGAGGGTTATGTAGTAGTAGCGCTTTTCTCGTCATGCGAGATGCCGAAGTGGTCGGGTCGTACCCGGGGAAGCTCTCGGGGGACTTTCCGGATTCTCGGCCGAAGCCGACGGCCGGTAGTCCGGCGAGCGCGCGACGTTCCCGGCATCCTCTTAAAAGCCTTCAAATCCAAGAGACACTTATTGAACCATTTTTTCTCCAATAACGTATTAGTATGATTGACGCAGCTTCGACAAGTAGACCTCATCAGAAACTAGAGCGTCCGAAAGAAACCAGGCCACGTTGGAGAGCAAGTTCACGGACGGATGGTTTGCGGGAACGCCATGTTCGCCAAGCTGCTACCTCGAATCAGTTCTCGTAATGCCATATTTCTCTCGTGGAAGAGAGGACGGCTGATCCTTGGCATGCAGCTCACATGTTGCTCAGTGCTGAGTGGTCTTGCGTATATTTCGCCGTGTTAGTTGGTCATAGGTGATATATGGAAAAGTTTCAATGCCTTGGGCCGGGTGTTTGACTTTCCGCGCTCAGAACTTTCCTCAGGGATATTCGCAGGAAAGAAACGAGTTTTGAAGGCGACAAACTGGATAGGTAGCATGTCCTGCTGCATAGTAGATGAAGTTGAGTTGCAGGCCGGGAAGATAGCTCCAACCTACCAATTGAAGACACCCTGATTGCTTAACGACCCCTCATGCCGATGACGCACCCCCCACCTCACCTCACCCAAAAGCTCAGCTCAGCTCTCCGGTCCCGCACGACAATGCGGGGTTCGTTGCAGCAGCATGAGCGAAAAGACCACCAAGCATCCACACTCTCTGCACACACACACACCACACACGCACCGCGATAGCTACCCACGCAGCGAGGTACCTCTATCGGATAGCTTTACTGCCTTGGGCATGTACACGCTGGGTTTCCGGACTGCTGGAATGTCATATTGTCGGATACCCTGCCGAGCTAACATCGCGAAACCTCCCCCTTGTACCTCCAGCTGCCGGTAGGTAGGTACTGTCTTGTCTGTACCTGACCAGCAGAATCCCAATGGTGGGGTAGAATCAGCATCATCACGACCTGTGGACGGTCAATGGCAAGAAAATATGCGCAGAAACGACGGCCAAGGCCTGCCCGTCCTCCACTTTGGCCGAGCTTGACCCTGTCCCCGATCTGATCTCGAATGGACATAACTCGGTGTTTTTATTTATTAGACGCCCTCCCGATACCTCCTCAATGCTCGGCTTCTCCTCTTTACCTCAGCAATAGAATAATATTTCCATCCGTCGCCTTCCCCTCCCCTCTCCTCCACTTCTCGTCTTTCTTCAACATTTGCAAGCATCATATATACCCTTTTCCAATTGGAATCAAAGCCCATATACCCCATTTCGCAGACAGGAACTAGGTAATCCCAGACTCCAAAAAATAACCGCCCACAATGTCCGGCTTCCAGACCAAAGCGACCATCACCTCCTTCGGGGGCCAGCTCCTCAAGCTCTCCCACAAGTCCAGCACCACCGGCACCGACATGGCCGTCAACCTCTACCTGCCCCCGCAGTCCACCACCCGCGCCGTCCCCGTCCTCTTCTACCTCTCCGGCCTGACCTGCACCCCGGACAACTGCACCGAGAAGGGCTTCTTCCAGTCCCAGGCCTCGGCCCGCGGCGTCGCCATCGTCTACCCGGACACCTCCCCGCGCGGCCTCGACCTCCCCGGCGAGCGCGACAGCTGGGACTTCGGCGAGGCCGCCTCCTTCTACGTCGACGCCACCCGCGAGCCCTTCCGCCAGAACTACCGCATGGAGACCTACATCACCAAGGAGCTCCCCGAGATGCTCTTCCGCGAGTACGCCGGCAAGCTCGACCGCTCCCGCGTCTCCATCACCGGCCACTCCATGGGCGGCCACGGCGCCCTGTCGCTCTACCTGCGCCACCCGGGCATGTACCGCAGCGTCAGCGCCTTCGCGCCCATCGCCAACCCCTCCAAGTGCCCCTGGGGCGAGAAGGCCTTCTCCGGCTACCTCGGCGATGACCGCGCCGAGTGGGCCAAGCACGACTCGACCGAGTTGGTTAAGAACTGGAGCTACGGGCCCCTGAACGCCCTCATCGATGTTGTATGTGGATAGTCTCCTGTAGAAGGATTGAATGAGTTGAACTAACGATTGTGCGACAGGGTCTCGGCGATAACTTCTACATCCAGAAGCAGCTTCTGCCAGAGAACTTCGAGAAGGTCGTCAAGGAGAAGAACCTTGAGGGTCTGTCCCTGAGATACCACTATGTAAGTCAAACCGAGCCTGAGAGAAAGCATGTCGGGATAGGAAGTTGACAGATGACCACAGGGCTACGACCACTCCTACTTCTTCATGGCCTCCTTCGCCAAGGATCACGTAGACCACGCCGCTAAGCACCTGGGTCTCGGATCCGCCTGACTAGAAGGCCGGAACCAGAGACTATAAAGAAAGTAAATGGTTCATCTTTTCAGGTCGCGGACGGGTAATTCACCATGGCGAGAAGAGGGGCGGGGGATCGAATACCATAAATCGTGTGTGTGTGGGAAGAAATATTGCGCGCGCGTAGTCGTCCATATTTTAGTTTTAGTAGTATGCTGCTGCTGAGATTCTTGAAATTGAGAACAATAACTTTGACGTATCATCCACCCGTTCCATCATAACGTTCGTGAAAGAATCGAATAATATGCGTCATAACTTCGCTCCACCCCCTTTCCACACGCATTTTTACGTGCTGTAAGAGCATTCCGGGGCGGCGTTATGAAGCACAGAACGCCAACTGCCAGGTAAATGAGAAAGCGCCGGCCATGATGAGGAGGATAAATCTAGAAGAAGCACGCGAATGACGAGGCCGGGAGAAGCGCCTAACTAACCCGCCTCTCCACCTCGGGACTCAAGCCCTCCTTCTCGAGCTTGGCCCGCATCTCCGCGTCGGCCTCCTTGCGTATGCGGTTATACGCCAGCTTCTCGAACCGGCTGAGCGCCTTCCACCAGTGCTGTCCGGCCTCGTGCTCGCCGATGCGTTCCAGCAAGTCCGTCGTCCTGAGGCGGACCTCGCGGTCCTTGTGGAAGAGGCCGAGGGCGATGTAGAACAACCCGGCGTGGGACTCGGGCGCGAAGCTGAGGAGCAGACAGATCTCGTCGTAAGAGTGGACGAACTTGGAGAACTGTATGTAAATCTCCTTGCTCTGCATCGGGTTGAGCCGTTGGGTGCGCAACCGGTCGTGCATGTGGTGCAAGTCGAGACCCTTGAGTGGCCTAACCTGGTACATCTGTGCGAGATCCTGAGACAGTCAGTCCGAGGCCCTGCCGCTAGGGGAACCTTCGTCAAGCCTTACCTGGATAAAGCTGTAGTAGCTTCTTGTGTTTCTCCAGCCTTCGATCCTCGTCACGTTGCCAGCCAGCTCCTTGTGTTTCGACTGCTCGTCCGGCCATACGTAGCCGTGTCCGTTGATGCCGATGCTGCCCATCTCCAACTCGTCGCCGCCAATGTACAGGGCGCTCGCGCCGTACACGCTCTCTTCAAAGGCGGCGGCGATTCGTGTAAACTTGATAACCCAGTCCCTCCACTTCGCGCGTATTACTCTCTCGCCGTGTCTTGCCGCAATGCTCCTCAGGATATCTTGCATGAACGCAGCGTCTCCCGTCAGATCACTTTCGGCAGCGACCTTTGATGTACCCCCGACAAGTCCGGCGTAGGACGGATTTTGCTGCTGGAAGTACACCATACCCTCAGTCACCGGTGCCGGATCAATCTTGCTACTGATCTTGACGCGTCCTGTTGGGAGATCGCAGAGGACGTCCCACCATTCAGGATGTAATTCGAACGTCGGGTTTGTCACGCCAGCGATGAATCCTGGTACGTTCAGAAGGTCGTCGATTTTGGTCAAGTCCGTGTAAGGGAACGCATGCCGCGTGAAGCCCCTGAGTGTGCCGCCGGATGCCAAGGCGCATGCCGCCAAGACGGCTTCCGCAACATCACCCGACGGCATGTTGTGTCCTAGGAAGATCACCCGCTTTTGCGTCAACAGGGCGTTTACCAAAACAATAATCGGGTGTGTATGAGGCCCATTTGTTGTCAATTGCGGGTGTAGAGGGAACGGTTGTGGTGATTTGCCCTGGGGCTCAGAGAACTTCTGGATCAGTTTGATCAAGGAGAAGTCGCCCACGGTTTCTGGCATGACGGCAACAGGCACCTTGATTGGTACCGGAATGCCCTTGTACATGACCTTGCTTTCGAATTCGTGGGTATCTCGGGGCACGGAATATGTCGAGCCAAGTTCGATATGTGCTTTGGTTCCTTTTCGCGACACACCTGGCATTTTAGGAGGTTCGCGACTCGCATCGAATGGTTGGTCGCTGACGTGCTCGCCACGATCTTCGGCCATCCGCATCTGAATCATCTGTTCAAACTTCTCGACAAACAGGTCCTTGTTGTCGCTGGCCTGAAGCAGATGTCTTTCGAGCAGACTTAATTTCGGCATGAGAGACAGGTCCATGGCGTTCACAGCATCGTACAACATGGCCAAAGTCTCGGGAACTGGTGCCTTGAAGTACTCGTCCAATGCTAAAAGAAGAAGAGGCTAGAGAGGTTTAGTCACCCGAGTGCGCGAACACAGTCAGGGGCGCATCTTACCTTATAGATGTGCAAGAACGGATGCCTGGTGCAAATAGCCATGGCTTTGACTACAGCACCTCTCTTGACCGTCTTGTCTTGTTTCGTATTGACTAAATTCAGCACGTAGATCAACGGAGGCCCTTCGCCCCCTTCCGGTTCGTCGTCAGTTGACTCGTCGTCGTCATAGTCATCCAAGTTCTCCAAATCTTCCTCGTCCCCTAGGTCTTCGCCCTCGTCGTCCTCGTCGATGATACCCGCTGCGCGATTCCTCAAAATCTTCCTCCTCTTTTTCCTGGCCGCCTTGGCCTTGCGCTCTTCGTCTTCCTCCTCCTGGCTCGTATCCTTGTGCAAGAAGAATATGGTCCAGTCCTGATTTCGTACGTGGGCCTGGTCGGGCAACATGAGCTCCGCCAACATGTGTTCATCGCCAGTTATGGAGACGGGATACTGGTGCTCCATGACCGGGCCTCGGTCAATGTCGAACGAAGCGACCAGGATGTACTCGACATGATTCTCGGTTGAACCCCGCGGGTACTGCGAGCGCAATTTGCGTGGAGGGTGCGCATCGGGATTGTAGCGCCGCGGGGCGGACAGCGACGAGTGCTGCGACGAGACGCCAGTTGAGGGCGTCTTCGATTTGGAGCTGGGGTTCGAAGAGCGGTCCGTCTCGGCGATTGGCGGTGGCTGAGGGGATCGCGAAGGGCGAGATGTGTTGGACATTTGCGACGGAGACCTCGAGGCGGAGGAGCCTGGAGGGAAACTGGAGAGTGAGGTCCGACGACTTGGCCAGGGGCCGTTGGGAGCTGGAGCTTGATATTGCTGTGTGTTGGAGTAGTTGCGCGTGAGAAACGGCAGCGCGGTCTGTGTCGAGGCCATGCTGAAGCTTTGCTGCTAAATTGCGGAGCAATTCAGATCGGTAGTTTTGGGGGATCGAGGCTTGCGCAGGCTGCCGGTAACCAGAGCCATCCAATGCACTGCGGTGTCGAGGTCCGTTCGGGGAGGTGCAGTGAGAGACGCAGGTGCAAGTAGAGTTGGACGTCTCCGATGTTGCGACGGTGGGCGGCCTTGCTGGTGGTGGTGGTGGTGGTGGTGGTCGCAGGACAGGTTTGGTCAACGGCTCGCGGCAGCCAGGGTCATTCAACGGATGTCCAAGTGCGACATCAACGATGCGACCGAGAAGGCGGAACTCTGATGTCGAGTATCGTCGGGGTTCGGGTGACGAGTTGGATGGTGGTCAGGTTGAGCCAAGTGCGAGTCGCGGGTCCCAAGATGCGGAATGCGAGATAGGGAGAGCGACAGCAAGTGTAACTGGGAGCGGGAGGGAGGGATGAGCGGGAGGTATTATTGGCGCTGTACGGATACTTCGTAGGGACCTCCAAGCACTAGAGAGGTAGCAGGCGTACCCGTTGCGGTGTTCGGTGTTCACGGCGGAAGCACGCTGAAAGTATTCCTGGACACCTCAGTTGCAGTTGGTAAAGTAGCGCGTGGAGGCGTTCTCAGACGATAGCCGGATGCGCTCTTCGAAACGTCAGATGCGGGCAGTAAACTTAGAAGTGACAGTACTGGAGTAAACCACCGCAGTAAGGCAGAGAGATGTAGAAACAGGATCGCCCTCGGGAGTGAGAGGCGGTAGAGAAGGAATATCCTGCTTGTTCAGCGTCAAGGTCAATGCGGTGGAAGAGAAGAGCACCGAGACACGATCTGCTACGAGGTTTGGTCTGGTCTTTTTGGACTGTCGCCCTCTTTTGCCTTGTGATCCCAGATTCACCTCAGTCAAGTGTCTGGAGGGTAAGGGTGTTGAGGGTGTATGGACCTGGTAGAACTCCTGACAGGGGATGGTTTAAGGTGTGGTGCTTCTTTTTCCTATTTTTTAAATTGTGCAATCCAATCCGATCCCCCACCGGCACGAATAATGCTCAGCTAAGGCGACCCAAGGCAAGGTACACCTTTCTCGACCAAACAGCGCGTCTGATTGAAGATGGAGGGAGGTCTGCCCCTGACTTGACACTAAAAAGGGGCATAGCCATCTCTGGTTGGTGCCCACGCCGCGCCGGTGGCTCTCCGCGTGTCGCCCGGCACAGTGAGAGGTAGATATCATCGGTTACGAATAGAGACTCAGAGACCGCTTCCACGGCCACAGCTACGGCCATGGCCGTCTTTCTATCTTCAGCGCCTAAGTTGTCTTGGGGGTCGGTGAGGATGCTCCACGCCACGGACAAGGCAGCGACCTGTGAGCTGAACAGACACACAGACAGCGAGTCTGTCCGTCAGGCAAGACTGCCAGATAGACAGCCCGATGGCGGGCAGCGGAGTGCGGACGGACTCTGAACAAAGAAACAAGGCGGCGGTGGACGCTGCAGCAGTGCAGCTGCGGGATTCATATCCGTGGGTATCGCCGTAAAGGAGTGGGCTTCGGCCGATGGCGATGGGCAGTGTTCTGCGAAAGCGCCGACGAATGCGTACGCAGCTTTGCTGATCACTGTTCAACTGATTTCCTGATTCCAGGTTTCTCGAGAAGGAATTCCCCCTCTTTTGCGCCTTTTCACAAGGTCTTTCGAGGTTTCGGCGGCCCCCAATATTTCCTAAAGGGCCCTGGACCAAGTCCCCCTCCTTTCCATTCTCCTTTTTCCACGTTCGTTGCCTCCCCTGTACTCACTCCTTTCCCTTTTTGAGACTCCGGTGGCCCATGCTTTTCCATCTAACCTAAAATTCGCTTAGCGCCCAGGGTCCTGACATGAAACCCCTGTGGCTGGTGACGCGTTTCCGGCAATAGGATTCTCAGCCACATTTCCCTAGCCTTGCCGCACTACGTAAGGCCGACATGGGTGGTTGATGCAAGGCTGCGGTTGTCACGGAAAAGACGCCTCTGTTTACATTCGGCTCCAAGCAGCTGGTCTTGCATCTGGATCATACCTTACCAAAAACTGACATACGCCGTCGGTTTGATTCTAACACAGAAACCAACATCCATCGCCTCTATTCGATACCGGTGCACGATTTTGTAATTTTGGGATTCCTTTTTCTTCTTTTCCTGCATCATCACCGCACACTCAACAACTACCGCCTGACTCTCCAGATTTCGCATTGTTTACTTTCGTGCCAAGTGGGCGCGCGGCATCGCATTTCCTGAGCAAGGCATTCCCTATTTCCCACCCGCATCTTTTCCGCCCCAAATTCCTTCAAAATGGTAGGCCAGGGCCCATCTCGCTCGCATACGAGTTCCTGGATGAGCGCATGAATTTTGACCTTGCGAACCCACAGGCAATGCCCTCTGGCTACAAGCCTTCTCCACTAGGGCCTTATGGCTCCCCGCGCAGCTCGCCCTTCCGACGACCAGAGTCTCCAGCATCACCATCTGCTGTTCGCCAGCCTTCAACACAAGTGACACCTTCTGGATCACCGACAAAGGCATCTTACGCAACCAACAACGGACGATTTGGCAACCCGACCACTCCCACAGACACCGCCGACAGTCGGACACCCAGAGTGCGAACGCCCACCGGCGAAAGCAATAACATCGTCACGTCCCCACCACCTGCACGGCCAGGCTTGAAGAAGACCGTTAGCCACGGAGGAGCAATGTCGCAACTGCAGCCCGCCCAAGTCAGAACGCTCAGAGAAGGGTTCGAGATTCTGGATCGCGACAGCGACGGCATCATTAACAGGGAGGACGTGGCGGACATGTTGAATCAGCTGGGTAAGTGAGCAGTCCCAGGGTCTGCGGTGCAATTGTTGACAATTTCCAGGTCTGCCGGCAAACGCATCAGATGTATCCCAGTTTTTCCCTCCGTCTGCGCCTCAGACGATGACCATGGCCACGTTTCTCAATTCCCTGGCCACAATGCTGGCGTCGCTCTCACCCCAAGCCGAACTCCTGTCGGCATTCTCAGCATTCGACGACGACGACAGTGGTCAGATCAACCTGAACGAGCTGCGGGATGCGCTGCTACACACGGCACCAGAGCCCGGCGAGAGACCGTTGACGGAGGCCGAGGTCGAGAAGGTGATTGAGGGATTCACGGGCCGGAGGGCGTTCAACCGCAACATGCAAGGCGGCCTGGGCAAGCGCGGCGAGGTTTTCAGATATCAGGATTTCGTCAACTCCATCATGGGATCGAACACGGCGTCAGAGCCAAACTCGGCGGAGGGGTCGGAAGACTGAAGCCGAAGCGAGCAAGGTCTCGTCGCGCGAAATTGGGTGTGACGACATTGGGTGAGCGGCATGTGGAGACGAGCAGTCCGTAGCCGCGGGGGAAAACAAACACAATATTATGGAAACGGACGGATTGACGAACAGATTTGGACATGACTGCACTGTAATTTTATTCACATCCAGAGCACGCCGGATCACGGAGGTGTCTGGTATAATTTCGGCTCTGTTTCACTGCATTCTGTGCCAAGAGAAAACCCGTTTGGCGCCGGGTGACAAACCGTTGCGGTTGCGGCACGCGCTCATTGTGACGTTGACTTGAACTCGAGGGACTCCGGACGAGGGACAGACCCATTCCTGTATCTGTACCTTAGGCCCAGGCCGGGGACGGGACCGAGCACGATGCCGTTGAGGACGGTTTCCCATGGAACGGGGCACCGCGCATGGGGATTTGGGTAATGCGAAAGGCTGGGAAACTGTAAATAGGCCGCCGTTGAAGGCAGTGCCTGCACGTATTCTGCACCCGCTTCGACTTGCATGCAGAGGACGTTAGGACCCGCCGTATCCCGGGCTTCGCTGGACTCGAGAAAGGTAATTTGCGATGGGCAAGAGGAGGGGATAGTCATTGGTGATGCCATCAGTCTGGTTTGGAGGAGGTTGGGAATGCACATCAGCAGCATCCGCAAGGCCGGTCTGCATGCTGTACGTACAGCGGCGTACCGCATGAGCAGTGGGCGGCAGTGACTGGGACATGGGGGCGCCCCGAGCTTTCGCTTTCACTTTTCAGGGACCTTTTTTTTTTCCTTTCTCGTGGTCGGTGGCCGGGTGTCATCAGCGACAGCAACTTCAACTTCGGGCGGTTCGGCGGCCCAAGGTGACAGCGGTCAACGGCGGACGCTGATTGGGTCTAACTCGCAGGGTCCGGAACGGGGACCCACCGAACCTTCTCGAACCGGCCCGCTGGGTTGCAGCGGATTGGGAGAGCAATAGTCGTTTGTTGCAAACGCCTCGATATGCCGATTTAGCCTGTACCCGAGGGAGGGACGGGAACCATGGCAGTGCGCTGAAGCGTCTGCCGGCCGAGCTGCATTTTTTCATGTTACTCGCGTGCCATCACTGTAAGACGCCTTGGCTCTTATTATTTTTCCTCGACCTGGAAATATAGCGCTGGGTATTATTCAATCCTCGACGTCTGATGTCCAGTTATCCCAACTATCAGGACAGACGGCCGGTCCCTCGCAAACGCCCTGACGCCATCTACTGTAGGGCCCGAAGCTGGAGGACCTGCTACGGAGGATGAAGTCACGAAGCTGATCAGCGTTTCCGTCGGAGCAAGCCTATCCATCATCCTGGTCAACTCTCTAGCCAGTGAAGCCTGCGCACCTAGACAGACATGACATGTCCCCCGGCGACCTGATACTTTGCGCATGGTGCGCCATTGGCCAGACAAGCACAACAGAGAAATCACGGTGGCTAGGAGACGAGGTAGGAGGGCAACAGAGCAGGAAGACAGTCGTCCGCGACCAGTCGTCTGACGATCCCTTCATCCCTTCATCCACCACGGTGCAGGTAAACAAGTCGACGCCTTGGGCTCACCATTGGCTACCTCGCGGCAGCGAGTAGTCATCGGGAGGCGGGACTGGAGCGTTTGGACAAGCTTCCTGTGGGGGAGATGTGGCGGCTGCCGGTCCTGGTTACATCAACTGCAGGCCCAGCACAGTCTAGTCTGCAGGTATCAAGTACACGTTTTTGCCGGCGGCGACCTCCAATGGGAGTTACCCATGTGGGATGCCCAGACGAGACAATGACAGTTGACGGGCAGTTGGTCGACATGCAGAAGTGAGGTGTTGTGTTGTTTTCCTGCCTGCTGTGGAAAACAAACCCGGTGAGAGGCGAAGGCGTAGTAGGAAACACTGCCAAAAGGCCCGCCAGCTGGTATCATGGGGATAATGAGTGTAAAGTGCTCTGGTTGGCGGTCGCCGTGTAAAACGGACATGGCCTTCCATCCACATCACGCACGCCCAGCCGAGAGCACATGGGCAGCATCCAGGGCCTTGTCCAGTCTCCGTCTCCCCCGTATCCATAATCCATCCGTACCTAAGGTAGGCACAAAAAAAAGCGAGATAGGTACCGGGTCATGTATTCGTAGGTTCGGTAGGCAGGAAGGGGAAGAAGAAAAAAATTGTGCACAGCTGATAAATCGTTCATGTCCCCCGGAGCGAGGCCTTGCCTCGCCTCGCTTGCTGTTGGAACTCCTGTTATTTCACCTCCCGGTCTGTTTCCTTGCCTTGGGCCTCCTCAGAATGACATCTGAGAAGCAACGTTGTGCAGTTCCCATCTGAGCTCTTCCTGCTACTACTCTCTTGCCTCATTGCGTCCACGACTTCCGCCTTACGCAAAACCTCCACAGCTCCCCTCCATTGCCTGCCTATCCGCCTCCCAGGCTTTCTCGACCACCTGCCTCCCGAGTTGCCAGTCAGTGTCCACACACCCAATGGGCTGTGTGTCTTCTAGCTGAGCCTCCTCTTGGTACCTACCTACCTATTACCTATTACCTACCTTACCTGGGCTGCCTGAGCTTCCTTCCTCCGCCCTTTCCTTCCGCCCTCGCCTTAACTTCGACTTTGGGTGGTCGCCAACCTCTTTCTCTTCTCCTCTCCTCTCATCCTCCTTTTTCGTCATTGTCTTCTTGGACTTCTTTACCAGCTGCAATTATCTGCCGACAACGCCCAGGCTCAGGCCCTTTCGCATTCCACTCCATCTGAGTCAAGGTCACACCTGCCTTCAACCGGGCGCACCCAAGGGGACCAAAGAAAAAAAAAAGTTGCTGCAGACGGTTCCTTCACTAGGCCCGTTAATGCGCTTTGGGGAATCCCGCACAAGCATAACCTTGCATCGAGGTCTGCCGACCCTCCTTACCTAATTAACCAAAAAATAAGCCTGCGCATTCTCTTGGTTCCCCTCAGAGGGCGCTTTGCTTTATCAATGAAGCTCTTTGCAAAGAAGTCGTCCAAGAAGCAATCCGGCCAGGACGAAAACGACTACGAAAGTAACAACTTCTTTCCCCCCTCAGAGGCTTCTTCTCCTACCAGGTCGCCCACTAAGTCGCCGACGAAATCCCCCACCAAAAAATCCTCCCAGCCCGCCTCTCCAGGCCTTCGGGAGACAAAGTCATCTCGCACATCCCGCTCCTTTGGTCGTCACCCTACCGACCCGGGTTCTCGCAGGAGCAGCAAGATCGACTTTGATACCCATCCCCTCAACCTCACTCCTGAAGAGCGAGCAAAGAGACTGTCAGCCATGAGCGGTCGCAACTCCCCCGGAGCCATGGATGTCGATCGTGACTCCAACGCCGCTCCCTCCTCTCCTGCTGCCGCTCCCCAGCAGCCCGCTGCTCAGCCCTCCGCCCAGGCCTCATTTTCTGTTCCCATTCCGAATGGCATCAACACAAATGTTAATGGCAATGGCGATGCCCCTCCCCCTCCTCCCCACAAATCAAACCCCTCCAGCCCGGTCCCTACAACAGAGGACGAGGCCGAGGCCTACAAGGGTGCGGGAAACAAGTTTTTCAAGGAGAAGGATTACAAGAATGCCATCCTCCAATACACCAAGGGTATGTTGTCGTTTGCTGCGCAGTTTGCGTCGCCGCAATTACTAAGCGTCTTCTCTAGCGATCGAGTTGTGCCCCGATTCCGCCACCTACCTGAGCAATCGCGCTGCGGCCTACATGTCCAACACCCAGTATGAGTACGCCCTCGAGGACTGCACCCGCGCCGCCGACTTGGACCCCGAGAACCCCAAGATCCTCCTCCGTCTGGCGCGCATCTACACCAGCCTGGGTCAGCCCCAGGAGGCCCTTCTCGTCTTTGGTCGCATCAACCCTCCCCCCTCCGCCAAGGACCAGGCTCCGGCCAAGGAGATGCTTAAGCACGTCACCGCGGCCCAGAGCGCTCTGAGAGATGGCACCGCTGGCTCCATGGTTCTCCACGCCCTCGACCAGGCCGAGAGACAGTTGGGTTTCGGCGCTTCCAAGCCTCGCAAGTGGCAACTCATGCGTGGCGAGGCCTACCTCAAGATGGGCACCGTCAATGCCCTCGGCGAGGCGCAGAACATTGCCATGGGTCTGTTGAGGAACAACAGCCAGGACCCTGAGGCTCTTGTCCTCCGCGGCCGTGCTCTGTACAGCCAAGGCGAGAACGACAAGGCCGTCAGTCACTTCCGCAAGGCCATCAGCTGCGACCCCGATATGCGCGATGCCGTCAAGTACCTCAGAATTGTCCAGAAGCTTGACCGTATGAAGGAGGAGGGCAACCAGGACTACAAGATGGGACGCTGGCAATCCGCCATCGAGAAGTACACCGCGGCCTTGGACGTCGATCCTACCAACCGCGGCACCAACTCCAAGATTCTGCAGAACAGAGCGCTTTGCAAGACCAAGCTCAAGGACTTTGACGGCGCCATTGCCGACTGTGAGCGCGCTATCAGCCTTGACTCGACATATATCAAGGCCCGCAAGACCAAGGCCAACGCCTTCGGCCAGGCAGGCAGGTGGGAGGATGCGGTTCGGGAGTGGAAGTCGATCCAGGAGCTTGATCCCGAGGACCGTACCATTGCCAAGGAGGTTCGCAGGGCAGAGCTTGAGCTCAAGAAGAGCCAGCGCAAGGATTACTACAAGATCCTCGGTGTCGAGAAGGACGCCGACGACAACCAGATCAAGAAGGCCTACCGCAAACTGGCCATCATCCACCACCCCGACAAGAACCCCAACGACGAGCAGGCTGCCGAGCGTTTCAAGGATATCGGTGAAGCCTACGAGACCTTGAGCGACTCTCAGTAAGTGATTCAACTTTTCATGCTGAACCAGCAAGTGCTAACCATTTCGCAGAAAGCGTGCTAGTTACGACAGCGGCGAGGACCTCATGGACCCGTCCGACATGTTCGGCGGCGGTGGCATGGGCGGCGGCATGGGTGGCATGGGCGGCATGCACGGAGGCATCGACCCTGAGATCCTGTTCAACATGATGGGAGGTGGTGGCGGCTTCGCTGGCGGTGGCGGCTTTAACGGAGGCGGCTTCCCCGGCGGCGGCGCACACTACTCCTTCGCCGACGGCTCCGGTCGCCCCCGCGGCGGCAGCGGCTTTGGCGGAAGAGGCTTCAACTTCTCGACCTGACAATCCGAGTCAGAGGAAGACGAAGCAGAGCTTTACGACGAGTCGACCGAGCCGGGACGCAAGCCGGGCGGCTCATTCGCCCAAGAGACGATGAAGAACCACATGAAGCGGCGCCGAGATGGCAGCCAAGTTGTGGATAAAGTACGTCAGTACGGAGTCTGGGTAGTGGCCGCCTTGGTCCTTGTCCCCGTACAGCTCCTGGTACTGGCCGCGATACTTGTGGGATTCGTGTATATTTGCATCATAGGGGCCCGGAAGCTGGGCATACGGCTCCGCGGCGGGGAATGAGTCGACTGCAGACTGTGGCATCCGGGATTTGTTTCTTCGGGATAGACATGACGCACAAAAAAGTCACACCGGCGGCGTTACAAGGCATCGATCGATCGTCCCTTTTTCAAACTTTTTTCCACCCCTTTTTTTTCAACTGTTAGAGTTACGACCCCAATTTCACAAATTCATGAGAAAGAGAGAAAGAGAGACCCATGGGTACACGTCAGTTTCTGTTTTCTGGTTTCGCAAACATTGGGGGGTAAGGTAGGGGGAGGCGTCCTCGGCATTTTCTCTCCACGACGAGAATGCCATCTTGTCATTCAGGTTAGGCATAGTTTGATACCTGGTAATTGAACTCTAGACCATGTCTCGGGCAGGTTTATGCCAATCTCGGTTGCCGCTGCTCACTTTGCGCGTTGGTGATGATCCATAACATGTGTAAATTTTGTGACAGCCGTGACAGCATCACGGCTCGGGTATCAATTGTCTACTTTCCCTCTCCAGCAAACCAAAAACCGTCCATTCATCCCACCTAGTTCCCCCCAGGCCTCCCGCTCCCAACAGCCTTGGTCGCTTCCAGCACCCTCCCGACATCCTCCCTGAGCTCCGGCATACCCCTCTCGACGTGGTCCGCCAACACGTCCCTGAACTGCGCGAAGGCGTTCATCTTGCCGCGCATGAGCTGGTTCCCGCGCCTCACGAGCTCGACGAACTCGCGCGTGTAAATGTCCGGGTTGCGGCCGTTCTCGACGTACTGGACGAGCTCGGGCGGGATCTTGGGCAGCGCGCCGGGCAGGTCGGGCGAGGGCGGGGCGCCGGCGAGGGCCGTCATGTGGACGCGCTGGAGGGAGGAGGAGAGGGCCTGGACGGACTCGGCGAGGGCGGGGCCGGAGGAGGAGGCGGAGGTGGAGGCGGCAGAGGCTGCGCCAGCTGCGGCGCCGGCGGAGGGGTTCGAGGGGTTTGTCGGGGCGGTGTTGTAAGTTGTTACTTGGACCATTATTTGGTAGAGGTCTTGGATTGTGTCTTTGAGCTGTTCTATTTGGGGGGAGGGTGTGTTAGCGGGTTGTGTGTAGGCGCGGCCTTTGGGTGCTTACGCTCGAGTTCTGCTGGGGTTGGTTTGTCCATTGGCGCCATTTTTGCTGGTCGCTCCTTGTTGTTCCTTCGAATTGGGGGTCGTAATGCGACGGGGAACTTGGTGGGGATAGAAGTGGAAGTTATGGCGTGGTGAGGGTTTCCGCGGATGCAAATGCGATGCGACGCGACGAGGCTGAGATTTGCGACGGCTAAGGTAGTTGGATGTTGATGGATGGATGATTTGGTTGGTTTACATTCCGGCTGGCATTTGGCGGGATGAGCCGGCGGCACCTTCTGGCAGGTGAGTGTGGGGCACGCAGGGATCTGCTCAGTCCGGGGCCGCCATACATCTCGACCCCAGTCGATACTAATACTTGTCTACCCCTCTGCATAATTTGGAAGATATGTTCTTGGCTTTTTCTTCTTAGACTGGGAATACCCCACGAGCTGGACATTGCTGGAGAGAATGTTGGTTATGCATTCTATTTTGGGCGAATTCCACATCTCAAAGTGCTTCTGGTAAGGATACAAGCTATGACTGAATCTCAGGGCCCTCTCTTGCCCTGCGCCTGTGTCACTCACTTAGCGCCGAACACCTTCCTCCAAGCGATGTTCTTCCTCGTTTTGTCGCGTGGTGAATCGGCTCCGTCAGCCGGGACCCTCTCTCGTTCTCTCCCTCGTTCAGTTCCACTGCCCTCTGTAGTTTCACGACTTAAACCAAAACCGAGACCGTTCCGACTCACTCGTCTCAACGAAACGATGGCTGACTCCCGGGGCCGTGGCCTAGGGGGCGGAGACCGGATCGGAGTGTACAGTTCCAGATACTCAGATGACTGCGGCGGCGGTGTCCGGCGTATGGTACTGCGTCGTTGCAATTGCACACGAGGTGGTACCAAGGGACTCCGGGGACGCATACGTCTGAGTTGCGGCGGTGGCGTTTTGTATCGTGACTCTTGCTCGCTGGGTGTCTCGGGCGGTGTCACATAGCCCGACGAGGTCGTGGTATCGGACTTCTCGAGACGGGCTCCCAGGCGGGAAGACGGCCGCTTGAGAGGCTCGTGGCTTATCCAGGGAACGGGTTGAGCACGTCTCTGCTCTGGAGGCGGCCACCTGAAAAGATGACTAGATGAAAGATTGACTGGCGACGAGGATCGCGGTGTCAGAGGTAACTGACATGTCGGCGTAAGTGACCTCGCTGTTTCCGTTGTGGAGCTGTCAGGTGTCGATGTGGTTGGGGTCTGGGCGAGCCGACTCATATCGTTGGGCGAGGTACTTCCGTCAGGCCGATGGTCTCTCGACTGCGCGTATCTGAAAGGTTGCATTCCCATCGGGATCGGCTTCGTTGGGCTAGGTTTGAAGGCGACCTCTTCCAAGGGGTTGTTCAAGGAAACGTAAATGGTAGAGTCCAGTGGCACACCGGGTCCTACGTGTTCGTCATGTGGCCCATCTCCAACTCGGCGCAATGGTGACGAGTCTCGACTGAAAGACCGGATCGACTGCTTCAACTTCAGTGCGAGATTTCAAGCGAAACCAGGAAACTTACCGCCGGAGCCCGCTCCAAATCGCCGGTCTTGCTTTGGGCCGCATCCCATCGAAAACGGCTTAATCCACCGTCAACCTTCTCGACCCTCCCCAAACCCTTTTGCACAACGTCTTCTCCTTCCATATCAAGGGAGCACACAACACAAACAGGAGGAACCTCCACCTCCCTTCCCTTCTTCCGTCCCATCATGCCCACGTCGTCCTCGTCACCTTGTCCGCACTCATCGAAAAGATTCGAGAGGGGCTCTCCCTGATGGATGATCTTGCTCCCGTAGAACAGACAACCGTAGCATGCACGATGCCAGAAGCACCAACCAAGGCTGACACAGTCATCGCCGCGGCATACGATTTCGCCGCAGACCCAACAGATGGCAAGGTCGATGACCGTGACGTAGCAGGACGAGCAAGCGAGTCGAGCCGAGTGGCCTATAACGTGAGGCGTTCCGTCGGACGGCTGCTAGCAGAAGGTGCACGTGAACGGAGTCGACGTTACTGGTAACATGTTTGAGAAACGTCAAAAGATTGTCGGTTCGTCTGGAGCATGATTCGAACTGCTGCTGCTTAGTCGACGTTTAGAATGGATTGAAAAGACACGGAGAGAAATATCATATTCGGTAACAGGGTCGGGGAAGATCCTCCCTTGGACGAGAAAGTTCTTCGTGCAAGCAACTGCCATCGGTGACTTTATTATCGTCCGATGCAGGTTCATGGAGGAAGTGGCGACACAGACAGGCAGCCTCTTACTAAAGTTGCTGTCATGATTGAGATAGAAGCCGCAACCAAAGCAAAGAGGCAACTAGCTGCTGCCAGGACAAGTACTGCCCCGTTGGTTCACTTTCAGAATTGCACGCACTCACTCAGTTCAAAATATCGACGCGTTGGCGTTCAACTTTTATAACCTAAGGCAGTAGCTCAGTTGAGGCTACACCCTTACCGAGACCAAATGACAAAATGTAATCCTCTTGTGAACGCCCATGGTATGATACAATAGTAAACAAACGCCATGACCAAAGCCGTATCCGCATCCCAACCCCCATGGTCCAGCCAACTCGATCAATCTGAAAATCAAAACATCCCAATTACGCCTTTCGTGATTCCTAGACATCGGTTTGCAGTGAAGCAATCAGTTTCCCGATTCAACTTGCAGCCTTGTCTCCCTGGTGTTTCGCGGTCGTCGTGATATGGTACAATTCAACAACACCAAAGCAAAGTGTTGCGAGTAAAATGCCGCTTCCTGAAAGCTCCAAGTAGTGCATTAGTTGCGCATCTTCGGCTTTGCAAGCATGTTGAGCCGGCTCAGGCTCATGCCCGCACGCTTCTTGGTAGGGCTTGGCGAAGCGAAGGTTCGAGGAGTTTGAGGCTTCTTTCCGATGGTATTGGGGGTAGCTCCCATGAGTCTGGGAGCGAGCAGAGCGTCTCCCTCAGGAACAGGCTCAGCCTTACGTCTCTTGCCTGCTCTCTCGCCTGAAGCCTCTTCAAGGTCTCCCTCTTCCTCTTTGGCTCGAGCGCGCTTCTTGTGGGTCATTCCATGGGGCTTTCCAGCGAGAAGTTGCATGGGAGACCGGTTCTCTTTGTTGGAGAGGGTGTCGGAGCTGGTAGGGAAGCTACCGGGCATGTCAAGCGATCTGCGCACGTGGCGGACGCTGGATTGACCTGCAGTCGAGCCAAAGCCAGTAGGAGAGGCACTAGCAAATCGAATGGTATGGTCGCTGCGGAAGGTGAAGGTGCCCGGAACGGTCGGAGGCAAGACGCTGCTAGTCTCGGCTGCCTTCGTAGTCGGGCTCTCAACAGTCAAGTCGGGATACAAGCCGTCGCTCTCCTCTCGCTGCGTGACGTTTCCAAGAACAGCGTCGAGGTTCGGATACTGTACCTCGCCTTGCTTGCGTCCGGGGCTGATGGTAGAAAAGGCTTTGTGAGCGACAGTGTTCGGAGCGTCAATGGCACGGTCAGTATCCGGGGTGAAGTCAACTCTCTTAAATAGCTTGCGCCGAGGAGTGGTGAAAGGAACGGCAGGCAGCGCCTTCTCGACAACCTGAGGAGCGGGAGTCTGAGAGACGCCGGCAGCAGGCTGAGGAAGGGCAGTCTTGGCCTTATCAAAGGCGCCTTTTCCACCGCGCAAAATTGACTTGACTCTTTCGAATCGACCAGGGCTCACAATCCGGCGTTTCAGCTCGGCCGTCTTCTCCAACGCACCCAGATTGTTGGTGGTGACAGACCTTGTGAGGTTGCCCAGCTCAGGTTTGGAAGGCGATCTCCGAAGACTTCCAAGCTCGGGCTTAGAAGGCGACTTTCGAAGGCTGCCAGGCTCAGGCTTAGAAGAGGACTGGGCAAGACTTCTGAGGTCGGGCTTGCTGGGAGACTTGGCCAGCGAGCTAGGCAGAGGCATCTTGCTGCCAGCAGCGCGAGCAAGGGAAGACTTGGTGGGGTTGGTCAAGGAAGCCAAGCTAGGCTGGGATCGGAGACCAGTTGAAGGTGTAGCCGCAGGCGCAGATCCAGTCGGGGCGTCGTTTCCGCTGGACTTAGGACGCGGAAGAGAGCTACCGTCACGAGAGACAGGCCGGGCGGTCGAGGCATCATCCTCGAAGCGCTGACGAACACGCTTGACGGACGATGGAGGCTCGAGGTTGGCGAAGATACGAGCTCTGGGAGCGTGTCCAGTCGAAGCCTTGAGGGTGCCGTTCGAGCTTGCGTCGTCCAAGTTGGCCTTGGAGGGAGACCGCTTAAGGCTTTTCTGACTGGGAGTGCCAGCCGCAAGCAGGTTCGGCTTGGACGGCTGCTTCAAAATTGACTTGGGGTGGGTGGGGGTGTCCTCGAGGTTGGCCTTGGAGGGGGAGCGCTTCAGGCTGGACTTGGGGTGAGTAGGGGTATCGTCCAAGTTGGCCTTGGACTGAGAACGTTTGAGAGAGCTCTTGTGGGGGGTGACACGGCCCGGCTGGGCTCTGAAGGCTGAAGCATGACCTTCGATAGAGTCCATCTTCTTGAACTCGGCCATGTGTGCGGAGCTGAAGCGACCCGACTTGCCCTTAGCCTTGGCAATCTTTCGTCCATTGAGCTCTTCGTCCTCCCTCTCGAGTTCGCGCTTGGCGAGCAATTCAGCCTTGATTCGAGCAGCTTCTTCGCGCAGCTCGTTCATCATTTGCTGAGCATCGTTACTCAAACCGCTATCTCCGGCGGGCTGGGTAACGCGGAAGGTGAAGGGTGACTCGGGCACACCATTCGTCTTGGACGGTGTCGCCTGAGTATCGTTGGTCTTGTCGGCGGGCTTCATGTCTCTGAAGCCGAGCCAGGTAGCGGAGGGAGGTGCGACTGTAGGGTGGACTTTGCTCGGGTGCATCTCCGACAGAGGAGCCTTCAGTTGAGTGGAGGAGGAAGGCGTGGCGGGATCGTGATTGGGGACGACGAGGGCGTTCAAGCTCTCTGCGACGTTCTTGGAAGGAGGAGTGTCGTCGCGCTCGACGACGGAAGAGAGAGTCTGTTTGGCCTTGGGCTGCAGAAAGGACGTGAGTCGGGGCCCGCGAGTCGTTTGTTTACGGCGGCGGTCAGAGTGTCTTACCTTGGGCGTGTTTGTCGCGCTGGCCAACCGGGCCGAACGACGGCGAGGCGGCGTCATGCTGTAGAGCTGTTCGTGATTCTGGTCGAATTTGGCGGTTTTTTTGCTGTGAGGTTAGTAAAAGTTGATGAACGAGAGGAAGAGGTGCTCGATCAAGCCAGGCCCTTGGAGAGAGAGATTTGATGATGTCAGGCGAGGTGGATGTGGTGCGGACGGGCAGGGTAAGGTGAAGACGAGGTGCCGCTGCTGGGTACGTAGAACGCGACGGGGATTTTTGGTGGTGGTGGAGGGGTTGCCGTTTGTTTACATTCCAGCGTGTTGTTCTTTGTTTGGATTGGCTGGTCCGAAGAGGGAACACTCACTGCTGTGAGGGGCCCAAGCTCCACGCTCCGGGCCTGGGGATCAGGTGGGGCCACTTTTTTCGGCCGGACAGTGTTTGCACGGTTTGATGGTGAATTTGTTTACTTCTGTTTGCAGTCAACCCAGTGTTTGCCTGTTTGCTTGGCGGGTCCCGTAACCCTGAACATCTCGGTGCTCGTGGGTCGAAGTTGAACAGGGCAGGAGCACATCGGGTCTCCTCCTTCTCGAACCCTCTGGTGTTTCACGTGCTTCGATGATGTTCACCTTGTTTTGGACATGCTGTCTGGTACGACGTTGTCTAGTGTTTCATTCTACTACTGCGCTTGTCCATTTGGAAGTCGGATCGCGACTCTGTCATCAGACGTTTTTGACAGAAGTGACTCTCGTCCCACTTCACCTCGATTTAATCTGACAAAGTGTTTTTTCTATCGTTTAGATGTTGGCGAGATCAATCTTCGATTAGGCTGGGAGGGCTTACATATACATATGAACCTTAAACCCTCATTGTGTTAAGTGCTGGGTATGTACACTTCTATCGTGTCTGTGGAAAGTTATTCCTCAATGTGTTACATGATACGGGATTTTTTTCGTCACACGCAATGATCACATTTTTTCTGATCAATCTTCGATTCGACAATGGGTATTCTACTCGTCACAACCACCACCAACTTGGAGGCGCAACACCACTATGGGCTGGCTGCATCTCGAATACTGTAAGCTATCGTCCTGCCACAAGGGCCCATCCCCGTTTAATTCTCTCGGGGATGACTGTAATAAAGTCCACAATTAATCTTGCTGACCACATCCTAGCCTACAAAGTTTACTGACGCACTCACTGCTTTTACTGCCTGCTCAGATACAGGAGGCTACCCAGACCTCTGGGGCAGAAACAGCTCGCCCCTCGTTTTCGAACTCCACGGTGACCCAACTCGGCGTGAGGGCGCCTTCATTTATTAGTTCAGCATGAAGCGTACTCTGTGAAGATCACTTACTCGGTTTCATAGCATGACACAACAAAAACCCGCCACACATGGAGAGCTACCATTGGGCGCGCTCGTGGCTTTCGTCGGGGATAGTTCATCGTCAGCACCATCAGATGGCAAAGATTCCGATGTTCTCCAGCGAGAGGATCGACGGACGCGGCTTTATGACCTCCGCGGCTGCAATGCCCTCAGGAACGCAGACCCAACAGGATCTTGCTCGTCCGGAAACTGTCCAAGTCAGAGCCAAGCCCACTTGAGGCGTTGCTTTGCTCGCAATCCTGGGCATTGAACCGAACTCCGTCGGACACGACGCTGCTCGCTTGTGTCTGTTGGCTGACGACCACGATTCGGGTATTTTGCGCAGACAACATGACGGCTTTGACACGCCGCCAAAGACTGCGTCAAGTCTCAAGTCTGCGCAAATATAATGCTATGTGGCCAGGCCAGCCACTCATTCCACTCCGGGCCAAGGTACTCCGTGATAACCCGCAGCAAATTGGCCCCGGAACCGCCGACCTGCCACAGCTCTCTCACTAGATGTAGAATAACAGCGTGGTTCCCCAACACGGCGGCAGCCTCCGGTCTCCGCTGGCTCAACATCTCGATAAACTCTTCCGGGACGAAGAACGCCCACGTAAAGACCATCTGGACCAGTCGCTCCCTCGAGCGTCTCTCCCAATTATCGTATGCGACCTGTACCAGCTCGACAGCACGTCTACAGGCCTCCTTGGACGCCGCATCGAGGTTGGAAGAGGAAACCAAGCCCTGCAGGGCGTCGCAATCACGGCCCCTTCCCACAAGCTCGTCTTCTCCCGGGCCCCAGGTAAGAAATGGGCGGAGTTCAGAGCCCTCGAGCTCGGGCCTGGCGGCCTTCAGGACGGACGCTCCGCGTTGGCGGAGGCGAGCGAAGTTCAGGTAGCTGTCGAGGAAGGCGTCCAGCCCGGAACTGCTGTTGGCAAGAGCGTCGATGCAGAGGTGTCGGCCGAGCATGGAGGAGAACATAGCTATTGCCACGCACGTCGAGTCGTTGATGTCTGGTTTGGTAGTGTTGAAGATGGAAATGGCCTCATTTTGCAGCTGGACGGCCTGCTCCACGTAGTACTGTTTCCTGTCGAGTCTGGTGTGAGAAAGGTGCATGGCCGAGAACGACAGTATCTCATGCATGAGATATGGTGCGTCTATGCCGGCTTTGACGGTAAGTTCGGTCGCCTGTTGGCGGAGGCTCTCACTCATCTCGGGAACAATCAGGTCACCGCGGAAGTTGAAAAGAAACTCCATGTGGTCCATGTTCACCTGAGGCCCGGAAGGTTGGAGTGGCATATCCGAATGCGCCAGCGCCGAAGCCCGGGCCGGGTTAGATGAGGAAGCCCCGGGTCCCTTGAGATCATCGTGCGGAGAGCAACCGGAGTCCCTTGACGGGGTGCTCGGCCCCGATCTGAAGGCGTCCCCGGGGCAGTCCTCGCCGATGGACACCACCGGAGGCGGAGGAGTCCGGTACACGCATTGCCTTTCGATGATGGCGCAGTTCTTGCACGTTGGCCGGGTCTCATCGCACTTGGAACTCGGAAGTCAGAGGGGCAATTTTTACTACATGATTCGTGACTGATGCTCGCTTACCTTGATGTGTCGCCGTTTGCATTCAACGCAGCCATTCCGCGACTTCTTGTGGGCACGGCGGTTCATATTCGAGGTCGTGTGCCGCACTTCCGGGGTGGGTAAGGTCTCTTCGCAACTCACTTATAACATAATGAGTTGTACACAATGAAGAAATAGGGGAACGAACGGATGAGTTGGGGTTGAAGTTGTACCTAATGCGAAAGCGAACCCAAAAGCCAAGACGCCGAAATATTGTGGGGGGGACGTTGAGTGAACGCCGGCCAGCTCCGGGGGTCCGTAGGAGAGGCTCCTAGTGCCTAATGCGCCAATCACGGCTTGATGCTCAGCGCAAGGGTCCCTATCGTCAGAATGAAAGTCTCCCCTGGGCTGGTTAAGATGAAATCCATCGTTTTAAGTTTCTCTCATCGCTCATTCATTCCATCAAGGAGCTTTTGTTACAGCGTCATTTTTATACGAGTCTCATCACTCACCATTTCGCTGCGTTAGCTATACAACAACGAACACGCGCATCATGGCTCATTGATTTCCCTTCAGAATATGGTTGTTATTGCCCTTCTGCCTGCTCTCATTCGAAATCACTTACACCCCGGCTTATGGGTATGTGACGCTGTAGACGCTACACCACGGGCAACATGGCCTCCGTAGCTTCATTGACATTGATCATGAGATTCTCAGATCAACCAACGTGTATCTATCTGATGCAATGTTGATGCTGCTGGTGCGTACGACACGGCCTTGTTGCATTTGTTAACGGCGTGCTCAAATAAGACTACTGACGGTCTCGAAGATGGGAACAACTTGGACATGATTCACCGTGAAGCCCAAAACACCCTTTTCACAACTTGGTTTGACGCTGAATATACTTATACAATGCCTCGAACTCGGAAGTGGCGCCGTCATCTCCCTACCTATGTACCAATCGAAATATTGCCAGCAATGGTGTACTGCATAGTACAGCCGTCCGTCCATCGAGCTTTACCGAATCGACATGTAATTACCCGCTGCAGCACCCATGTCGAGCTGGAGAGGAGGATACCAGGGCCAGGCAAAAGAAGCTTTCGATAGAGCGACGAACAAATCTCTAGCAGCAGCACCGGAGACCCTTAGCGTCACCCGATTGGCACTCAAGACAGCGGCCTCCAACGACGACCGGCCCCCAAGAACGTGGTCCCACGATTCGCGAGCGTTCAAGCTAACCACCGACATCTCATGGCGGGGTAAACCGGCACCGAACAATGCTCACTAGAGAATGTCCGCATTGTCCTCCTCAGGAATTCCCTTCCCCCTTCTGCCCTGTGCCGAGTGGACGGACTCAATGACATCTTCCTCTCCAACGGCGCATCTTCGATCACACCCATACCTGGGGGCGCAATGGTACCCGGTATGACGCCATAAGGGTGGAACCCAACCACGACACTCGACCGTCCGCAACATCTCCAAACCAGCCGGATCCCATATCATCCTGCCTTGATTTATATGTGTCATTCCAGTTTTTCTGTCACTAAAACAATAAGGGACTTTGGCGCCGAGCACACCGATGGCGAACGTGGTATCCGGTCTCCCCGTTGGTGACGATGTGTGCCATCTTTACATCCCCAGCGCCAAGAAACCGACGATCAGGGTCCCAGTTTCTTCAACCATCACCAACAACACCACTCACACCCCCATGACGAGCTGAAGGAGGTTATTACACCACAGCCAGCCCAGTCCAGAAACGGCTTACCGTGCTCCCGAAAAACAAGTGTTTTAGCCAATTCCATCTCGCGCTCTGCCAAGATGGCGCGGACCTGTACACTGCTACCCCCTTCAAATGGACTCGCCGTTGGCGGTTCAGCCAGACAAGGCAGGCACACGGCATGGCAAGCGGCGCGCGCCATGCAGCCCATTTCATCCCATCCCATCTGAACGAGAAGAGCCCAGCCAGTCCACGCGGGGATTCCCAGAAATGTCGTAAACATGCGTCTGCTAGCGCTCCGTCCGTCCACCCTCGATGGGCCACTGCCTTGTCGATCGGGAGGGTCCATACGCCAACATGTGAGAGTGAGACCGGTATTCTCGACCAGCATCATGGCGCAGCCAAGCAAGCAGCAGCTCTCGTCTCATAGCACCCATTTAAATGCCGTCCCCTCGATCACATCCGTCTAGTCTCCCAAGCCTCTTTGCATCATCTCATCATCATACCCATCTGAACTCACTCACAACATTCAGCCCTATACACACAAAGCAAACATGTCTTACGGCGGAAACGACAGCGTAAGTTCAGTCAGAAGCTTGCCCCTCAGCCGTTGATAGCTTCCCATTTCAAACTAACACCTCCACATAGTCCAACTACGGTTCCAGCAGGGACAACGAGGCCAGCTACGGCTCTTCTCGCAACGAGGACTCCTACGGCTCCTCTCGCCGCGACAACGACGACTCTTACGGCTCATCACGCAATGAGGACTCTTACGGTTCCTCCCGTCGCGACAACGAGGACTCCTATGGTTCATCCCGCAAGGACAATGACGACTCCTACGGATCCTCTCGCAATGAGGACTCATACGGCTCCTCCCGCCGCGACAACGACGACTCCTACGGGTCCTCCAACACCTCCAACCCCGTGAAGCACTCCGCCTTTGACGAATCAACCTCCTCCAACCTCGCCGGCGCAGACTCCCTCGCCTACAACGCCTCCGAGAACAACGGCCGCACCTACGACAACGACACGTCCTCCTACGGCAACACCACCTCCAGCACCACCAACGACTCCTCTTACGGATCTTCTACCCGCCGCGACAACGACGACTCCTACGGTTCATCCACCCGCCGTGACAACGACGACTCCTACGGCTCCTCCACCCGCCGCGACAACGACACCACCACCTCGTCCTACGGCACAACCGGCCGCAACGATGACTCCTACGGCTCCTCAGGCCGCATCGGCGGCAACGACGACTCCTCGTACGGCTCGTCCGGCCGCAACGAGAGCGATTCCTACGGATCTTCGCGCCGCGACAACAACAACAACAACGACAACGGCAACTCGTACGGCTCTGACTCCTACGGCAGCAGCGTCAACAAGGGCGACAAGGGAGGAGACAGCAAGCTGGGCAAAGTCCTGGAGAAGGCGGGCAGCTTGCTCAACAGCGACAAGCTCGAGAGCAAGGGACACGAGAAGAGGGAGGCCAAGGGGGCCTTTGGCAGCAACGATGACTACTAGACGTTCGAGCCGCGCCGCAAGTGAGCTCTTGATTTTGAAAATGTTACGAACTAGCGAGTTTAATACAATCTAATATTGAATGAATGGCAAGGCCTGGTTTGAAAGTAGGTGGAAGGATGATTTGAATGCTGTGCTATGCGCTATGAAATACTACCGATTACCACCACCCCATCGTAGTCAGTTTTTAGTACACCTTCTTGGTGATCCTCACCAGAATAACACTCTCCGTGACCCTGCCCTCGCAATCCATAAGATGCACGAAACGGTAGCCGCTTCTCAAACGATCAAGTCTCACAGCCGCCCAAGCCGCCAAGTCATCCCGCATAATCTCGTCGTCCCTAACGGTGAACCGCACAAAAGTCAACTCCTCCACAACACCGGGGACACCTGTGAACTTGAGCTCCTCGCCCTTGAAGTCGGGGTCGATGCCCTTGTTCGACTTGGTCTTGGCCTTGTACTCGCCCTCCTGCTCGTGGCCTTCGTTCTTGATGTGAGCGCCGGGGAGGCGTTCTTCCGGGGACTCGACGTGGATCTCGACCTTGACGTAGGGCTTGAAGCCGGAGACCTTGGTGTCTCCCGGCGGCAATGGGAGGTTTTGCGCGGCGAGGACGTCGATTTGGAGATCGAGCGTTTTGTACGTGATCTGCGGGGCGTCGAGGGCTGCGTCAGGGGCAGGAGGAGGAGGTGAGCCGGCCTTGAGGCAGCGGTACCCTTCACTTTGTCAATACTCATGTTCATCGTGTTTCCATGAACGTAAAACGTACCTTCAGGCTTCAAGACGTAGCCCGGCGTGCCCGCAAACATGGCCTCGTTGAGCATCATCCCTTCATCCCAGTTCTGCCAGTTGAGCGCTACAATCTGGATACCCCTGCGCCAAAAAACGGGCGCGTCGAGATTGGAACTTCTAATTCGCAGGCCAGAGGGATACGCTCGCATCAGATAATGTCGGTTGTGGTGAAACAAAATCTCTGGCTGTTTTTCGTGGACTTCCATAACGCCCTTCTCTGACAGCGAGAAGATGTGCGTCGGCATTGAGGCCTCGGGCTGCGTAAGGGACTTGAAAGAGATTCCTCGAGTGTAGACTCCAAGTCTACTCAGCGCATGGATGATCTTGGAAGCCTTCTTCTTCTCAGCTTTCTTGTTGGAAACATCCCCAGTCGGCCTCTCGTCGCTCTCGTCGTCTTCGAGAACAGCTTCCCCTGCCTCCGTAGGCGGCGGGGCGTACTTCACCTTGACCAAGATTTTACCCTTGAGATCTGCCGGACGCGGTAGTTCTGAGGCGTCGACTTCCGGAGTCGGGACCAGCATGCCCTTCCATGTATCCTCCATGATTTGAACCATGACCTCCTGCTGCTGCGGACCACAGTGTACTTCTAGACTGACAATCAATGGCGTGTCGGTGGCAACGAAGCCGAAGTCTCGGATCGTCTCGCAGACGTGCCGGAAAGAAACCTCCTTGGTGAGGGTGTAACCGTGGAAGACCTGGGGCTCGATACCGTAAGGCTTCGGCGATGGCGTCTTCTGCAACTCGAGCTTTTGCCCTTCGGCAGGTAGGCTTGATGTTGTAGGCGGGCTCGTTGTGGTGGGCGGGCTTGTTGCGCCAGGTGGACTCGTCGCTGCCGGGGCACTGACACTCTCCTTCTTCTCGATCCTCTCATCCATCTTTTTCCCCAAGGAAGTCTTTTCAAGCCTGCTCGACAGCGAACTCGGCATCTTATCCTTGAGCTTCGACAGCCGACTCTTCTTCACCTTGGTGCCAGCAGCGACCTCCTCATCGCTGCTGCTCACCGACGTGCCGTCCTCGTTATCGGAATCATCCCCATCCCAGACGTCGATCTCGATGCAGCGGCACCCTCTCAGCAGAACGTTCTTGTACGCTTCGGTGCTCGACTCGCTGTACAGCTGGTTACCGGTGAGATACGTGTTGTGGCTGGAGCTGATGAAATAGCTCGACAGAGGGTAGGTGAGGTCCGTTTCCTGGGCCGGGCGGGTGATGGCCGAGTAGGAGGAGGTCATGTAGGTCAAGAACCCGTTAAAGTCCAACTCATCCGGCGCGGCGGCCCCGATGGCTTTCAGGTGCTCGATGCACTCGTCATCGGCCTGGACGTTCTTGACGAAGGATGCGATCTGCTCCTTGTGCCACTTCTTGTCGTCCTTGCCGGCGTGGACGTTGAAGATCTTTGTGAGGTGAGGCAGGATGGAGTCGTTGAGCGTCTTGACGGTGCGCTGCGTCTCGCTGGCGCCGCCGCCTGCCTGCAGGGTCGGCGGGACTACTGTAGGTTGAGTTGCTGTGTCCGCCATGATGTGTTTCGGTGTAGGTTGGATAGACAAGAAAGAGAAGCGGTGAGGCGGGCGATGATCCAAGATAAATGAGGGTTTTAGGAGAGCGGCGAGGTCGATAAAAAGGAAGTGAGACGCCTGATGATGCAAGTAGACTTAAGAGATACAACACGCGTCTCGTATGCTGGTGACAATCAGCCAGTCAGCGTGGTTGAGCCGCGTAGTCGAGACTAGGGAAATGATGAAAGTCGTTCTTGTTTTGTTTCGACGTTCGGCTCGCAAGCCCGGTTTTTTTCCCTCTTGACATATGTGGCAGTACGTCAACCACGCCAAGTGCTACTTTATCCAAAAGAACAGAGCAATCTTGCTTTCTGACCCGCTCTTGTCAATTGATTGAGCCGACGATCCAGCAGGACGTACGGTTCAGACGGGCAAGGGTGGCACAGAAATCCTGAGCTGAGTGGTTCCTTCGCCCAAGGGACCAAGCCGGAATCGTGGCAGCTTGTCAGTTGCGGGCATGCGATGATGATGGAGGTCCCCCCCTCTTTCGTGACCACCCCCTGAAGTCTGTGCTATGGCGTCACAGGGTCCTGCTAGCTGATCTTTAGCGGTAACAGACCCAGCCCAGACCGCTGGAACTCTAGTGTACCTAGGGGCCCGGGGGAAGCTGCCCGGCAGGTACTGCGTGCTCATTGGGGGGCGATATTTATAGCGAGGTTTCTTATCGATAGGTAGCAACGACCCGCGTGAACCCCGCCAAACCCCCTTCCTTTTACCCCTCATTTTAGTGCTCGAATGTCGGTCTGGGATCCCTGCGTTTCGAGGAGCCTCTAGAACCTGTGGTTTCCGGTGAGGAATTTCCCATCGTTGGAAGACGGACGACTCGAGAGGTCGTCGCAGCAACGCAATTGGCTTTGACTCGCTGGTCTGATGTTGAACTATGCAATCGCATCAGACAGGCGGCTCTTCAGCCCCGAGCATGAACATGCAAAGTACGAGGAACGGGCCGCACCCGCCAAGTGGGCCAACCTCATGCTCTCAGCTTGCGTTCATCCTGGAACTTATGCTTGGCCTCCAGCTGTGCGAGGTAGGTAGGCAGGCAACCGAGAGCTACCTGTTCCTAGACGCTATATCGAATATCGTGTATTCATAATATGTCTCGCTCATAAGTGTCGTTAGGTCGTAAGGCGTGATAGCGATAATATGTACATATCCATCCACCACATAGCCCCCTCTCCTCTGAATGTTAAGATCGCTCGTTCGTACCTGAAATTCGCCCATTATATATGGCAAATCCGCTCTTGGCCATCCTCCTCATCTCATGGCCTCAACCTCTTACCGCTCTCTCATGTCACCTCGCCCGCTCTCACCTCTCATTTTTCTTTCTGCTTCCTATTCTCCAGTCAGTCCCCTCGTCCCCAACGTGTCTTCACGGCTTGATCGGCGTAGTCACTGACGTCCACGTATTCGCCTTGCTCATCGTCCGCTTCCTCATCATCGCCATGATGTCGGCCTCCATGTGTTCGATGTTCTTCTCCAGATCCGCGTCCTCGACGGCGAACTGGCCCTCGCGCCGCTTGTCGAACCACAGCCACCCGACAACGATGATGATGGTTAGGGGTACAGTGATGGCGAAGTAGACCCAGAGCGATTTCGAGATGACGGGATCGGCGTCTGTGATGCTGTCGTCAGTATCGTTTTCCAACACGATCCATCATCTGAGATGTGACGGTATACCCACCCTTGGCGAAGTCGAAAAACGTCATGCTAAAAACGGACGCCAGAAAAGTCCCGGGCAAGAACACCGCACCGAGCAACGAAATCGTCTTCATCGCCGTGCTGTCCCTCTTGCTCGCGTGTGCCAACCTCCTCTGCTCACCGGCCATCTGGAACTGAATCTTAGACTCTCGCTGCGACAGCAAGTTGTACAACTGTCTCACGGGTCAGCACATACTCCTCTATCCCCCCTCAACACCGAGCACCAAAACCAAACGTACCGCGCTTCGCTGGATGTGAAGTCTTTCCAACGTCGTCGCCTGGTAATTCTCGATTCCCCTCAGCTTGATCTTGTAGAAGTCCAAACGCGCGTTCATGCTCCGGTGCAGCTTATGCAGCTCGACCGTGAACCGTTCCACGGGCACCTTGTGCTTGAAAAGCGCCATCGCCGACTCGAGCTCCTTGACGACCTCGATGTACGCCTGCGGCCGCTTCCACAGGACCTGGCTGTGACACTCGACCAGGTCACGGCTGATGGCGTCGACCTCGAGATATCCGTCCCTGCTTACATATCCCTCCTCGTCCTCGATCTCGTTGCGCATGCTGACGGCGTGTTCCAGCCTGCGCAGCCAATCGCGCGCGTCGCGCTGCTTCTGGTCGTTCACCGACGACAGGTCGTGCGAGAGGATGATGACCGGCAGCAGCATCGGGTGGCCGACCTGCTTGGCGCAAAACGTGAGGTGGCGGATCGCGTCGACCATGTTGGAGCTGGGTGTGCCCTTGACGTAGCCCGACGTGATGCCCGTGCTGAAACGGTGAGAGAGCATGATCTCCCACCCACGAGTTTTGCCCTTCTTCCGCACATCGGACTTGCGGAAGATGATTTCTGACGGGGTCGTCAGTCAGTGTGACGATGAGATACGGAGGTCTTGGACTCACGAAGGGTCGGATCTTCGTCGTCCTGGTCGTAGGCGGACCAGAAAAAGGGACCGACGACACTGGTGCCCTCGATGGCTCTGAACGGTAACCTCATGGCCCTCACCATGGACTCATAAGCATCGGCTGTGAAGGAGATAGTGTGCGGGGTGAAGGTGTCCTTGTGCTTGGCATTTTTCTGGAGACTATTGAACCGTCAGTTACTCGAACAATTGAGTTGCCAGAGTTGACAAACACTAATCGAATGCCGCTCAGAAGCGTAACGCCCTCCTTGAGCTTTGGAGGTTCAAATGCGCCCTGAAACAATCGCATTGTCAGTCAATACATCTCACTCCACGAGTCTCAGACAACGGTGTAATTGGCTCAATGTACTTACCCGTCGGTACAAGAAGTTGTCGAACTCGTCCATGGTGAGCGGGTGCTCTTCGCAGGAATCGTAGAACGGGTCCTGTCAATTGAGTTAACCTCAGTCCCTTCTGCGCCATTCCCGGTAAACCGTCCGATTTTCATCCAGAAGAGCCTCAGAATCAAGAACTCACCGAATAGTTGAGGATTTCGACGTAGTGCGTCGCCTCGGTGACTTGGCGGCACATGCCGACATGCTCGCGGAACATGTAGTCGTCCATGTTGAACCTTCAATCGAGCCGCTCCAAAACAAACTCACCAATCCCTCCAAAACAGTGTAAAAGACAAAACAAGGCCAAAGAGGCTTCACCGAGGAAAAGAGTGAGAAAAAAGAGTTTTGTAGGTTCCTGCAGGTCGCCATCATGGCTCCAGACGGACTACTTTCATAAGCCGCCCAGCCCCGTGACTTTCCACCACCACTACCTCCACGCTGCAGCAGGCGGTCGGGTCCAGTCTGGCCCATGCAATCTGCACTTGGAGGCCACCCGGGGCCAATTGGAGTTGGTCGCGGACACCGCCCACAGCGGGTTCTCTCACTGGACGTCCGTCTCCTCATGCTTCCACAGCGCTCTTCGCAGGGGCTTTGAGCGGACTCCCAATGTCGGCTACGAAAGCTTGTAGCGTCCAGGTCCCTCTCATGTCCACCGTCCGTCCCGCAGGCATGGCAACGATCCCCGCATCCAGCCTCTACCCCCCTGTCACCGCCAGAACGAACCGCTGCTCGTTCTGCATTAATAGGGCCGGATATGAACCCATTGGAGCTTGTTTGAACCATTGCCGTGGGGGTGTTTGCCTTTTACACGGTGAACTGGGCCTGAAGGCTTTCTGCTAGACCGACCCAAGTTACGGGAGAAACAGGTGCAGCGCGTGCGTGTCGAAATACTGCCCGTCATCCGCACACATTCGTCAAACAACACGTTCTAGCCTTCGAATGGACGAGACTAGCTCGACTTCGGCTGTTCCTGCAGTGGTCTGGCCCTAGGACCTGGTCGTCGTCGTTGTCCATACTCCTGGGAAGCAGTGGAAGATAATTGCTGTAGGTATTGATGTATCCAAGTAATACGGTAACAAGTCTCGTCTTGTTGCACTTTTCCATCTTCCAGGTCCTTTACTACCAACCGACCCCGTCATTGCTTTCCCATCCTTTTCCAAACCTCCAACCAGGCGCCCAAAACTGTGCAGACATGATTTACGAGGCCCCTAGTGTCTGCCAGGCGCCCTATACTATTCGAACACTGCTTGCAGACCGGAACACGCTTGCACATTCGCGGTACCAAGTCGACTCCGATCCAAGAAAGACATTAGAAGTCGGTGAATAGATTGCCATATCTGAAACACCACGTTAGCAAAACCCCGGACTGTTCGGGAGGGAAAAACCCACTCGTCGTGCCCATTTGAGCCGTAGCGTTCGGGATCCTCAGGGTATCGGTCGAACTGGCTCGCGTCGCCCGCGCCGGCCTTGACCGGGGGCGTGTACGGCGCGTCAATGTCCTTACGCGCGAGCCTGTCCCAGGTGACTTCCGTGAACCACGGGTGGTTCTTGACGTCGTTCGGACCGCCGTACAGGTTACCCAACCGCTTGGTGAGGTCGGCCGTAATCAGCTTCTCCAACAGGTCCTGCGCGTCGGGGTTGATGTAGGCCGGGTATTTCACTTTGCCCTTGAGAATGTTTTCGTAGATCTTCATTGGCGACCCGCTGTCCCAAAACGGTGTGTACCCGCACAACATCTCGTATATCAAAATACCAAGAGACCACCTGTCCTGGGGTTAGCATCTGGAAATGACTCTCTCCTGCCGGCCGGAGCTTACCAATCCACGGATTTGTTGTAGCCCTTGTTCGAGACGACCTCGGGTGCCAGGTAGTCTGGGGTACCGCAAAGCGTCCAGGTCTTGTCCGGCACTCGCTTGGCGAAACCAAAATCTGTTATCTTAAGGTGTCCATGCCTATCGAGCAGGAGGTTCTCGGGCTTGAGATCTCTGTAAATGATGTTTCTCGAGTGCAGGTATTCGAGCGCTAACGTGACTTCGGCCGCGTAAAACTTCGCGACGGGGTTCGGAAAACGCTGCAACGCCGGGTTAGCACGGTCACATACACGACGTCTTCCTATTTGAACCGGCACGTACCCCAGACTTCCTCAGCAACGAGAACAGCTCACCACCTTCGACAAAGTCCATCACCATGTACAGGTTTTTCGAATCCTGAAACGTGCCCCATAACGTGATCAAGAATGGGTGCTTGACCTCGCCCAGCATGCGCCTCTCGTCGTTGGTATGTTCGACTTGCTTCATCTTGACGACCTGCGCCTTCTTCAACACCTTGACGGCATAGAAGCGCTGGTTGTGCTTGGATTGCACCAGGTGGACTCTTCCGAAACTACCCGTTCCTAGCGTCCGCAGGATGTCGAAGTCTTGCAACGTGTATTTCCCCTTGGTCTGGCGGACCTGCTGGTCGACGGCCTGCTGCTGCATACCGGGGTGCTGCTGCTGCTGTTGCTGTTGCGGGGTGTGCAGCATCGATTGGGACTGTTGCTGCTGGAGGCGGACGGGATCGGTGCCGGGGCTCGGGTTGGGTTGAGGGGCTTGCGGCTGCGCTAGGTAGTGGCCGTTGTTCGTACCGTCATGCTGAGGAGGATTGATAAGGTTGCTGATGCTCGGCAGGTTCTGTTGATCGGTTTGTTGGTTGTAATGCGGCTGGTGAGGTGCCGACTGGTTGGGCGGGTGGACGGTGACGGGATACATCTGCTGGTGTTTCGCGGCCTCGGAGGAGGCCGAATCCTCGTGCTTGTGTCCTTGGCCGCCGTGGGAAGGCGCCTGGGAGTTGGAGGACAGCGAGGAAAGGGTGGTCGAGATGGAGCTGTCGAATGGCTTGGACGAGGTGGGTGTTACCGGACTTGTGGGTAAACTGGCGCCTTGAGGGTCCTGATCCCTCGTCCGTTTTTTCTTGAGGAAGCCGAGGGTAGGCATATGAAGGTCGGAGAGGAAAGAAGGGCGGCTTGCCCCTTGGAGAAACGGCGTAAATGCGCAGGTGTCGGGGCCCACGACCGACGTTTGCAAGATGGGTATGGGGGAGGAACGGTCGCAAAGTGATTCGCCGGTTCAAGGAGTAGCCTGGTTGGGCTGAGAAGGCGAGGTGAGCAGCGAATTGACGGCAGGACGAGCGCGAGCGCGGGGAAAGGCCTGGCTTGACCTGTACTCAAGAAGGAAAGCCGCCTGCGTATTGTTGTTAGGAACAATGGGGCCTGGGTCGGCGCATCCTTTGGCGGAAGGGAAGGGACAGTTGGGAACGTACAGACTTGCGAGTTTAAGGTATTACAAGAACCCGACCAAGTTTGGCAGCAACCGCAATTGAGAATGCTAACCGGGAGAGCGGAGAAAGCGGGAGCTTCTGATTCTTGGAGCTGGGGAAGAGTACTGGTGTAAGTTTACCGCGCAGGTGGAAAGTCTAACCAATGAGCATCAGATTGCAAGGTCAAAGGGTTGATACACAACATACAATTCCAAGAGGGAAGACAGAGAAGAATTAATAAGTTGCGACAAAGAAGCAGAGAATTGAGGAAAAATGACACCAGGCGAAATGGAGGAGGGGTAACGAACAGATGATGAAGCTTGCGCTCTGTCTGGGGTCTCCTCTCAGTTAAGGTGACTGCAAGGTCCACAACGCAACGTAGGATTTTTGTCTAGGTAGTCTTGGTTTCTTTTCCCTCTCACAATCAGTCGAAAGCGACAGATGGCTCGAATGGCAAGGCAAGGTCACTCTGAGCGTCGGGTCAGGTCAGGTCGGCTGCTGCGTCTGCGTCCGCTTCTTGCGTCTTGCGTCTGCGCCTGCGTCTGGGATCTATGGCCGGGCCAACACGCAGGACGGGATTCCTGTCTCTGTATGGACGATGGGACGGTGGGCGGAGTAATTAAGGTAGGAGGTGCCGGAGGGTGACTGAGTCGTTGCGCGCACCGATAACTGGGGACAAGATGGGACCAAAGATTAAGTGACAGCTGTTGCCATCAATTGATTGTATAGATGACACCGAGGGGCTGAACGGTCGAGTCGGAACTGGAGATGTCGCGGTTGAGTTGAAGGAAGAGAGTGAAAAGGAAGAGGAAGAAGCCGAGTTGGTGGAAGCTGAGGTCGACGATGATGTAGTAGTCGTGGTCGCTAATTGCTAAGGCGGACACAGGACGGGAGAGCTAGGAAAAAGGTACGGAGACGGGAGGTGGTTCGCTTCTGACCGCGGCCGTGAAGGTGGGAGCAGAGCGGTGGATGCTTGCTTCTGGCGCAGGGCGTGGGCTTGAATGTGGGCGTAGGCGGAAGCGGTTCAGAATTGTCGACGTCCGCGTTTGGACGGGAACGGCGTGGACAGGGAACAGCAGTGTAATTGGGCGCTGGACTGGTCGAGGACGATCCAATTGGGTTAATCGGATTCGCGGGGAGAGACAGACAGCGGCGAGGTAAAGCGAGGGCGGCGATGATCGTCCCCGTCGAGAACTTGGAATGTCTTGGCCGTAAGGTGGATGGATGTAAGTAGCAGCTTGTTAGTACTGGACGCGTCCAACATGATCGGGAGCAGTCATTAGGTACCCGAGGTAGAAAATTGTATCCAGCATAAGGTATCTGGCGATGATGAGCCTTAGTGGTTGGCCACATGGCAGGACACCTTGTGAGATTGGAGGCTCACTTCTAGGCTGAATGAGTGTCCTCCGTTGCTGCTGATGATGATGCTCCCCCCACCAAGATCGAGAAGGTGCGGCCCAGGACACCGGCGCGATGAGCGATGAGCGATGGGCGATGACCAGCCCAGCAAAGGTGGGGTAGGGGCAGCCAAGTAACCTGACCTGAATCTCGACGGGTCACAGTTGCAGTTACCAGACACGACTCCCGACTGCGTGACCGGGCCCGGGCCTCGACGATTGACTCAATCTCTCTCTATTTGAACGGAAATCCTTACTATCTCCTGTGATACGGAACTTGCACGATCCGTCTACACGTCTCGTATGTGGAATGGCGACAGGCCAAGACTGTGCAGCTACCTCCGTCGTAAGGTAAGGAGGTACGATACATTTGGGAAGCTCAAGACCCCTCACTGATACACATTCCAGAGTACCTACCTTACCTTACCTGAGGTCTGCAGCTACTCGCTGGTCCAGTAATATTCCTTGACATCCCCAGCTTACCTGAAAAGAAGTGGAAAGAGTACCTTAGGTAGCACGTCAGGAACTCCCTCTCCTCCCGCAACCTCAGCTCACCTCTCTCCAGCTCTCCAGAGCAAGAAAAGATACGTACCGCCCTACGACCTCGACTTCACCTCTCATCAACCACCAGCTTGTCGAATTCAAGCTTCCTTTCACGTTCCCGTCCACTCGCGTCCGCACTTGTCATCGATCGGCCACCACCCATCCTCCGCCGAACAAATCCTCATTCCTCGCCCTTCTCGCCGCCGCTACCCGTCCTGCCCTATCGAAACCTTAACCAACTTTGAACCCCAGCAGTGGCAGCCCAGCGCGCAACAACATTTTTGTCGATGCTTCCGCAGTTCCTCAATCGGTTATCTCCCAGCCACGGGTCTTCAGAGTGAGACATGATGAGACGCCCGTCCGTCGTCGTTTCCCGCGAGGAAAAAAGCCAGGAGCAACAAGAGGAGCAACAAGAGAATTCCATCATTGTGCTTTCTTCTTCCCTGGCCTCTAATCAGCCCCCCCGTCTGAAAATCCCGGCAACCCGGATCAACAAGCTCAGGCATGCCAAAACTCATCCGATTCTCCGTGGCCCCTGACAGTTGCCGGCCAATACAGACAGATTGGAATTTCCCGAGACTGACATGCGCGCCGGGAACGGCTGTCATACTCACCTTTTGGGGGGCATCGTGCATTCTCCCCGAAGGCTCGAACCTGGTTCCCCAGCGAACCTCCAGGCTGCAAGCAGTGAGTAAGCCGATCCCGGTGTGAGGAATCAGGGTCCAAGTCTGACCTGCATTTCTTGCCGAATGGAACCATGACCGAGACCGAGATATGTGGCGGAAGCTTCCCCGTCAGACTAAGCCACACAGGGACAAACCAGGAGCAAGCCGACGGGAGCTCACGCTTGCAGACCATCTTACAAAAGCTTCTGCATCTTGCCGTGGTAAGGAATCGCATCTCTCACGAAGCGCTTTGGCCATCGGCAATCGCGCCAAAGTTGAACTGCATTTCAGTACAGCCGATATCAAAAAGCTATGCGAAAGTGAAAAAGACCAGATGGTCCTCCCCAATCATCTGACCATAACCTCGAGGCCGGCATTGCACCGAGGCAAACGCTTTCTCGTCATTAGCATTTCAAGGTGCCAACTTGGAATGCACGGTCATGCCGGCGACGTCCACTCCTCCGTAGGTTTTACCAATTTCCCTCTAGCCTCGAAGCGTATCTATACAAGTCCTCGAGGCCGAGATTCGGATCTGGAACCAATCGCGGCCAGGTTACCGACGACCGTCAGAGAGGGTCACATAATTCGGCGTGTTCGGGCGATCTGGAACCAATCTCGCACATTATCGATGACCACCGAGAGGGCCGCACAATCCGGTGTGTTCAGACGAGAGTTCAAAGAGCAACTACTGCGTGCCTTCAGCGCGTCTCCCAGCCAACCATTTGTCGTATAATACACTTGATTCATCTCAGACCGAGTATCGTAAGAGGTAAGAAACATGAGTGAGAGAGATAAGGGAAAGAAAACAACCTAAGACGTCGGTTTTTGTTTGACCTGCCCATGCAATGTGTGTGAGTGTGAGTGTCGGTATGTACGGTCATCTCTCCTAATCCAACCAAAACCCGCTTCCGCGCGCGCCCCTGTTCGAAATTCCGTCGTCCCCCGGGTGACAACGCAACCATCGCATTCTTCACCCCTCAGAAACGATGTCTCTTGTCGTTCTTCGCCCTCCAAGCAGTGTAACCGACGTAGCCGCCACCGAGGAGACCGAAGAAGAGGAAAACCTTCAAAAAGAACCACGTCCAGCTGCCGCCCTCCTTGGGCTGCTTGACGGAGCCGGTTCCCTTCTTACCCTTGCCGCTGCCCGGCGTCGCCTTGCTGGAGCCCTTGCCCGACTGCGTGGTGTACAAGTTCTTGGCCTGGACCGAGATGATGTCGTGGTTGTCGCTCAGCTCGCCCGTCTCGGCGCTGAAGCCGAGGTAGGCGATCTGGGGGATGGCGGGCGGGCTCTCCGTCTCGAAGCACAGCGTCCAGTCGCCCTCGGACTTGTACTGCAGCTCGAGCTTGAGCTGCTTGTCTTGGAAGTAGGTGACCTTGGCCTTGGTGGGGACGCTGGCGTGGCGGATGCCGCGCGCGGAGCAGCCGGCGAGCTCGGTGCCCTTGCCGTCGTTGTCCTTGTCGTACGAGGTCTTGCCGTCGCCGTACATGGCCATGACGTAGGGGAAGACGGTGCCGGGGCGATTGTTCTTGTACGTGTCGAAGAAGATGCCGAGGCCCTCGAAGTTGTCCGCGCTGCCGAAGACGTTGCCCTGGGTGCCGCGGGACTTGGTCACCCACATGGCGAAGCCGTCGCCGTAGAGCTGGTTCTTGCCGTGGATCTTGAACTCGACCTCGATCTCCCAGTTGGTCGCCGTCAGGGGGACCCTAGAGAAGAGCCAGCCGGTTTGCGACGGGCGGTCGGACGTTAATCGGATGTAGCTGCGATGGTGACCCTTTGCTTTAGCTTTCTCCTCTTTTCCCTCCTTTCCTCTTTACTCGAGTAACTTATGAAGGTGCGACATACGAGTCTGTCCTGATGATGGTGTCTCCGCCAAAGTCGTACCACCGACTTGCCATGTCGGAATCGAGGTAGGGCTACATCGTGAAGAAAAAAAGGTCTCAGTCAATCGCGTTCAGGGGCGTATGCACGTGGAAGCGGGAATCGCGAACCTGGTTCAGCGAGTGCGTTCGGAGCTGCAACACCACAAGTTAGTCTCATCCTCATCCTCAATTCCAATGCGCAAATGACGCTGCGCAGCAGCAGAAGCGCATAGGGAAGGGGTAGACGAACCGCGATGCTCTTCACCTCTCCATCGTCCGCCTTCGCGGCGCCCCAGGCCATTGCGGCCAGCCACAGGGCCGACACGGATGGCTTGAACCACATGTTTGCTACCTTGTGCCGGGAATCGAAACAGAAAGAATAAGGAAAACTCCCCAAGAGAGAGAAGGGAACTGGAAAAAAGACGGAGAGAGAGAGAGCTCTGTGTCGTGGGCCGCCGATTGGGAAGGTGGTGGGAGTTTAAGCCGCAAGGTCCAGCGACGAGGAGACGTCCAGGTCGTTTCGTTCGGCACACGAAAGGTGGTGGTGGGTTTTGCTCGTGTGTTCTTCCCAGCCGTTAGCTGTCCTCTTTTTTTTGGCTGATCCAATGGATCCTGATTCCTGGGGTCAGCACGTTTTGGAGAGCTACTACCCCTGTCCATTGCGCTAAGGAAGTTCCAGGGGGCACGCTGGACAGTGCTGGCTCACTGAGAGTGGCCCCCTGCCTCTTTTGTCGCGCTTGTGGCTTGCCTCCCTATTGCCTCAGGTTTGGGCTGGCTAAGCCACATTTACCTGGCGGGACAAGCCCGGGCCTTTCAACTTTTCAATGGTCTCAATGCGAAGCTAGCCGGCCGGGCCTTGCGAATTTCAGTGTCACCATCGCCAAAAAAACGTCACTCAACCTCACCCAGCACACCACCCAATCCCCCAAGGCATCAGTCACAATGGACTCCAGCTCGGTCAAGCAGGCTGTTATGAAGCAGGTCCTCCAGGAGGCCAACCTGGCGAACGCCCGTGTGCTTATTGACGTATGTTGAGCCCTCACCCTCCCCACGCAGGCGCAAACTTCCCCCAGGGTCCAGAGGCTAACCTATCAACCTCCCACCAACAGAAGCTCCAAGAGAACTGCTTTGAGAAGTGCGTCCCCAAGCCCGGATCCTCCCTCTCCAGCGGCGAGACGACCTGCATGACCTCATGCATGGAGAAGTACATGGCCGCTTGGAACCAGGTCAACACCGCCTACATCAACAGGATAAAGCAGGAGTCTGGCAACCAGAGCCTCTTGTAAAGCAGCACACAAGTACCAATGGAACGACTTAAGAAAGAAATGGGGGGTGAGGATGTACTACCACTGTACAACAACAAATCACACAAAGAAGGGCATTTAGGACGCCCAAAGGAAGCATCAGCTTGGAGTACACACCTGGGCAACTCTCTATACAAAGGGTTTTCGCATCAAGGAGTCAGCATCAAGGCTTGGACGTTTACAAAAGACGCAATAAAGATTCATGGACCAATTGCGCACAGCATCCATCTCAGCAATTAGAGAAAAAAAGACATGCATAAAGCAGAAGAGAAATCGTTCTTCTTGGGGTATCTTGGTTGTTGTACTTACTGTTCGAGCTCTAAAGCTACTGCTCCGCGAGGCCCTTCTTCTTGGCCTCCTCGGCCTCCCGCTTTCTGGCGAGGTATCGCTCCTTGGCGCTCGAGATCTCCCCCTCAGTCTTCCTCGTCTTCGTAGCCCTCTCCACCTTCTCCTTCTCCGCCTCCTCCTCCTCGCGGGTCCGCTTGAGTGCCGCCTCGAGCTGCGCCTCCATCATCCGCGTCTGCCGCTCGCGCATCGCCCCCTTGCCGCCGGACCCGACGAAGCCCGTCCCGCTCCCGCGGTCCGGTCTGCTCTCCCGCGGCCGCTCCGCCTCCCGTCTGACCTGCGCCTCCTTCTTCGCGCCGACGTTGAGACCGCCTCGCAGCAGCTGCCGCTTGTCCACGACCTGTCCCTCCTCGTTTACAGCAACGGACCCGCCCTTGTCGTTGATCTCTCTCGCCATGTCCGCCTCGGATTTCTCCTTCGGTACCCCGTCGTCCTCCTCCGCCGCCGCCGCAGTCGGTCCAGCCTTGGCCTTCTCCTCGGCGGCCTTGACGACCTCGGCGTGCCTCTCCTCCTCCTTGTTCAGCATCTTCTTGTAAAAGGCGCTCATACCCCCCGTCTTGTTCTTCTTCGCCTCTTCCTCCTCCCTCCTCCTCTCCTCCGCCTCGATCCGCCGGTTCTCCTCCTGCTGCTTCTTGTACGCCTCCGTGACGAACTTCTCCTTGTCGGCGTACTCCTCGCCCTCGGCCTCGCGCTCCCTCGCGATCTTCTTCTCCTCCGCGATCAGCGCGTCGCGCTTCCGCACCGACGCCGCCGCGAGCAGGCTGCTCATGTACTTGGGCTTCCTCTCGGCGTCCTCCTGCGTCGTCGTCGTCTTCTTGGTGGGTTTGAAGGACTCGTACACGCCGTCGTAGTCGTAGACGCTCGGGTCCAGCTCCTCCGCCTTCTCGGCGTGTTTGCGGGACGCGAGGGAACTGGAGAGGTCGCCGAACATTGCGCTTTCCTGCTGGTTCTTGGCCTTTCCCGTCGGAGGTTTCGTGGGGGGCGCGTTTTTGCTCTTGGTCTTTCGGCCGTTCTCTTGCCTGGATGAGGAGGAGGACGGGGCGTCGAAGCCGCCTAGCTCGTCGAGTGTCTCGACTTTGGTTCCCGTGTTCGTCGCATCGTCGTCCGAGTCGTCGCCGCCGCCGAATGCTGTCTTGCGTTTTGGAGGTGCCGCTTTTGATACGCCGGGCTTTTTTGAGAGGTTGATGCCGAATGATAGTCCTGGTTTGCTCATTTTGGCGGTTGTTTGTTGGAGAGTAAATGTTGACAGAGCAGCCGAGATCTTGTACTTTGCGCCATGCACGGTCCAGCGCAGACCCACCTATGCTGCCGGCCGCCCCTCTCCGGCGCCGACCTGCTGACGGAGCGGACCCGGTTGGCGACCGTGATGCTGAGCGAGTTCGTCGCGAAGACACACGTCATTTCAAGCTGGCACGATATGATGGACGACTACTTTTGCTTTGAAATTCTTGAGCATTAGTGTTCTGGGATTCATACCAGGAATCTATGAAACATATTTCTATCTCATACATGCGGCGACTTTCGCAGGTGCCATTACAACGTGTCTATAGGAAAGTCCGCGAGACAGGCCAAACCTCCGTCTCATCCTCTGGCGCGGGAACTCAAGCCGAAACTCCTAGCGATGCGTTCTCCCCAGCTCTTGGTAGAGACTCGAATTCGATGAAATGAGGATATCCAAATAGACAAAGGAAAGTATCGTCTTAGCCAACCCTCGACTCTCAGAGCCTGACGCGGCCTTCTCCGCCAAACCATCGGCGGATGTCTGACTCCACTCCACCACCGTTACTGCTGCTGCCTGGCTCTTCGTCATCGCCGCCCATCCACTTGGGCTTCTTGATGTCCTGGAACCATTGGGGTGGCTCGAATGTGTCAATCGTATTCTTCATGCGGTGACCGATGGACTCAAAGAAGTTCTCGTCCTCCGGCTGATCGCGGTATGGTGCCGAAGCGGGCGCTCGCCCGGGGCGGCTGCTGTGCGTAGCTCGAACAGGTGATCTCGCCGGAGAGGCAGCCGAGCCAGCACGTCCTCCAGGAATGGTCAGAACCGGGGCTGACCTTCCGGACGCCTCGAGCCGTGCGAAAGCCTCCTCACGTCGCCTAAGGGCAGAGTTCCCACCCAGCTCGCGTTCAATCAGGTCCCGGCCCTCACGCCATGAACCAGTGCCGAACACCCGCCCGTCTCCTTCCTCGTCGTCGATGAAGTCGCCACCGAAGCCGAATACTCGCTTAATCTTGCCATATAAGCCGAAAAGGGTGGCCGCCACGGGAATGAGCACGAAGACGGGGAACAAGTAGTCAGCCCAGCGACCCATCTGGCTAAAGTCAATGAGTGATCCAAGAAAGCCGTAGAACCGGGTCTTCTCGTAAATGGTCCGTGACAGGAACGTCATGAAGTTGTAGGACAGAGGGACGCTGAGCTTTGCGACCTGTCCAGCATACCAGAAGGCCGATTCGTAAGCGGTGTTGCGCCTGACTAGGGCACGTCCTCGCCACGTCTTCACCTCCGTCATGGTGATAAAAGTAGCCGCGCACATGTACAGAAGCCATAGGACGGAGATGACTTGGCCGGCGAACCCAACCTGGCCCTTCTCGCCGACCCAATGATGAACGACGGTGAGGCGAATAACTGATAGCTGCGGGAAGGCAGCCTTGATTACCTCGGACCAAATAATCAACGCAGATGCTACCGCCAGCAATGCCCCGAGGGCGGTGCTGGCGTAAGGCTCAAAATGGTAGTAATACAGGTATCGGGTGTAAGGCGTGAAGGCAGTGAAGCGGTCCCAGAAACCGGCGTGGGGTGATGGCGCACCAAACTCGAGCTTTTTCGAGGCGGCGGAGTCCAGGATAGCCTGTGTGTCCGAAGCCTCCTTCAACAGATCGTTCCACTCGTTGACATAGCGAGACCGTGCATGCCGCGCCCTCATCAGTTTCCTCGTCAAATCCGCCATGAATTTCTCCGTGATGACGGTGGGTAGACTGCGACTTTCGACGGGCACGCCAAGTGTTGATCTAGGCTGAGATTCGGGAAGGTTTGCGGTTTCGACCAGCTCATCGATCCATTCGCTGAATTTTACAGCGCTTCCTGTCTTCCTGCGACCAAGCTCTGAAACCTGCAACTCGACATCCTCCAGATTCAGTAGAGAATCCTCCATCTTTTCGTGCAGCTGGGGCGCTCGAGCTTGGAGTCGTCGCAGTCTTCCGCTAATAGAGGAGTACCGAAACAATCGTCGGGGGATCGAGACTAGACCATGTCCCATGAGGTAAATGGCAAACACCAAACCATAGAAGTATGCAAGGGCCATGAAGGAAGCTTTGAACGTTGTCATATCGGGATGGTATCTGACGAAAAAGTATGCGATGCCGATTCCAGCGGTGCCGAAAACGATGGCGTGGTATTGCGCATTTTGTCGGAGTGAGTACTTGAGGCTATCTTGCGGTTCGCGGTAGCCAGAGTCGGAGTATTCGCCAAGGATGGGAAGGATGAACCTGTCGCAACAGTCGTTAGCATACGAAATATCCGATGGAAGTCCCCAGGTTGCGTACCATGTCAGGGCGAATGTCAGCCAGTACGTGATCCTCCACGACACCAACAACACCCGCTGCGGCAGCCATACACCCCGCGTTGCTTCATCGTCGGTTCTCGCGCTCGAGGCCAAGTCGATGGGGACCAGAAGAACCATACATGCCGGCAGCCATAACGCAAAGAATATGGGAACCAGATAAAAAGCCGGTGTCGTCCGCAAAGGCAGGTAGTGGCGCAGGATCAAAAGGACGATCACGGAGATTGAAAGTAACGCTAGGAGCGCAAAGATTTCCGATGGGACTGGCGACGCGGCGCTCACGATATGTAACATGTTGTCGTCGATGTCAGGACCGCGTCCATCGGGTGCTGTGTTCTCTTTCGAATCGTAAGTGCTGCAATGCTCTCGCTGTACGATGCTATGTTGACGCTGCGAAAACGACGTCTGGTGGTGAGGTTTTTGCGAACGGACGGACTGGAACAGTCGCAACAGCGCAACGGAAGTGGGAGATGGTGGTCTGGTCGTACAGGTGCCTTTTTCAGGCTCCCGGATACTAAGGAGTCCTCTAGAAAGTGTTTTGGCTGCGAAGGACAGGGTCACATGTGCACGGGCCCGGGTTCTTGGGAGGTCCGCAAGCAACACTTACATTGGCAAAATTGGGTAGGTGCCTTATCTGTTATCGAGTTACGTCATCTGCACGGCACTCTCAGAGATCCACCCTTCACTGTGCGCTCCAATTTAATTCATGAAGATCCAACTTTGGCTCCCGGCAGCTCCGCTTTTCGCCCCTTTGGGGCCGTCCTGGGCGTTCAATAAGTTCCAGTCCAGGTCAGGTTTTCTTGTCGTCTGTTCCCGTCATGGTCAAGATCGTTCAGGAGGTTGTTTGGCGATTGATCTCACATTCCACAGGTTTCTCCTGGGTCCATCTGAGCATTGATCAAGTCTCGAGAATTCCTGCAACCAACGTGTGAGGCAACCACGGTCTTAAACCATGTTGTAAGTCGCTGCGGCCTCGTTTCTTCAGAAGGGTACCATTTGTGAAGACTGCTTGAAGTCTTGACCAAGTTCATTCGAATTTTGTTCATGTGATATCTGCTTTGAAGATATAAGGTAGACATTAAATCATTTTGTGTCTCTAATGACTTATTTATCAAGCCAAAATGATGAGAAAAAGACCCTTATCGCCTGAGCTGGGTACCAAAACACACTGCTGACCATCTATCCCGTGAACACCTCTGCCAAAAGTAAACGCCATCTATAGACCCAGATTCCCAAAGATTCATCATAGAGGTAAGGAAGAATGTTTAGAAAGTAAACTTCATCAATGCCGGGTTCAGAAGCACCGGCAGCGCAAAGTGCGAGATGATGGTGACGCACAGCGGGAAGATGGTAGCGAAAGTGCGGATCTGCCACTGGACGGGGAAGACGTAGTAGCCACACACTACGAGCGCCGTCAGGGCGAAGCAGAAGAGGAAAGTACCCGCGAAAGTCTTGATGAGCTTGGGAATTTCCTCGAGGAAGTTGCAGTTCTCGACTTCCTTGGAGGTAGCACCCCACTGAATGTTGATCTCGAAGAAATGGCACAGCAGAGCCTTGGAGACGTGGAGAGGGATACCGCCGAGGAACAGGCAGAAGATAGGCATCCACTTGAAATTGTCCCAGACTAGAAAGGCAAATTAGCTTGTGCGAGATGTTGTCGATGCGGAACAAAAACTTACGAGCTGCCAAGAGGGACTTTTCGCCGAGTCTGTACCGAAGGATGGCCAGGGAAACATTGCCGGTAAGAGGAAATACGATCATGAGCGAGAAGTAGGTGGCGAAGGAATCAAGGTAGTACTTGTCGTACTCGCCGAAGAACCATCCGGTGAAGAAGTAGTTGAACAGGGTCAAACTCCACGATGCACCAATGGCGTAGTAGGTTCCAATGTACGCGAGAATGGTGATCTTCCTATAGAATGCAATGTTGGAGAAGATGAACTTGAGGAAGAGAGGCGTGAAGGGACCGCGAACGATCCAGAACCTGAGGGGGTGGAACAACAGTTCGTTACAGCCGTAAGCGTACTTCTCCCAGCGTGCCAATTCGTCGTAGACTGTCAATGACACACCCTCCTTGAAGCCATCGCCGGTGTAGCCTGCATAGCGAATGGAGTAACCGGCAGTTTGGAGACGGAGAGACATGTCGAAATCCTCAGAGACGTGGGATTCTGACCAGAACTTTTCATAGCCATCCTCCTCGTCAAAGTAGGAGGCAGCGTCTTGAAGGGCGGACCAGCGTAGAACAGCGTTGTGGCCGACGAAGGGGGAGATATCGCCGTTGGCAACGGCGAACGTGATCATGGTGTAAATCATCTGCGTGAACCATGTGACAGCCCGCTCGAAGAAGGAGTCTGAGACGTTCATGACACCGGAAGTGTACTGGATGATGGCAACTTCGGGGGAGGCATCCATCTCGCTGACGGCATCGAGAAGACAGTCGCGGGGAACTCGAGTATCGGAGTCGATGAGCAGGATGTAATCGCCAATACGGATGTTGCCGTCGGCCCAAGTACGACCTTCAGACTCCTCAAGAACCTGGGTCAGAGCCTCGGCGTAGACTTGATCCTCGCTGTCCTGTCCCCACCTGCTTCCACGCTTGATGTGGTTGAGCTTCTCCTCGACCTTGATACTGGTCATCAAAGCATAGTTCATGTTGGAGGCCTTCTTGAATCTTCCCTTGCGAATGAAAGGCTCTTCACCCGGGTTCTTAGGGGTGGGGTTGTGACCAGGGCGGGCTGTCCAGCCCATGTTGTGCTCCTCGTAAAAGTCCCTGCGTGCCTGGGCCTCGTCGGCGTCGAGGAGTTGCATACCATCATCGTTTACCAAGATGTTGGCAGTGCCGCCCTGCATCTCGTAGGTCGAGATAGCGGCCTTGAGGGAAATGACTGTGGGTTTGATGACTGCATTCAGACCTTCCTTGTAAACAGGCATTTGAATGGTGACGTGGGGAAGCTCGCCCAAGTGAGGGCTCAGTCGGCGGGGACCCTTGCCGGAGTAGTTTTTGGAGTTGCCAGCGACACCGGAGATGGGGCCGATGATCTGGAAAAGATTGCTGGCAATGGAGAGGAAGAAGAACAAACTGATGAAGATAGTGGCAGGGGTAACGGCAACCAACGCCCAGCGGGTGTAGGTACCGTCAACTTCAGATTGCAACGCAAGGGCTCGGTATCCAAGACCCAGGCACGTCATGGACAACCCCAAAGCAACTGCAACAACCATAGAGCTGGCCAGTCGCAAGGGGCGAACCTCAGCCTTCAGTGCCTCTTCAAGGGCGGCAGGCGAGAGCTCTTCGATGTTGACGTCAGGTCCCTTCTCGTTCTTCTCATCGCCTTCCTCGTCGTCGCCCTCATCGGTCTTCCAGATGAAAGAGATGATCATGTGTTCCAAACTCTCGGCTCTTGCGTGAATTCTGTTGGCATCGTCGTCCCACACCGTCAGGAGCGGTGGGTCCAGGATGAAAGCCGCATACTGATGCTTCTGGCATCGTGGGAGATCGGTCATCCTGGGCAGAACCTGCAGTTGCAAGCCTCCAGCCAGGGGAATGGAATCTGTGGCCTCCCCGCTGTTCAGCAGGCCATGGATAATAGACTGGATGACAGGCGTGTTGACAGTCATGGCACACTACAACTGGTCAGTCACGGTATCCCACGAGACATCCTGTTCTACTTACGCTGACGTTGAGCTGGCGGACCATGTCGTAGAATCCGTAGGGAACCGTTTGAAGTTGAGGTGGGGCGCAAACGAAGTCGTTACGACCCTTCTTGAGCACGACACCCTCGCCCAAGTTCCAGGCCGAGGCGTACATCTTCCTGAGCTGGTCCTGGTAGATGCTGTGTACGGTGACATCAGCCCTGAGATCGATGATGCTGCTAGCATGCTTGTCTCTCATGCCAGCAGTGAGCGCCAAGCTCACTGTGGACTGTCTGGCGGATGTTCTGGTGCTGGTGCTTCTGTACGGGCCGGGCTTCTCGGATGACGGCATAGCGAGTGAATTGCCAGACTGCGGTAGCTGGTGCTGCTGTCGTGTGGGAGTCGTCTGCGATGAGCTTGGTAGTTGACTCAGCTCGGAGCCCGCCGTCTGGGCAGGCGTGAAGTAGGACTTGAAAGCATCCATCGTGTGATAGCCTTTGAAACGAACGAGCTACAACAGGTTGAACTGATCCCTACCTCTGGAAAAGAAAGAGCGAAACAAGCACTGTAAGTGAATGGATGCCAGAGAAAAAAGTCAGGGCTGGAGGGGAAGGGAAGCGGGCGAAAGATATCTGAGATGGCCTCAGGGTGTAAGTGAGCAAAACCAGAGCCTAGGACAAAGACTAGGCTTAGCCGCATACACGGGGGCACCGGTAGCTGAGCATTATTGACTGGTCTGGCCGACAACGCCATCAACATACTGTGGACGGGGGCGATGAAAGGTCATGGTCGAGGTGGAAGTGGATTCGCCAGTACTCGACGGTTAGAAAGGATGGGTTCCGCAGGCCCAAGTCGCGCTCTCAAGACTGACTGGACTATCAGCTTAGCTGGAATTGGTGACAAGCGGCATTGTCTGGCTTCGTACTTGCGAAGATGGCGCCACCCGTGCGTTGAGTTCGAAGCGGGTAGGTAGGCACAAAGATCAGAGAAATATCCGCCATCGTGAGGTAGTAGCGCACCCGAAAGCGACAAAGGTCGAGGCCTTATCGCGTAAACGCTGCCTACCCAAGCGCCGCATGGCCAAGCCGTTAGACCGAGTAGAGACAGACAACACCCCTGCGAAGCCAAACACACATTAGCTCGCCGTGTCCCCTGCTCAAGCTCGACAGGGTACACTACCATCATGGGGTTGCCAACATTAGATGGCTTGCGGGAGGACGTGTAATGCAGATGGACGTGGAAGACCACCTGACAACCTGCAGTACCAACACGGATTATGCTATGTTGATGACTTCGATCGAATCTCCCGCTAAGGCATCCTCTGAGGAAACATATGGTTCGGTCGAGTAATCGTCTCGCTGATCAACCTCGTACTGTCATGTAGTTTGGATTCAGGAACAGGGGAACAGCAGGTTCTGGCGCATCTAGCTCAGGAACATCGAAAGACCGCCTTGACTTGGCGCCTTCTTAGCCAACAATAACAACGCCGTGAAAGCTGCAGGAAGTGCTTTGATGCTGGGATGAGAAAACAAGTTCAGAAGCTAGCAGATATCTGTAGCCAAGAAGGGAATGAAGTCTCTGGGCCCCTTTCCTCTTCAAGAAAGGACTTGCCGCGAAGTCAGCCTCCGTCTGTCCCTAGGCCACTTAGATCGTCCATTCGTTTATGTGGCTTGAGGCGAACAGCTCAGACGGTCCGCGCCCACGAGACGGTTGTTTTTAGACGACCAGTCCATCCAAGCCAAGACCCCTGAGAACGACAAGACCTGCCAGGCATTCCGAGCGCTTGGAAACGTTGTTTTCTGTACTTTTGGAAACAGCATCATCAACGATGTCTCACACAATCTGAGTCGAACATTCTGTAATCGGAACCCCATCTCGGGGACCCACGGTCTCAACGTGGGAGCCCTTTGTACCACAAAGATGCCATTCCGTTGTTCGGAAAAAGAAACAAGTATCTGATTGTCATGCAACGGTGTATTCTAGATCGGGTATCGGTGTCATCCCTGACCTCGTCACATGGCACTAGCTGTGGTGAGAACGGTTCAGAATGGCCAAAGATAACAAGAAGAAGATAGGGTACCATCTTGGAAGCCCTCGCAATATCAGCGCGGGAGTTTTCATATCTTTCGGGGAAAGGTGTTATGTGATATCCAATAATACCTTGGGCCAGGCGCTTGCCATCAAGATTTTGCATATTAAAACCTCCTGGCGGGCCGTTTGTGGCGGCCTCTTTATCTTGGGCGTGTCTGAGAGCAACGCGAAAACAGAAGATTCGTCAGTGGACGAGGATGGCTGGGGTGTGTATTTCTAAGAACGCCGCACCGTTCAGAGAGAGAGAGGGGAAGTACGAAGAGAGACGAATCACACTGCCGGGTGGAAGAGATGGGTAACGAGTCGGTGGGCGTAATTGTGGCTTGCTGAAGCTGTGACATCTAAACTAGCTTGCCGTGTGCCAGGGGAGCGTCGTGTATCCTAGTTAGCTGCCATCCTGCTGCATCTGGTCGGCTGAGGGGACTCAGAGGAGGGGGGAGGCGAGGACTGAGGGACGGCAGAGCTAGATGGACAAGCCGGGAGGCGACTTGTGATGTTGCAAGGAAATAATGCAATCACGGGCGATGGCATCGTTGACGGCGATCCCGCGTCCGGAGATGCTACCTGCAGTATTCGGCGCCTGAACGGTGCAGAGCAGGTGCAGGGCCAGCATGTCGTCGACTATGCAACAATCGAGGTGAGAGCGGAGTGGAAGAACTCCTATTGGACGATACGGCACATATGCAGATACCCGTTTTCAGCTGGATTCAAATCGTCTAGACCTTCTTCGGTCAACGACCTGCACACAAATCTCGCAGTTACATTCCCTTCCCGCTTCGAAGCTGTCGACCCCTGGTTTATGCAAGCACCCATCTTGCTTCCCAGGCACCATTTTCAAATCCGATACGCTGCCAGACTGCCGATGTCTACTGGTGTGCTGCACATTCCATAATATTGGCTCAAGTTCCGGCCGCAGTATCCATCCTTCCCGATGGTGGCGCTCTTTCGGCCATTTGATTGCGTCTGCCGCGTCACATCCTGGTTACGTATCATCGCCTTTCCTATAATTCTTTTTTTTTCATGACTTGGCTCAGTGTTTTCTTTCCACTAGTTGGATGATGAAAGTGGAAACGCAACTCCCAACAAAGACTGGCTCTGATGAGGTGGCTCGTCGATGATCAAAGAATCGACATGCGTCGGCTCTTTCAAAACCAGGAAGGGCCAAGCCTTTTGTCTATTGTTTGAACAACACCAGTCCAGACGCGGCCTGTTGCCGCCCGTCGGCCCGTCAGGCGAAGGCCGCAGGACTCGCCTTCCGAGTCAGCATTGAACGGATACTGTCTATTACGAAGGGCGTTGAGCCGTGCGGTTTAGTGCTGAGGGGATCATCGGCCCTCGGCACGATGCAAATATCCATCACCACTATGATTACGAAGTACTTCATTGAACTTCTTTGACGACCATCGCGGGGCAGCATCCTGCTCAATGTGTCATCAACAGTCGGCAATCCATCCAAGTGTCATGGATTGTCAACAACAACACTCAGCTGAGCTTTTCGAGAGCAGGCCTGCCATGCTCTTGCGCAGACCCATGTCCTACTATTGCTATCCCGCATGAACCTTTCCCGGCTTGCCATATTGCCGACCTACAGCTAACCGATTCTGGTTTTCGTCTTCAGCTTGTCAACTCCTTCAGTCGGCCAACAACCGAGTTGTCAGGTCGAGACTCGACACCTAGGCCCGGGAAGCCGAATTAACCTCCGAAGTGCATGAGGTATAACGCACTCATTACCACAGATAACGACACTAGATCATTTTCCTCCACAGACCTCACATCTGCGTTTTCGCCATACGGTTCCTTCCGCCTTGGAGGAGATTGAACACCAAAGCCATTGGCCGATTTTTGCGAACCGCTGAGATTTCAACTTTGACATCGACTCGCGCAGGCAATACCAGTGGGCCGCGCTAGGCCTTGCCCGTCCCTCCTCGGCCCAGTCAAGTTGCATTCAAGGTGCGGCTTGCAAAGGAAGCTGTCTCCTCCCGCGACCGGCCGGCCTGGAACGACACCATTACACCGCTGCATCAGGATCTATGGTGTAGACCTCTTTACATGTCACATCCCGCATCTACTACCTCCAGGCTATTTCTGGGGTCGTCACATCCCAAAGCAGACATTATCGCGAAACAAGCAGACACGTCAGAAGCGGGATTTACTTTTTTCTTTTTCTTCCATTGGGTCTCTATGCTATCAACCGCAACCTCGCCGGTCTTTCCTAGCCTGCATGTGCCATATCTCCTCTTGCTTCCACGGAGCAGCACCTGAGGCGGCCGGCTGTCGACGGTGTTCAGGAGAAAATGGGATAATCTACCCCTGAAAAGCCTCTTTCTGGCCCAGGGTTCAGCTGTCACATCCACCGCGGGATTGGTGCTCAAGCTCGGACACTGCCACGAGCCAGGAGTGCGCTATCGAGACTCCAAGACCGCCCTCATTTCAACCTCGAATTTGGAACCTGTCAAGCTGGCGGCCACGCGAGAGAACAAGCAATCCCATTCATCTTGGAGCCGGTCCCAAGTCTATGGAACGCGCTCCACGGGAGAGCCAAGTTTCCGAAGCGATTGGTTCCGGATTAGATCGCAGACTATTTTCTCCTCGCGCTGTCTTATTCCCTGTTCTATATCAGATTCCCAGCCTTATGGGTAGTCGAACCGACTTAGTGGTTGTGTTATATGCCAGGGTTCATTATCAGAACCCCAAGCTACCAAGCTGGAGTTGGGAAAACGGTGGGTAGTCCACGGCAGCCCTCCTCTCATTCGGGTACTCTCATCTCTCTTTTCATGTTCTGCCTGATGACCATTGGCATTCCCACCAATAACGTTCCTTGCTCAGAAATCAACCACAAGTGTTGTCAAGCACTGATTCAAGAGGCCGTGAGCCTGGCCGATTTGACATCTTACTTGAAGGAGGGTCAGAGATCCTTCTCATCTGGCTATCAAGTCTGGAGTCATGCCAAATCCTGAGCCGCAGTAGGAACTGCGGTTCCTTCCTCGGACTTGTGGCAGATGAATCTGTTGCTACCGTGTGCCAACTCGCGACGGGAACCGATATGAGTGGCTTTCAAGCCACGCTCAGCTTACAGTCCGTGTTCTCTCTCTCCTCTCCGTTCCCTGTTGTGTCTCCTTTTCCCCCCGTTCAATAAGTAAACTTATGGTCCGACGCCACAGTGAGACTACATCTCCTCAGTATTTGCTCACTTGTTACGCATTAGCCCTAGAGGTTAAGGGTGTTTCCCAATTCAAACATCTAGAGTAGGGGGCTCATGTTCGTCGTCTGCTCGTTGTCAGATAGATGCAAACTATTATTTGGTGCTGAGATACATGGCATTTTTCCTCATGGCTTGCTCATGGGGGCGCTCATGAAGTAGCTAAGCCGTTCAGTTCGTTGAGAACAGTGAGTTCACTAGTACAGAAGTCAGAAGCCTGCTTAAAATGTATTTACGAAAATGGGCATGCCAGCCTCTGATGTAGTTCCCTAAATACACAGCATCCAAAGACAAGCCGCGATCGATCTATTGAAACCCGGCTGTTCGTTTACTTCATCAAGGCAATCGTCTTCATCATCTCAAAGTTGGGAAGACCAAGTCCCGTCACAGGATCCCAATCCTGGGTTCCGTTCCACGACGCAAAAGGGATAATGCCGGCGCCCTGCAACGGCTTTCCAGATTGCAAATCAACACCGCCGCAGCCCTGCGCAACGCCAGTGTTCACGTCCGTCAGGCCCCTGAAGCCCCTCTTGTACAGCCACGGGTTCATGAAGCCCATCGTTGGCTGTCCGACACGGATCCTGGCATCGTTGAGGAGTCCCACGAGGCCGGCGACCAGAGGTGCCGAGGCGGATGTTCCTCCCGTGCCGACGAGCCTGTTTGCGTTGACGATGGCGAACGGCGGGCTCGCGGAGTGCGCCGAGATGTCGGGGAACCCACGCCCTGTGAAGTTGGCGAACGGCTCGTAATACTTCTTGGTCTCGGGCGAAATGCCCGTCGCCAGGTACGACGTCACCGCCGCCTCCTGGTACCACGCCTGCTTGAAGTAGTTGCTGAAGCCGCTGCCGGAGGCGACCCACGTGATCTCGGGGCCGAACGCTTGCGTACCGCCCACGGCGGTGATGTACGGGCACGTGGCGGGGAAGGTCGGCGTGAACTGAGGCGCGTTGCTGCCGTCGTTGGCACGGCAGGGGGCGCCGACGCCGGTGTCACCGCTCGATTCGAGGATGGTAACCCCGCGCAGGCCCATCATACCGATGAGGTTGCACACGCGCGTGGCGTACTCGACGGGTACCGTCTGCTCGTCGTCGCCGTACGAGACGGAGAGGACCTGCGGGATAGCGGCGTTCTCCTGCGTCATCATGAACTGGTAAAAGTCCAAGAAGGGCTCGTTCTGGTTGTCGGCCTGCGTCGGGGTGCGCAGGTTGGGGATCAAGGGCGGCTTGCCTCCCGTGATGAACTGGGTGATGGGCAGGTTCTTGACGGCCGCTGCCATCACCTGCGCGTCCAGGTTCGCCTCACCGATCTGGCCTTTGGGGTCCTGGTGGTCCTGGCCGCCGTTGACGAGCACGCTCTTGAAGCTCTGCGCGGGCAGCTGGAAGCGGGTAAGGAAAGCCGTGAGGTCGTCTTGCCGCGCAGACTGGTTCAGGAAGCTAGCGAACCCAACTCGACTACCGGCGGCAGGGTCGGCCTGATAGGCGCCATAGTTGTACGCGAGCTCGAAGCAGGCGGGGGTGAAGGCCCTGGAGCAGTTCGCCGTCGCACCCGGGCCTTGACCCTGTCTGCGGGCCAACGGAGCGGGCATGGCTTCGGCCGGCATAGGGGCGGCGAAGGCTGGATCCGACTTCATCTTGCCGAAGTAGGTCGTCGGCGTCACGAGCTCGATGTGCTCCGCCATAGCATCAGGGACGGAGTACTGCGCCGTACGCAACTTCATGGTTCCCTGGACATCATAGTACGCAAAGTTGGCGCCAAGGATCCTGTTCGCGGTCCCCACGTCCGTCGCGAAGTTGACGAAACGGCCCCCATCGGTGTACGAGACGTCCTTAACGTTCTCCTTGGAGAGCCAGGCCTGCACCGCGGCGACGGCCTGCTCGGCGGGCTTGAACATGTCGTTGACCTGGGCGGCCGAGAGGTACTTGCCGTAGTTGGGGCTGTCCGGGTCGGAGACGTCCTTGAGCATGGGCTCGAGCTTGTCGATGTTTTGCAGCTTGAGGCCAATCTGGAGGTTGATCTGCTGGTCGTCGGTGGCCATGTTGACCATGGACACGCCCGAGGCGAAGGTCGCCGCGCGGGACATCAGGCGGGCTTCGACAGCGAGCGTGGCGGCCGCGAGGGCCAGGAGGGCCTTGAGAGGAGCCATTCCGGCTGGCCCTTTTTCGTCTTGCGGACTTCGAGTGAGGTGGAAGAAATGATCGGCTCGTCCGTCGTTCGCGTCTCTCAGAGGGCCGAACGGGAATTACTATTCACAGCTGCTGGCGACAGGCAATGAAGAGGAGTGTAGGAGGAGGAACATGGGAGTAGCAGATGAGATGTATAGGACTCGGGACGGAAGAACGGGCTGGATCACGAGTCAAAACAGAGTATCGCCTCTGGCGGCTGTATCCGAACCACACGTCCCCAGGGGGAGGTATCTCTCTCTACTTGGGGCGAGGGGAGGAATAACTCAATGCTTTGCCAGGGCCAGGTGCTACGGTTCCGACAGTACATGTCATAGAATCACGCTGTGTCGTAAGGTGCAGTCTCTCGCACATTTTCATCTGAAGACGTGCGATTTGTTGCGTCTAACCGGCGGGATCAGACTTTAAGGTTACAAGATCCCAAACGTGCAAGCTGCACGTTTCAATACCTGGACCTTGCTCGGCGCAGCACAAACATGTCGCGGGATGGCCGAGGGGAAGGGGGTATTTGAGGTGCGCAATGCAGGAACGCCGAACCTTCTTTTTGCTTGTGTTGTGTGTTGGAGAGGGACAGAAAACCGAAGCGTTTCCCGCGCGTCCCACGGGTTGCTCCATGGCAGCGCGTGTATAACCATCGTCTGGATCTCCACGAAACCTTCATCTTCCTACCTCTGAGCTTTGTTGTCGCTAAATTCAGATTAGCGGAACGGTGAAAAGGGCGAGTGAATCATGTACGTTGGAAGTGGTTTTCAGAACTGACATGTCAAATCACCCGTCAACGTACATGATTACGTCGCCCGCTCCCTCTGCCGCTCTTCCTCATGTCGCTTCAAAGTAAACTCTATCACAACGAACCAGTCTCACCACAGGGCCGTATAACCCATCAGATCCCGCCGGCGATCCCCCGAAGTGATCTTCGGGCTGATCTCCGTAGCGCCGTAGAGAAAACAAGACAAGAAGTCGCATCGCTTGGCAAATGCTACCAAAAGCTTGATCGTCGTACCAGAGCATAAACACTCTACAAATCGCGGACAGGTATCCGGAAGACAAGTAATTGAGCCGTCTACTAGCGGCGCAGATCCAATGAATCCCAGACGCGGAGCCACTGCTCCACGACGGCCCTTCCCCCTCACCCGCTCGCTGCTTGGCCCGGCGGCGAGTGAACCCGGAAGACGGCTACCGGGTATGGCCGGCTTCTGCGTCGCCCGGCGAGAACCTGCCCTTTTCCACTTGGCAAGAGGGAGCTCCTCCGCGGCGCACGTGGGCAGCGCAAACGGAGGGTGTAGTCAGGGCGGCCCTGTGTCCCTTTAGGTTACGAATCCGAGCCGCACTCCGGTCTGGCGCCAACCCCCTTTGGAACCCGGCAGCAGTATCTCTTGATGAAGACGAGACGGGCTGGGAGGTGATGGCCTGTCGTCTTGCCAAGTTCGTCAACACAGGGGACTCATAGGTGCCGGCGGAGAGTGGTGTCGCCAGAGGACACATCATCACAACATCATCTCTTAGACTCGATCCCATTAGTTCTTTGGTCTGATCTGTACACAAATACTAAGAAACGCCCGCCTTCATTAGAAGAAAAATCATCCCATCTTGGAGAACATGAGGCGGTGGTAAAACACGAAGGAAAGTTGTTCCGACCGGCAGCACACGACTCTGAGGAACCCCCCTTCCAGGGTAACAAAGTGACTTCCCGAGGATTACATGAGACCGATGGTGACAGAAGCCCGCTACGACAGTCCGTCTGTGCGCTTTGAAATCGTTGCCGTGGCGATGAATTCGAATTGGTTGACGGGAGGCATGTACGGGGCGTACGGCGGAGACGGGTGGTTGTCCGGGATCTTAATCTCAACTATGGCCTTACGGCCGTCCCATGGGAAGTTGAAATACCTTTGCGGTTGACAGTGTCAGCGAAGAAGGTATAAGTAAACTGGTTGGGACAATAACTAACCTCGTATCCCTGTACAGATGGCTGACAGACATCATGAAGTTCGACGCTGACCTGAACTCGACGACCTTGAACATGAATGCGTTGGATGCCGCACTCCAGCACACAGCGCCGTTGCTCGGGAAGTCATTGTCTGGGCCATTGTCCGGGGTGATCCCGTCCCATTGCCAAGTAGCATTGCAATGAGCTCCGTTAACATCGACGACACCCTCCGTGTTGAAGTCGTAGAAATCGACTAAACTCCAATGTCAGCGTCTCGTTTGATCAAAGGGAGATAAAAGCTTAGTCTCTTACATTGGACAGTGCAGTTATACAACGCCGAGTCTTCTGGTCTTTGGCAGACAGCCTCTAGGTTGCTCAACGTCATGTTCAACCATGGGTACTTAAAGTGGCTGGCCGCCAGATGAATGTCTGAGTCAGATGTCGGCAAGGCTGTGATCATGGGTATAAGAGACAATGTGATTATAAGGATTGAGGAATACATGATGTTCGGTGTGAAGGTGTGATAGATGATGGTAAGCGTTGGTCCTGTCTGATAGTTCAATACAAGATTCTCGGGTCGCTGGCTTTCACCTAAACAAACAAACTGGAAGCGTCTACGAGCTGATAATCTGATCATTACTTATAGATTCTGGCTGATGAAATGCGGTATGTGTACACGGCCGATGACGGCAACCATCTGTCACGGCAGACCGCCTCGGGCTGGAATCATTGAAGCACCGTCAACATGTATCCAGCCGATGATATGGCCACGCGGGCCGGTGCGAGAAGCCGTTGTTGTGAACGGCTCTACGCCATCTGCGTCGTCAGAAATACGAAGTCCAAGGGCTTTTTCGAAAAAAGTATGATGCTGTGCCAGCCGATGACCGGGACGGGAGAACCGAAATCAGGAGAGGGTACCTGCCGAGGGTTGGCCGTGTTTCCCGAAGATTGTTGTCCCACAGAAGATCATGGCTTTGAGGTCGCATGGGAAGACGTAACGGCCGCGGGCTAAAGCAAGGAAAACATGGACCTTGATCTCGAGACGATGATAGTTAGCCCAGTTCCAATCAACAATGGCCAGGTACTTTAGATGGGAATGAGGCCTGCTGAGAACAAACCGATGACAAGTTACTTCGGGCACAAAGTGAAACTCGTGACTTTGAGTAGACCACAGCACAAAGCGCCAGCTCATTGTTGTTATCCATCGTCTATTTCACACCGCGAGAAGATTGTGTAAGTCGGCCCGCGAGCAGCCAGACGCTCAGCCTTGAGGCGGGTCAAAGATACCAGTACAAGTCATACCGATCCGGAGTGCTCATTTCCCCTGTATCTTAAAAAAGGGGTCGATCCAATCATGCTGGCCTATGAACTGCTGCATGTGAGGCGGCTGGTCACAGATGATTCGTTCCTCGTGCAACCGATGCGGCGAGTTGCTTTCGGGCCCATTTCGTGATACCTCGCTGGTGGCGGAAGAGGTGCCGGACGGAACCTGTTTGCTTTTGGAAGGTCTCTGCTCGTTCTTCTTCGAACCAAATTAGACGGAACATCGGCTTCCAGCAAGAAGCATACCCAGTCTCTTGGAATGCTTCGCGTAGCATAATCAATGCAGCCATCCAGATGGCGATGCTGCGCCTTTGAGCCCAACTAGGCTGACGTTCAATCCGGATGTGGTCGTTTCTGTCAGTAACGATGATCCCATAGCCAAGTGATAGACCGTACGATGCCTCAAAACAAAAGCGCCTGTGTCATGATCCGTTGACGTCAACAGTCGTTGAACTTGATCGCTTATGAGTTCCATTTCAGGCATCATAAGCCTATTGATAGCGGTGAAGAGATCTGAGGGAGAGCCAACGAGTCGATTCAACCTTCAGATGATGCGTGTGCCGTCGATCTCCGAGGTGAAGCCGTCGTCGTACTGCTTCCTAGAAGTCACCGCTTTTCTGACCGACTGAAATGCCAAACATCACCTGTGTCAAAGTGAATCAACCTCTGAAAGAACGAACCTGATTTGGCGCAAAGACACACCGCTTTCGACTGCTGACCATGAAGACTTGTCATGGCTTCGCAACCGTGGACAGACCAGCTTCTCCCAGCTTCTCACCGGCCCCGTGTAACTTGCAGTCGCTCAAAGCTAAGGGAGAAGCAGTAGGTAGTGTTGCCAAACACGACGTGAATCACATCAGTGCTCAGTCCAGGGTCGTTGCCACGAGGTCTTCGTCAGGTTGGACGACAGCTCTTGGTTCGGCGGACCGTCTTTTTCGGGAGTGGCCGTGACAGGCAAACAGGACTTCGGTCTATGACAGATGGAAGTGTTCTATCAGACGACCCTGATGGACCTTGTCGTGTGGTCCTTCCGTCGACCGTCAATGTGTTTATGATGACCAACATCATGGTACGAGTTCGATGGAGTGCTTTCAGGTCTGTTTGTTTGCTTTAAAATGGGCCAGAGTTGTCAGTAGTTGTAATAAAGTTTCCATTCGGGCCGCAAATCGAAGTATGTTGCCCGAGAAAGGTAGTCTAGGAGCACCCGACGTTGCTTCTTGAAAAGGATCTCTAAAGACATAACAGGCAGGTGCATTTAGCCTTTGGATTCTGTAAGGTAGCTTCTGTCTACGAGTGAGTAAGACCGATGCCCGTTCAGTGCCGTTTCGAAACGCTGCCTGTTTGAAATCTTCATAAATGAAGAGATAAATCCATGTGGTTCACCCTGTTCAGGAAGCGGCCGTATATCGAATATTAAAGTACAACATAGAACGTGTAAACTGAGAAGCCGCATTTTCCTGGTGTCTTGGAATTGGTCCAAGGTCAAACGATTTCCTCCCGGGAGCAATATGCTGCTTGTTTGGTAGAAAAATATTACGTTCGATGTCTAGTCACCGATAATTTGTATTTCCTTCCACTTACTCTTTCGCGAAAACTGCGTCTCATGAAGTACATGCATGTATGTACATTGGTTGCTTCGAAACCGTTCCATTGGTGACGTCTTCTGTTGTTCTTGCCGTGGTTGTTTCTCTCTACGCTCTCTGCCACTGTCGTGACTCGAACTTTGCCAATTCATATGGGCAAGTTCAAAGGGATGTTTATGCCTTCCACTACGAGCTGGCTGCATGGCGGCGACCTTCTTTTCTCATATTTAGGCCTCCCTCCACACCAAACCAGGTGCCAAAGAAGTACGATCGATGTATTCGACAGATTTCTGCAAGTGCTTGAAGTTTATATTGCACGTAGTCATTGATGAGCCTTCTGAGAATCAAGTGAAATGATCCTCTTCACTCTGTACGACCCACTCTTGAGAAGGTTTGTTCCTCCTCAAGCAAACTAATTCAGAGACATGCCAAACTCACAATCTCCAATATTGCGCATTTGTAAATAATCCCAGCGTTTAGACACCATAAACCAGCATTCATCTTTTACCACACAGCTCGACGGTAAGAAAGTCAACATCTGCAGTGGCAGAGCTCAGCTTCCCAGAATGATGTCGTCTACCGGAGACGCCGGGAGCCGCGGGACACGGACGGGACGGGACGGGAGGGGCTCCTCCGGGGCGAAAAATTAGAGGAACGGCCGGCATCTCCGACGCTCGGGCTCCGTTCCGTTCGGCTACGACCTGCCGGTGGCGGTGCCGCCCTGGAAGTGGATCGGGAGGAGGGTAGGTTCGGTTCAGCCTTAATGCCAATACTTATTTCCTGATTCCCTGGAAAACCAGCTTCTATTTCCGCCTCCGGCCTGGGGAAGGTTATCAGCACTGCATTTTTAGGGCAGGTAGATGGCGTCCAAAAGACGTCAATCAGAATTCGGCTTGCGTTCCGCGGTCTATTGATTTTTGGGGGCCGCATGAGGTTGTATCGACAAGGGGGGCTGATGAACTTTCCAACTAAGCCAGAGCAAACATGTGCCGCAGATGTACGATCTCGTGTTCGCCGACGGGGTGTTCTAGAACGAACGGTCGAAACGACTAGATATGAGTTTTCCAATATATTGACGTGCGAGGGAGAATGCAGAAAGGCCTGGAACTCGTAGCGTGCTCAGCCATGATAACGATGCGTGTTTGACGATAGCCGATGTCAGCCTCGCATCGGTGGTGTCGGTATCTGGTTGATTTCGTTGAAACAAGAAGACCCTCCTGCAGGACGTTGTGTGCGTCGATCATGCTGCCCCGTCAGGTGAGGCAAAAGATGCTGCCAGAAACACGAGGTCTTGACTCGACATCGTCCGAAGCATCATCTTTCTCACTCAAAAGCGACGACTTGCTTGTTGCAGATCGTGCCAGGGTTATTTGACTACTTGGCATGAAAAAAGGTCGGATGGCATTGGCGTTGTGGTGTGTGTGATGTGATGTGATGTTGGACTGGGGGGACTCTGGAGTGAGCGAGATCTGCGGCAGGCAATGGATCCCTGATTTCTTAGGTGAGCTGAGAGGCCGAGCTAGCGCCGGATTGGGATTAGTGGTCTTGTGGAGAGATCCGACATCCCACTGGGAAGGTGGAGGTGAAAATGGGATTTTGGGAAAAGCCCCCTTTTTTCTCTTGCTATTAATAGAAAATCGACCCGAACTAACTTTCTTCGTACGGGGCACGAAGAGAGAAAGAAAAAAAGGGTCTTCCATTTTGGAGGTCATCCCTGCTGATTATGGTTGAACCGTGCCCGAAGTTGCATTCTGAATGGAGGAAGACGACGTCGGAAAACGATGAACGCTACCTTACAGTAATCAACTCCATACGGAGGAGGTTGTATTCACTCCAGCAAAACTGGAGCGTTGATGTTCTGGAATCCGTAACGACTCATTTAGAGAGTTTTGAAATGGTGCCAGAGCGACGCTTATTAGAGACCTAGCGGTGAGGAGTTTGTTGTCAACCAGATCCCAACTGATTATGCGTTACAGTCAGCTCATCAACTATCCGTACTGCGTACAGTAATACCCTAATCGCTGGAAGGGATCATGACTCATCTGAGATGATCACGCACACATGTAGCTCAAATACAGCTCATCAACTTGAAGAATTCTTCCAATGAGCTCACTGGCGGTCCAAGTCTTGGTATTTCTGTACGGGAAGTGGGTTATTAGTAGCTCGTTTCCTCAAGAGAATGACTCCACTAGAGCTCTCGGGGGCCGAGGTCGACAACAGCCCAGTTGATCATTATTTTGCTGTGAAGCGTGGATGGAGCCGGCTTTGGAGGTCGTGTTGCTTCATGACACATCCTGGAAAAAGGATCCCGAATTTGGGGTAGCCCATCAACCTCGCTGCATAAATCCGGTCTGCGACGAGAGTCCGTAGTTAAGCATTTTGAGACGACATAAGATGCGGCAAGTTAGCATGAGAATACCCCAGCACGGCTTGTGAGTAAATCAAAGCGGTGCTGCTCAGGCGTCACGATTTATGTTGGACACGAGTCTGTTTTGATATCCGTATGCGTGAAGCCATGCCAAGTTAGCGGAAGCAACTGAAGCTCTGCGGAATTAGTGCAGACGCCTGCGGGGCATAGGTATCGTGAGGTGGGGGATTTTCAGACTAGACAATCTGTCAAGTTGAGCTCTCCACTGCGCACACCATGTAAAGTTTATGAAGAAAAGAGATGAAAATACTCCTTGGCGTGTCGGGACTCGGAGCTCCTGATGGTAAGGTTCATTTAGGGCTGAGGTGTCCGGGAGCTGCTGCGCCTGGCTGGCGGAGGAGGAGGAGGATGATGTTGACAAGGAGTGAGGCCGGCGGCACTCGCCGTGATTACCCAGAAGAGTATTCCTGGCGATGCTTGTCCTGGACGTTTTGCCATGTCGTCATTTGTACTTTGGGAAACTTGGTTTACTTCTCCAAGCCGGGTATTGACGAGGGCTCGCATTGTGTGTTTCTTGTTCGGAGACACGAGGCTGTGGCATCGCGGCCGCAGAGGAAGAGAAATATGCGAATGCCTTGGTATCAAAGCATGCGCACATGCATGGCGTGCCAGGGTCGTGGTCGGGGTGAGTGAGAGACCAAAACTCTGTTCGAACCTGGCAATTGCCAATGGAGGTCGCAGCTGGGCGTCAGCCGCAGTACGGCGTCGGTGATTTTTGACAACGGGGACGCAGAGCCAAGGAGCCAGGTTGGGGCCTGCGATGTGGGCAGGGTGGCATCGGCATCGGCATCAGCATTAGCTTAGCATCAGCATCATCAGCGAGACAGCCCGCCGGTAGCTAACCGAAAGGCCGAGACGATGACACTAGGACCCCGTATGCGTAGGGGCGATAGGGAACTGGGATGTGGCTGTCGAAGAAGACGCCCGCTGTTGGTGTTGATGTTGTTGTTGGTGGTGGTGAGTGTTGGAATTTTGGACGAAGCTTGTGTTTAATTATTGGTGCCAGTCTGTTATTCGAAGAGTTCCAGGTCATCTCAAGTTGAGCTAGAGCTCGTGCCTTGATAATCCGATGTCTACTCTGCACAAGTAGGATGACGGGACCTCTTGAGTTCGGACCCTCGTCTCATTTTTGTAATGTCATCCGCCAGTCATCTTGGTGATAATGACGGGAGTTGTGAGGGAGAAATTGCTGTTTCTTTCGGGGCTTTCTCGTAGTAAGCTTCATGGTAAGAGTCCGAGTCCCCGTCCAACGGAGCAAGGCAAGGTAGTGAGTGGTGTATCCGTACTTCAGTGGGGAGAAAGAAGAGACCGGCGAAAAGGCAACTGATCAGCCCTATCCTGGCGTGGCATCCGCCATTTGCCTCTCTAGACTCTCACCTTCCCACTAAGGATCAAGTTTGATTACTTCGCAGAGTAGTCGCGTTCCCGTCTATCCCGGTCCGTTCCTGCCGACGTTGTCTTCGACAACACCTTTTGGCAGTAGTAAAATTTGAAGACCTCTTGCCTCTCAAACATCGTCGTCTCTGCCACACTCGACCGTCAAGCTATCTATTTCCTCATCGGCCGACCTGACAGGAGCATCTTTCAAAGTCCCAACATTGAATAGCCACCCCTAGGCGACGCTGATCGAAACCAGTCTGTGTTTCACCAAACGACCCCAGATCCCTCCCCCCGCAGCACGCAGCACACAGCACTCGCAGCTAAGCGGCGTGTCGCTCGTCCCTTTCTCCGGGTTACCGCAAGTACGGTACAGAGTACTTTTGCACGAGTTGTTAACCGCCGTTCGTCTGAACCTGAACAGTCAACAGCTGAGTGGCAGGTGCCCCAAAAGCGAAAATCAAAACCAGCGACCAAGAAGACGCCCCCTTTTTGAACCCCATTCACCTCGATACCTTACCATATCTTCTGGTCTGCCATTGCATTGCCAGTCGAGAATGGCATAGCGCTACACGCCGCATCTGGACGGATATCGAGACAGCGTCTATCAAATCAGCCACGGCATCGCCCTAGTAGACTAGCAACATCAAGCAAAGCCTCGACAGCGTAGCAGACGCCGACACGGACGCGGACGCCGCAGACAGACGACGCAGATACATACAAGCAGACGCAGATATCCACCGTCCATCCTAGACAGCTGACAGGCGAGCTCACCTCCCTCACAGACACGCTTCCACTAGGATTGATCATTGACTTGGGTCTGCACAGCCCCAAGGAAGCCCCTCCACGTCCACGTCCCCTCCATCCCAAGGGCCCAGCACGGCATCCGCTTCTGCAGCTACGTAGCCAATCCAGTTGATCCCGGCTGATTCTGCCTGTTGCTCTGCTGCTGCTGTCGGGCTGGATTGACTTCCTTTCGGCGGGCACAGCACCCACGGCACCAATCTGTACAAAGTACGGATACGCACCTTTGATTGAACTGAGTGAGAAGTGGACAGACGACAGACTCGACAGGGTCGCTAGACGCAGGCGCGCAAAAAATAGGAACAGGGACCAGCACGCCGGGCTGATCAATCTCCAATCTCTCTCCATCCCGTCATCCATCGGCCATCCTTTTGCTTCCCTTTCTTGCTTGCTTGCTGCTTGCTTCCGTCGCTCGTCGTTCGTCGTTCGTCGTTCGCTCGCTTGCCTGTTGCTGATTGCTGTGCGCTCAACCCTTGGAAACTCGGAACTGACTGACCAGCTTGAGTGACTGGCAGAAATCGCCGTCGAAAGGAAGAAAACAAGAAGAAGAGGAAAGAAGAGGCAAAGACAGGGACAGACGAGAGAAGCTGACCTGAGCTTGTCACTGCCCGCCCCCCCCCCCCGCCCACTCTCCAAGCCAAGCAACAAGCTGAGAGAGAGGCAAAGCAAAGCGAGAGAGCTCCATTCCCTCCCCCGTCTCTCATTCCCGTCTTGTGCGTCTGTCTTGCTCATTGTCAGTCAACACACATCCGTACACATACACGTACACACACGGGCTGTGCCGTCTTGCCTGCCCTGCTTGTGCCCTTCTTTTCCCTTTCGTTTTCTTATTGCCGGTTTGCTGTTCGGATACAGACACAGGAGCTGTACAGCGCACCTAATATCAGCAAACGAAGAAGAAAAAAAGTTGGGTTGCGGCGGCTGCGCACGACAACCTCTCAATTATAATGCCGGCCTTCGGTCGCATTGGAAAGCACCACAACCGCTCGCAGCAAGCACTTGTCGAGCCGGTCGTAGGTGCCCCTTCAGCAAACCCGAATTCTTCACTTGCGTCTGCATCTGCACCTGCGCCGCCTGGTTCTGGTCCTGGTCCTTCCTCTGGTCACCCTCACATTAACGCTCACGGCCATATCCCCTCTCAATCTCAATCTCACTCTCATACTCTTTCTCACTCGTTGGCTCCCGCGCCTGCGCCCGCCTCCTCGACCTCAACCGCGACCACTCCCACCAGTGCCGTCGGCGCTAACAATCCAATTACCCCCCTTTCAGCCTCGTCGACCGCCTTCAGCTCAAGTGAATCCTTTGACACTCACAACCAGCAGTTGCAGCAACACCATCATCAACAACAACTGCAACAGCTCCAGCATCAGCAACTACAAGGGCAGCAAGGACCTCCTCCACCGCCCCACGATTATCCTGCTTCTGCCTCAGCCGCCGCAGCTGCTGCCTCACGCAACTCTCTCCTCTTGCAGCAGCACAACCCACTCGTCACTGATTCGCGCCAGAGGGGTCAAGGTCAGCAGGAATTCGCCGACTCCGTCTCCCGCTCCCAATCCCAGCGCTACACGCCGGCCGTTGCCCCTTACCCCAACACCCAGTACGGCGCAGCCTCCAGCTCCGTCGACAACCTCAGAGCTGCATCCCTAATCAACACTTCTCCCGCGCCCGGTCAGACTCAGGCAACATCTCCCGCTCCTCAACCTGCACCCGCTCCCGAAAAACGTTCTGCCCGGAGGTTGCTAAAAAATATCCTGAGCGGAGCCGGCCGAGATCATCACAACACTCCCCCTCCTGCTCCTCCCTCCCAGCCTACCCCGCCAGGCTCCTACGATAATACTGGTGGCCTTGCTCGCCGACCGTCCAAGAGAGTGAGCAAACCACCACCCGCAAGAACTGCCTTGTCCCAGCAGCCTTCCCAGCTGTCACTGGATCAACAATCTACCGACTGGCCTCTTCAGGCCCCTCATCAGCAACCCTCCCCGCTTCAAGGCGTCGGCGAGATCGAGGAACAACAACGCTTTGCACAAGATCCTAACAGAGACCACCGTCTGCAGACTCCCGATTCTCACCGCAACTCGATTCGCTACGTACCCAGCGATCTGGATAATACCCCCTACGAAGACCCTGCATATCACCAGCAGCAGCAACAGCAGCTGCACGCTTTGGAACAAAACCACCTCGCTCAGCAGGCTGCTTACGACCCCTCTCAGCAGCAACACTATCAGCAACAGTTCTCCCAACAGCAGCGTGGGCAGTATCAAGCCGGACCGTCTCCCATTTACACTGGCCACCTGGGTACCGGTTCTCACCAAAACCCCGAGACCGTTTCTCAGCTGTCGCATGAATCACCCGTCACTGATTCAGACGCTCGCTCGGCAAACGTCCAATCCGCACAAACCTCCCCCGCAGTGAAGTACGCCGTACAAACCACCGACAACCCGCTACCTCCTACGATTCCTCCTGCACAAGGAACAAGCCAAGCCCAACAGCAAAATATGGCTCCCCCTGCTGGAGGTCCGCCTCCCCGATCGGAAAGGCGACCGCAAGCAGAGACGGAGAAGGCGCTGCGAAGCCAGGTCGATGCGCCCGCCGGACCGCCTCCCGGCTATCGACAGGGTCAAAACATGCCTCCTGCCGCTGCTGGTGGCAATCCTACGGGCTACCGCACTAGCAGTGCGCAAGATGGACGCCAGTTCGAGGGAGCAGCGGGAGAGCAAGGTCGCAACAGCCCTCAACCATCCAATCCCGACCGGGACGGCAACGATCCTGACAAGTTCAAGGAGCTACGTAAGGTGGACGCAGTCATTCTGCTGGCGGCGTGCTAACATTCTCCCAGTGACCAAGTACAAGAACGTTAAGCGTCTATACTTCGATGGCAAGACCCAGATCGACAATCTGAACTCCCAGATCGAGCAGCTTCAGAACGCCGTGGCGAACCAGCGAATGTCACAGTCACGTACCGCCCTCGACGACAGCGAGTACATCACCAGGTTCAACCGCCTGAATGGCGCCATTAACAACCTTTCCTTCAATATTCGCAAAGACTGGCGGACAGTGCCACAGTGGCTGGACATGTATGTCAGCATTGACGCTCTGAAGACAGGAAAGCAGGAGATGACGGCAGTCGGCCGTGCTGTAATCACGAGATGGATCGTAGAAGAGATCTTCAACAAGTGCTTCCACCCAGGCCTCAACTTCGACCTCAGCCGTCAGCTGAAGGAGATAGAGCTCAACATTCGACGGTTCTCGTATACGATGAACAGCCAAGAAGAGTTCGACGCCTTGACGAACAAGGTCGTCAGCTGGAGGATGGCGACCTTGGAGGGTCTTCAGATGATCCTCAACTCGCCAGAGAGCGCAGACAACAGAGCAGACTTCACGCGCATGTGCACGACAAACCTGACGGCAACACTGTTCCAGTACATGACAGACCCGCCGCCTGCTGGTGTCGACGGCAGTGCGTCGATGATTGTGGAGTTGGCAGTAGGCATCGCGGCCAACCTGCCTCTCGAGAGTAGAGACGTGGCAATCAACTACCCCCTGCCCGGAGACCAGATCAACCCCAACATTATGGAGGTAGAAAAGGCGCCCCTGCCCCCCCTGGAGTCGCAGAAGGAAGGCGAGGGAGAGGCTGTCGAGGAGTCCGACAAGGACAAGAATGGCAAGGACCGGCGGGCGGATAAGACCAGAAGCGGTATGTTCACAACCATACTCGGTGGCGGACCGCCTCGCAAGGGCAGCAACGCGTCGTCGATTGTGCCCACCAGTACTGATGCAGCCCCCCCTTCAGCGCTTCCACCCAAAGACAACAACAAGGTGCGGCTTGCCGGCTTCCCTGCAGTTGAAGTTCGCGGTCGCCAGGTGTTGGTGAAGGCGCCCGTCTGGACGCTTTAAGGAGTTGCGAGACGAATATAGAAGACCAAAGAGTGTCTCCTGGGGGGGCTGCGAGGCGGCCCGTATAGAGGGGCCGAGTGTTGTTCCCTCACGACGTTATTAAAGGAGGGAATCCAGAGGAGAAAACACGATGGTTGAATCTGGTCACTATTGGGGAGAAATGGGGAAGGGACTGGAAACCAAAGATCCGGAATGGGACTGGGGCGATATTTCATGACTGAAGATTCACATTCATACCAGGATGGTATGCTTGGACGCTGGAGTATCTCTCTGAAAAGGAGCGCCTAGATAGTTGCCAAGGTACCTCCAAGTTACTTGCTTTCGCTCTCATTACTCCCTCTCCCCCTTTGTCTCGATTCTGTTCACGCTCCCTGTGTGCCCAGGTACCCACATCGTATCTCTGGTTTACGGCTCGAATCCCCCTTTGGCTCTATCAGGACACAAGGAGCAGAGTCAAAGGGGCACTGCAGTCACCAACGTCAGCTCATGCTTCCTCGATCCAGGTGGAACGCCACATGCCCTATTGTAATCCGCCGGACATACTTGGTCGTCTCGGCCCGGGAGATGGCATTTGTTGCTCATCTGCGTACAGGTCTGCGAGGGATCAGCCAAAGGGCTCGACGATGCCTTGCTTCGAGTCGAAACTTACACCTCTGGTCCTTGTCTCGTCCTGGGCCTGTCTGCCGTTCAGGAAGATCAACCTGCGCGCCGACGCCGTGCCGACAGAGAGGGAGAGGATGATGCCCAGAAGCAGGACGTGGAGGTTGAAATGCTGCATTGTCGTCGTTGGCGTTTCGTTTCGTTTCGTTCCGTTTCGTCTCGTCGATTTTCTCGTCTAGTCAACTCGGTTCTCGCTCTGCAAACGAAGGTATACCCGTGGTTGAGATTGGTAAAGCTAGGTTAGGCTGGTAGGTCAAGCGAGTGTGTGTGTTTTCCTGCGGACGGCGAGAGAAACCAAAGGACGAGAGGAAAGGTGGGAAAGGGTTTCAGCAAGAAGTGCGGGAGGAACGTTGTTCGTGCTCTTTTTCTACACGGCGCCCTGCCCTGCCCTCCCCCCTTCTGCACCACCATCACACACACGGCTACGGGCCACGGGCGAAGAACAGACGAAACGTCACTTTGCCTTCCCGCCTGTGCGAACACACACACGCACACACATGTGGTTCATGACAGTCACCTGGTTCGCCTCAAGGTGCGAGCACACACACACAGACCCCCGCCCTTCCATCCACGAGCTATGAAGCTTACGCACTGCGCGTTGCTGCAGACAGCGGGGAGGAGGCTCATGAATCACTCGTACCTACCTTACACCATCATCCAAACGGCTCTGCAGTGGTGTTTTTGTACTCGGCTGCTACGTCGTGGTCGCAGCAGGACAGGACGGGACTTTCTTTGCCATGTAAGATGTCGGGAAGGACATCAATGCGCGCATGTAGATCGGGTGAAACTTGGCTCTTTTGTCATGTTTCTCCATCACGGAAAACACATCGCAATGAGTGACAGTTGTTTAATTCCAAGTTTCTTGTCTTGATAGATTGACAGGTTTCCCGCCCGAGTCGGCAAGCAGTCCATGCTTTTCACCTTTCAGAGGAGGGGGTTGATACCCTTCCCTTCCCTATCCTATCTGTGGTAGTCGGTCCATGTGCACAAGCAGAACCCCTCCATGAGGTGAGGGGTCGAATTCCCAGAGCTGTTGCATGGTTCGTGCTGGGAGGAGGGGTGGGGTTGTTCTCCCTCGGGCCACCTCACCGCCTGCTGGTTTCGGAAGATCGAGAAACGGCATATCACCCCGCCAAAAAAACAATTCGCGATGGCATCGAAAACTGGTTTGGCGAGTGTGGTTGTATTGCATCGCTTGAACAACTAAAAAGTTGACCCGGACGCTCGTCTTCCGGATAAAAACTCCTAAAGATACTCCAAAATGGCTTCTCAACCGACGCACCTTGAGCCCTCCAAGCTCGGAACGAAAGAATAGTACGCCCCTCCTCCCCTCCCCCTCCCCTCCACATCCCAAAACCGCTGACAAGAGCTCCCCTGAACCAGCTGGTCCTCCCTCTACACGACCGAACTCACAAACCACGCCTCCAACCCCGAAGACCGCGGCACCGTCTGGTTCGACGACTCGGACGCCGAGTCCAAGCTCCTGACCTACCTCGAGGACCTGACCGAGTCCGCCCCCTTCGACCACTCCGTCCGCCAAGCCGACGCCACCTTCCTCGACCTCGGCTGCGGCAACGGCTCGCTCCTCTTCGCCCTCCGCGACGAGGGCTGGGCCGGCCGCGCGCTGGGCGTCGACTACGCCCCGCAGAGCGTGGAGCTCGCGCGGCGGATTGCGGCGCAGAGGGCTTCCAAGGAGGACGAGGACATGGCAGACGCAGGAGAGGAGGAAGAAGAAGAGGTGAAGGAGCCGGATTTCGACGAGTGGGATCTGTTGAATGGGCCTTGGGAGACCGTTTTGAACGGGCCGCAGAAGGACGGGTGGGACGTCGTGCTTGACAAGGGGACCTTCGACGCCATCTGCCTCAGCGACGAGAAGGACGCGCAGGGACGACGGATCTGCGAGGGGTACAGGGGCCGCGTTCTGCGACTTGTGAAGCCGGGTGGTTTGCTGCTCATCACGAGCTGCAACTGGACGGAGACGGAGCTCAAGGCGTGGTTCGAGGGTCCGGCGAATGAGGGCGACGTTGGGAAGTTCGTGGCGGTTGGCAAGGTGGACTACCCCAGCTTCACATTCGGCGGCGCCAAGGGCCAGACGATTAGCAGCTTGTGTTTCCAGAGACAGGCCTAAATGACATGATGCGACGACGAGACGAAAATTAAAAATACGAATGCCTCACCGGTCACGTTCTGCCTGAAGTGCTTGTTGCATCTGCGTCGCGATTCTTCTGACTGCTGCTGTGTATCATACATTGATTTCTTTTTAATTGGGGAATCCAGGCAGCGTCACCTACCCTCGTCAGTCCTCCCAGTCTACTCCGTTCGTCCCAGCATGCAACCGATGCCCCGGAGCCGACCCTTCATGTCTCCTCGAATAACCTCTGAACTTCCGTTTCCCTCGTTCTACTTTTGTCTTTTGTTGCGATCCGAACAGGCGGGCCTAGTAGTACCAAAGAACCGTTGTGTTGGTTGAAGCATGCAAGGGTAAGAAGAATGAAGAGGCGGGCTCGGGTAAAAGATTGGGAATTGCTTCATTACGTCTCTCATCTATGGTGATGTATTCATAGGCTCGCCGGCGGATCCAGACACGCTGTTCGCGGAAGTTGTCGCAAAGTACCGCACGTCAACGTCGTCATCCTTCTGCAGCTTCTCGAGCTTGGGGATGACACGCGACTGTATCAATTCCATGCCCCTAGGGGAGGGGCTAAAGCTGGTGCCCTCCTTCTCCAGCGAGTAGATGGTGCCCTCCTCCGGCAAACGACGAAGGACGTCAATGAGGACACCGTACGTCTTGGCGACGTTGAAGCGGATGTTGGGAATGTCGTCGTCGACAAGCTTGTCCAGCATCGGCAGGATCTTGTCCGCGATGACATCCATGCTGACGACAGATGCGAGCGTCTGCAATTGTTAGCATGTTCAACACATCGGCCATGCCAGAGAAAACTCACAGTGATGGCGAAGCAGGTCGTCATGCGGTAGAGGTAGTTGGGGTGGTTGCCCATAGCCATCACCTTCGGAATAATTGCTTCGCTTGCCCACTCTACACCGAAGACCTCTGTAAGCTTCTTCAAGTTGTGCGTCGCGGCCTCTCTGATGGAGAAGACGGTGTCGCCGAGCCAGCTCATGCACAAGTTACTGAGCTTATCATCGAAGAACTTGACGCCGAGTTGGCTCGCAAGCAGAGGAATGTACTCAATGATGGCGAGCCTCACGCGCCATTGCTTGTCCTCAGCAAGCTGGACAATGGCGGGGAGAAGAGACTGCGAGAGCAACTCAATGCCAATAACTAGGACTATTAGCTTGGAACTTGTGCGTTTTGAGACATGACTTACCATTGTTAACGAGCTCAAGCTTGGAGATGATGTGAAGACGGACTTCGGGGAACTCGTCCTTCAGCATCGTCAGGAACATGGGCAGAAGGTGGTCGATAGTTCTGAGACGAGTTAGCCAAGAGAACATGTGCAATGCCGCCAAACTCACTCTTGTTTGCCCAAAATAGGTGCCAGGCCGCTGATTTGCGTTCCGAGAGCCGCTCTGACGTGCTGAGAGCTGTCGGAGACGAGATCCTCGACGCTGCTCATGATGTCGTTGAGGAGAACATTTCTGTCAACCAGAGCGCAGAATCCAGGTATTTGTCCAGCGATCGCAGTCCGGACCTCGGCTTCGTTGTCCTTCAGCAACTTGACAAATGACGGCACCAAGTCTCTCGAAACGACCTCCTCGTCAACAGCCTTTGAGATCTGCACACACATTTAGCTTGGTCTCTTCACTTGTTCGCCGGCCGAACCCACCTTCTCAAATCTGTCCGCAATCATGTACCGAACTCTCCAGCTCTTGTCCTCGATCAGGTTGCGTAGGGAGGTAAGAAGGACGCCGTGGCTAGACTGCTGCTCCTTCGGGACGACTTCGGCGATGGAAATGAGGATCTCGACGGTGAGTAATCGGACGGAATCTTGGTCGTCTTGGGCGAGGTGCTGGAAAAGGGGTATCATCTCCTCGACAACGACGGCGGCCGGCATCTCCTTGACGAACTTTGCCATGTTGGTGGCTGCCTGACGTCTGACCATGGGCGTCTCATCGTGGACAAGCTGACCAAACTGCTTTCGGAGCTCTTCTTGGACGCCGGGAGACACCTTCTTGTAGGGGGTTGTGAAAAGGCCGCAGCCAGAGACCTTGGAGGTGAACCAATCTGCTTTTGACAGACGGCCGGTCAAGGGGATGAAGTATTCTTCGACTTGTTGGGAGGAGAGCTCCTCGCAGATCTTGTTGAGGGACTCGACAGCCTGTGCTAGTTAGGCGACGCAGCTCATGGGTGGAGCAGGGGGCGATAGCTACCTTGTCCCGCACGACGGGCTCCTCGATGGCAGCGAGGTTCTCGAGAGGGGAGAGGAGGACGTGACCCCATTGGGGGCCTCCGACGTATTCGATGAAGTTGCCAAGCTCGCCGCTCAGAGCGACAAGGACTTCATCCTCGTCCTCGACGGACTCTGATGGTTTGTTTAGATATGGCTCAAGAAGGGATGGGATGCGCGACACATACCATCGAGGAAGGGAATCAATTCCTCGCGCGTGCGCTCGGCGCCCAGGGCGAGGGCAATGGTGGACAAGCGGTGGATGGCATTGAGACGCAGAAGGACGTCGTCATGCTAGACACGAGAGGTCAGCATTCGAGTGTGCGCGGGGTTGGGATGCATGTTTGTGGTGGGCGTATCGGGCATGCCGATCGAGTCGGGGCAGGGGAGAAAGAGAGGCAGTCACCGCCATACCTTAAGCTCGTCGATGAGGACGGCGATAGGGTAGAGCTCGTCCTGAGTATTCGGCGCGTCTGCCATGGCGAGCGATTCGGCGCAGGCGCGTCTCTCGATGGGTGGCTCGTGGGATGTGAAGAGGGAAGTTGGTAGACGTCTTTTTGGGCGATCGTGGTGGATCGCGTGCGAGTGATGCAATGGGTTGGTTGAGGACGAGCGGCGGTCGTTGTGGGATGGGGGGGCTCTAAAATCTGAGACGACGGGACGCAACCGGGATGGTGGATGGTAATTACTACGAGGCGGAGGGTGTAGTCAAGCAAACCATGCCACGATCCGAGGGCGGGTTGGCGACAGAGATAGCTGGATATCGCGGCAATGGTGGAGTAAAAAGAGGTGGTGTTGATTCCAAGTGGACGGAGGCAGCAAAAGGCTGGATGGAGAGGGAAGTTTGACGCTGTCTTTCTCAAGGTCGACGTTCGCTTCTGCTTCCACTCCGTCAGTACCCAGTCAGTTTGCCCCCCAACCGCGGTGTGGCCAGTGAGTGAGGTGCTAAGGTAGAGGTGGGCTGGCATCCAGAGCTTCCACCCGCTGATCAAATGGCAGCCCCAGGCGCCTGGGAGCCCTGTATCTGTGACCAGCGTCAGGCCAGCTGATGGATGCTGCCTTACCTGGGTACCTTAGGTAAGATACGTACCTCGAGCCTAGGACGACAACGACGTAAGGCAGGGGTAGATGAGGTGTCTATTTTGTGAGGAGCTACCTCTTGCTTCTTTTCAAATTGACATCTTCGTACGTTAGGAGTCTTGCATGTCCTTCCTAACTTCGACTGAGGAAGTGCAGTCTTGTAGCTACTGTAAATATGGACCACGGCCTACCTTATCCGTACATCCTGCGGAGACTGCATTCCTCTACAGTGCCACCAGACGAAAACTCCATGCAACAACCCACGGAGGGGACGATGAGGTGCAGCTGAGCTACCTACGCTACGTACAGAGGCGTCGATGCAGATGAGCTGCATGTTTGGATGGATATCCCTTCCGTGCGCACCATTGAAAAATGCCTGGAACCTACCTGCCAGCGCCGCACAAAGTCAAATCCGCGTGTTGAAATTCTGCTGCTGAGGGCAGGTTGCAAGACGACTCGTTCAATTTGCCGTACTAGTCGCAATTCTCATCTCCAGCCTTCGTCATCTGGCATTGCTGTCAAGCGCTGCCACACATGCTGGTGTTGGAATGACGGCGGCTGGGTGGATAAAGTCAGTCCTCCCGGTTTCGGTTGCTCGAGCCACGTCGGACCCTGGAAAATTGAGATGCCGAGTCTTTTCGCTGCTTTTGCAGCCCCTCAACCCCGCATTCCCTCGGTTTGCGGTGTCTGTGCCCGATGACTCCTCCCACTCGGTAAAAGCAGCGACTTCATCCCGCCGTACATGCAGTTGCTTCCTCCGACTGTCCCCAAAATTTCTGTGACTCAAGGCCATATTGGTGAAGGACAGCGTCTACGATTTCGATCCTCTCCTGCCCCTGACGACCGCCGGACCGCCATTCCCTCGAGAGATTCTCGCCGATCCTCACCATGCCTACCATATCCGTCAACAAGTACGATTTGTACAAGGCCCTGGGTCAAAAGTGAGTTGCGCCCGCCGCCCGATGCCCATTTCGACCCCGCCATCCCGAGAGCCCCTCCGCTAAATTTCACCGCGCAGCTTCACGACCCAGGAGTTTGAAGATCTCTGCTTTGAATTCGGCATCGAGCTCGACGAGGACACCGAGAATGACGAACGACCTATCGTCAATGGCGTGCAGGAGCCGCCCCAGCTCAAGATCGAGATCCCCGCCAACCGATACGATATGCTGTGTTTCGAAGGAATAGCGCTCATGCTCAACATCTTCAGGGAAAAGGTGCCCGCTCCCAACTACAAGGTCGTCGAGCCTAAGGACGCCGAGGCGCAGGTCATTACCGTGGCTCAAGATACCACCAAGATCCGTCCCCTAGTCGCCGGTGCTATCTTGAGAAACATCAAGTTCACTCAAGAAAGCTACGATTCCTTCATTGGACTCCAGGACAAGCTGCACATGAACTTGGCGAGGCAAAGGACACTGGTGGCGATTGGTACCCACGATCTCGACACGATACAGGGTCCCTTCACCTACGAGGCCCTGCCGCCCAAGGACATCAAGTTCAAGCCCCTGAACCAGACCAAGGAGATGAACGGCGAGGAGTTGATGCAGTTCTACGAGGGCGACAAGCATCTCGGCAAGTACTTGCACATTATCAAGGACTCGCCCGTCTACCCCGTCATCTACGACAAGAACCGCACCGTTTGCTCTCTGCCGCCAATCATCAACGGCGACCACTCCAAGATCACCGTCAACACCAAGAACGTCTTCATCGAGATGACGGCCACCGACGCCACCAAGCTCGACATCGTTTGCGACATGATGGTCACCATGTTCTCTCAATACACCGCCGAGCCCTTCACTGTCGAGCCCGTCAAGATCGTTTCTGACCACAACGGCGCGTCAAGGACGACACCCAAGCTCGAGCCCCGTACTATCGATGTCGAGATCGACTACCTCAATGCTTGCACTGGACTGAGCGAGTCCCCCGAGACACTTTGCAAGCTCCTCACCAAGATGGCCTACATCGCTAAGCCTTCTGAGAAGGACAGCAACCTCCTCAGCGTTTCTATCCCGGTCACCCGCGCCGACGTGCTGCACCAGTGCGACGTCATGGAAGACCTCGCTATCTGCTACGGCTACAACAACCTCCCGAGATCCTCCCCCAACAAGAGTGCCACCATTGGAGCGCCGCTCATGATCAACAAACTGGCCGACATTATCCGGACAGAGGCCGCGATGGCCGGCTGGAGCGAAGTCTTGCCCCTTATTCTGTGCAGCCACGATGAGAACTTCGGCTGGCTGAACAGGAAAGACGACGGCAAGACCGCCGTCAAGCTCGCCAACCCCAAGACTGCCGAGTACCAGGTCGTGCGGACGTCCCTTGTTCCCGGTCTGCTCAAGACCATCCGCGAGAACAAGAAGCACAGCGTGCCTATCAAGATCTTCGAGGCTGCCGATGTCGTCTTCAAAGACGAGTCCCTGGAGCGCAAGGCTCGCAACGAGCGCCACTTCGCCGCCGCCTGGTACGGCAAGACCTCCGGCTTCGAGGTCGTTCACGGTCTGCTTGACCGCGTTCTGCTGATGCTGCGCACCGCCTTCCTCACCCACGAGGAGGGACTGACGGCCGGCAAGAGCGTCGACTTCAAGGTTGCCGAGAACCCCAGCAAGCCCGACGGCTACTGGATTGAGGAGATTAACGAGGATACCTTCTTCCCCGGCCACGCGGCTGCCATCTACCTGCGCCTTGGCGGCAAGGAGCAGCGCATCGGCGAGTTTGGCATCCTGCACCCTACTGTGCTGGAGAAGTTTGACTTGAGGTACGGTTGACCCCTGGAATTGGATGATGAACGGAAGCTGACTAGCACACACAGATACCCCGTGAGCACCCTTGAGATCAACCTCGAGGTCTTCTTGTAGTGATGAGAAATGGGACATGGACATGACGTATGGCTACGGATAACCGCAAAACTCGTAAAAAGCTCGGCTCGGCGTGGGTTGTTTGAAATAGACTTGCTTCTTTGCACTAGATGAACAGCTCAGTCGGATGCCAGATGAAGAAATAGACCCAAGACAGGGAAGAAAAAAAAAAGATTAAATAGGTTCCTCGGCATGCATGTGTCGGTTGGTGCGCGATGTGGAGGAGTTTATTGTCTGTGATCCCAGCCATCATTGATCCTTGGACTTCATCGCTTACCACCTAAGTGACTTGAGTGCGAAGCGGTTGACCTGATATCAAACGAGGCTCCTGCTTCGGCGGCTGCTACGGCAAGGTGATTCTCTATCCACAACCGGGCGAGCATCACAATGGGCGCTCCAAAGTATAACTGAGACTGATTAAAATTAAGAAACTTCTCGAGAGTACAGGGAGTTCGAAATCCAAGCGGATCTATATAATGAGCCCCAAGTCCGCCCCTTCTCTGTTCCCGTCCACCATCGTTCCCGTCGCCAGTTTTCTTTTTCAGACTACTCCATCTGTGTATGACCCGTTCCCGTTGATCCGTCTATCGTCGCTCGTTGGATGCAGGTCGTTTCGCCTTGACGCCGAAAAGGAAGGCCAGTCAGAGTGCCTCTAGATGCAGCAGAGGCCGTGAAGAAAAGAGAAAGAAAAAAAAGTCGTGATACAAGTACAAAACTCCCGGCTCGCTCTCATGGAAACCGACATGTCGAACCCGTCTCCTTGTTCATCATTCATTTGTTCTTTGTTTGCCAAGGCAAAGGCGAAGGCGAATACTTGTTGCCTAGGACTTCGAGATGCCCAGAAAGCAAAACAAGCCTGGCCTGTTCTCAAATGGTTGCGGTGTTCTGCAGAGAGCTGCCGTTATCAGCGGAGGGGGCGTCCTCGTCGTCATCCACCAAAATGAAGAAGCTTTCTTCAACGTTCATAATCTCGTCAAGACTGTCGAGGTGTTCAAGGTTGATGCTCTCTTGGTCGGTAGTCGACGCACTGCTGCTGCCACTGCTCGTCTCCTCACTGGTGGCCTCGCTGCTGGTATCGTCACCGCTGGTCGCCTCGGTATCTTCGCAATCGACGCTGAGCCTCGCGAAGGGCCAAGAGTCGTCAATCATATGCGAGTGAAAGCTCATGATGCCCCAATCAACCTGTGCCTCGGTTCCCCATTCCAAATTCGACTCTGAAGTGGAGTCTTCTGCGTCATCAGAGCCACTGGGACCCAGCTCCATCTGCGCCGACCTCCCGGTCTCCGGCTCTGATATCTCTGACGCCAGCTCTGAGTTCGAGTCCGGCTCCGTCTGCGGACCACTCTTGGTCTCATGCTCTGGTGCCCCAAATGTCGGCTTTGAATGCAAGTCTGGCTCCGAGGCCGGGTACTCGGGGAACTCGATATCCCAGCAGAATTCGGCGTTGGACACCATCGTGGTATCGGTCTGCTCTATCTGGTAAGGCGCGTCTTGCAATCGTTCGAAACTGACGCCCTAAGTCATCTCCCGTAGCTCTTGCTCGCCGCGGCCAGTTGGTACCCGTGACGTCGAGGCTGGGCTGCCGTTGCGACCGCCAGGTGCGCTCAGATTGTTCAGCATCCCAGTGACGTTTCGACCGATATTGAGGTTGGCGAACCCATCTCGCATATTCGACAACGCGTTGGAGTTTTCAGCAGAAACACTGCGGTGCATGTGTCTCTCCTGGCCTTGTTGTTGTCGCCGTCCCTGACGCTCCTCTTCTGGAGTCATCGTCATGGTGTTGTGAGCTGATTCGACACCAGCGAGGACTGACTGGCTAGCTGCCAGAGATGGGGGCTTAGAGTTACCAGGAGTGGCATTAGGAGGAGTGCCAGGCTGGCTTCTGGCATAGGACTCCTCTGTTGCGGGCTGGAAGTTGGCCAGGGCTGAAGCTCTGTTCTGAGCTTGCGCGGCAGTCGCGTGCAACTCAGAGTTCATCTCTTCATCAGAGCGGTTGAAGACCTGGTGCCACCAAATGATGTCCTTGAGGTCCGGCTTGATAATGGAATCACGGCCCTTCACGTACTCATCAACGGTAGGATCATAGTCTTTGTTGGTAAACTCAGCCCTGCGAGGCAAGAAGTAGTCCCAAACAGACTGTGTGCGCTCAGAAACACGGGCCTCTGATCTCTGCTTTTCAGAGTTGTAGAGGAACGTGCCGTACTGACAGGAGTAGAGGTGGTAGAGCAGACGGCGGAGGAAGCGCTCATTGAACTCAAACTTGGTGGGGTTCTGTCGGAGGAGCTGGTAGCAGCAGTCCAAGAACTGGTGGAACACAGGGCTGATCATCTTGGGGACAGTCGCCTCATCGTTAGCGACCTTGCCTGTGGCAGCCTCTGCAACAGCATCCACCTCTGCAGAGTCATCCTTGTTCTGGTTGAAGAACCGGCGGGCGCCAGCAATGACGTTTTGGAATGCATCCGCGCGACCATCGTTCTCACCAGGTTGAATGGTCTGACCAGCCATGCCATCTCTCTGGACAGTAAACCAGCTTTCATGGTTCAAATGGCCAGATCGCAACCTAAACATATGGCCAAATGACAGCCAGTCCTTCTCAACAAGAACCATGAAGCCCTCAATCGTTCGGAAGTATGGATCCAGAAGAATCTGGGCGAGAGCGCTGAGCTGACTTGTGCGATCCCAGCCGTCAGAGCAGTGAATCAGGACATGAGAATGCTTGAACCAGATCTGTCGAGCAATGATCTCAGCACCATTCAGCACTGCCGTTGTGTGCTTGAGCCAGCCAGTTGCAAAAAGGGCGTTTTGATCAGGCGGCAAGGAGGAAACGTCAGCGTCTTTAATGCAGTCCACAACCTTGTTGAGGGAGTTTCTCATGACGTGAATGTTCTCAATGTTCATGAACGCCTTTGTCGCGCCAGGGTAGCGGTCCATGGGCTCAGAGCCCATGCCCTGGACTTGGTTGACCATGGCATTGACAGTAGGCCGGGCGTCAACAATCATATTAGCTTGCTGGGCACCATAGATCAGCCTCTTGCCAGTCTTCTCGTCGTAGATTTTTGGCGCTGCTTCCTCAATGACGCTCTCCTCATACTTCTCCAGCTCTGAGAGGCTGGCACCCTCTGAGGCCTCTGACTGGCTTAGACGAGAGGGCTGCTCAGCTTCAATGCTGGTCCGGGGGACTCGGGCCGCAAAAGACGCCATGACGAGCTTCTCATCCTGAACGTTGTTCTTCCTGGTGATGCCAGACAGGGGCTGCGCGCTGCGGGTGATAGTGCAACTGTTGCGCTTGTGGATGTAGCTCAAGACGGGTATGCGGTTCCTTGAACGATAGTCCTTGGCGTACTTGAGGACGTTGTCGGAGATGCTGGAGGGAACCACGAGGACGGCGGGGTAGGTGTCGCAAAAAGTGTAGTCCTTATTGATGTTGGTAATCCTCCATCCGAGGTCTTGTGACTTCTCACTGATGCCCTGTCGGCGGAACTCGGCCTTGGGATCGTAGAGGAGCCAGCCATTGACCTTCTGCTCAACTTTAGAGGGTTTGTGGTGGAAAGCAAAAAGCTGCTCAACGGAGCCAAGTCTGCAAGTCCGCGTCTTGATGAAGTCGAACACCTCCCGAGCAACCACGTCATCTTGAAATGTGAAGATGACGAATATGAAGTCGCGACAGCGAATCCGGAGAGAGCTAGGAATGCCGGTCGCCGAGGGCATGAGCCGGAGAAAACACTGGGAGAGGATAGGATACGTAATCCATGATTCGCGGGTCTTCGGCGGCGATGTAGGTTGGGACTGGTCCTTGGGAGCAGGGGCTGGAGCAGCGAAGACGAGGTGGTAATCGGTCAAGCGAAGGATGCCAGTAGAGGCGACGCCACTATTGATGCACTGGACGTTTTCGACCACCTGTGAAGGGAGACACGTTAGCATATGCTTTGAGTGAGGACGAGTTGAATGCAGCCGGAGGAGCAAAGAGAACAGAAAAAAATAAAATGACAATAGAAACAAAACCAGCAGATGGGATCGCAATACTTGCCTTTCTAGCCTCCATATTGAATTGCGAGTGATGATGCTTCTTTGAGCTACAAGAGCATGGCCGCGCGGAAGGTCCGGATTAAAGTTATCGTAGGTCGGTAAAATCACTGGAAGATGGCAGCTTGGGCGCCGCGCAACTTCAGTGAAGTGAGCTGGTGTAGGAAAATGCGATGAAGAGGATTGTACGAGACAGCGCGAGGTTGCAGTCTTGAGGTTGCGCTGGCAAGGTTTGGGTCGCAGAGGTGAGGTAGGCCGGATAGGTGGTCAGGCCGGCAGACGCGCAGACGCAGGAAGGAAGAAGGGTCGGCTGGGTCCCCACTACCTTAGCGCGGGGCTGAAAGCAGACGTCACGGTCTGGTCCACCCGGGTCAGCAGCTCTTCAGCGTGGTTAGTGTCAAGGTAGTGTCTTGTGTGTCTCCCGTACCTGTGGTCGCCTATTGTGTTTTTAAATGTGCTTTGTTTACTTTTGCTTGCTGGTGTTGGGTTGTTTATCCTTCTTTTGTGCCGTCTTATTCTCCAAATTTGTTCTGAGATGTCTTGTTCTCAAGAACCTGAGCTTGGAAGAGAGCAACTTCAGAAGCATAAGATATTTTGAAGGTCAGGAAAAAGCATGTGTTTCTTGTTTGCTGAAAGGGTACTGGCCAGTTTATTTCTCCAAAGACCCTAGCCAGAAAAGAAGACTGTCAACGACTTATATCGCTGAAGAAAAAAAGATACTGTCACCGGCAAACAATAAATCGCATTGCGAATCAGAGCTCGAATTGGAGGAGATGAACCGGATTGTCAAATGTCACCCCGTCTGACGTCTTCAGGTGTGTGTAACTTGTGACCGCCGACTGGGCAGTGGCTTGACAGTGACCGGGGGGAGCTATTGGACGTCCGGCGGAATCACCAAGCTGCCCCACCAGAGAATGGATACCCTTAAAAACCCCCGGAAAACGGAGCACTCGCACCCGTTGGCCGCCTGCTTATGTAAAGCAGCAACCCCTACCCGAGTATCCACCTCAGAAAGCGAACAGCAGGTGCACGGGCCTTTTTGAAGTAGGGCACACAATTTTTGCAACCACAGCGAAATTCGCCTGCCGACCGAACCGCTCCTTTCCTCACCTCTCGCGATTTCAACAGCACCCACCCCCGACGACGTCGAACTTCTCACCAACTAACCCAGATCCCCTTTCGACACCGGGCAAAGAAGTCAAGATGGCTGTTCCAGGCACCCAGATGTAAGACCCTTCCTGCGTCCCCGTTCAATTGCGAATTTTTTGGAGGGGGGAATGTGTCTGTGTGCGTCGTCGGTGTCATTCTCACCCCCGCCAAATTTCGAGATTTCGAGATTTCGCGATCTGAGAAGGAAGAAGAGTCCAAACAACGTCACGGAACCCACGATGCTGACTTGTGCCTCCCCAACAGCTCCAAGCGCAGAAAGTTCGTCGCCGATGGCGTCTTCTACGCTGAGCTCAACGAGTTCTTCCAGCGCGAGCTGGCCGAGGAGGGCTACTCCGGCGTCGAGGTCCGCGTCACCCCCACGGTAACCGACATCATCATCCGCGCCACCCACACCCAGGAGGTCCTCGGCGAGCAGGGCCGCCGCATCCGCGAGCTCACCTCGCTCATCCAGAAGCGCTTCAAGTTCCCCGAGAACTCCGTCTCCCTCTACGCCGCCAAGGTCCAGAACCGCGGTCTGTCCGCCGTCGCCCAGTGCGAGTCCCTCCGCTACAAGCTCCTCAACGGTCTCGCCGTCCGCCGCGCCTGCTACGGTGTCCTCCGCTTCATCATGGAGTCCGGCGCCAAGGGTTGCGAGGTCGTCGTCTCCGGCAAGCTCCGCGCCGCCCGTGCCAAGTCCATGAAGTTCACCGACGGCTTCATGATCCACTCCGGTCAGCCCGCCAAGGACTTCATCGACTCCGCCACCCGCCACGTCCTCCTCCGCCAGGGTGTCCTCGGTATCAAGGTCAAGATCATGCGCGGCTCCGACCCCGAGGGCAAGGCCGGTCCCCAGAAGACCCTCCCCGACGCCGTCTCCATCCTCGAGCCCAAGGAGGAGCAGAGCGTCGTCCAGCCCATGTCCCAGGACTACGGTGCTAAGGCCGCCCAGGCCCAGGCCGCTCAGGAGGCCCAACAAGCGGAGCAGCAGGAGGGCGGTGAGGAGGCCGAGGCCCAGTCGTAGGAGATTGTCGAGCCCGAGGTTTCTTCGACCGGCAATGCGGTTGATGGCGGCCACCAGTCTACCAACCATCACCACCACCAGGAGCAGCCGCAGCAGCAGCAGCAGTTCGGCCATTCTCCCTCTCTCTGGTAGACTGTGGTCTTTGGTTTTTTCGGTCAAAAAACAGCTTTCGCTTCGCTTCCTTCTTCTCTTTTCTCCAATAAATCGGAAACTTCGCATTGGGGAAAGATATAAAAAAAAGGTGGTCCCGCGAATAGCAAAAAGGGAGGACGGGGGTGGAATACTACTCAGGCGTCTTGATCACATTTGCATCACTCTGCGAAAGGGAATTCGGATAGTTGCGACTGGCTTGTAATGGTACAACAAACCATGAAATGAAGCAACGAAATCATTCAAGTTACTTGTGTTCCTAATTTGTGATGTGTGTGATGTCCAAATCTTGGTGACATGGTCATAACGAGAGATCTGTGCCGTCCGTACCTTGGCCACCTCTTGAGTTGACAGGCTGCGGAATTGACTACACCACGCATCCCTACGCCAGATGTCCACTGCCCTCCACCCCACATTTCATCATAGACATCCATTATCAGCAAAACTTGGTGGATCGTATAAGTCGGGTTCATGCTACTCAATTCGAGGCTCTGAATGGCCTGGTCTATGGTGCAATGCTCTCTGGACAATGAAACAAAATGCCGTCTCCTGGCGATGCAGAGCGTGCCTCTCTCACGCCCTCTCCTCGTTCGCCCTTAATCGTACAACAAGAGGTGCTTCCGCACAAGGTACCATGGAAACCCCAAAAGAACGCCCCGATTGTCCGTCCCGCCCTGTAATACTCCTCGTGCCGTAGCGCAAGTGAAAAATGGTATGGAAAACTGCTGCTTTCTGATTTCCCACTGCTGCTGCCCCTCCTTTACTCGGGGTGCGCCTGCACCTTTTTGTTCCGTGGGTCTGTGCCTCTTTCATGGGATCCGATCATGTCGTGGAGAACTTCTCAGTCATATGGCTTCGAGAAAATGTACAATGCTGCCCGCAACCCGGGCCCGGGGATAAGAAATGCTTGGAGAGAAAAAGACAACCACCGCCTCAACGTCTACCGATAACTAGGAAACCAGACATTCGCGTCTTGCTTCCTTACCTATCGGGCCTCTGATTTTGCAGCTCGATGGTCTCGTTGTATGACTTGGAGTGCCCGTTGGCGGATCCGTTCGCTCGGCGGCGGTCGTTCTCGTCGTCGCTTTCCTCCGCCAAGTCGGTCAAACCGAATTCGGCACCAGCCTCCTCGTCGTAGGCCCTCATCAGACCCGTCGTGTCGCCGTGGCGGCTGCCAATGCTCAATCGAGGGTCGGTGCTCCTGCGGGCTTGCATGCTAAGGCGGGTTTGAATGGTTGAGACCATGTCCGTGCCCATAGCATCTGCACCGCCCCGGCCATTAATCAGGTGGTGTCCATTGGGATCGGATCTCGAAAGGTTCAGCAGGTAGACGCCGGTGAAGGTGACCAGGAAACCGCAGATCAAAGAGATCGTGTTGACAGTGTCGGTGGTGTTGAAGCCTCCAAACAGGATGAAGGAGGCGCAAAGGGTAGCGGTCGTAAACGTTACGTAGTAAAGCGGGTTGACGCTACGTGTTACTTTATTAGCGCAGCCCGCGGGTACCGGTTCTCAAAATCTTTGGACTCACATGTTTGTGGGGAATTGGGCGAGCGCCTTGTTGAAGTAGTTCATCTGCGTCAGGATGCAAACGGCCGTCAGAATCATGAAGACGTAGGTCGACGGGTGGGAGAATTGGTTGTTTCCGGCGAAGGTGAGCTTTAGAGCAATGCCGAAAGCCTTCACAGACATGACCGACACCGAACCGACGGTCGAGCAAATTGAGAGGTAAATCAGGGCGTTCTTCTTTCCGTGGACCGGCGCAACCTTGTAAATCATGACAACCGCGAAGACGGTGACTGCGAAGGCGTACAGCAAGAAACCTGGGACACTGTTAGCTCGAGTTCTCGAGTCTGTGTCAATTGACACTTACCAGGCTGAATGGCATAGTGCAGGATCTGGTCAATGGTCTGAATGTCCTCGTCTGGGGGCGCATGAAGGACGATGATGACAGCGCCAATCAGGCAGATCGCACTGCCCAGGCGACCCAAGACACCAAGCTCTTCCTTCAAGAAGTATGAACCCAAAACAGCTCCGATCAGAACGGACAAGGCTCCTAGAGGGGTGACGAGAATCGCTGGCGCAAAGGCGTATGCTGCGAAGTTGCAGATTTCTCCGACAACCACTGGGTATTTGTTAGCGACGGACGCCATCGGATGACGGCCAAGGGAGCTCACAGGTCGAAATACCAGCCCACCATACCGGGCTCTTGAGGTACACGAAGCCATCTCCTTCAAATCCATGGCGTTCCTCTGCTTGCATGAGACCCTAAGCTAGGCGTCAGCTTAATTTTCACAAGACAGGCGACATTCGTCAGAGTAGCTGCGGTTGGGGCTGCGACTGTCGCATACCTTTTTTGTGATCACAAAACTTATACCTAAGATCAAAGAGTTAGCGATGTGTCCTCGAGTTGTAGACAGGAAACTATGCATACCAATGGCTAAACTTGATGCCATGGCCAGAGCCAGGCCGATGTATCTGCGCGCGAAACGTGTCAGTGAGCTAGACTCTCGAGGCCAGGTTGACAGAAGGCTTGGCATCTGGCAGCCAGACGACCGGGTCGCAAACGTACTTCTCGTCCATCATCATATTGCCAGAAATGAGCGCGTCGACGGCGACGGAGATCGTAAAGAGCGTCGGGGTGTATCAGGCGTGTGCGCCGTGGCGATGTGGTCGCTGAATGAGAGTGTGATTGTGTCCCGAGGAGGGAAGCTGGCGAGGCTCGCGCCGGGCGAGAAAGAGGGAGATTGGAGGTAAAGTCGGGCTTCGTCAACAGCGACACATGGAAAGCTGGGAGACTCGAGAGACTCTGGGCGTGGGACGTCACGGAATCGTCGTCGTTGGTAGTAGTGGCCGTCGGCGTCGAGACGGAATCTCGTCGAGTTCGAGGGAGCTCGTCGTGGTCTCTGTGGTCTTGTCGGTGGGTTTGGCGCGGATGAGAGGCCGAAAGGAGAGGGAGAGTCGTTTCGTGGGATTTCGCAGATAAAACTGTAAGGGCGGTACGTAGGGTGACAGGCTGGGCGTGAGCAGGTACTTGGAAGGATTATTCGGTCGGCAAGAGGATAAGGCAGAGGCGCGGCAAGCCAAGGTATCGGATAGGTAATGAGGTGGTAGCGGGCAGAGGCGGATGGTTCTGGTCGCCAGTGGATTGTGGACTGTGGACTGTGGACTGTGGGTAGGTGCGTGGTGTCGAGGAATGGCAGCCAGCCAGATAGGGACAGGTTTGAGTTTCAGAGGCCCCTGGGAAGGGTGGAAAAGATGCTCTGCCGCGAGTGACTTGTGCTTTTCTGAGTGTGTGTGAGGTGCAAGAGCCAGGTTGCAGAGGTACGTCTCTCTAGCTTCAGTGAGGCGGTGGTACGGAGCAATGTACCTTCTGGCTGAACATGTCCCTGGATTGACTAAGAGGATGCTGCGATAGGTCTGGCAAGAACTTGGCTGCGGCGCTGCGCGCCAGACGGGAGTTGTTGAGTCCAGTGCGTGTGGGTACGGCCATGGCCAACTTATTAGGTACCTCTTTGCACATCCATCGACGCCTACACTATCCGGTACATTCAATTGCTGAGGTGGGCTTCCACTATCGCTGTCGACCTCCAGTAAGGTACCTCCAGGTACACGAGGGGCTGAGGCCGAGGTGGACACGTTCTCAGGGCCCCCGTACGGGGAACGGCGTCGGCAGACGGACCAAAAACGACACACTGTCCACTTTTAGGAGGGAGGACAGCTTGTTACTCGCTCTGGACCTGCTCAGCCTGCTGCCGCTGCCGGGGGCTATTAGCAGATAGCTATCCGTACCTCAGATTGGCAAGGTGGTGGGAGGTCACTGGCGGGTGATGTGATGAGGTGAGGCAAAAGCGAGGTGGTGTGTTTTAGCGTGCTGCAGGATGCAGGGCAGGCCAGTCAGCTCAAGAACCGACGGCGCTGATGGCGATCTGCTTCTACTGTGAGTTATTCGTTCTTGTGAAGACAGGTATCCGTACTTGGAAGGACCCGACTTGAAGAAGGATGGCGGGATCTGGAGGATGGAACACCCCTCGCATGCGATTTTGGACGGAAACCCATTTCCCTGACACAGACAACTTCTGCAGGGACGCCAAGTCTTTGCTGAATTTTCATCTTGGTCTTTTTCGTCTCTTTTCTTCGGATCTTGAAGCCTGGCTTATACTTCATCATCCGCAAGTGTGTCCATTTTCCGTGAAGCCCTCGCTTCACCATCTACCTAGAGAACTGAGGCATCTCCAAAATACACCATGAACCAAGGCACAAGGCACGCGCCTAGCTCGTCGACTGAGGTCACCACTGGCCAGGGGGTCCTCCGAACTGGCATTCAGTCCCTGACTTGCCAGGGGGTTACTTCGCTGGGAAGTCTTGGGTTCTCCGCAGGGGGTATGTTGGCAGCGTTCTCTACTACGCAGTAGTATCAGCGTTGAGGGGCTTCTCATCTGCATCGGGGCTGGAACTCTGATTACCTTACGTCCAACTCACGACGCCCGTTTGCAGCCATTGCCGTGAGGTTGTGAAGAGTGTATGCTATTTATTCCACTGGCTTGATGAGAATCTACATAGTAGGCCACTTGGCGGGATAGCTAAATGTACCTTACTCTTTTCAGTCACCAAACAGCGCACTGAGCAGCGGCATCTCCAGCCCGGGGGGCCGCCAAAGAAAAAAAATCTCCATACGAGATCGATAACCGGGCGTTTCTATTTTTCAACACAAACCTGCACTAATTACACTAGCTAGACCAACCGGCCAAGTGGGGTCGTTGAAACAGCTTCATTACGAATGACACTGCTTCGAACCCGCTTCCCTCACATCCCTCACGACACTGGACGCGACCAAACGGCATCTCCTCTTTAATTAAACCACAGCCACACCCTCCAATACCTGACGTCTTCCCGTCGTCGTCATCCTCCTCCTCTACGTGTCCCCCAAACGGCAAACGATGCCAGCGCGAATGTCCGCCTGTCCGACGCCGACACCGAGTGAGGTGCGCTTAGGGTACGGAGGCCACCTAATTATGTAACACACGTGAACTGTCCTGCGGTGTTCGCGTACGAGGTCAGGCAGGAATGCAAAGGCGCGACCATCGTGACCTCGCACCTCACGTGGAACCTCCATTTCGCCCCGGATTCCCATTCCAAAAAACCCAGATCTCATCCCCGGAAACGTGAAGATCGCAGCCCTCCCCCTAGTCACTGTGGTTGACAGCTCGTTTGCCCTTCGTCCGACCCCAGCCGCGCCCCTCACTTTCTCTTCCTCTCTCCTCGTCAGTTTAATGCGGCAGCGTCGCCGCCCGGCAACACTGCATAACGAGAACGGTTGTCGAAACAAACTGCCATAACGTCCTCCCTCTCGAGGACGGGCCAATGCCACAGGGATCCCCACGCCTTTGCTGGTCGAGACCTACTCGAGAGAAGACACGAAAGCATAATCCAGCACACCACTTTCATGACGGCGCGCCTTCTTACCTGTTCATAGCATCACCACTTTAACCCTCAAGGCCTTGAATGAGTTACCTCCACTGAAGAGAAAGCCCGAGCTTCTGATAACCCTCTTCCTCGCAGGGTTCCTCACCTCCCCGTGCCTGAACGTCCCTGTCCGTTCCTGATCCATTGCAACCTTGAAGTCAACCACCGCCTTGGGAGGAAAGGTTAGACATAGGATGAAGAACGAATGCTCGCCATAGAGCGATGTCCCATAATCTTCCGTCTCATCGCATCATCTTGCCAAGGAACTCACTCCCTCGTCAGCATATTGTGGGTGTTTCCTCCAGGACGTCCAATCCTCTCCAAGGCGGTATTGAATGTTGCTTCCACCATCAAACAGATGCTGTTTGATGACTGATGTTGGATGGGCCTAGTTGCCCGTTCGCAGCACACAGTGTCATCATCCCATCTGTGTGAAGAAATAGCTTATTTCACGTGCTGGGACAGTTTTCAGGTCGGGCCGAGGGTCGCCCATCCTGAGAAGGGCAACTCGCTTCCCTCACTGACTCGCCTAATGCAATCCCTCAGACCTGATGGCAATCTCATTTTCATCAATCGGGTATATTGAAGCAAGTCCTTGGTAAAGAGAAATGAACACGTAAACCTGGCGATTTGGCATGTCAACACGCCCATATCCCAAGCAGGCACCCAGCGCAGTAACAGAATTGTCCCCTTGCAACCCTTCGAGGTCTTCAGGCTGCTCTTGGTCATGTCCAATTCTTGTCCTCTCAGCGAAGTAGCATCACTGCCTTCTTCGAGAAGGCTCGTCCACGCCAGTGCCCCTTACATCCTTTCCGACCTGACCCGCTGCTGTACAAGAAGATCAACCCAAATCTGGGGTTATGCCACCACTTTTGAGCCCCTTTATACGCCATAAATCCACCAACATCGCCAAAAAGCAGACGGGGTATCGAGAAGATTCAAGGAAGACTGTGGTGAGAGCGTATCGCCGAATCAGTATACTCAGGTACTACCTGAGCGTTTGCAGTTGCGAAGTGTCAAAAGCTATGGGTTAGTACGAAAATTATCATCTGAATCCTACCTGAGACGTGAACCATGGTGAGGTTGCTCTATCGTGAGATGTTTGCTTCCGTGGTTACGCCAATCGTCGCTAGAATGGCCTGTCGCATCGAGCGCTCTTCGAATCCATCGGTTTCATGATATGGAAAGACCGACAGACCTAAATCCGGTTGGCAGTCAAAGACGCCGGGGGGGAAGTTAGTGTGGGATGGAAAGGAGCTCAAGGGCGACGACGCTTGACGTCTGCGTTACGGTTAGTCTCAGCACATCGGCATGTGGGGAGAATACGGAACAGACCTTTCTCGGCTTCATCATCCAGTAGGTCGTCCACATCTGACCGAGGGCGTTTGCCAACGACCGGAGGGGACTGTGCAATCTCATCTTCGCCTTGTCCAGGAAACTCTCTCCAATCAATTTCCCCCAACTCGTCATTCTGGCCTCCAGCGTCGGCAGTCTCGGCGTCGTTATCCATAACATCGGCGTTCATGTCGAGATCGTTGGTTTCGTACGTGACCTCGTCGCCGTTCAAAGTTGATGTTGCGCTGGTGTTAGGGGTTACCTTGTTCGCCGAGTTCTCATCGGTGGCTTCGATGATCTGATCCATGATGGCCGTACTGTCTTCGTCATTCGGCCAGTTCTGGTCGTCCCCATCAAAGTTGAGAAGGTCGGCCCCGTCCGTGTCCACGTCGATCAGGGGGTTAGAGGTATCGGTTTCTGGAGCTTGAAAGGAATCGTCAGCACCTGCTGTTGAAGAAAATGCAATGCTAGCATCTGAACGGGAATGCAAATGGCGAAAATGAGAATTGAGAAAGCCGCAGCCAGTCTGGGCTTGGTGTCTTCCGATGTGTCTCGTCGTCCGTACGAGAGATGCGAAGGCGGAGTCGTTGTCACCCTCCATCTCATCTCTGGGGGAGATCGAAGCACAGTTGAGACAGAGACAGAACTGAGGATAAAAGCACGGGGCTGTAAAGGAAAAGCCGGAATTACCATTCTCCCCAGATGGTTGGGGCTCCTGGTCCTCCACCATGTCCGACATGTTGTTTTCAGTGAGGTCGATGTCTGCCACGACAGTGGACTCGTCCATGAGATGGACATCCGTCTCAACCATAGTTGCCTCGGCATCCAGGTCTTCACCGACGGTAAGCGCTGCATCGAGGGTGTCCTCCATGGCCGTGCTGTCGATTTGGGTGGTACCCTCCTCTTCCTCAGCAATACCGGTTCCAACGTCGTCATCTTCGTCCACCTCATCTTGTTCGACCTTTGCGTCTTGTTCAGCCTGAGTGCTTTGATCGATCGTAGTATCGTGATCGATTTCTTCTTCAACATCGCCTGGGTCATCGTCCTGGTCACCGTGCTGGCTTTCACCTGGTGATTTTGGCCAAGCAGCGGCATCTGCATTGTCTTCCTCCCCAATCATGCCCGGCTCGTCATCCAATATTTCGGGCTCAGCCTCATCGCTGTGCACCGGTGATGCGAAGTGGTAACAAACTTCATCGAGTCCTTTGCCATCGTAGGCATCTTCGACAAGCGACAACCACCTTTTCTTGCAGTTCGGTCGTGTGGTTAGAAACGCATACAGTGGCTTCGACGCATCAGGGTCTTCGGGGTCTCCATTCTTAACGAGGGAGTCAAACACGGAAATAATCTGCCCCAAAGTAATGTCGGAGAACATCTCAGTTTGCGTAGACTGAGGCTTGGTCAGCAAAGGTGTGGGTTTGCGCGGAGGGTGACTTACTTCAGTGAACTCTAATCCCAGCTCATCGATTTGGAACACAAGGTCGTCGAGAGGGCCAAGTTCATTGGAAAGCTCCCGGCGAAAACCTGCCAATACACCTTCCATCTTGCAATGCAAGAGAGACATGTCATCGAAAAAGCACTCCTTCCCTTCGCTCCCCGGGGAGTTGTAGAAGAAGGGATATTCAACACCTTTGTAAATGACCGTGATGGCAGGGATTGTCGAGTCGTCATTCGACGGGGCATCGTCAGACTCGGGTGACTGCACGCTGGCCAGAAGCTCATCTTCATATTCCATGCGATCATAAGCCGACGGGTCTTCGCCAGTGATTGCGTTTTCCTCCGCAGGACCCGTCTGACCTTCCACATCCTGGTCGTTGGCATCATCGTCAATCGCAACAACATCGGTCTCTGCTTCGTGCTGGGAAGCAGAGTCAGAGCCTTCAGCCATGGCATGATCCTCGCCATCCTGGTCTGGCTGGGCGTTTTGGGTGTCATCTTGGCCAAAATCGTGGCTGTCTTCTTGAGCTTCTGCGACTTCAAGAGACAAGTCAGCGGGTGGGTTGGCATCTTCGAAGTAATCTATTTCGTGCAGAACGCCATCCGCATCTGCGTCCTGGGCGCTGACGACCTGCTCTTGGAGGGAGGAATCGCCATCAGCTGCGGCTAGCGTCTCTTGTCGGTCGGCATCCTCGGCGTCGGCATAGCCTGAAAGATCATTGTACGTTACTTCACTGTCGTCCTGAAGCTGCTCTTGTTCTTCTGGCAGGTCTTGAGGGAGTTCTGCCGCTTCATGCACCTCCGTCTGCTCTTCAGCCAGTTGCTCGTCGCGCTTTGCGGCATCAGCGTCGTCATCCGTCTGGTTCGCAGCTTGGTCGTCATTAGGACCATCCTCCCAGCTTATTTCATTGTCGTTAAAGGAAGCATCTTCGACCCCTTCCAGTGCTTCATCAATCACAGCAGCGCTGTCGAGTAAAGCGGTACTGTCCATGTTTCCGGCGCCAACGGATTCCTGAACGCTGCCCTCTGCCGGAGCATCGCCTGCCACTGTAATGTTCTCGACCGCGACTGTTTCGATAGTCTGGTTGTCTAGCTCCGAGGTCCTTCCTGCGTCTTCGGAAACTTCGGTAACGACGTGAGCGTTGGCGGAGAATGAGTTGTGGTTGGAGCCCTGGGCCGTAACGGTAGGGGCAGCTGCTTCATCTTCAGAGTAGTCAATATACTCGTCATGATGCTGAGCTTCGTCGAAGCTCGCGGGCGAAATTGCTTCGGCCGCCATTGCAAAACAAGGCAGATGTCACTGTGCTCGATAGTAACAGAGACGCAGACAGCAAGCGGCGACTGTTCTAATGATTTGGCTGGCGAATTTCGGGTACGTTGATTCGGATATCCGCTCTGACCGGGGGGAGTCCAGTAGGTGTTCACCCAGGTAGTATCGGCTGAACGTTGCTGGAAAATGTCGGGTGTTATTCAGAACTGGATAAAATTCCGTCTGGATGTTTGCTGGGATTTAAATCGGAAGTCATGCCTTGCAAAGAGGGATGTGTAGGACAAAGACTTGGAGTTGGTAATAGCGAGGCCGGGCAACTTGAATGGAGCGGAGTTGACTGAGGCGCGTGGAAATTTAAAAATGGCCCAGGTGCCACCCCTCTACGTTCCTTGCGCAGCTTGACGCGCCTTCCAGAGGTAGCTTTGACCTTACTGTTTCGGGCTTAGCCTGGGCCGCTGTACGTAAGGTTGAATGGTCCGTGCACTGGCCAGATTCACACATTCGGACCTCAATATTCAAGCTCCCTATGGCCATGTGGTCCCGAACCTCTTTAAGTCAAGGACCTTGAGTTGAAGTTGCGACAGCTTCCCTACCTCACCAATTCGTTCTGCAACTGTCACTACACCTCGCTCAAAATGGTGAATACACCCGGAATCTACGGCAGCCGCCGCGTCACGATGCTGACTCCCCTTAGGTTGTCCTCGCCGCGTCGATCTGCACCCGTGGCGGGAAAGCTGTCCTCTCCCGCCAGTTCAGGGAGATGCCACGATCCCGCATCGAAGCCCTCCTCGCGTCTTTCCCGAAGCTGGCCGACAGCGGAACTCAGCATACGACCGTCGAGCAGGATAATGTGCGCTTCGTCTACCAGCCGTTGGATGAGCTTTACATGGTCCTCATCACCAACCGCCAATCGAACATCCTCCAAGACATCGACTCCCTGCACCTTTTCGCACAGGTTGTCACCAGCACATGCAAGAGCCTCGACGAGCGGGAGATTGTTAAGAATGCATACGAACTCCTCAGCGCTTTCGATGAGCTGGTCACCCTCGGCTACCGCGAGAACTTGACTATTAGCCAGATCAAGACCTTCCTCGAGATGGAGTCTCACGAAGAGCGAATCCAGGAAATCATTGCGAGAGTCCGTCCTTCCGATCATGGGCTTCATCAGCTATATACTGACTCTTGCGATAGAACAAGGAGCTGGAAGCTACCGAGGAGCGCAAGCGCAAGGCCAAGCAACTGGAAATGCAGCGCAAGGAGTCGGCTCGCGCCGGCCGCGGCGTTGGCGGCGGTATGCCCAGGACACCTGTGTACCCGACCTACACTCCGCCTGCCCGCCCGACCACGACGGATACCTACGACTCGTACGAGGCCGAGAAGAACAAGACATTTAACAAGTGAGTCAGGACGAGACAATAGAGTGGAGGTGCACTGCGGCTAACGTGGTCAGGCTGAGCGCTCCCAAGGGCAAGGGTATGCAATTGGGCAAGAAGTCCAAGACGACCGACATGTTCGAGCGTGTGCGAGGGGAGATGGGTGCAGAGGTCGACGACACGCCTCTCATCACCCCGGCCCCGGCTCATGTCCCCGAGCCCGCAGCAGAGCCCCGTGTATCCTCGACTTTGGATCGCGACGCTATTCACGTCGTGGTCAATGAAGCCATCAGTGCCAAGCTGTCGAGAGAAGGTGCCCTTAACTCTCTGGCGATAAGCGGTGACCTTAACCTCCGCATCTCCGACCCCAGCCTGACCAAGGTCAAGCTGAACCTGACGGCGAACGCCACTCACGGCGCCCAGTTCCGAACACACCCTAACGTCGACAAGAACCTGTTCAACAGCTCCAAGGTGATCCAAATGAGCAACACCGCCCGTGGCTTCCCTACCAACCAGTCAGTGGGTGTTTTGCGCTGGAGGGCAACAGCCAAGGCAGACGACACCAGCGCATGCCCCATCACCTTTACTGTTTGGATCAACAAGGATGCAGACAAGTACAACATGACTGTCGAGTACGAATTGACGGGCGGTGACACGCTGAAGGACGTCAGCGTGCTCATCCCATACCAGACCAGCGAGCCGGTGGTTTCGAGCTTCGATGCCTCGTACGAAGTGTCTGGCGACTCTCTTGAGTGGAACATCGGCACTGTCTCAGAGGACAACCCAAGCGGCTCTTTTGAGTTCGAGGCTGAGACGAATGACGAGAATGACTTCTTCCCCATGACTGTCCGGTTCTCAAAGACAACTCCCTTCATTGACGTCGATGTAAGTGGTAACCCAGCAAAACGTCAACGTTGCCGTAACTAACACAAAAACTAGGTGAACAGCGTTTCATTGCTCGAAGAAGACGAAGAGGTTACCTTTTCCAAGGACGTCAAGTCCCACGCGGACAATTTCTTCATTGAGTAGAAAAAGGACAGGCTATTTGATATGGGTGAAAGTAGCCGGAGGTGCTCACAATTGAGCGCCAACCCAGGAGTTTCCAAGCAGCGGGTTGACTTGTTGGGAGATACTAGCCATAATACGTGGCTGCATGAAATGAAACGTACCTTAGAATGCGGAGTGGAGAGTTCCTGAGAAAAGAAGCATCTGACAATATCTTACCTTGCCAAACCGTAAGAAATGTACAGATTATAATGCTGGATGACCGCTGGTTGTAAATTTCTGATGTGACTCTCCTGGGCACGCTGGGGATGCCGTAGAGGACCGGGTCCTCGAAATTCCAGGTTGCCTGTCGGCCGCTGACACCGTGCCAGTAAATCCATTCCCAGCGGGCATTTTGCCCACCAATCCACTAAGAGGTGCTTGTAGTGCCCACAAAACAAACGGACCTGGGAGTGTGCAAGTGAAGCCTGCGGTTTGAAGGAGCGTCCAGTTAAACTTCCTTGCACTTCCATCAACTCATCTCAAACAGAAGTTTCTCGTGCAACCCTTGCCTCTTTCACCAGACGTCTTCCCGGCCGGGACCAGACATGGTCCCGATCACAGCTGCCTCTCTCTCAGCACTACGAACAGTCTCGTGTTTTCGCAATGGCTGAAAACGCGCAGCTCCCACCATACAGCGAGACCCGTTTTGACCATCGCGTTGCTGATGGATTTCCTATCAGCAATCCGACGGTAGATCTGTCGATCAGTTGGGATGCGGCAGACAAAAATCTCCTGATAGTTCGACCTAAAGACCAAGTCGTATCCAAAATCCACCAGTTCGCGAAGCCTGGCGAGTCGGCACCGGAGCCCCAAGCCGTTAGATGGAAGCCTGACGGTAAGAAGCCCCTTGCTGGATGGCGATTCGAGATAACTGATTAGAAAGTAGGTCAGTTCCTGGCCGTGGGCTGGAGCGATGGATTTGTGAGGCTCATGGGACTGGAGAACAACAAGGCAGCGCATCATATTCGCGTCGGCGGGGAATCGGCAGCTGCCTCAGAGATCACTCACATCGGTTGGGCCCGCAACGTGATCGGGAAGTCTCAGAATCAGCACCAACAAACCAAGTCACAGCCATGGAAGAAGCTCATGTCGGAGGAGCTGGGCCTTCCAGGGAAGCAGGGTCCCTTGGACCTACCTCGGGAACTCACATTCTTGGAGGTCGATTCTGCTCTGCCCAAGATCAGTCCTTTGCCTACCACTAGTGCTGGCTCCGGGTACGTGGTTTATGGCATGTGTCGCGGGCCTTACTGACTTTAGTACAGAGAAGACGGCTTGGTCTTTACCCTGCGGACAGGCGTCGAGTTTCTGTTCCAACCCTTCAACGCTGAGGATAGTGATCAGATCTTCGTGATGGTCGTGGGCACAAGCGACGGCCGGTTACACCTCAGTATCTACGACTCCTTTGTTATTGGCGACTTTCGATACACTCTCCCTAGCTCCATGTACAAACCCGGTGTATTGCAGCTCGTCCAACATGCTTCGCACCCACAGGTCTCTACGCACTCGCTGCTTCTCAGGTCCTCTACCGATGACCAGGCCGTGTATTTGGTACCCATGGACTTGCCTTTTATACCTTCCTCCCCTATCAACATCTCTCTTTTGGCATCCAAGCTCACCACACTGCAAAAGCTGCTGCGGTATGTTAAACAGGCGCAGCTCCATATGCAAGTGGAGTACAAGAACACCAGAGAGCTCCCCAACAGATTTCTCCGCAGTGTCGAAGGTGATCTGGAACAAGCGACACGTGGACCTACAAACATCGTTCAAGCACTGTTCCATACCGTTGCCACTGGTCATGCACACGAGCCTGTTCGGGAGTGGCTCGTTGACAACTTGGCTGAGCGCGTAAGTATATGTCTGATCCGCGAAGCAAGCGCTTCAACTGACATGACCAACAGGGCCACAAACGCTGGGACAAGGCTGTAACTTCAGGCCTCGAGAACCTTCGTTGCTTGGTTCACGAGAATCTTCTGCCGGCATTGGAAAGATGCGCAATAATACTCAGCCGACTCCGGGGACTGGCCCAGTTCTACGACTCCCGCGACGACATCGGTTTCTCGGTCGCCCAAATCACGCGCGCTATGGATGTAGTCTCCTGCCTCACGATGGTGGGTCACAAGGTTCTGCTCAACGTGATGGATGAACTCGATCTGTTCAACGCTTTCTCGTCATGGATGCGTTTCCAGATTGACCGCCTCGCGGCATCAACCTCGGCCGGCGACGAGTTAACTGAGAAGGAGGCAACGATGGAAAACAGCAAGGTCCTCGCCTACATTCAACGTTACTTGATGCAAAGTCCCATGGACGTCTTCTTGGGCGAAGTGACCCAGGAAGACTACTCCAGCAACTGGGAGCACGCGGAGAGCGGAGCATCGATGCTTGAGGAGCTTACCACACAGCTGACCCGTCAGGAGGAGGGACATGCCTACTTGAAGGCGTTCCCAGACGTGGGCTTTCTCGTGGATTGTCTGAATTCTCGCGTGGATGGAATATTCAAGGACATTGCTGAAGCACAGAAGAGGAGTGTTCGTTTTGGACAACCGACTAAGTTTGTGCTCGGTGCCCAGATATCCAAGATGGATTCCACGATGTGTCCGGTAAGGAGAGATGTAAGCTCATGAAGGGGATTCTCGTTGTTTTCCACTGCTGACACGCACGATAGGACGGGATCGACGGGCTGGCCTTCACTGCGGTTACTGCAAGAGGTCGCGAACAAGAATGTCGGTTCCCTCATCTATAAGCTAAGGTGCAAGACTAAGAATTGGATAGTTTACATATTCCGCACATCCATCCGCCTTATCAATGGAATCAGCAGCAATGTCACCACAGCCGTAGCCGCTTTATCCATCGGCAAGGGCAGAATTCTCGAGTTGAAGTTTCTGAACAGCGACACTCTCGTCGTACTCTCGAGCGCACAAGGTACATGAACCTCATATTCCTCTCGGTACGATGAGTCTCACTAAAGTGTCGCAGGTCAACCATCCAGCATTTCCACCATTCCCATTCCATCCCAGGCCCTCAACTACACCCTCTACGAAGAGGAAAACCTTCCCGACCCCGTGCCACTCTCTGAACAACTCCAGGGAAAATGCCTTACCCTTCCCGAGGATTCTTCCTTCGTCCCCGTCCAGATGGACGTTCAGGACGCCACATCAGCACGCGGCGAAATCCCCGCGCGCGTCTGCTTACTGGGCTCCGATAGATTCACCTATAAGGTCTTCGGCCTCGACCCAAAGCCTAGCACCACAGTGACCCAGCCGGAGACGCCCCGACGGAGCGGTTAGAAAACGCCCGTCACTCTGTCGCCCGGAAACATGTTCAAGGTGGCGCCGAAGCGGTTCACCCCGCGCAGCAACAAGCGAATGGCGGTGGTCGCGTCTCGTCTAGAGAGCTCGATGCTTGATGAGCTAGCAAACCTGCCCGAGACTGCCACATCCCAGGACAGCATGCAAGACGAAGAATAGGTATGGATGATGGAATAGAAGAAGCATTTTGATATTAGGTCGGAAACAATACGTATTGTACAACACAGCGCATACAGATTCTCGCGTGCTTTTGCTCCTCATTCTCACTTCCTCGACTTTGTAATCTCAAAAAACTCCGTGACACCCTGCACGACCGCCTCGACATTCATGTTGACGAGCGGCATGCGGTCGTACGAGTCCTCCTTCATGATTGCCACCAGCGCGAGATAGCGGTCCACCTCGCGCAGCATGATCGGCCGCTGCGAATCGTGCAGAACCATACAGCTCTCCGCCCAGTTGCACGCGACCTGGTCCTCGACCTTTGCGTTCCACGGCTCGGCCTCGAGACGCTTGCGCTGGCCCTCGGAGCGCGGCCAGGAGCCGTACACCTCGGTGATGTCGATGATGACGTCGATGTAGTCGGAGCAGATCTCGTAGCTGGCCATGTCTGCCGTGGCGGAGTCGGTGGCGATGTAGATCTTGGAGAGCACGTCGAACAGGTAGGCCTTCTCGAAGCGGCACGTGCGGCACAGGTTGGTGAGCATGGCCTCGAGGGTTCCGAGCTGGGGGATGAGCTTCTGGATGACCTTGGAGAAGGCCTCGAAGATGGAGTGGTTGTAGATGGACGTCAGGTGGAAGGTGACGGGGGCGTTCTCGAAGCCGTGGTCCGAGAGCTCGTCCTGGATGCGGATGGTGATGTCGCGCTGGATGTCGAGCTTGTAGTCGTCCGAGAGGCCGTCGACCTTGTGGATGAAGACCTCGATGTTGATGTTCGGGTAGAAGCGCTGCAGGTTGAGGACGGTGGCGTTGAGGCGGGCGACGGCCTCGAGGTAGTCGTCCTGGGCGTCGATGACCCAGATCAGGGCGCCGATCTCGCCGAAGATGGCGTCCATGTCGAAGTTTGGGTTTTCGAAGAAGTCGATCTGGCCGGGGAAGTCCCAGACTTGGTAGTCCATGAAGGAGCTGCGCCGGTTCAGCACACGCACATGTATCTAGAGGTGGGGATATCTTACGCCATAGAGTCCTTCTGGATGCGGGCTGTAGACTCAAGGAAGAGTGTTTCGTTTGGTGGGAGCTTGTGGAAAACGACGCTCGATATTGACGACTTGCCGCTCCTGTTGATGGTGGTTAACATGATAAAGACCACACATGCCATCAGTAAGGGACGATGCCTACCTTCTCTGTCCCATCAAAAGAAGCCTAGGTTTGCCCTTGGCCGGGGGCCCAGGGGGCGCCTCTAACGGCTTATTCGCATCTTTCGTCGGCACTCCCTGAAGACTCTGTTCGTAGACACGCTGCAGCGTTAGCCTTGCTGGACTGTGACGACCGCTTGTTCGCAAAGAGCCATCCTGGCTGGGTAAGCCGATGCCATCTACCGCTTGGGACAGCATGGACGCGATGGAGTCCGGAGACGTGGACGAAGCCATCGTGGATGACGAGTGCGGGTGTCTCAAAGTTTGATACTCCTCGACCCTTTTCCAGCTCTGGGGAGAAGAGAGTACAAATATTGTGGCCTCTTTTCGCAGCAGATTGTTGTTTGCCGCTGTCTCGGGAAGATTGTTGCCACAGACCGACCAAGAAAAGCCAAAAGGGTCCTGGATGTTTGCACGGGTCCATGGCGGAAAGGCCATCCTCGAGCCCGGCGACGGTCCGTGGCGGGATCAGATGTGAGCAAAACTACCCGCCCATCCACGCAACGTTGAGCAATCCAAGGGGGGGGGGCGCCGGCGGGGGGGGGGGGCGGGGGGCGGGGGGGG